GCTCTCTGCCTAATATGGTATGCCAGAGAGGTGGGGAAACACGCGTACAGCTTGGGGAGCTGTCACCCACGCTCGCACCTGACTACCAGCATGGCAATGCTCCCAGCGAATAGCAACTCCCCTCAAGCATTTCGCGTACGGAGAAAGAACTGGCGGAACACCGCCCAGTTCGGCATCTGATTGCTGTAACCATACACTAGGGCACATGCAGGCTTTGCATGGTATCTTCAAACGCTCAGCGCGCGGAGATAGCCCGGTGCGGGAACGGTACATCTATGGATGCCCTCTGATGCCTGCGGGTATCAACTACCTTGGGACCTTTGAAAGCGGACCTTGACTGAATGGTGAGGATGTAAAGTCGCAATCTTAAGTTGCTTATATTTAAGCGGGCTGTTTAATTGCGGGCTATCTGCTTTATCCAGCCTCTAAAGGTCTACTAGGCTTAACCTGAAGCACCTGGTTGCACTTCTCCTGACACGGTTTTCCCTCACTGAGGTTTTCCGGAGTTCAGTCACCAGTGATGGGTACTGCCCAGGCGTGACCCGTACGGTCACCACCGCAGGTCCGCCTATGGCCAGTGCAAGCTTTGTGGCTGACTATGTACTCTTTTTTCCTCCTAGGTTTTTAATGAGGCTAGTCACACTACTTTTGTACATAGAATTTGACACTACCTATCCTTTTCTAGGTCTCGGGACGAGCCCTAAGAAGAGGGGAGGCTATGTCACGGTTATGTTACAGCTATCCAACCCCTAAGTACCCTAAGGGCTTGGCACAGGGTATATAGGCTCCTCGGCCTCTGTACCTCTGCCTCCGACCCTAAGGTTTACTCTCGTTACCCCCCCTATCCTGCATTCCCTCTCTGTGACCTGTGTTTCCTGCTCAATACCTCTCACAAAAAGAATAATTTGCATAATGCAGAGGAAATAGAATAGAAGAGTAAGAATACTAAAAAAGCTATTAACTACTTTACTTTTACTGCCTATTTATACTGTGTAACAAGAGAGGACATCTACAGCATTAAACTTAGAGAATATGCTAAGCAGTTTATTCTTAACAACTAATACTATATAGTATACTAAGGTAAACTATAAGACATAGGCGCAGTAAAGATCTTTACTATTAGTAAGTCTTAACTTAAGGCGTACATATAAGAGAACTTATGTATAGAAATTAATTAGACACCTAGCTAAATAGATATTAGCTTTAAAGGCTAGACACTAAAAAGATTAATTAGTACTATATAAATCTAGAACCTAATTAGTCTAGTTATATACTACATCTTAGAGACTTTAACACTATTTCTACTATTACTAGCAGATGCTAACTAACTTAAAGCATACTTTAACAATGTTCTAAATGTTATTATACATAAAGATAAAACTACTATTCTTATTATATAAAAATAAAGACACTTTTTTTTTAATATTAGTAAGAAAGAATCTATGTCTTTTTTTACTAAATTAGAACTCTGCTGCCTCTACTACTAATTTAGACACCTCTGCATAGAGAGACTCTAAAAGATGCTAACTAGCGCTAGCTATAACATTAATGCTGCAGTGCTAGAAGAGATTAAGAAGTTCTGCTACCTCTGCTAATTATATAACTAGGCCCTATAAAAATTTAAGTTTATAATTAAAAATAACACTTACTTTAACTATAAAGTTATTATTAATGTTATATAAATTAATAATAGGGATGTCTTACATGTTATTAATGTAAACATATTATTTTAGGCTGCTACATTCCTAAAATCTATGTCTACACAAGATACCTAAGATGCACTATGCAAATGCTAGATTAACACCTATTAAAGACCTCTAGACTATATTATGTATAACCTTAGTATAAACTTTACTTTAGAGGATTTTTAAGCTTATGCAAAGATTATAGGAGCTACATATAGGCAGATGCTTATAGAAGCATATTAGGCAGTTAAAAAGGTTAAGCGCGCGCATACACCTTTCTAACAAGTGTTTAACATCTTAAAGACTAAGCTAGGTAACTGTACAGATAATAAGGCTATTTTATAGATAGCAGTTAAGGCTCTAAACAACATAGCTAGCCTACATAGTCTAGTACCCACGCTGCTAGTTTTTAGGGCATACCTAAGAATTAACTTAGACTTTTTACTATTACTAAATATTATTACATAAGTAAGTGTAGTATAAAAAGTAATAAAGATACTTTAAAAAAACTATGTAAAAGTAAACATTAATTATATAATTAACACTTATAATAGCCTTATAACACATAAAGTTCTTAACCTCCCCCTTAGCTTAAAGATTATAGCATAGAGGAAGAAGAAAGGCTAGACTAGCTTATATAAAATTAAGAGTATTAAAGAGAGAGATGTTATTATTAAAAAGAAAAATAGCCTACTAAAGCTCTAATGTACGCAGGTTAAACTGTACTATAAAGAAAAGAAAGAAGACAACCTACCTGCAACAGACAACCTAGATAAACTAATTCCTATACAAAGAGATTCTCTAAAAAAGAGAAAGAAAAAACAGCTTTATAAAAATGTTATAGAGGTAGAACTAAAGCCTACTATAAACTAAGCCTCTTAGGATAGCAATGCTGCACTAGTGCAAAGGGAAGATATAGATACTAGGAGAAGTAAAAAGTAAAGGAAACCTGCATAAAGTCTAGACTAGGTATTTCTAACCTAGAAAAAAAAGGATAATTAGGCCTTATCTATTAAGCTTTATACAAATAGTGTAATTACTACACCTAAAAAACTATTTAAGAAATTAGACTATATAAAGATAGACACTCTAATTACTAATAGCACTTTTAAGGTTATAGTGTATAACTTAATAAGGCATAAAGGTTAGATTTTTAACCTTTGCTTTATATAAAAAGTAAAAGGCAAAACAACCTAACTATATAAGAAATCCTGCCTAGTGTTTGCTAGCTACTTAGATAAAAAGAAAAGAGAAATTCTTACCTAGTTACTAACTATCTAGAGAATAAGCTAGAGACTACTTCTAGCTATAAAAGCAAGCCTAAGAGCTATGTATAGAATGCATTTTAAACTATGTAATATTACATAAGTATATATTTAATTAATAGATAAGCTTATGCGCACGCTATACGCAAAGCTACTAAAGAAGATGCGCTAGAGCTTTCTACTAAATATAATACTCTAGGTTGTACAACCCTTGTATAGAGCTGCTAAATTAGGACTGTATTAGTTTAAGACATACTATAACTACTATAAAGAAAAGCTGCGCATGCATATCTCTTTATACAACCCCTACTTCTTAATTACTAATAAAAAAGAGCACACTTTTAGTATTACTAGCTTATAAATAGATAACACTTTAAGCATTATAACAAAAAATTTTGTGTAAAGAGAAAAAAAGAAACTATAGAAAGTAAAGTTTTATATAAAGGGTAAGACTATTTTAGCAGAAAAGTAACTTATTAAGTTTAATAGTAAAAGAATTAAACTTACGCACAATATAGTAGTTTTTACTTAGAAAAAATAAGTAAGCTACTTTTATATAATTAACTTAGAGAATAAGGATGCTGCATAATAATATGTTAAGTAATATGCAAAAAAGGTATACATTGCATCTATATGTTAACTAGAGGCAGCATTTAACTTCTCTATTACTGCATAAACTATAAACCCTTTATATAACAACATTAACACACTTAACACATAAATTTAATAGTAAATAGATAATAGTAAGTGTAGTCTTACTTTCTTACTATTGCAGCTTAATTATATAAAGCTGTTTATTTTTATAGATAGATTATTTACTAATAATAAGAACCTTAGCTTACAGCTAGGATTTTTAATTATATTAAGTAATAAAAACTATACAGAGTAAGGTAACTGCTTTAAAATACTAGGTAACATTATACACTAAAATTCTACTAAGTATAAAAGAGTAACTAGGAGTGTTCTTGCTAGCAAACTATACAGAATAGTTAAAAGGTTTAATAATGTAATTACTTTTAGTATAACTTTACAGTAAATTATATAAACGCTTAAACTGCTACTAATTTTAGTAGTAATTTACACAGATTTAAGGTCTTTATATAATTACCTTGTTAAGCTAGGCACTACTAGTAAAAAGTAACTTATAATTAACATTATGTCACTCTGTAAATTATACAAGAAAAGGGAAATTGCTAAGATAAGGTAGATTAATAGTAAAGACAACTTAGTAAATGCATATACAAAGAAAACACTAAACTAGGCTTTTTAATTATTAGTCCTAACTAACTGCCTCTCTGTCTAGATAGAAGCATCTGTGGACCGGCTAGATCCTGTGCGCAAAGATGCCTTAGACTAACTAGACTAACAACGCCTTTGTATAAGGCCTATTTCCCTTTGTTTTGTTTTTTTTTTGTATTGTACGCACTTATCTTTCTTATTATAAGGATCTGTTACTGCCAGCACTGTACAAAAAGAGAAAAGAGCCAGGGAATTGTACAATAGGGCTTAGAAAGTAAAGGATAAAGAAGAGAAGGTAAAGGAGGAGGGGAGACCTTATTATATACACCTCCCTACGCACCTGCCTACGCAAAGATCCTACACTATTCTAGCACAAAACCCTGCATAAAACAGTTTGTACACTGCTAAATCACTTACAAGGCAAGCGCATAAAGGCTAGACAATAATAGCCTAAAACACTTTACACTATTTATAGAGCTATCTACATAGCGCAACTAGCCTATCTTAACATACAGCATTACTAAGGCAAGTCCTAACAAATAGGGTGGAGTAAAGGCAGAATATAATTAGATAGACCTACACAGACAGAAGGGAGGTAACGCGTACAGAAGGCAACTCTTTAGACAAAAAGAAAAGTTGCTAGTGTCTGTACACAGCAGCAGCATTATAGTCTAGATACAAGCAATCGCGCATAAGCAGGACCACGTATCTCTGTCACATAATGCTTGTGCGCAAACCTCTGTGCGCAAACATCTAGATATCCCCCTTTTCCTCTGTACAGAGGAAAAGCAAGAGTAATAGAACTAGAAACATGTTGCCCTCACCTTACCTACCTTGTACGCTGTGCACACTGTACACCACTCTTACTCTTGCTACTTAAGTGCTCATACCATAAGCAGCTAGCTGTCAGAGCCCATTCAACAGCACTACAATATTTATTTCTCCAACTCGCAGTGTTCTTATCATATCCAGACAGACGAGTTTCGTATCCATTCCCACAGTTAGCGGATCACCATATGGACCGATCTATCTCGGCGGGTTATTGTTATAATCGGAGACCTGCATCCATCGCAACAGATAATCACTAGTAATAGTGAAGTTGCAGTAATTTCTGGGACTATTATCTCACTAGTACAAACGACTACACTCAGCCCATCCATCCAAAATATCAATGGTCTATCATTCACAATTCTCCCTAACGGCAGCACCCGAATTGGATACGCCCAAATCCTTTACCCCGGCGACCCGACAACAAATTTCAACCGCCACACAATATCCCTAAGTCCAGATGGCGCCGATGGTCTAAGATATTCCATCGAACTCCAAGTATCAGCCTCAACAACCACCGGGAAGCTACTCATCATTGGGCCAGACGGAACCACATCCACTCTCCAGCTTTCCTTTCCAACGCCAACACCTACCGGCTCCGTTGGCCGGGGCACCTCATCGCTGAAAACGTGCATGTGGAAAGTACGGTAGTGGAGAAGAGACGGTTGGGGACGGCAAGCTCAGCAAGTTCGAGTGAGTCAGCAGAGGATACGGACACGATTACCATGCTTCCAATCATGGGTGTTGAAATGCGAGACGAAATCTAGGGAAGGGGGAGTTAGGATGTCTAGGAGTCTAGGCTTTGTGGAATTAAGTAGGGTTGGTTAGCTTGGAAAATGTGAGAGAGATGGAGGCTTGGAGATTTTATCAACCCAACAGAAGGTCTCGGGGTATTTCACTTCTGCTAAGGTCGACGAAAGAAGGATCCTTCTAGAAACGAGAATAAGACGCCGACGGGGCGGGGTTGGAGGAGCAAATACCTTTTATATATTGGCACCTCCTACAAACCGTCAATATGGCGGATATGATATGTTACCTGTTCCTAGAAGTTGCTCATCACCTACAGCAAAAACCACCTCAACAGCTTGCTATTGTTTACAGAACTAGACCCAACGTTGGAGCTGTTCGTCAATCACTGGGGGACAACGGATGCGGTCACTTCTCCTATCTGCTAGAACGCATTTACGCATCCTCGAGTTGATGATAATGCTTTAATTGATGAAGGAGAGCCGACTCGACAGGTTCGTGCCCCCAAACGATTCCACGTTCTCGACTTCCCAGCTTCTGAGGTTCGAACGACCCTTAGAGACCAAAGCATGCACAACACGTAATCTGGCCAGGGCACATATTTAGGGATAGTGCAACCTTGTATTAAAGGTTCAATCTTATCATGTTTATACCCCTTTGGCCACCCCCTCGCGATCCTCTATCTATTTACACGCACTCTCTGCCATCACTAAATTCATTTCATTCAACTTCGTACTATCCATAACCATCTTTGCCAAGCCTTCCAAAGTCCTCATCTCCCCCTCTCCCGTTCCTTTCAGCGCCTTCACCATGTCCATTTCCTGGGTCTGCGACGCAGCTAATTGGTCCAAGCCCGCGCGAGCCGGGCTGTTGAGCTCAGCTGCCAGTTTCTGGTTCCCTTCGCGCAGAGTGATTCCGTTTTGCTGGATCGCTACGACGGCTTGTTGCTCAAGGCCGAAGTTCGAGGTTGTGTTGCCAGGAGGCGCACGCGAAGTGCCGTTGGCGGCGAAGGTGGAGAGTTTTTGGAGGGTTTGGATTCTGGGACCCGCATCCATGTTAGTGTGCGCGCGAACTCATGAAAACCAAGGCCCCAATTCTTCTTAAAGTTTGGAACCTCGTGTTGGAACGTAGGAAATGGAGGGAACGGAAAGGCACACCCACCCCTTGAGTTCCATGTCCTGGACATTAAGATGGGCTTGAATTCCCCCCACTAATTGCGCTGTCCTCTTTGCATCGCATTTTCCGTTGCTTGTACTATTAGCTGCATTGTTTTCTTGAGGTGCTGGCAATGCAGCTGCGATGCCCGCAACAAGGAGGACGATGAAAAACTTCATAATGACTTCCTATTTCTGACACGGCTCGAATCGATCAACAAAAGCCGTACTGTATAGAACGAACCGAAAAGAAATATTTACAAGAATTAAGAAAGCAAGAGCACAGCTCTGCCTTGAAGCTCTCACGGAGAGAAAGATAAATGATAAATTATAAATGATAGTAGTTTAGCTCCCCAGTCCAGACTCCAGCGCACTCAAATGCTCCTATATCCCACCTTTCATCCGTGTGCCTCCCGGAACCGAAAAAATGCATTTACGGCAACTCCATTCAGCGAGCGTTTGCGTGGTATCTCCTTGCAAATTCTGCGGCCAAACGAATGCTGGTTGCGGGAGCGTGCCATGTTGATCTCAAGATGTGTAAACAGAGATTTCCGAACACTGGGGTTGGTGAGGTCTGCGTTTCGGCGTTTTGGAGTTTTTCGCCGGAAACGTCTATGAAACGGGAGTTGGGTGTGATGCGTTAGCCTGGTTGCGGCTCTGTTGTTTCCGGAAAGATGGTCTGAGGAGAGTAGGTTAGTTCGGATTTCAAATGAGTTTCTTATGAGGCTAGGAGGCATGTGGTGCAGTGTGTCAAGCGTGGAAACGGGTAGGTTGAATAGTGCCGATGAAGTGAGTAAGATTTTTGCAGAAGAGATATTATGGTCCTAGAGCATTAGTGAAGAATGGTTTATAATGTCGAATTTGTATCTATCGAGATTAAAGCAGGTTTTGGTAGAAGGCCTTGCCTTAACAGAAAAAGTGTTGCATTCCCCACGATGCACTGTTTAAAAAGGATCGCTTGGAGTGAACACCCTAACCAGGAATGTCAAAGCCTATGGTAGAGCTCACATCAAGGGTTCTTTCGGAAACCTACATCGTGCTTCAGGGCTTTGGGAGAAGGTATGTAAAGAAAGCATTCCATGTTACTGCCACCCTAGACCGCATAGCTTTCACGAAATACTCACCTTCAAGACCAAGTATGAGAAAGCAGGTCAAAGAAGACCCACGCTCGGTCAGAGCTGATTACCTCCTTGCAGATGTCCTGTTCCTTGCGCCAATAGCTTGAAGTGCAATGCTCTACAGTGAGAACTCGGAACCCAAAAGGGCGTAAAGGTAAAGCAATCCACTACAACACCATCCTAAAACTCGGATCTCGATCATCCCCCGAGCCCTCAAACTGCGCATACTTCCCATTATCCTTATCCCGATTCATCTTCTTACACCACGTCACATTCGCCAGAATCCTATGCATACTTGTCAGCAACAAATTCTCCCTCAACCAAACAGGAAAGACATCTAAGACTCACAGGACCCACGCCGCGCACAAAAGTCCCAGGATTATGGTATGACTCTTATGAAACTGGGGCGCTTGCTTTTTCGGATATATAAAACTTGCCACGAAGCCTCCAGAATTCGCGATGGCCAGTTGTAGCGCGCTTGTTGTGGCGCGTTTGTAGTGGCCGGCGCTGTTGTTGCTGTTCCAGGACAAGACTGGCGGAACGCTAGCGTACATGCCCGTTGCCATCATGAATGTCATCCCGTATTGCACTCTTGGGTTGCGGCTTACAGAAATAACGGCGTATCCGACGATGGCAATGGGGAGAGTGAAGAGCATGAGGACGCCTCGGAGAGCGAGGCGATCTGACAGGACGGCTATGAAGACTGTGAAGACGGCTGCCACGGCGTAGGGAATGACGGTCCAAAGTTGTGCTTGGTTGGGGTCGTGCGCGAATTTGAGGTTGTTGATGATGGTTGGTAGGAAGAGGCCGAAGGAGTAGATACCGGATAGGATGGCGAAGTAGGCGGTGGCGGAGAGCCAGACTTGCACGTTGAAGACTCCGCGGCGGACTTCGGACCACGTGAACTTTTCGAGGATAGCGGCTTCCTCGAGTCTGTAGCGCGCGTGGGCCTTTTCATCGTGGTTGAAGAACCGTGCGGTTTCAATGGAGTTCGGGAGGGCGAAGAAGCTGAGAACTCCGCACGCGACTGTAATTAGCCCCTCGATGATGAAGATCCATCTCCATCCATCCAAGCCTCCTGCGTGTCCAATCGCGGAAAGACCTCTTGCTAGCAGGCCTCCGAAAGCACCAGATAAAGAAGCGGCAGTGTAGAAGATACCGATTCTCAGGGCCAGCTCCGTACGCTTGTAGAAGTGGGAGAGATAGAGAACCTAGTAAGGTATGAGAAGTATCGTCACTTGGGGAAAGATTGTGCTGTTACCATTCCTGGCAAGAGACCACCTTCTGCCATGCCTAGAAGTGCTCTCACCGTCACGAACGACCCGAAGTTTCGAACAAAGCCAAGGCACATGGTGAGGATCCCCCACAATACTGTCAAGAGAGGAAGCCAGACCTTTGGCGACATCTTCTTCAAGACAAGATTGCTCGGGAGTTCGCTTTGAGGGTAGAGTTAGATGATAAGCTCTCTCCAACCCAGCAGCCATCTTACATACCTGGCGATGTACGTTGCATAGAAGACGCACAGACCGATAGCATATTGATGATCATTGATGTGAATTGAAGCCTGGAGCCCCAAAATCTTTGCATTCCCAACATTCGTTCGGTCGATGAATGAGCATAGAAAGAGCAATGCGAGAATGGGCAAGATTCTATCGATGGTCAGAAAGGAAAAGAAGGCGCTCAGCAGAACAGGGTGCACCTGATGTCCATTTTCCACAGAACCTGGCGCGTCAACTGAGATCCGTGTGCGACCACACCCGCTACCTCCTCGTCCAGCGGCCCATTTCGCTCAATCTTCTCGTCGGCCATGGCTTTGGGAGAATAACTCATGATGATCTGTTGCACTCGTCCACAGTCTAAAGATAAGGAAGTGGGGAATGTCGGGAAGTGCAAACAAGGAAGAGGAGATGGGGTAGTACGACCGGCCAGGCCTTTTTTTAATATATTGAGTCCAGAAGCGACTTGGGACGAAAGGGTGGCTGGCGAATACCCCGTGGGGAACACAAGCTGCGAGTCTTCCAGGATCAGCACCCATGGGCGGCGACCACTTGATGCTCCCGTGTCAGCGGCGGCGTTGATCTCCCCGGCATGGAGCCAGATCTGTCACCGAAAATGCCAGCCACGATTTCCAACTTGGCAACATTTCTAACTTTTTTTCCCCGAACGTCTTCTTGTTGCTCTATAAGTCATGGAGGAGGAATTGAAGTCTTGGAAGAGAGGGACCATAGAATATCGTGACAAGCATGTCTAAGCTTTTTGGGGCGTTAGAGGCGTTGATCGACGCGCCATTCGCGAGGGCGGGGACAACGCCGGCTCCTCGGCGAATTGGCAGTATATACGAAAACATCACACGAAAAGCAGCATCGCACAGAGTCGAGCAGCCAACATGGCTAGCCATGACGGTGAGATGAGATGATGTTTAGGAGGCGATGAATGCTGATGAAGACCGGCACAGACGGCTGCAACCATGACGATGAGCTCGCCGGAGTCCTTGACGCCACTCCACTGCATGGCGAGCGCTGAACGACTGGTAACAAACGCGATTAAGAACGCGGAGCTGATGCGCGAAGCCAGACTGAAGTGCATCGGGTTCAATGGCGTCAGAACGGCCTCTTTCCAATGCAACTCGAGTGTAGGTTACTAAGTGTTGTAGGTTCCACGTACCATCAACTATCTCAACGCCTTCCGCGGCAGCCTCCCCGAAGAGGTAGGCGCAGGTCTCACAACCCAACCATCTCGAACGCCCTCTGCAGGTGATATAAAGAGGCGTGGCCGCGCGCTCTGGGACTCAATTTACCGCCCCTTCGAGACGAAGCTTGTGGAGAAGCTCGCTCACTCCCACCCCGACCTCCCGGTTCATATCATCAATTCTGAATACGGTCTGTTGTTCTCAGACCCCCCTCGTGATACCCTTCAGAGGCAGTCGCTTGTCTGAGAGCGCAGACGGGCGCCGGTCCACAAGTTACAAGCCATCTCTTTGGGATGTTAAAGGCGCTTGATGATGGAACATGGAAGGACTGTGAATAGAATGAAGAAGGTGTTAGATTGTTGGTAAGCGATGAGGGAGGTATGTGGATACTAGAGAGAGTTGGTAATATCGTCCAGGCCATTGGAGGAAGCCAAGGAAGTACATTCGCTCCACCCCGAGCAAAAATATAGACGAGAGATGTGTGAAATCCCAACCCTTATTTGAACTACATAGCACCGGAGCGATCGTTATTGCCGCATTGGAGCCTAGATGCAAATGTTAGAGATATGCTTGTGCAATGGGAGTATCTAGAAGGACTAGAACCGACGTTCCGGCGTCAATTCGAATCTAGACATGAACCTAACTCTACTAGGGCTGAATTAAGAGACAATATCAGCTTAGCTATTCATGCCACCTCCGACAAGAAGTCGCGGAATGGTTCGATGAGCGCTGCCCTGGAGATACTAAAGTGAATGCCGTTTCTAAATCTACTCCATTGACTTAAACTTCGGAAAAACAGTAAACTTAGCTCCAGTTTTCGCCTTCACATCCTCCACGCTCACCCCCGGAGCAACCTCCGTCAACCACAACTCCCCCTTCTCCCTATCCACCTCGAAAACGCACATATCCGTAATAATTGTACTTACACAGTTCGCTCCTGTCAGCGGCAAACTACAACTCTGTACAATCTTCGGACTCCCATTCTTCGCGACATGCTCCGTCGCCACAACAACCTTCGTTGCATCCGGATTGGAAACAAGATCCATCGCGCCACCCATTCCCTTGAACACCTTCCCAGGAACCATGTAGTTTGCCAGATCGCCTGACGCGCTGACTTGCAGGGCGCCGAGGATGGACACATCGACATGGCCGCCCCTGATCATCCCGAAGGACTCGGCGCTGTCAAAGGTGGAAGCGCCAGGGAGAAGCGTGACAGTCTCTTTGCCTGCATTGACAATATCGGGGTCGACTTCGTCTTCAGTTGGATGTGGGCCCATGCCGAGGATTCCGTTCTCACTTTGTAACCACACTTTTGTGCCTGAGGGTACGAAAGCTGCAGCAGATGTGGGAATGCCGACACCTAGGTTGACATAGTATCCGTGTTTGAGTTCTTTCGCTGCACGTCTTGCGATGCGGTTTCTTCTCACAACTGCCTCGTTGGGTTCAGTGTTCTTCCGAGATTCAAGAGGATCGCGAAGCTTCTTGATTTCGATGTGTTTCTCGGCAGTGGCGGGCACAATGCGATCAACAAATATGCCGGGCAAGTCGACGTCGTTAGGGTCAAGCGAGCCGATGGGGACAATGTTCTCCGCTTCAACGATTGTGAGACGTGCTGCTTTCGCCATGATGGGTCCGAATGCTTTGGTCGTGTACCTGTAATGCCCTTAGTATCTATTTCAAGTTTGTCTCCTTCAAAGCGCTACTTGCCTAAAGCAGCAGTTGCCTGCTTCATCAGCCTTCCATGCCCGTAGAATAGCAACATCACCGGTCAAAGCCGTTTCCATAAGATACATTCTCCCATTGAACTCCCTCGTTTCTCGTGGCGTCCCATATCCAACTACGTTCCCCTCGTTATCGAATTGCGCCGGGATCTTGCCATCCTGCAATAGCGTATTGACAGCCGTGGGTGTATAAAAGGCCGGAATACCGGCCCCACCAGCCCTGATTCTCTCAGCCAAAGTCCCTGTTAAACTGTCAGCAGGCGTGTCCCGCTATGTTAGGATTATCCCACCTTGCGGGCAAAGCTCAATTGTAATATTCCCGGTCAAGTACTTCTTCTCCAGTGCCTTATTATTCCCCAAAAAGCTAATAATCAGTTTATTCACTTGTTCGGTTTTCGTGAGAAGCGATAAGCCGCCAACTCCTTCAACGCCAGCATTGTTAGAGACAGCAGTTAAAGAGTGTAATGATTCCACGCCTCGATTCTTAATTGCGTGAATGAGTGTTTCTGCGACACCACAGAGACCGAAACCTGCACTTAGGATCGTAGAGCCGGGTTGGAGGTCAGAGACGGCTTCGTCAGCAGACTTGAGGAGTTTCGATTTTGACCGGTCGATTACGGGGGCTTTTGAAATTGGCGCGCTGTAATGTCTTTTCTGTCTTGAAAATAGCGATGGCTTATTGGTACTGTGTGCGGCTCGCCATTTAACAGGGAATGTTCGGCGGGGACACGTCTTTGATGATAGTGTACACAAGAGAAGACGCGAGGAACTCGAAAGGGTGTCCATGGCGATTGGCGCCACGTCTGTGCCCATAGATCGGGGAAGACCAGTGACTTAAAAGAAAAATGCTTGCCTATCGGACGAAGAGATTCCGGAAATTGTCGGACATAGCCGCGGGGAATTGAAATGTTTCCATAACGCAAGTGAGTAAACCGAAGAGGTTCCTGACGTTCGGAGTCAGAAAAATACCCGAGGCGGGGTGGATGAAGGCGGTTCGGAGGTAGCATCTGTTTATCGGAATGATACCGAGAGGCGCACACTAGAACGCTGCACGTGAGGGGGATAGTTCATTTCCAAGATACCGAGATTGGAATGATTCAGTAGTAAATTTAACGCTGACGTGGTGACCAGTGTTGTGAAGCCAAATCTTGCTCACAGACAACCAGATATCATACCGCTTTTGTTATAATCAGAATAGCATTCTCAGTATTCTCAACAGGTCCAAGTATTTGTATGATATTTCTCTACTTTTTGAGCAACGTTTCTTACCATGGCTGCACTGGCCCTTCCTGAAATAAGTGTGCAGCATCCACAGATAACGTGGCGAAAGAAAAGTAAGTAACCATTTTTGCCTTGCGTAAGTCCTGTACAATTTCTTGAGCAAGCAAAAGCATGCTCACGTCCATTACCAGAGGGACAGCTGCATCAATATCAGCATCCTTTACCCACCCCCTCGCCCAAACGGAATATCGGATGCAAGTCATTTCTTCTCGCCTGCCCCTTCTACACACTATCTATTCTTTCGCGGCCCGTAATGGAATCCTCTCACTGTGGATCGGGCTATCGCGTTCGACACTCCGCCAGTCGACTTACTCCACTACACGTTTCACCCTCTATTAGGCCTTCTTACGAAACCTTACAACCTTACCATCTCAATGATAAGTCTAGGCCTTCCACGGACTGCTGGTTTAGTTAGAAACCCCGCCGAAGTCGTCCTAGTTCGAATGTGTGAAGATTGCACAAAGCCACTCACTGAACGATGCGCATACCGGAGTATAATTGACGCACGAATTCGAATCGGGTGTGAAGATGGTTCGGGTGCATATTCTCAAGGACTTGGGCCGAGCATGGCCCGAAGCGTGCTAATGAACGTTTCTCAAATCGCAACATATGCAGAGGCTAAGCGGCAGCTGATGAAACAACTGGTATTTGAGGATAACATTGGAACGCACGTGGCTGTGAGCGTTATAGCAGGAACGGTTGCTACCACCGTGTGCGCTCCAGTGGATGTCCTAAAGAGTAGGTTTCAGAGTGCATCAAGCATTCAAGGGATAAAGCAGGTTTCGTTATTGCAGTATGTGGTCGAGACGATGAGAAAAGAGAGTCTTAGATTTCTGATGAAAGGTTGGACACCGGCGTGGCTTAGACTGGCGCCAAATACGGTATTGATGTTTGTTTTCATAGGGAAGCTAAAAGCATTCTTCGTTCAGTAGTAGATAACCAGCGTCTAGTATCCAGGATGTATATTTGGAACATCGAGGCTTAGAAGCACCGCTTGCAGATTCCCTTCAGCGGACATTAACTTTGCTAGCTACTTTTCAGCGAGAGGGCAAATTTACCTCGGAGAAGATGGCTGAGGTGTTTAAAACATCTCGTACTTCCGCCTTGTGCAAGAAGAAATCTGGGTGGTTTCGGGGGACTTGAAGCGGTTCACTGAAATCCAAACTCTGGGGGATTCATCCAGTCCATCCACGTGAATGCATTAGCATCTTCCACTGGGAAATCTAGCAGAGCTGCGTCAAAGTCTCCCGCATTCATAACAGTCTCGATGACTTCGTTGCCAGACATAGCGGAGAACTGCAATGGCTCTCCCCACGGATTCGGCAGAGGGTACTGTGGCTGAGGAAATGGGTGGATAGAATTTATCGGAGTATCTAATACTGAGGTTTCCGCAGCGACCGGCTGTGGAGCCACGGGTGTTGGAGCTGGTAGAGGAGGATTCAGCAGCAATGGGGCTTGTTTAACGAGCTCTCGTAGGTATTTTCCATATAGTACTGAAGTCCCGTTTCTGTGGGGTGGCGTGTTTCCAATGCGCTCTAGAACGGCTGCAGTCTCTTCGATTAGATTTCGCACGCTCGGCGCAAGGTTATGACTTCCACCTGGCGATGATGTGCTTAGATTCAGTGAGACACACGCAGCAAAGCATATCATGATGGCGGTGTTGTTCGGCATCGACTTCAAACGGGCTTCTCCTTGGATAGCCGCCCTCATTACATTCAGCGCTGACGACAATGCGGAAGCCCTGAATAAACGTTTGACCTCTAAGGGCGCCGTCGGGTGGTTGATGACACCGCTGTAGGTGGAGAGGCGAGTGTGTGTGACGAGGATCTCAACGTAAGGCGGGAGTGTTTTCTGTTCACCTTCGCCTATTGCCACGGTCCATGTTGCAAGCCACCGATCATAGAAGTTTTCAATGGTTGCTTTGATCTCTCCTGCGACCTTTGAGCCAACATCAATAACCCTATAGCTGTCGCATTTTGATCGAACGGCGCTGAAGAGGTCATCGAGATCTCGACGCAAAACAGCCATGGATATGAGGGAGCCGTCGTGTGAATCAGAAACTCCATCAGAGTGCCATCGGTCGCTATGTTTAATTAAGGGCGTAATCGGAACGCTGTAACTACGTCCCCGCGCAAGACAGACGCCACGCTCGAGTACAAAGAGCGAAATCCAGACCCTTTCTCTTCGGCGTAATAGCCGCTGGCCCCATTCAGATCGCGCATCTACGTCTTCAAACCCATCCATTGCCAGGGCTTTTCGGGCATCGATGCAATTTGATTTCGGGATTCTTTTCAAAAGATCTTGATCAAAGGACCAGGAAGGTGTCACGATCTTGTCCAATGACAGATCGAGTGCGATGCTTAACGCAACGGAAATATAGAGGCCGGTGTCATCGTCGGCGGAGTGAGTGCCAGGATGCATCCAAGGAATGTTAACTAGGAATGCTAGGACGATCTCGACTGAACGGAACCTTTTAGTGACCACCTGCTGTGCGAGAAATTTGCGGTGAAACAGAAGTCTCTTGGCCAGTGCGGCCGTCGACGGTAGAAACAGTGCAGAAGCTGTCAGTAAAGACGTAAAGAGGAAGGATGAGCGTCGTCGTACGAATGAGGGAGTGTGCACCAAAGGATCAAGACCCCACCGAGTATGGGCAAGTTTCTCATGAAAGCTAGTGAAGTTAATATATGCGACGGCAATGATGGGGAAGGATACTGTTACAATGCTAGCAGAGCCTTCGCCTCTTCCATCGTTACTAGTCCAATATCGATTGGGTCTAACTCCGGCCCGGAATCGAAGCTTGCTTTCATGGGGAGGAAGAATCGATGAATATCAGATCTTTCATCTCTCTCGCTTCCATAATAGCGGCTAGATGGGGTTGAGGCGCTGATCTCGGCAGACTGGGGGGACGTTAACCGTAGGTCAGAAGCACGGGCAAGGAGTTGGAGGGGGTTCTCGGCGTCATCTAAGGCGAGTTGGTCATCGCTTGATTGAGGAGCTCCATATCTTTCGGTGGTAAGTGCTATGCTACCAGATGAAGCTGTATCTTCTGTTTCTGGTATCTCCCTCCGAGCATTATCGAGGAGATGTTGTAGCTGTTCAAGTGTCCCTTCGTTGGACAGAGATGCTGATCTTGACTTCTTGATAGCCTCTTCAATTTGAAATATGGCCCTTTCAAGTCCAGTACGTTTACTGGCTCTACAGTGAGCCTCATTACAGAGCATATGCAGACCATAATGCTTACTTCTTTACACCCTTCTGTCTCCCAACATGGAAAGTTGGAATAATGCACTCTGTTCCAGCATGTTGACATTTCTCGCAAACCCAAGACCCAGATCCCCGTTTACATTTGATCTTGCTCTTTCTGCAATTCAAGCATGCCGCTTGTTTACTTGTCATGTTTGGATTGATGTGGCCTCGATGTAAGCTTCTTTAAGGGCGAGACTGTTTCTGCCCTTTAGCCGGATTTTGGGTTCCAATGGCATGGGTTGTAAGACATAATGAAGTGTTAGGAACGAGTGCGCCTGCCGCTGAGCAGTTTGAGACTGTAGACGAAGGTTCATAGTTTGCCGAAGGCTGGATGATCCGACCAGGCCGGTTGCCGATCATGGCTGACTAATGAATCCTAAACCGGCTAGTGTTAATTAGCATTATTGTTAGCGGCTACTAGAAAGCAACGACTTTCTTCGGAATGCATTTTCGGAAAAATAGCGATATTCTTTAAAGTACAGCATCGCATACGTTCCTAGAGTACGACTCATGCTTCAATATGCCATTCCTCTAAGCATTCACTTCCTTTCGAGGGTGGTTGTTAAATTGTGACACTGCTCCACAGAGAAACAGTTCAATACCAGCACCCTTTCTAGACTTCGCAAGCTGTCAATCAAGGCAATTCCCGCGTCCTCTTCAGGTACTCATACAGCGACCAGGCAGCCAGTGTCTTGGCATCCCTGCTCCCAACTTCCAACAGCCGCTCGTAGTCAAGCAGCCTTACTGTGATATTCTCATGCTGCGTTCTTTCACCCGTCAACTTGCCCTTGAGATTCTCGATCTCCACCCTATCCATCTCTTTCTCCCATAGGAAGATTGCAATATACTCGTCACAGCCGCCCGGACTCGGATACATAGCACTCTCGAGAGTTTCTGGTGCCTTATGGCCCTGCATTGCCAACTTCGTCATGTCGATGAGCTCGTCCTCTCTTAGCTCGAGCCCCACCTCCTCCTTGATTTCTTTCGCCGCAGCTCCCTTGAATGTTCTCTCAGTGTTATCGATCATACCTGCTGGAATTTCCATAAACGTCAGGCTGCCGGCCGGGATACGTGGTTGCTCTGTCATGATCACCCAGCGCTCATCGCGCGCGTCGGTCGGACGCAGGATCATGAGGACGGCGACACTGCCTCCGCGCAGGAACACGATACCGGGTAACTCCTCTCCACTGGAATTTTTTATTTCGGCCTTTAATTTAACGAAGCCTATCCGAGGGCCGAACCAGTCAACGGATTGGATCTTGATAGAGCGGAGACTATACCGATCCTTGTAAAACGAATGGTCTGAGAACTTTTGCTGAGCTAAAGATGACTTGAGCGTAGCCAACCATTCTTTGAAGGCCGGGAAGGATAGCAGTTGCGCTTCGTTCGCTTCGTCAGTCAGGTAGACGGTGATCTCTGGAGAATCCGTAGCAAAGTCTTGGAGCTTGAAAGACGACATTGTGGTTAGATTTAGTGACGGGTTATGGTTCTAGAGGGAACTGTGGGAGATCCGTTGAGAGATAACGAGTGGACTGATTGAACTATGATTGGATGCCTCTTCCCAGCGAAGGAGTCTTTCATGATAGCGAGTCACACATGAAAGACACACCAACAAGGCTTTGTTGGGGTGTGAGAAGGCTGATGTTGCACGAAGCAAGGAGGCGCAAGCACATGGGAGCATTGGGTGGTCAGCATTGGAGCCCAACAAACTGGTTTCGCTCAGTTGCGCATCACGTGAACCCCTTATCGGCGATCATTTGCTCTCACTTAAAAGCTATGCGCTGGGGTTTTCACCTACTTTTCGAAGCTCAATATCGGAAAGCTGATAAATTCGGATCAGGATTTGAGGATGAAGCAAATTACCACTTAATTCGCCTGAAGACAAGCATATGGTACATTTGCATTAGCATGGTTTTCGCCTAGGTCTTTGCGCTCTGTTTTAGGGTCAGATTCAAATCAGAAGAGCTATGAATTTAATGCAGCTCCAGAGCGCTCTTGAGCAGTTCTGCATTCCATTAACAAAAATGCTATATAGTGTGGCTTACTGAGCGCATTCCGCCACGCCTGAAGGTGTTTTTATTGACAGGGCTAGGCGAGGTAAATGAAACTGAAGAGCTATTTAGAGAAGATGCCCATTAAAATGATGGAAGCGTTGATGTGTCCAGGATAATTCGGTCTTGTAACTGGCTTAACACGCCCTTATCGAAACTTGCGCCTGCATCCTCCCCAATACGCCTCGAAGGGTAAAAACAGAAATAAGTCATTTTGTCACACCGGGTGCGGCCCCATACAGCCTGGCCAAGCAAGAAAGAGTAACTCGAAATAGAAACTCCGCCGTCAAGCTGAACCGTCTCACTTTAGGGATCGTCACTCCTTATTTTACTTTGCATACACTGAATTTGAAAGTACCGCAGCCGAGATTCAACCTTCCCACTGAAATGATCTGCACTACCTGCTATGGCATGCTTCGGGGACAAGATGGGCGTCAATGGAGAGGAACTTTCGATTTGTATTTTGATCACCACACCTCCAGATGGGAATTGGAAAGGTCTGCAGAGATGGGATGTTCTATTTGCCGCACCATCTGGTATGAAGTAAAAAAACTCGATCCCGCGGAGAATTCCCCACAACGAAAACCAAAGGATCCGAAGCTTCGAGGTCGGTTCATCTCTGCCTTCCTCTCGGAATTACACGAAAAGCGGGGCCTTTATCGACTAGACTTCAAGCTGAATGATTCGAGAAGACTTTCGACATTCCTTCTACAGCAGATTAGTAGGCCTTTATAAACAACTGTTATTCCGTGGGGTGAACTAATTCTGAATGCACAGAAAACGAATCCGAGTCTCGGCTCTACACTCCAATATCCACCAACACTTCATCCGATGAAGTTCTCCAATTAGCACGGTATTGGATTACAAGGTGCAATAGTCATGAACATGAGAGCTGCCCCAATGAAGATTACAACAAGACTCTCTCGTTTTATCCAACACGCTTGATTGATCTCAAACCTTGGTTACTGGAATCGAAGGGGAATGACTCAAAATATCAGGGGTTGAAGGGACAGGACTCGAAGGAGCCTGATTGGAGCCTAGAGCAGGACTATGTGCGCCTGATTGTGACTAGAGGCCAACCTCGTCCTAAAGACCAACAAACTAGAGAATATGAACGTCGAGACGACCAACCTGGAATAACCAACCCTAAGGGGGGTCACTATGTCACCCTTAGTCATTGCTGGGGTGGAGTCGACTTCGCTCGTCTCCTCAAAGGTACTTTGCACAACTTTCAAGAAAGGATTCCATTAAATGAGTTGCCACTCACATTCCGAGATACAATACACTTCGCGCGGCGCTTGAGTAGTAAAGTTCGGTATATCTGGATCGATTCACTCTGCATTATCCAAGATGACTTCGATGACTGGCTTGCTGAATCCACGCAGATGTATGAGGTTTATAGAAATTCATACTGCAATATCTCCGCAACTGCGGCGATCAATAGTGAGAAAGGCCTGTTTTTCCAGCGGAATCCGCATCAACTATGGGGCGACGAGGTGGCTCTCAACACCGAAGGTATCCCAAGGCCTCTTGCGAAAGAACCCCCGAATCAACACTTGGGCCCACTCATACGACGTTGCCATGTCCTCGACCTTTCATTTTGGGACCGTGAAGTAGATAAAGCTCCAGCCAACATGCGGGGATGGGTTCTGCAAGAGCGACTGATGGCACCGAGAGTCCTCCACTTTTGCAAGCACCAGATTGCTTGGGAGTGTCACCACTTGAATGCAGCAGAACGTTTCCCGCACGGTGTACCCAGTATGGAGCTCAACGTAGGTGGTGTTGAGGAACGCTCGACTCTGAAGCATCTCATTCCAGACCGGTACGGTCGACAACCAATCTCAACCATCCCGAGCGAGGTTTCGGATGCGGCACATGAGAACTGGAAGCGCGTGGTAGAAAGATATTCTAAAACCGGACTTACAGAAGCAAAAGATAAATTGATCGCGCTCGCGGGTATTGCGGAAATGATGGATGCTCAAATACGGGGACGATATATCGCCGGGATGTGGGAGAAGTACTTAGCAAGCCAGCTTCTATGGCGTGTAGATCCGGTATTTGAAAACGGACTTTTCTCCTATCCCTCGCGCCGTCCTGGGTGTTACCGAGCCCCTAGTTTCTCCTGGGCGGCAGTAGATGCACCTCAAGGGATTAGATGTGGCCAAACTATGAGGGAAGAGTGCCTGGAAATTTCGGTGGAAAAGGTTGAGGTGACAACCACTGGTACTAATCGCTTTGGATTGGTCGAGGAGGGTGGCTATCTTGAACTTATATGTGTTTTGAATAAGATAAAATTGGAGTTGCGAGAAAAACGTGGCGTCACCAGATTTGTTTGGTACGCAGAAACCCGTATAAAGAGCGGCGAGGAAGACAACAATGAAGAGAACCATGGGAAAAGGCATGATCAAAGATGTGAGCAAGAAATGAATGGTGAGATAAAGGTTAAAGAAGAGAGCAATAGAAAACCCATGGAGATTGGGCATCAAATTCACAAAAAGCACGACAATGTCTACATTGACAGTCCTTGGGACGATGAAAACGCCATCCGCAATCCCGACAATGAACTATACTGCGTTCCGGCACGAAAAGACTCTGATAACAACTTGGTTTGTCTCCTGTTGCTATTTACAAATTGGAGCAACAACCGAAGACGGTGCTTCCGCCGTGTTGGGTTGACGGTTATTCCACCTTATGAGGGCGGTCAGGAGATTCGTGGGCATAGTAACAGTAAGGAGTGCGGGGTACGTGAGACAATTCGGATTTTATAAACAGAAGAAATTCGTTCCTCTGAAGAGTACAGAATTAGTTGTCTTTGGAGAGTAGAAATGGCAATTTGCTAAGAAAATATCTTTTGGCATCGTGTAGATCAATAGTCACAGCATCTTGATCTTCGCTTGCCAGCACCTCTGCAATCTCGTTCATATCTTGTGTAGTAATAGGATCTAGGGCCTCAGAGGTTGCACGATTAGAGGAGTATGTTGCTAGCCCTAGAAGTAGAGAAAAAGCTAGCAAAGAGGCAGTAATAGCATTGCGCGGGGGGACCGCTGAACCTTCTCCTTCAAGAGTTCCATAAGTTATACGCGTTCAAGGGCCAACATCCCTGGTAAAGTAAACTGCGGTTCCTCATACATCCTGTCCACTGCCTCACTCTTCCGTACCAAAAACACGCACTGTCCCAGAAACTGCTGGAGAACTTCCCTCGTCTTCTGGTCCAGAGATGGAATAGTAATGATCGGTTCATCTTCCACGTCAACTGAAGCGGTTGCAAACACCCTCATCTCACGAGCAATTGCATCCTTTGTCTGTCTATCGAGTTGCTCCTGCGTAGCTAGTTTCCGACGGACTTGTGCTAGTGCGTCACGAGTAACACAAAGATCCTGCTCTGATGCTTGGCCCAGAAGCAGCGCAGAAATTTGTGCGGAGGATCCTATGGAGACCGCAGAATCATTAAGCCGGAGACTTTTAGAGTCATCTAAGAGGCTGGCGATGAATCTCCATGAAGATATCTCATCTTCGTCGAGGAATATGAGGCTCCTTGGCGAAGAGGATTTCATGATTAGGTGGATGGGCAAATTACCACGATACGGTACATCGAAGAGTTCGTGGCAAAGAGGACCAGATACCCATGGCCTGTGCAGTATCTTCATTCTACCTGAGATCAGCTGATTGCGAATCTCCGGTTCAATTTCGTCTTTGAGAGGCTTATCGATAGCTTCATGATGATCCACAACCGTAGCAAACAACCCAGCTAGATTGTATAGCTTCGAACGAGTCAACTGATCTTTAAGATTCTGGACAAAAAGATTGACAGTTCCTATGATGGTGTCCACCATAGCAGCCGCAAGGTCTTCGTCTTGCGTCTTGATTGTGTCAGAGAATACATCGAGACGACTTGATCTCAGGCTTCTCCACCGGTCCAGTAAGTATGCCTTCGTCGAGTCTTGGCGCTCCAAAACAGCTCGCCGAAGATACTTGTAGTAATTCCCGGTTATTTCCTCGGACGAATAGAAAATGCAACTGTTATCGATTCCAATAGATTCGAAATGCGCATCGAGGGCTTGGATTTGACTTTCCGCTATCTTCTCGGAAATGTAGTTGCTGGCCACGGTCGTGCGGTATTTTGATAGGATAGTTTTTTCGTTTCCAGGCCCTTCGCTCAGTGGTATGACAGGGTGCAGAAAATTGAGATAGAATGTATTCAGGTGGTCCTTACTACTGAAGAGAAGCTCGTTGATGAAGACGCTCGAATTTGTGAGGACGTTTGGTGGAATGGCAATACTGTCTGCAAAGAGGATTGCGCGGTGCAGAAGACCACGCAGAAACAGTGCTGGTGGAACTCCATATTGATTGGCTTTTGCGCTGACGTTGTCTAAGGAAGGAATGAACGCGACGACCGAAGAGGTGCGCTGAGTGTCTTCGAGTTTTGATTTTGGCAACTGATATTCAGAAGGAGCCTTTCTGAGGTTTAGCTTTTCCAACAGAGATTTGGTCATGTCGGAAGCTTGCAAGTCGCCAACCAAATAGGCAGTATTCTGAGCAAAGGAAAGAGCCTCGCTGGCGGCCCGCTCCTGCCCGCCACAGAACAGCAAGAGGCCGTACAATGCGCTGATTACCCATGATTGAGCGTGCGGGTGATGCGTGTTCAGCGTCTGCGCAAGGTCAAGATGTCGCAACCGGATTTTAGAACGTTCATTTTCGACTTGACTGGAGATGTATGCGCGTTGACCTTCATCTAAATCTCCACTGAAAAGGTATTGGAGCAATGTAGCGATATTGCTACACTCCTTAGCCAGTCCGTACTACGAAAGAGTCAGCATAATCACTGAGACGGCTTGAAAGCTATATACTGGGTCAAGGTACCTGCTCCTGATCCCTTAATGGGCCTAATTCTGTCTCGAGAACTCTGTTCCAATCTTGTCTCGTACCATCTACGAAACCAAGTCTACTGAGAGGCACCTTCTCACTCTCGGTTCCGTGGCAGAGTTCTATCAAATCCAGCACAACTAGTTTGCACCAAGAAGACCCAAGGTTTCCTGACCATGTAGCGACAAAATTGCTAAAGTCGGTGGGATTCTCGTTCCCCTTTACTCGCTCTCCTGGAATGGAACCTTGTAGGAGACACAGTCCCTCGGACGTGTGCTCTTCGGTCGGGACAGACTTCAAAAGTGCTTGAAGGCCAGGCTCCATCTTGTCGAGGTCCACCTGGAGCCATACAAGCCGCCCTTCTCTTTTGTTATGGACCATTCGGAGGTAGTCAGTGTTATCGTTCAAGTCTCCACCACTGAAGCCAACTACAAAGAAAGTACTTTTAATAAGAAGGCTGTCTAGAATATCCACCGCGTAAGAAGGGAGACCTTGCTGCCGCTGCAAGCGAGTATCAATGCAGGTGTCTGGCATGTAACAGGAACCATGCAGCTTAAAGAGAAAAGATATATTTCCTCCTAGCTGCGGTAGCAAAGTCTGCGCAAACCGGCATGCCTCAGGGCCGCTGACAACGATGATCAATTTGTCCGAAGTTTCACCCAAACGATTGACGATCGCGTCACTGTCGATGTGGAAATTGTTCGTAAGAGTGTATGTGTTTGCTTGAGCGTTTCGAAGCGCCTTCTCAAGACAATCGTCGAAATTTGTCGTGACAACGGCAGCAGCACTCCCGTCCATGAGACATTGAGCCGCCCACCTATGGACATGATTGACCAACCAAATGTCCCCCTTCTTTTGGGTCTCGAAGGCTTTTAAGAGACGTAGATAGTCTTTCCCAAGCCGTCGGGCAATGATCTCAGTGACTTTGTAATTCGGTACTCTTCGTGGGTTTTTCCAATTCAAGGCTTCGGCAATGCACCTTTTGAGCGCTATGTTCGCTTCTTGTTTATTTTTTTAACACATCTTCTTTAGAGCTGTGACAAATACGAACCTTGGGAGTCGACCCCAACATCCTCTGTCGATCTATCAACCAGCGAGCTGTACACAATTTCAATAAACTTATCCCAAATTGGGAAACAAGTTGGTTGGAAAGATGAGATTGCGGCTCCTAAGAAAAGGGTAGCTCTGTTATCCACCCTCTTGAGCATTCTTTCCACTCGGGAGCGGACATGACTCCAACCATATCCTTCAGTGGCATCCGATTTGACTATTCCTGTTCGGAAAGCGGATGAAATGGCGTTGTCGGCCATGGCAAATACTGTAATTGAGGTTCAGTTAGGAAGTGAAAGATTGAGGGGATTTTCTCTGTACAACAAAGGTGGGGTGGGGAGATATCGGGCTGCCAAGGTCTACCCTCTGCAACGTCCTGGGCTGATTTTTTGCCTAAGTATTCTTCGTATGACTAAGTCATCCAATTGGATGAAAGTACTGGATATTCTGTATCGACTCCCACCCTTGTATATCCCAGCATCAAAGAGTTGAGCCATCAATTCGCTTCTTTTACCCCGCAACTCGTGGAGAGTGAGACGTCCGGTTGACACTAAAATTGATAAGGCCCAAAAAATATTATGAGAATGCTTTAAACACAGAATAATAATATAAGTGAATCTTGTTAGAGGCTGAAGATAAAATCTCTTGTACCTAACTTATAATACACAACACTGATGGGTAGCAACACACCAAGACCCCATCAAATTGCTGTACTGCTTAATGGTTGCGAGGAGGAGACATCGATTTATCTAGGCTGTTGGCCGAAAATCAGCTGGGGCGTGGACGCAGTGGTGTGCACGGAGGGAGGGCCTCCATGTCCTCACGTACACATGAATAGATGCCAAATTTAGCGTAGGTACAAGTAGTTAGTATTGCTCCTTTAGAGTCCTTCTATGGTAGGAAGAGTGAATTATTAACCACTAATCCAACCTATGGCAGCGAACCACGCCCAGAAGTCTCTAATTTAGATCTACAGTCTGAATTTTCGTCTGATTTAGCATCAATCGCATCTGCCTACAGGATCTGGAGGTGGGCGGAGGGCAAGCGAAGGTGTAGTGAAGGAATTTTCAACAGCTAATTGTGCCAAAGGTTGGTGGGCGCAAGATGATGTGTATACCTGCATTTTCCGCCAGTGATTGACGAGCGACTTTAGAGTTGCATCCAATTCTGTAGACGAAGGCGAGCTGGTGAGACCATTTGGTTGTGTCATAGTGTTTTATGTCTAAATCAATTGCAGGCTAACTGATTGAACTTAAGTCGTATGATCTGCGCTAATGCACTGCAAACCAGAGTGTTTTATTCGCCGATCAGGAGTTCCAGCTTGCGATGACGTTGCGCGACAAACTCGAGTCCCAATCAAGAGGTCAGCTTCCCCCAAACTTCACCTAAGCCAATCCGAAGCTAAAGTGGAGCATTGGGTCATTGTGGACTCACAAGACGACTGGACTTATAATATAAAAGAATAATGATGCCTATGAGCTGCAAGTTGGCTATAGAAGCCATACCCTCCTTACTCCCATCCAAGACTCTTGCTCCCGCAGGAATAGCTATCTTCTTCACTTACTATCTATTATGGATAATATACACCCACTTATTTCACCCCTACGACTCTACCCCCAGCCATTCATGGCCAGCATCGCTAGCTGGCACCGTTGGTATAGCTTCCGCTATTGCATTAACACAAACATCCAGCACGCCCTCCACGAGAAACACGGCCCACTCCCCCGCATAGATCCAGACGAAGTTCAAATCGCAGATCCCGCGGCTATCAACATGATCTCTCGGCTAATATTTCTCAAAACGGAATTCTACAAACTCAATCCTGGGATTGGGGGAGAACCACTATCTTTGCGCAAAAAATGACAAGAAGCATGTCGTTTTGAAAAAGTTACCTTTCTCACTTTTCAGGGCGGAGAGCGTGAGCAGGTATGAAGGGTATATTGATAATATTTTGCAGTTGCTTTGTGAGAAGTTGGATGAGCTGGAGGAAGTGGATCTCATTGAATATGTGGCGAAATGTGCATGGTATACGGTGGGGAATATAGTGTATAGCTATGATGGAGAGTTTGGTATGCTGCGCAATAATACGGATTATAATGGATGGATAGGTAGTGTGAACATAATGCAGTGGCAGCCCAGCCAGCTAGGATACGTTCCTTATAGCCTTCGCACTCTCTACTTTATGTGGTAGCTGTTGCTCAGTGGGAAGACGAGAGAGGGAATTACACTATGTTGATTAAGATGTTGAGAATGACGGAGGATGAGAAGATGGATTGAAATGGAGATGATATCGTGCTGACATTGAACGAGTTTGTGTGGGCGGGGAGCGATGCGACTGGAAGTGTTTTCGGAAGGGTAAGCAATTGTTCCTCTTGGCATATTGTTCCCAGACTCTAATGAAGATATAGATTCTATATTTCATCCTGATCGACGACAAGGTATGCAATAAAATCCTATGGGATCTCGACTCCGCTCCCCTTATCGACGGAAAAACCATCTACCAAGAAGCTTCCCGCCTCCCCTATCTCTCAGCCTGCGTATTGAAGCCACTACATCGCCACGGCATAATTAGAATTGGCCTGCCTCGCTATATCCTTACTTGCGGCACTCAGATCTGTGGCCGCTGTTACCCAGCGGATACAAAGTCCAGTTGCAGAGCAATGTAACAGGCCTTGATCGAGGCATTTTTGGTGGATATACCGAAGTTTTTAGACCGTAAAGGTAGATTGAGAACTATGAAGAGACACTGAGGAGGAGGGAGAGGAAATTATTGACTTCTAGGTATGAGACGAGGGTGTGCATGAGAAAGCAGGTGTGTGTATTCTGTATTCTTATCTGCGAGGACCTGAACCATTGAAGCATGGGCTGATTGGTTAATAGATTGCATTGCATGATATTTAAAAGTTTCTTCCCAAAGTGCTGGGACTATTTCAGTTCGAGGTGCTACAGGAGCCAAAGGTAATGAGGGGTTTGGTTTCAGCAGCCGGAGGAATTCATGGTGAGAGTCGAGAAAAGGGTACAGAGTTCCGCATAAGTCAGGGTAGGTAGCTTAGATGATGGTGCTTGAATCTAACGCGTGAGTGCTTGCTGCATTTCTTTGCTTTTTTTGAAAGGGGATATTTACGCACTCCGTTAACCTACCTGGAAAGTCAATATGCTCTTCACCAAATACGAGCTCAGCCGGCAAGCTCAGCCAACCAATAGGTTCTCAATTCTTGAGGCCTCTTTCTCGATGGTCTCAACAGGCTTGTGGGAGTGAGTTGTGAGCCTTAACTTGAACTTCGAATATATTGAGCCTTGTGCCAGAGCATCCTACTGAAGTAGCAATGCTTCTAGCTGCGGAAGGAGATCATTGAGCCTCAGCCATTGTAGACTAAGATATCGCCTAGGGCTATAGATTGCCTGACAGATGCAGGCTTAGAAATTCAATATCACGACGCCTCTGTTTTGCATATTCCATAATCATGTCCCACAACCCTAGGAACGCAAATGTTTTTGTACACTTTTAGCAACGCTAAAACCGCTCTATTTTCGTGCAGACTAGCACTGAATTCTTTTGGGTACGCTCCCAATAAAGATTGCCAACTGTGGCCAAGGGGATTTGCCTCCAGTGTTAGCATTGCGTGCAACCAATGAGTTCCTCAAGTAATTGCTCTAAATCCTTGATATTTAAGCTATAGGTAGAGCTTAAGAATCCGCTACTTCAGAGTCCGCTGCAGATGCTCAAAAAGGTTAATACCTAGGGGATACGGAAGCTAGCACGTTGCAACTTCACGCACAACGAACTAGTCGCACGTCATCCACCCAAAATAGGAAATCATGGCACTCCTGACCTTCGTATATTACCTCAAGCTCTTCCTTTGTTGGCTGATTCATAGCAGCGGCCTAACTTAGCAAAACTACATTTGTAAAAGCTGAAAAATATTTCGTCAAAATGTCCTGGATCCCGAAAGCAGGTGGAACGCGCCAGCCCGAAGGGGATATCACATTTTCCAGATCGCACAGCGCGATCTCATGGTTTCCGGGGGTTTCGTCCCAGATGCTACTGGCAATGGCCTCGCTCATACTGCCTTCCACCCAATATACAACCACCTTGTATAAGACCAGTTTCACACGAAAGGGAGGACCCCGCGATAAGAACCTAACTTGTTGGTGCTAGAGTGAAACATGGCGATTTTATATTCAAAGCCTCCCAGCTACGCTGGCTGGCTCCCAATATCGCTTCGACCAGCTCTACTGTGTGTTTTAAAGTCGATATATGTCTAGTCCGAAGGGTACACCACGATTTGCGTGAACTAAATGATGAGGAATCCGCTATTGGTACGATTTTTCTGGATAGCTTGCCAGGTGAAGAAGGATTCAAGGTCGTTCACAGGCTGGAACCCTCCGATTTTGGCTCGTTCAACTCGGATCCTGCGCAAGGGCTACTCTCTACATCCAACCTTTACAGCGTGCTGCTGAAGAATTGTTTTGGGCTAAAGCACCTCAAACTCGCATTCGAGCTCAATAGGTTCATTGGTATACAATCACGGTTGATTCAAAAACTGCCAGAGGAAAGTATCCACTTCTTCGGCTAGATTTCATCCTCTGCTCCACTTGCCTTGAGAGATTGCACCTTCACAGTATCTACAATTATATCCTCTGGCTTGAAAGATGCAGTCGGGGCCTTGGACAGCTTAGGGTATTGAATTGAGCGATAATAGACTGGGAATACTATGTCCCTGTTCTTCTCGTAACTCAGCGTTTCCAACAGGAAGTAGTACAATTGATACTTTTGCTCCACCTACAATCACGTGAGGCAAACAAACGTAACTACATTTTTAACTATTACAATTTAATTAATAAGGCTTAAAAGTAAGCAGTATTACAATTAAGGTAGACTTTTTTAAGGCTGCAGTCTCTAACGCGCGTGAGGGCTAAAGGAGTGTGTTTGTGCTACTATTTACGTGTTAAACTATCCTTTACCTAAGACTCTGTCTCTATTGGTCTAAGGACTGTTAGAGGCATTACAGCTTATAGCACAAAAAGGCAGGAGCTTTAATGCTTAAAGTCTTCTTAAAGTACGTAGATGCTAAGGAAAAGAAGGAGAATAAGCCTAATAAGCTGCTACAACGTAAACAACCCTTATCTAGTAGTGCCTATAACTCCCGCTATAAACAGACTCTTTTAGTTAACATAACTTTGCTCACTAGAAAGAAGTCTTATAAAAAGGCTAAGAAAACCTTAGAGCTTGCCTTGTACTATAGTAACCTTTTAGACAACCTTATTATAGCAAAAGATAACAGTCCCTTGCATGGGGAACCTCTGGATTAGTGGCTCTAGGTTGGTCGGCGCGACTATCCTGTACTCTTCAAGATGGCACTTGATTTCCTATGTATACCCTCCACAAGCTGCGACTGCGAGAGAGCCTTTAGTAGGGGGAAAAGGACATTACTTGTGACTGTAATTATCTCTTAGGCTCTACAATTAAAGCTTTGCAACTCTAGAAGTTAAGAAGTACAAGCAGCTTTAATTAAACTGTAACTTAATTATATTAACCCCTGCTGTCAGGTAAAGCAAACAAAAGTATATAATAAGTGAGACGTAACTTGTCTAAAAAGCCTGAGTCGAATCGTACTACTTCCTGATGGAAACGCTGTCGTAGCTATATAACCCCTTGTATCCTAGCCTTGCTTTCCCTTTCACACAAGTCTGCTCCGCAAGCCGTGAAACCACATGATCATAAAACGCGTGCTACTATTTCCTCCACTAAGACTTTTTTTTTTTTTTTTTTTTTTTTTTGGATCTATGTGCTGCAGACTAAACACCCAAGAGCACACAAGATATTTCCATCTTAGCTCCTGCTAATATCGGGCGTTAAACCCTCTTGGGTGCTGCATCATGTTCCAACATTTGCAACGCATCAGGAGATATTTTGCTGTGGACTATAAAAATGCTAAAAAAAAAAAATACGAGGCAAAGCCCGATTCGTTGAACCAACGTTTGGTACCATGACTGTCCCTATCATCACCAAGACGTCACCAGGGCCAAATACTCATAACTCACTAACTTCGGGTTTCCATTCCGGGCTGAGTTTCACGATCTTCAAGTTTATACAAACTGGTTTCCCACACCCCACATTCTCTACACGCAATCATATTCACCGTATAAAATGGAAGTACCAGCGCAGCATGACTTAAAAGCTCACCGGATCATGCTGTATGACAGCTTTGAGATCCGAAATGAAGCGAGAGAATATGGTTGCAGCTCTTCTGGAGGTCTGTACCGTATCATGGCTCGCGCTCGCAGTTCTCTGGCCGGAAATTCCCGATGAATGGGTGACGATAAACGGTGCTCCTGAACAGTTGACATATGCATCTGCCGCTTCTGACTACTTACCGCACAGCTAATCAAGGTCCCCAAAGGTATCAAGAGATGAATAGGTTCAAAACTTCGAATCTTCTGCTTTTACACTTTTTTCCCTCCAAAGAACAAGTGATTTTACTTATCGATCTCAACCTCCTCGAAGATGGGCCGAACATGGACTACTGGTGATTCTTATCTGCTTTACCTAGTGGGTAACGTGGTGTTTGTTCTAGCGCGCCTGATCTTGGGAGCAATTGCCTCTAGCATATGAGACCACAGGGTATATAAACCCCTCCTATCATGCAAGTTCCACTTACCCAATCCTTGATTCCGTGGGTGAAAAAAACTACCCAGCTAAAATCCAGAGAGTAGAAGTTACAGACACTCGGCCCTATACTACGGCGTCCCCGGCTTGGAATAAAACTTGTCGCATACCAATGATGCTGCGGCCGCCACCACAGTGAATAGCTCCCTCGTATGGAATTAAAAACCGCGAGCGTTGTCAGCATAGGGGAAGAAATTGAAGTAGCAAAGCCCGTAGGGCTTGCGCGCCATACCGTGGAGCAAAGGTGATAGGAGAAGATGTATTAAATCTTTCAACTCTTTAAAAATGGTGCGTTATTTCCTTAGATCGGCAATAAAAACCATTGAACTGAGATAACGAGATATGAGGCCCGAAGGCGTCTAAGAGCTGAATCGAATGAAGCTTTGCGCGAGGTGCGTAAATTGCAAGACTAGCTTAAGACCGGTGAGCATCGTGGCTCGGTGGTGGCGAGAAGACACATGAATCGTAGAGTGTAGGAAGTTAAAAGGTGTGGTATTTGTAATGCTCGCTAAAATCTCAAGAAAGGAATGAACAATATTGACAGGAAGTGAAAGATTATATCGTATGATTTACAATAGTCGACGAACGGTGAGAAAATCGACGCCTATTCCCCACCCATGGTATGCAAACAAAGTACCAATCTTGTGCAGCAACAAGCCATCCCGTATCGCCTCTTCGTCTGTGACTTGTTCGCACATCAATGAGAGAAACCTGACTGACCATCCTCCTCGGAGTCTTCTGAATCATAGCTCTCGTCTGAGAAGTCGTCGTCGCTCACGATACCTGCAAGACCTCTTAACTCAGCCGCGCTCAATGCATGGCCAAGACCTATAGATAATTGGAGGTCGTCGTCGGCATCGAGCATGTGGTAAGTCCACGATAGGTCGATATCGTCGAGAGTATGTGGTTCGGCGGGTGAGCCAACGCGGCATTTGACCTTCCTGACCTCGAGTCCGAACACACCATCGTTACTGGGTTCGTCCAAGTCCATGGCGGAATCTCGGCGGACATGCATCGGTATCCGGATCTTGGAGTCCGTTGATGCCTCGGCTACGGAGCCCTCTTTGATAACGGCTCGCTTAAATGTGGGATTTTTTAGTTGCTGCACTCCGACCACATAGTAGAGCGGCCTGTTTTGCATCTGGCGAAACCAGGTTTGGGCAGCAGGATCCTGGCGGAGGGCGTTGAAGGAGGCCGAGGGATGCTTAAGTGAGCAGTACTTCATCTCGTCGGCTTGAATGACGAGCAGATTCTCCTGTGAAGGGGAGAGCGGACGTCCATGGAGACTTGACACTAAGCGGCCTTCATCGTCGTAAGAGACGAGGTCCTTATAGCGAGACTGAATCGATGGCTCTTGGAGAGCTTGGCGTATTGAGGTGCTGATGAAGGATTCGGAAGAGGGGTCTAGGGGGTCGGAGAGCAGTTGACCCAGGGTCACAGTATTGGGGGCAAGAGGCGTTGGGAGGAGGATAGGGCCAGCCATAGTGTTTGAATAAACTGAAAGAATCTTCGAACTTGAATGATGAAGTGAAAGTCAACCTACCTTCAGCTCCTCTATAAGCATTTCATCAACCCCGACTCTCGGCGGCATAAAAGCCATGAGCCACTCGCGTTCCGCCTCCGTAGCGGTATATCCCACAAGGCCAGCGTTCTGCGGCACTCAGACGATGATCAGGCCAGGCGGCAAGTCGAAGCTCACGGTGCAGACACCGCATGCGGGGCAGAATCTTGGAATTCCATACGTCTGCATGAGACAAGAAGTGTAGGAAAGTATGGCTGCAGTCGGCTCCCGCCGGCTGTGTGTGCGAGCTATTCCGAAGGAGCGGTGTTGGTGTTGAGTGTTTTGCACACCCATGTGGAGAGTCTCCCGATTCCTCCCGCTGTCACGAGCCGTGTTGCCTTTCCGGCAGGACATGCTTGGCTTGGCGGTGGAAATGCATGGAATCTAGATGCAGATGAATGGCCAGATGGATGGCTTTACCCTCGTATTTCCAAACACAGGATTGAGGAGGAAGAGGGGGTGCAATATATCATGCAAGGTTGCCACGCCTGCTACGCCTGCTTCCTTCAGTTCATTGCGGGGGAGAGAACAACCTGGAACATCGCAACCAGAGAACAGGAGATTTGAGAGATGAAAAGGTGTTGCCATTTCCAGGCCATGTGTGGGCGATATTGGCGCGCTCAGTGATGCAGGTCCAGCGGTGAGGGATGAGATGACAGTCGGCCTTCCATGAGGGATTTTCGATAGTGCTTGAAGTGGCGAGGACCTGCAGATTGAGGCCGCAGAGTCTGACGCCGTAGACGCCAGCCTCAATATCAGCCCCGTGAAGGAGGACAAATATCCCCCGAAGCCTGAAGCCTGAAGCCATGGAAGCAGAAAGCTTGCCCAGGTGAGCCGCACGACATTGATGGCTGACAATCCGATGGTCCGTGAATAGTGGCGGAGAATAGGGACAAGAGGCTTGGCGATGAGCGGTGGTTTGGGGTTGTCAGGTGGGGAGTGGGGAGTGGCGTCAGTGGCTGGGCAGATGTCGACCGCACACCTGGGCACAACCGTCATGGTATCACGCTGACGACAATTGTTAGGTGCGGGCAGCGAAATGGGACAGCCTCACGACCGTCTTGTCAATTCGCCCTTAGCAGGAAAATGGGCTCCTTCTCTAGCTCCCCTTCCGAATTGCACAAATGGCAAGGACGAGGCTGCTTACGGCTTTGCCGGATGCATCGCGAACACAGCCGCATCGAGAAAGTTAGATAGTGCGGACACGCTCCAGGCCGTGATTACACCTGTCCACAACCATCACCATCTTTTGCCATGGCAGAGTCGGCGTCTGATGCTGCCACTGGGCATCGCAACCGCCAGAATGCCCTCTCTGACATCCAATTCGCCTCCATCATAGACCCCGACCTCACCCCTTCCGAGGATGAGACGCCCGATGAAAAGACGCTGCAGCTGGAGGATGCGCAGTCTGCCATTGGCGTCAGCATTGGACAGCAGCAGACGCGGCTAACATCACCGAAGACACCAGCTGCGGAGAAGGCAGCTGCATTGGACGATGTCGAAGGCGGGGGGCTCTTTGAGGGCTGGCAGCAGGCAAGTGATGGGACTATTGACCAAAGACCCCAAGAACCAAGTCCAGTGGGAGATCAGAGCGACGGAAGTGAATTACGAAGTCCAGTGAAGTTCACGATACCGTCGCGGAATGACTCGCCTGTTCGATTACCCTCGCCGTGGCGAGCCTCCCCAAAGAAGTTCCAACAGGAGGACGACCACAGGGCGGCTTTGCGCGATACCTTCGCAGCAGGGTACCGGAGGAGAGCTTTGTCGGGAGGATCAGCCACCGAGGCGCTGAGGAAATATATTCCCTTTAATCTACCTTCGATGCCCAAAACGTCGAGCCTTCTCAACTTCTCTCTCCCAAGCTTCTCTGTGTCGTCCTTTGACAGTGCTCGAGGGCGTCCTAGTGGGAATGCAGCCCTGCGGAAGCGGGCCACATCCCCCATTCCCCAGAATGATAGAGCCCTAGTATCTAAGGATGAGCTGAGTGCACCCGTCCCCCGCCAAGGAAGCCTTTCCGAAAAGCGCCAACCTGCCACTGATCCCTCCTCAATCGCAACTCCAGACGTGCCACGCCCCTCACTCCAGCGCCGACAAACTCCAAAGTTACGACGGTCCAACTCAGAAGGCTCCCTCCTTCTCTACCGCAGCCGCTCCTTTGCCTCTTCCCTTGGAGATGACTCGCGCTTCGAGCACGTACAAGAGCAAGTGAATAGCAGGTTCAAGGCAATCAAGGATAGCTGGCAAGACGCCAACTTCAAGCTCCCCAGCATGCCCACATTGCCTAACTTTAATTTTGGATCTAGGGAAGACTTGTTCAGACCGCGAAATGGAAGTACGACGCCGAGAGGCTTTGACAACACTCGGCCTAGTCCCATGGTCACTTCGTTTTCTGTAAAAAGCATACCGACAAAGATACCGAGGGCGAAAGAATCGAGTACGAACATCGCGGGGATGTCTGCTACAACACATCCATATTTTGCGCGCGCGCTCCAAGAACTCACAGGCGACCTCGTTATTCTCGGTGGATATCGAGGCTCAATCCTGCGGTCCGCTGAGCCTCCGAACCGTCAACTCTGGGTCCCGATCAAGGTCGGCTTAAACCTCCGCAAAGTCGATCTTGAACTTGGCCTCAACCCCGAAGATGAGGAGACAGAAGAGGATCGCATCATTCCCGCTGGAATGCTCACTAACATCGGCCCTGTGGATATTGCAAAAAGACTGTTTAAGAGGCTGAGGGCAAGCGAGAATGCAAAGAACGGAAGTCTAAGAGTGCATAATTATGGTTATGACTGGAGATTATCCCCCCATATTCTTTCCCGCCGTCTAATCGAGTATCTGAAGACTCTCCCATGCAATCAACCTGGTGTACCTCCAGAAAAGCGCGGTGCAGTCATGATTGCCCACAGCCTGGGCGGCTTGATAACACGACACGCCGTCAACCAGAACCCCGAGCTCTTTGCTGGAGTCATTTATGCAGGCGTTCCGCAAACTTGCGTCAACATCCTGGGACCCCTACGAAATGGGGATGACGTCCTGCTCTCCTCGCGCGTGCTAACTGCACAAGTCAACTTTACAATACGAACATCGTACGCACTACTTCCGCTAGATGGGAAGTGTTTCTTCAACAAATACACTAAAGAGGAATACCCGGTTGATTTCTTCAATGTCAAAACTTGGATTGAACACTCTCTATCGCCGTGCGTCGCCGCGCCGCTTCCAGCCCCGACACAGATGCCAAATTCGAGTTTGACAGGGATGTTGAACGCGATGTCACAAGCATTACCTTCATTCTCTGTAATTGGACGAAAAGGTTCTGTATCAAAAGGGAGTACTAGCAACAGCAATAGCACCTCCGCAACTCCAACCGCAACCTGTACACCCAGCCCCAACACCTCTTCCTTCGTCCTCGGAAACTCCGGATCTATTACCCAAGCCGCGCAGACCGCCGCCTTCCATCTCGCCGAAAGCTCCGCGCAGACAACAGGCATGACAGTCCAGCTATCTAGCAACACACACACGCATAAACCCCCAAACCCCAACTCCAATCCCCAGGACTCCGGGCCGCCATTCCCATCCCTCCCACCCCCCTCCACGACCATAACAATCCCGCACGACAAAGCCCTCACCTACCTAACGCGCACCCTAGCCGAAATCAAAACCTTCAAACTCGCTCTCGCGCACCATCCCCCCCACACCCAATCTAACTCATACCCCCCCATCGCGCTAATCTACGGGAAATCCACGCCCACTGTGTACGGCGCAAAAGTTGAGTCCCGGGACGCGATTAAGCGTGCAGATGCGTATGATGAGCTTGCGTTCGCATCTGGAGATGGGGTTGTGTTGGCAAGGGCAGCGATGGCGCCCGAGGGTTATAGTGTTGAGAGAGGGGGCGTTGTGAGTAGTGATAGGGGGCATGTGACATTGTTGGGAGATTTGGAGGCGGTGGGGAGGTGCTTGATCACGGTTTTGGAGGCGAGGAGGAGCGGGGTGGGACTGGGAAGGGGAAGAGTTAAGGGCAAGGTGGGAGAGGGGAGGTTTGTTTAGGGGAGTGTGAGGGTGGGGGTTGGGGTTGGGATTGTTGGATTAGGATTTAAGAGGGTTTATTAAGGGGACAAGATTTGTGTAGAGAAATGCATTGATGCTATTACTTCCAGACATTTAAATATTACAATTGTCCGTAGAGGGGTTAATCCTATTGTAGGGTCAGTCAAATCTACCCAGGGTCTAAGATCACACATACTGTTTGTTTGCCGTTCCTAAGACTCACCCTGCTCTTCTCAGCCTAGTCTTTCATATCCAGCCAAAAGTATCATATTTTTGACTTCTTCAAGGAGTCCATACCCTGGAATCTTCCGTAACCAATTTTCTAACTTCTCCAAATCGGATCACCATCCTCCACGTCCCCTTGCCCTCCTCGGGCCCCCTCCACCACCCCTCCAGTACTCACTCGCGGGAGGAGCCTCTCCACGCCTCCACTCCCCAGAAGGAAGTCCACTTCCTCGGCCGCCACCACCACTATATCCAAACCCGCCTCGTCCTCCGAATCCATTCTCCCTCCCTCCAGCTCCCCTTCCTCCACCAAAACCTCCTCGCGGCAGCGGTCCTCTCCCCATATCCCTCGACAGTGTAGCAGGAGCAGGTTGAGCAGATCCATCCGCATTCGGCGGCAGGATAGCACAGGAAATAAAATCACCAATAACAAAGCGGCCATCTGCAAGGGTCTTATTGGGCTCACCATTCAGATTACTCAGCGCATTCGGAACTCCTGCACTATCTGTATTCACAGCATCCTCGTCTCCAGCCACCGGGCTGCCAATCACCACGCTCCCAAGTTCGCGGCTAGTGTAGCGACCTGGACGCGAGGACTGCATGTCTGCAAAGACCATGCGAAACGCGACGCGTGTGCCTGTGTACGGTGGAGGGAGGAAGGAAGGGGCGAGGGCGGAGGCAACAAGTTTTGTGAGTTCGGAGATGCTGCAGTCGGGCCAGGTGTAGATTTGGAGGTGTTGGGGAAGTCGTGTGTCTGGGGAGAAATCTTCCAGTCTGGAGATTTGTGAGTTAGAGTTGAGATGTGGGAGTTTGGTTTGCAGCTAGACATCTTTCGAAGATTAGGGAAGGCAGTTGGAGAAATCTCACCGGTGAAAGGAGCCGTTTTTGTAGAACAGGCGTAGGAGGAAGGGGGTGGTTGTTTGGCGGTCGATTTTGCCAGTCGAGGCTGGAGCGGCCATGTTGGAGATTGTGATACGGGCTTGAGTGGATGGGATATGCGGGTAACGCGCAATCTGCAACTTTTAGCAGCACAGTGTTCTATAAGGTTACTTTAATGTTTATGGTGAATTGGAGAGGAAGTTTAAACAAAGGTTCCCGACATGTTACGGAACTGGATATGAGCTCGGACCAGTAGTTTCTTGGCCGGCGAATTTGTTTCTCCGTATCCGGAATGTAAATCGCGTCAGTGCCCTCTCCCACTCAGTACCACCACACAATCGAGCCTTGCACACCCACTTCCAACCGGCACCATGGATTTCGCAAAGTTAATGTCGGCGCATATAAACAAAGCCAAAGAAGCCGCTCCTCCAGACTCTTCCGACAAGAAGTACCTTAAGCGTTCCGAGATCGAAGCCCAACGCGAAGCTGCATACCTTGCCGAGAAGCAAGCGGCCGAAGAAGCTCGTCGCGAGAAACTCGAGAAAAAGAGGAAAGCCGAGGAATATGAGGCGCACAAGGAAGCCGAACGAAGAGAGAAGCGGCGACGGCTGGCCGAGGAATCTAAGCAGCGGAGAGAGCAAGAGGAGGAAGAACAAGAGAGACAGAGACGGAAACGATTAGGTCTACCAGATCTGCCGCCGAGGAAGAAAGAGGGCGAGGATGAGGGCACTCCGGTGCCGGATGACGAGGATATCGAAGAGGAAGAGTTGGTGGGGAAGCTGAGAGCTTTGGATGAGCCGGCAAGATTGTTTGGTGAGACGCATAAACAGAGGTTGAAGCGGTATAAGAAGCGTGTGGGAGCTGATAGCCTTGCTGCGCTCATAACCGACGGACCGATTCCAACCACCCTTCAATTGGTGCCGGAGAAGGACATGAGGGTTGAATTGAAGGTACCGAAGGATGAGGAGGCGAGAAAGTTCTTATTCAGGCAACTGGCTAGCTACTTCACAATGGTACTCAAGGCGTGGGAGGTGGCGCTCGCAGGCCGCTCAGATGAGGTTAAGACGAGCTACCAAGGCAAACAAGCGCACACTGCTATGGTACAAGCGCGGGAGAACATGCGACCACTATTCAAAAAGCTCGAAAAGGGTGACTTGGAAGACGGAATTCTAGAACCTGTAGTCGAAATTGTGAATGCAGCACAAGAGAGGAGGTATGTAGATGCGAATGATGGCTACCTCAGACTCAGCATTGGCAAAGCAGCCTGGCCCATCGGAGTCACCATGGTTGGTATCCACGAGCGGTCTGCTCGAGAGAAGCTGCACGAGAGCGATAAGAATGCAGCGCATATCATGAGCGATGAGATTACGCGCAAATATCTGCAAAGCATCAAGAGGTGCTTGAGCTTTGCGCAAACACGGTGGCCGCCAGATGATCAATTGCAGTTGATGGGCTGAACAGAGTGTGGGGCCGGCGTTAGGGTGGGTCGACAATCGACTATATAATAGATATAAATCAAATACAATTCATGTATAATTTAACTAAACTGGTTTTAAAAGTTGAGCGCGATTTGAGAAAGGTGTGACGACGCGCGTTCACGTGGGTGCGCGGATTTGACATCGCCGACATCCCACCAGCCCACTTTCTCACTCATCTGATCCGCGATTAACAGATTTTCGATTGACACTGAGTCTTGTATCCAAGAACGCAGGTATTTTGGCTCTGCTCCCTGCTGCTGATTTTATGACGTGCTCAAGACGCACCATATCGCCATGCACGAAATTGTGACTCTACAGTTTGGTCAACAGAGTAACTATCTCGGGACACACTTCTGGAACACACAGGTAGGTACTTTTCCCCTTTGATTATTTCCTTAGATACCTTTTCAATCACACCGTTACATTTAGGACATCTTCATTGTCAATGTGGCTCCGGAGGCTTCTTACCCAAAAGCCACAATTTTTTCGCTTTTACCATCGCGCCCTCTCCCTCCTTCTCCGCTTGCACCAAGTAGAGTTACTTCTCCATTTTCTGACTACCTTCGAGGAATCTTACTTTACATACCCGCCTGATCCAGAGTCTCCCGTCAATCATGACATCCTCTTCCGACCTGGGATTGCTCCCGATGGATCAGACACATTCACACCAAGGACCCTCATCTATGACTTGAAGGGAGCTTTCGGCAGCATGAGGAAGGTTAATGCACTGTACGAGCCTGACTACAACGAGAGTCAAGAAGCGGGCGGCGTGTGGTCAGTAAACTCTTATGAACCTACTTATGAACACAGGTAACAGGACGCTGGACCGTCACTGGAGTACTACTTCTATTACACGCTCCTAAGGCTAACTATTCATTTTAGGCCATCTAAACCAATCATACAACGTTCTCAGCCTATTCCCCAATCAGCATATCAGGTACACCTCGACGCAGGCCTTGACCCACCCCCGCTCACTACTTCCACTGTCCGCTATTGGTCCGACTATTCTCGTGTGTTCTACCACCCTAAGTCATTGGTTCAACTCTCTGAGTTTGAAGTCAACGACAAACTTATGCCGTTCGAAAAATGGGATGTTGGCATGAGCCTTTTCGATAAGCTAGAAAGAGAGGTAGATCTAGTTGACAGAGACCTAAGACCGTTTGTAGAAGAGTGTGATGGCATGCAGGGGCTACAGCTTATCACTAGCGTTGACGATGCTTGGGGAGGGTGGGCGAGTGGGTGGATTGAGAGACTCCAGGACGAATATGGAAAATTCAGTATCTGGACCTGGGGCTTAGGAGACCAGGGTAGCAATATGGCAGTATCAAGAGTCTGAAATCTGATTCTTTTGGTGAAAGTATTCGCTGACAGCCACTCAGGAAATGAGACTTCAGCAGATCGTAAACTCTGCCCGGTCCCTATATGCTCTTGCCGAGCACTCATCTGTATACTCCCCAGTCTCCCAAACTCCTCTGAAAGTGCCTTCATATATGTCAATAGATGCAAGTTCGCCATGGCATACTGGCGCTCTGCAAGCTGTGGCTATTGAAAGTATGACGATATCATCACGACTAAGATCATCTGACGGAAGCCGAGGATCCTTGCATGATATGGAAGACACTTTCAATAATACCGGCAAACGTAGGATTGCAAAACTTGAGATGAGCGCTGCGGACCCGGATGTCCTCGAGGAGAAATGCGAGGAACAAATCGCGCAAGCCGAGAAAGTTGGTTCCGTGACTTTGAAGCGAGAGAGCGAAGGAAGAGACCAATTGACTGAGTTCGATATGGATGTATTCACGAAAGATTACAGGACTCCCTCTACCGGTATCAAGCAGCAAAAGAAAGACCATATCTTCGGGAGGGTGGAGGCCGCAAGAGGAGAATGGAGTAGCTCTGAGGGTAGAGGAGGGCGAGATCCTCGCGACCGATTCGGTGAAGGACCAGCAGTGCAAAGGTACGTTACATCCAGGCCCGCTTCAAGGCCTTGGCCTTTACGAGGAGGAGCTTGAGCAAGCAAGCTTGATGCTAGCTTCTTGCACGCTCCAGTACCGTGCCCACAATACGAACAGCCACGAGAAGCCACTATTGAAAAATATCTCGACTAACAATTACACATGAGAAGGTTTTCCACATCGCTTCTTTTTCCTCTACTTGACAGCTTCCCATCCATATTCAATGTTAGGTCAGGCCAAAATGGGAAAATAGCAGTGTACTCGGGATTGACGGCGAGCACAGCAGTTGCAAACCAGGTTCGATTAATTGAGCAGATCGTGCGGCGAGCGGCGAGCCTTGATGAACGGGAAACTCTCTGTAACAGTCTGCAGACGATCGCAGAGGAATATGACGAGGGATGGGCCAGTGGCAGTGACAGCGATGAGGATGACTGAAGGAAGCATAAATCTGCCGATATCAATAAATGCGACCTGTCGCTCTTCTCCACGACTGAGATGCGTCGTCGGGCCATGGCTCCAGTCGGAGCAGGAAAACTGAACGGCGACAGGGCGCAAGGAAGAATTATGCCGGGCGTCTCGTGCATGATGCAGACTTGGCGCTATCGATAACCAGCCTGTACCGATTCGGCATGCTTTAATACTTTGACACCGTGTGACGGATGCTGAGACGTCTGTAAGGCTGTCAAAACAGGTTTCCACCCCAAGCCGCAGAGACTTGATGACTTCTCAACAGGCGCTCAGAATTTGATAGCGTTAGAATAGATTGCGGCGTGGGCTGAAGAATGTTCCACATCAGGCGGCGACATCCGGCCTCTCACCACCTTGGCGTGGTGTTGTGCGGCATCTCTCATCCGAGTCAGCAAATCCCTCGCAGGCTCTCCTCAACAGCTCAGCGGCAGACGGCAAGGGGCATCACATGGGCTGCGATACCGGTATCGCATTCTTCGAACATTGTCTAAAAAGAACCCGTATCACGACTCGCGAAGATCCGTGACGAAAGGCGTCCGAATGAACCGAGAGTCAATGGGATCCCAGCTGCACCGAAACTTGGTGGAGCTCGTGTGAGCACTTGAGCATTGCGGAAAACGCTCTCAGGCACAAGCAAATAGGATGCCAACGGCGGATTGATTATGCAGGTTCATCAACGAACGAGAATCTTTTCTCGTTCGAGAGCCCGAACGTGGATCCCAACCTTTGGCTGGAAGAAGAAAGACGAAGCATCTTATGCAGCCCACACTAAGAGCAAGCCGCTCTGTCAGACCTCTTTCACACTCCGGCGGAGGCCCGTCAAGGGATCAGCTCTCCACAAAAATGTCAGCGGATGCAGGAACACGCTGCGGAAGGATAGGCAATGCGATGGTGACGGACAACAAGAGAAGCAAGCCCATTCATTGTTCAGTGGAGTCTTGAAGCGTTGAGGACGGTCGATCTTGGTGAGAAAATCTATGACGATGCAACCGCTACGGAGGTCGAAGCGAGCGTTACCTCAAGGCCCCCAGGCGAAAGGTGCCAACCTCCCCAGCCATCCAACCACAACCACTGTGCTTCTTTGCCCACCTCACATCCTAGCTTTTCGATAACAAGCCCTGCACGGATCGCTCCACTAGGTTACCGTGGCATTATTCGACCACAGAATCTGGTCCCGAGGAGGAGCGCCGCTTTGCTGGCTCGAGTCTCACCCCGCCGCACTCTGTGCCCCGCCATTGTGATAGCAACCAACAGGCTCAAGCTCCAAGTATCTCCCAAGCCCAAGTCTCTAACGGCGCACTCCGGAAAGTGAGCTGATATTTCAGGTGCGATGCGAAGCTATGAGGCTTACCATACTCAATACAGAGCTCCGCGAGTAGACAGTTGAGGAGAAACCTCGGGGATCTGCCCCTCGCCATACAAGGCTGGCAGAATGGAACAATTATCGAAGATCATTATTCGCTGATCGCCGCGCAGCTGCTATTTTAGGGCAGGGATTTCGTCCAAGCTTTTCAGCTTTTGCACCTCACATTTGCACGAGACAGCCTCTGGCCAGTGCAAGGCTTGTTGATACGGGCTGTTTTGCGGTTTATTGCATCATAGAGAACATCGCTGGCAGGAATTAGGAAGATCGTGATGGGGTAGTTTCGACAGTGCTCCGCTACCTCGGTTTTCTTTGGATCACGATGCTCAGAAATTATATCAGATCCGTTATTGATCTCGACGTACGAACTATTTCAAGGCGGTCGAGACTTCATTCCTTCTGACGAGAGCTGGTCCGTCAGGCTGGGGCACCACTGCAGGGCAAGCCTTTTTTTTCGATCGCGCGCAGAAGGCAGGAAAGCTGTCAGGCCACAGCCGTTTGGCTCCGGTCCATGCTGCTTACATCCCGGCAAGTTTTCTGCAGGCCACATTCCGGTCCGCTTTCTGACTGGCTATTCTAGTGTTTAGGTTTGCCTAGTTGCTAGGGAAGTTTGGACCTATCAAGAGGCGGGTCCGAGGATATCGATTCCCACTTTGGGCTCAAGTCGCTTTCCACCCAGAGTATCGGCTCGCTCACACGAAAAATATTGCTCCATGTGTGCAGCTGTAGTAAGGCGGAAAACCAACAAGTCTCCACTGATACGGGGAGCCCTCGTACTTCTCCAAAGCAACCAGCTCAAAAGACACAAGCTTCCCTTGGCGTATGCAACCCTGCCGTTGTTCACCATAGGGCCTTCGCTGGTCCTGATATCCAGAGGGTTGGGGTGGGGGGGAAGGGAGGGGGGGAAGCAAGTCTCCCAGAATGTGTTTATTAGGTCGACCTCGCCCGTCCTTCTCCTCTCTTGAGCCTCCATCTACAATAATTTGCTTGTGAAACCATTCCAGCCCCGAGTTTAGCCCCCCAACCTTCAACAGCAGTAACTCGCTCGCTACGGTTGCTCTGTTTCCTTCGTTTATATACGTCGTTCGTTCGCTCAGGGCCTGTTGTTGTCAATCCAACACATCGATCACTGGTCAGCTATTCAATTGAATCAACATGACGAATACTTTCGCCCTCCTTGCCCTGTTGGGTACTGCCTCCGCTTGGGGAACAGGATACTACCCACCTCACCACAGCTCGAAGTATGAATATACTCCGCCCCCGTACACCCCTTCGGAGACCCCATGTGAGACTTCGACCCCGGTATACACACCACCGCCTTATTCTGAGTATACTCCTCCGCCTTATTCATCCAAGTATACTCCTCCACCTTATTCGTCCAAGTACACCCCTCCTCCTTATTCATCCAAGTATACTCCTCCACCTTATTCGTCCAAGTACACCCCTCCGCCTTATTCATCGTATACACCTGTAAGTCTCATGAGTACCACTTTACTGAACACTTACTAACGCTTCTTCGCAGCCACCACCACCACCACCAACTTCTACTCCTTGCGAAACGTCTATTTACACCCCCCCTCCGCCGCCACCGCCGCCAACTAGCACTCCATGTGAGACGACTACTCCTCCACCTCCACCTCCACCACCAACTAGCACTCCATGTAAGACGACTACTCCACCGCCGCCGCCGCCACCGCCCCCAAGCAGCACGCCCTGCGAGACGTCCTCGATTTACACGCCTCCTCCACCACCTCCTGTGAGCTTGATGTGAATTCCTTACGAGTTTGATCAAAAACTAACCCTAAAATCAGCCACCACCAAGCAACAAAACCACTCCTTGCCCAAGCTCAACTCCCCCTCCGCCACCACCTCCCCCGACAACTTACCCGCCTTACCACAACACGACAGTGCCTTGCTCAACTGTAACAACCACGATCACTACCCTGACGACTGTTACTGTTCCTTGCACTACCACTATTACTGTACGTACCTCGCGACATATGAATTGCTGTATTGTGAGCTAAGTATGAATAGATCACCAAATGCAAGGAGACGTGCTCTAAGACTACCATTACGACCACAACAACCACAACTTCGGTTTACACCACGACTTGCCCAACGACTTATATTGTGCCTTTGACAAGCACATTAATCCCCTACCCCCCAGCGACCTCTATCCCAGTTCCTCCGGTCACCACACCCTACTACCCACCGGCTCCTCCTACGCCATCCAGTAAGGCTCCTCCACCAGCCACCACGGCTGCTCCTCTGCCGTCGACCACTGTGGTGCCAGCTCCTCCCCAGTTCACGGGAGCCGCTGCCACCAACAAGCCGTATGCCGCGCTCCTAGCTGGTGCTGTCGCTTTGGTCGCTTGGGCGTAAAAGCCTGTATTGATTGATAATTTCTTGTAAATTTTGCATTCTCACGTTCCCTCACGATACAAACATGACGATTAATGTAGCTACTCTGCGGACATGCATCGGTGGAGTTTACCACGTTCCTTATAGGATGGATGGAAAGATCCCTAGTTTTGGTTCATAGTTCTAGAAGCATTGGAAGGGGCGGTGCAAGAGGCCGGGTAGGAGATTGGCAGCAAGGAATAGTGGCTGCGTAATTTTGGTGGATGAGGGATGGTTTGGTTTCAATTTGGATTCGATTTCATATTGGGCCTCGGCTTGGACGTAATGTTTTGTTCGTAGTGTTACCAACTGTAGTTGATGGTAACTGCTTAATCCAACGGTTTTCACGCGTCAAAGAAATATGGTCGATTGTGGAGAATGTGTTGGCGATGCAGTGAGATGTTTGTGGTGGTTTGTGGTGGTTTGTGGGAGGGTGATGTATCATGATGGGTCCATGGGCTATGATAGCCGCGTTACTCGAAATCGCCACAACAGCTCACAGCTGGACGTCATGCGCATGACCATTGCGGGGTGGCTTGCTAGTTCTTCTTCCGATACCGGTAAGAGCACGAGACACGAGATTCTGAGACGAGCGGTGCGGCTTGCTTCAAATATTACTCCGAGATCCGACGCGATGCCCAGGACTTGTTTCGAGAAAAGCGCGCTTCGACCGGTCACTTCACCCCCTCAGAGATTGCTCTCACAAAAAGCGAGCTGCAGAAAGTGCTGCACCAATAGTTGTGTTGCCACTCATCTTGAACTACTAGATTCAGCTACCCGGAACCCTACACGAGCGTCCAATCACTCGCTTCTCTGCAGTGACTGTCCGCCACTAGCTTGATGTTCGAGCTCGAGGCTGTGGATTGGATTCAGTATAAGTGTTGCACGGAAGCCTGTCGTACAAGCCACGAAAACGATTGCAGTGGATGGCAGTGGGCAACAGCGAGGGAGGGAGGCGAACGAGGGATCGGTCAGTCAATCAGGCGGCGGGGTAGTTTGATCAAGGAGGTTGGGCACAGAATCCACAACGCGATCATCATCGCATCAACACGAGCCTTTTTCGCCTCCCTTAACCCCAGCCAGAAAGTTTTTGGTGAGCATAAGCAAGCGCAGAGAATTGAACTTTATTGTTCGTCGGTGAGAGTGACGGCTAGTTGTCCGCAGGTACTTACTGACCGGAACGCCTCCTAGCAGCCCGCTTCCGATTTGGCCCCCGCTTCACCGGTCAGCATCCACTGTGCCTTAATTGATCGTCACGACGCGCGAGGGAGGACACATATCTGAAGAGTCCCTTTGAGTTTCTGAGTGAAAGACGGAATTGAAAATGGAGCAAATAGATGCTGGTAATCTTGCAGCGAGACTGAGGTGGGAACAGCAGGACTATTCGCTCCATGTCGAGGCTGCGTCGAGGCTCGAGAAGTACCCTGGTGAGTTGAATCCGCGATACAAGTAAAGGAGAGATGAGAAACTAATGAGTTGATAGCAAAACAACACGCGCGACGCGTGGTCGAGAAGTTAGGGGTGCCGGATGGATTGGTCTATCTGCCTGGCGAACCTCAACGAAACAATGAAGATAGCGATATGCCTAGGCGCTTTCGCCAGAAACGGTATTTCTACTATCTGAGCGGGTTTGTATCCTCTAGTATTCCGAGAGATGGTCGCTGACGGAACACAGATGCAATGAGCCTGATTGTCACCTGACATATGATATCCAAAACGATACTCTCTCGCTCTTCGTCCCCCGAATCAATCCTAAAAGGGTAATCTGGAATGGACGCGGATCAACACCAGCTGAGGCTATGGATAAGTACGACATCGACCAAGTCTTTTATATCGATGAACTACACGACTTCATTGTGGATTGGAGGACGTATTACAGAGGTAGTCTGTATATCCTCCATCCATCGCAGAATCCCCTGAAGCCCGGGTCCAAGGATGTTGATTCCGGCGAGCTGCAGCCAGCGATGAATCTCGCACGTGTGATCAAGGATGAGCACGAGATCCGAATGATCAAAAAGGCCAATGACATTAGCTCCAGAGCACATAGAGAAGTTCTCGCAAACATCACTAAGTTCAAAAATGAAGCCCAAGTCGAAGGATTATTTCTTGATGTCTGTATCTCAGAGCGAGCGAGGGAGCAAGCGTATGCACCGATCGTAGCTTCCGGTCCGAATGCGGGAACCCTGCACTACGACGACAATAACGAGGACTTTGATGACCGCCAGCTCATGTGTCTAGATGCGGGATGCGAATGGGAGCTTTATGCTAGTGATATCACGAGATCTTTTCCGTTGTCCGGTCAGTGGCCGAGTAAGGAGGCAAAGGATATCTATAGTCTCGTTCAGAAGATTCAGGACACTTGCATCCAGAAACTAGCACCGGGTGTAAGATACCTCGACGTGCACATCATGGCTCATCAGATTGCTATTGAGGGGCTGCTTGCATTGGGCATTTTACATAACGGGACAAGTGAGGAGATATACAAAGCGGGAACTAGCAGAGCTTTCTTTCCACATGGACTTGGGCATCACGTGGGCTTGGAGGTGCATGATCCGGGACAGGGAGATTTGATGAGCATGACGAGAGGAAATCCGAAGTATGAAAAGGTGAGCATTACCCCTTATGCGGAAGACTCGATCGTTGTCGGCTCATAAACTTTAGGCACCGTCAATATTCCCTGCAAATTTCCACCTTCCAGTCTACGATTCTCAAACATGCAGATCCCCAGCGGACCCTCAAAGCGGGTATCTGGAAGAGGGAATGGTTGTTACAGTCGAGCCTGGAATGTAAGCTGCTCTTTGAGTTATAATTTTCACAAGCTGATAGAGACCAGCTACTTTTCTACCTACGCTCTCAACATGTTCTACCTCCCCAATCCTATCCACTCCAAGTATATCAACACCGAAGCCGTGGCGCGCTACATAGCCGTTGGCGGCGTCCGCATCGAAGACGACATCCTCATTACTTCCAAAGGTTACGAGAACTTGACCACAGCACCGAAAGCCGAAGCCATGCTAGAGATTATTCGAAGCGGGAATGCTCAATGGCCATTTATTTCGGGATCCACAGATCTGGGTCCTGTAGTGGATTCTAGGATTGAGAAGAAGCCGGCAGAAGAGGAAGAGAGGCCACTTTTGCGTGCTCCAGGGATCAAGAAAGGTGCTGCGGAGTCGATTTTGAAGCCTCTCAGGAGGGCGCAGACTCTTCCCTTACAATCTGCCAGCAATCACCGATCCACAAACTTTGAGCCATTCAAAGGGCCACCTCTATTCCCCAAGTTTAAGCGAGCTACCACGCTCGATGTAAATGCCAGCCACAGTCGAAACCAGCTATCCGTGTCCACGGAATCCCAAGAACCAAAACCCCGGAACCCCTTTTGTGGCGATGATACATCAAGCCTCACGCACGCCTACTTAGACTTCATACAAGACCGACCTCGTTGGCACCGAACACTAGTTTCAATTCCTAGCTCCCCAACTGAGGTTAAACCTGTTTGCAAGAAATGCACAATCCTAGCGCAGACGGTCGATCGACTAAGGCTGAATCTCATGAAGTCGGAGCAAGAACTGCCGAAATTGGGAGTCAAGCCTGCAGCGGCAAGGAAAGCTCCAGAGATGTCGGAATGGCCCAGGATTGAAAGGGCTGTACCAATGTCCCCAACCAGAGCAGAAGAGAAGTGTATCGAATCCAATGAAGTGAAACGTGCGTTCGAAAGGTTACCCGAGAAGCCAGAACCGTATCGTCAGAGTATGCCAAATCTGCCGCAGCCTCATGATGGAACTGCCCCACGGTCAGCTACCCAACTTGTACGTCCGATGTCCATAATCCCTTCGACGAAATCTTATAGAAGCTGCCGCCTTTCGAATGACGTGCCACTCCCTTCTACAAAAGCGCGTCGGTCAGCTACGTTTGATGGGGACTTACACACTGCGAGGTATCCAAGCCAGAATGTCTCGAGCGCGAACATCTACGATCTAAATGTCCAAACGAGACGAAAACTTCCCGTTCCAAATGACACTCCATGTCTCTCACGGGCAACTATGCTGCAACAGAGACTTTCTGATCACTTGCCCGCATCACCACCGGACCTTCCAGCTCGAGAAGTGCCAGTAGCACAACCTTTATTACCTGATCCTTGTTCTAGGCTCCGGAAGCCGGTCCACAACTTCAAGGTATCTAATATCCCTAGCCCTAATATAGCAAACGGTGGTGTAGAACACCACCCAGATGTCGTACCACACACGGCCGCGGTGAAAAATCACCGCACTCTGCCCTGTCCATTCTGCTCCCGACCCTGCAGTAGCGACGATGTCTGCAGAAAATGCCCACAAGGTATTACGGAAGCTCGCAAACAACGATGGTTGCAGCCTTTCGATACGCAAACTCCAGCGAGTCTTGAGTCCAGGGCAACTCCCCCAGTTAGAATTTCTCAAGCTTCAGCAAATCCCACACAACAGAACGATGCACTAGATCGGAATCTCAGGAAAGCCATGGATATGCTCTGGGATATAAAACAACAGTTACAAAGGTCTGATTTGGGCACTGAGCGCGTCTGGGGAGATGAAGGGGCGGAGGGGCGGAGAGAGTGGAGTGAGAGAGTCGTGGGAGATGTTGGACGGGCTTTTGTGGAGCAGCCATTCCCGAGACGTAATTAGTTAGAAAGTAAAAGGAAAGGGAGGGCGAGAGTAATCAGCTGTATTTTGTGTTTATTTTTGCCTGAAGCAAAAATGGCGCGGCCTTTTAAGTTAACGTTAAGGATTTTGCGGGCGCAGGGTGTTTACTTTGTGGGAGGATTTTCGTGAAGCAAGCATTGAGCAGGGGAGATTAATTTTATAGTGACGCCATGAGAGTAGCCTCTGGGCTTCTTATTGCTAGGTTACGGATGCGATGTGACGTGTGGCTCTTTGCGAATCCACGGCTACTGAGTTGTGATGCTAATCACGTCAACGTTTTGTTGGCCCTCATCTTCCAAAATCGAGTTCTCACCAACTCTTATGACACTCTTCCCTTTAATCTTAACTAGTACGAGGCTGAGAACTAGAGGTTTACATAGGTACTGTTGTAGAAGTACGTAAAGCGGCCGGGCTCGCTACGTCTGTCATATTGTAAATTTTCATAGGGTTGAGGCATGCGCATTTTTAGACTCCAAGTTAAGTACAGCTGTATGGAAGAGAAGGTAAAGGGGCAACAGAGTTTATGTACCTAGGTAAAGGATGCACTCATATAGTCGATTTCCGCTCCGATTGTGAAATACTGATCACCTGACCAGATAGAGGACTTTATAATTGACTACATCGGCGTGTACAATGTCTCCGCTTGTACTAAGCATCTAGAACGATCTTTATGCTCATGATGAGTACTGTAGAGAATTAATAGCTACACTTTCTGGAAGATGAGTCAGCCGTAAATACTCCAGTTAGAGGACGAAGAACTTACGCAGGATGCGGTCGTTGTAGTCTTTAGTTCTACTATATTGATTAGTAATTCGGTTAAAAATGGAGTTCCATGTCCGTCAATAAGCTATTGTCTCTTTTTACGAGGGATCCTAAGTTCCGCCTTTTGCGATGCCGCATATTTCTTCGGCTTTTAAAGTCTTCATTACTAACCCCTTCTACAGAGTTTCTGTCGCTGGTTTTGTCTGTTTGATAAAGAGTCGTAACCCCCTCAAGTCTCAGTATGCTGCTTTATCCTTGGAAGTAATCAGGACAAGTATTTCCAAGACTCTAGTTGGATATCAATCCTTCACATTGAAACACGGGGCATTCAAGGTCGATGTGGAAGAATTTAAGTCTTAAAAAAGGGCCGAGTCGTCGTCGCAGGTGCCCAGCCACAAGATCGTGGAATTGGATTCCAGAGACTTAGTCCTATCCTTCTTTCTTTCTTTCCCTTATCTTTCTAACTGACTTGACCTTCGGGTGGAAAATGCACTGTCCCTTCGATTCCTTGCTCATCGAATGGGCTGTGAAAAGAGAAAATTGGGGAGCGGAGATTACGGTGGATGACTTTCGTCATATTTTCATAATCGTCGAATCTCCCCGTATTTGGTAACCAGTTTAACTACTCCTACATATGGTGTCATAGTCCCAGAAGTATTGTAGAACCAGTTCATCAGTTTCCCTCCACTTTTAGAGTCAGTATTTTGGTCTGCGGAGTTGGTCTGTGGAACGCTGGATGTGTCGTCATAGCCGCAAGCATTTGCTCTCGGATCGTGAAATTCGCTGCAGTATACGGCAACATCCGGGTCTACCTTGCGTCTTATAGGATGGCTCCGTATTACACGGCATTTTTGACTGTGGCTAAGCCCCGGGATACTGTAATATCGCGTGTTTATGCGAAACAAACTTTTGGCGCGTGACTGAGGTCTCTCACTGCTGTGATAATGCATGCAAAGTGCTGGGGTCTTCTGTTCGTTTGCTGACCAATAGGATTGACCTAGTTACTGTGAGCATTTGCGCGAGTACAAAAACGTTGGTACTGTGAGCACGACACAGTCAGCTTTTCACAATCCCAGCTCGCCTGCGCTCACCGGACCTTCACCAGCACCTCGCTCCGCATGGGTAACCAAGCTTCTGTTCCTAAGCCCGGCACCAAGTTTCAAGTTATCGGGGCTGGGTTGTCACGCACTGGGACAGCATCGTTCAGCGAGGCTCTTCATATTCTTCTTGACGGCCCGGTCTACCATGGAGGCACGCAAACCACCATGGGCCACCCAGTGGAGATCCGCTCCTGGATCAAGCTCCTGTCTCATTGGCCTCCCTCCAACGAAGCTGACAAAAAATTGGGTTTGTTTTTCTGCCATCCCAAACTGAGTTCATTCAACCCGTTGAATACTAATGGAAACGTAGTTTTCCAAATCCTTAGAGAACGGTTCAACGGCTACGCGGCAGCTACTGACGCGCCAACGTCCGGACTTGTGAAAGAGTTGATTGAACTTTATCCAAACGCAAAGGTTATCTGCACCGTACGTGACCCGGATGCATGGGTGAAGAGTATGGAAGGTGTATCAAACGCTGCGACGATGTGGTTTCTTCGGGTCGTGCTCTTTCCTCTGCCAGGCATGCGGCATTTTGTTGATTATATCAATGCTCTCCGGGAGCAATGGCTATACCTGTATGGAGAGCGGGAGCCAGTTACAAGGCAGACCTACAACCAACACATTGAGTGGTTGAAGGAGACTGTTCCAGAAGGTAGGTTGGTGTTCTTTAGTGTCAAGGATGGGTGGGGGCCGCTGTGTAAGGCTCTCGGGAAAGAAGTGCCACACATTCCTTTCCCCAACATCAACGACGGGGAAGCCATCGAGAGATTCGCTAGGCTGATGGTCAAGCGTGGGTTGGTGAGGTGGTTGGCGATTTTTTCTACACTAGGAATAGCCATTATCTCTTACTTCTATATGTAACTAGAGCAGTTGCTTCGTGATCAATGCTGAAACCCGAGGCAGTAAGCATTGCATTAATAGGGAGCTTCTAGCCAATCCTCTGAGCCGATCAGTCTCCACTTTCATAACTCTGACGTTCTCATTGTACTCTCCTTGACTAGGAGCGTGTTTTGAACCGACGGAGTTAGTGGGTTGGCAGCGCGGCGTTCTAGAAGGTGGGTTGAGATCCGAGGATCTTCGCACGCTTCTCGCTATAGTTGTTACTGGCGCTGTAGTACTGAAGCACTCTGTTTTGTTGAGGTGAGAGTCTCGGAAAGTTGACGATAGCCAAGAAGCGCACCCAGGAGTCACCGTGGCTAATCAGAGCTTAGCAATGTCTGAGGGCTTCACTAGCTTTCATTTGAAACCCCAGGACAGATGCGATTAGAATGTAGCTGGTGAGTGCCAAATCCACGTGATTTCATCGCAGATCTCGACTGCCTAGGTATCAAGTTTCTCCTATTGAAGATAGAAATATCGGATTGTTCAAATAATGGTTAAGTGAGAAGCCAGCTCATCCAGCATGATAATAAACGACTTTGAGGACTAGAGGTGCTGACTAGGCAGCCACCCCGTGAGCCCGTGGAACAACAAAACAATGATTCAAGAGAAACCACGTAGAAGAGAGTAGCTAAAATCTGCGCACATACCTTAGTCTACCTACCTTCTATTGTTTACCGTCGTAATCGTGCTAAATTCAAGCGACGAAAAGTGGCAATTGACGACGTTACTATTAATCAACGAAGGGATGGTCGTGGAACTACCTGAATTAGAAATTCGAGAATGAGACTAGAGAAATAATATGAACAAATATAAAAGTCTATTAGGTATTCAACACTAGATAATTTGATAGCTAGAGGAGCAAACTTCTTTAATGATGGTCACCTCTCTAGCCACTTTACCACTCACCCCTACAAAGATTCCGCAAAGCTTTTGATGGTCTCTCCTTTCTCTCCCTTTCTCGTTTCTCCTCACGTCTGTTCCAATCCTCGACTTCCTCCTTCACGATATTCAACAATTCATGCATAGCTTCAGTCGGTTTCTCAAATGAAGTACACTCAACAAGAGAGTATTCAATAGCGTTCCTTTTTAGTGGGTCGTCAAAGATACCAGCGACGAAACGAAACTGTCCATCAGGTAGGACGCTTGTGTAAAGTTCAGTAGACGGAAAAAGGCTTCTGGCGGCCCCTAGTCTGTTTTTAATAGAGCAACAAGCGGGATAGCATCTTGAAGTAACGTACTTTTAACACGCTCCCCCTCAATTGCTAGCTCTCTCCTGGAGCTGTAGACTATTTCGCGTTGAATCAATGTCATTCCTCTTGCATCAGAACTCGATTCTGGATGCGTAGCACGCCGTTGAAAACCATCAATTCGAGGATCATCTAAACCCTGGGTAGAGCTTGAATAACTACGCCGAGGCTGGCGTGATTCGCGACTTTGCCGACTTTGATAACAGCATTTCTCTAGAATATGGTTAGCATCGCTCGAAACACATGAAGTCCACACTTGCGTTCGTTAAGCTGATGATGTAACTTGTCAATTTCAGCCTTGTATTCCTCTGGCGTTCTGAATAGAGGCCGATCCCCTTCTGGTTGTGAGTACTCATCTTGTTCATCTTGGTAACTCAGATTTTTATTTTTGCATCGGTCGTTTTCATATGCGTCGGAATAGTGCTTCTTAGAAAACTCTCTCTTGCTCTGAGGTACGTAATTCTGAGCAAAGTGAGTGTCTCTCCTACGCCTCGAGTCCCAACCACTGTGGTAGTTTCCGCTTGGTCCAGGGAATGTGTATGAATGTCGCGGTGCACTAAAAGGGTCTTCCGCAGCCTGCTTTCTTAATCTCTCCTTGGCGTGGCTTATGTTGGTTTGAACCCAATAATCTTCTTCAGAATCGCTCGCCGAGTCAAAGCTCTGCGGTCGGCGTCGTAATACGAGTACGTTATCCTTTTGTGGCGAGCTTTGCTGTGAGATAGCAAGTTAGAAAGCACGCTAGTTAATAGTGAGGTTCAGCTGAACTTAATCACCTACGTCCATGATTTTGGACTTGGGAGCATCTTGGATAGCTCGATGGAAGCGGCGATCCATTGGAAACATAGTTTGAGATACCACTGCGAAAAGACCTTGGATCGTCGCCCGTGTCAAGCTGTGTGTCAGAAGGGAGTTGAGTTTGTAGTCTAGTAAGTAGGATAGATATCGGTGTGGTTTGTGAGTATGCGGTGGTGAGGATGTTGAAAGGAAGAGGTACGGCTATGCGATGATAGAATTATCCTTTAATATAATATCATCATTCTGAATGCAGGAGATGAGATGGGCGTTGTGCGCTAGGCTAGGGCGTTGAGTTGACGTGACGCCCTGCAAGCACACCGGAAATGGGTGAGAAAAATTATATTTGAAAGAATCTGATGATAGAAGTTGAATGATATCAGGCAATATACAGGACTAGTGGAAGATCAAAAGAGTGAAAAAATAACATTACGCCTGGATATACTTTGGAAATATAGAAAGTAACAACAATAAACTCAAACTTCACACAACCGGCAACGATGGGAACTTCTCGTAAAAGTCAGTGAAATTGTATTTTCAACACACGAAGCCACAAGAAGCCAATAGCGAAGTATGTTTTGTCTCCGGACAGGGCGGGCCATGTTGTTTTGGTGTCATGAGGCAGACCAATGAGGTTTGCGAGGGGAGTGAAGCAAGCCTCATTTCTTCCCAGCCGCTCCGCCACACCAGCCTCGTATTGACCATCGCAGAATCTCCAAATTTACCGTCGTCTCACTAAATTTCTCTATCCTTTCATTCTCCCAAGCCTCGCTAGCAAACTTCACATCTCCTCCAAGCGCTTTATATTTATCATCAACCACTGTCGCAGAGCCCTAAGGCAGTAATATGTTGTTCGCCTGCCCAAGTGACTGAATTCGCAATGCGCTTATTGTTAACTATCTCGAATAACCTGGTGACAATCTTGAATGATCAACCCCTTACTTTGTACCATTCTGTGAGACGGCTCGAACACTAACACTCACAAGTTCCGTACCGGAATGTTTCTTTCTAGGTGTCCATACCAATTCGGCAAAGTTCTTTTGTGACCCGTTCCGCTACTGAACTGTAAGTCCTCTATAGCACTAGCCCACCTTAACAAACTTCCTTCACTCCACGCGGTTCCCATCAGCGCGAGTCCAAAAGGCATTCCAGTGTCCGAATGAACGCCGGCAGGCAAAGTGATCATGGGATATCCAGCCTGTGCAGCAATTTGGTACGTTTGACCAACATCTGGAGGGACTAGGAGCGCGTCAAGTGGTCTACCATTATTGGCTAGCGCAGCATCGATACCTTCTTCTTGGGTGCTCTTCTGACAGAATGAGAGAGCTTGGAAGTAAGTTGCGTCCATTATTCCCTTGGATTCTAGAGAGGCGAGGAAGCCATCCTGACCTGAGTAGAAAGCTGGAATACCAAGTGGCCAGGGATTTCCTCCTTCAGTCCCATCGTTGGCATAATTGTATGCAACAATGTCCTCTAGGCTGCGGATGTTGGTATTTTTGAGTTCGGAAAGGTAGGTCTTGACTAAGCAGGTAGATACAATCAGCACAAGTGTTTTGAGAAAACTTGGGAGCACTACGGTCTAATAGATCTGCTGAATATCTTTATTAAAAAATATTTGAACACTGACTTTCAAGATCGAGCGGCGAATAGGTAACAAGAGGAAATGAGAGCTGACGCACTGTTGTTATAGAAGTCCACTTTCACCACGGTGTATTCGGATTCATTTGGATATCCCCGCGTAGTGCCGTAGTCCCAGTTCCAGCCGTCAGGCGAGACAATCTTTTGGTAATTTGGGAGCTCAGTTTCGTTAACTATTGTCGCGCCGGCAGATTCAATTAGCGATATTAGTGAGAGAAGGGTTGATTTTTGCTCGTTATCTGCATACACCCAGAAGCTGTTCCATGGTATGCCGAATGTTGCACTTGATAGGCTAGACCTGTTAGTCAAGTATTGTAAGTATCCTCCGCTTGGAGTGTTTCCTTCCTGCGCGAGTGTATAGTTATCCCTCTCGTCTATCCCATATATTGCATCAAATGCGTACGCAGCGTCTCGTACTGTGCGACCGAATGTGCCGACGGAATCCTGGTGTACACTCTCTGGAATCACTCCAGCCCTCGATGTCAGACCCACAGTAGGCTTAAAGCCAACGATTGCGTTGCGCTCCGCTGGATTAATCACACTACCATCCGTTTCGGTGCCAAGAGCGAAGGAAACCACGTTGCCAGCCACAGCGGCTGCACTCCCTGAGCTACTCCCTCCGGGATTGAGAGTGAGGTTGTAGGGACTTCGAGCCTGCCCGCCCCTCGGGGAGTAGCCCTCGGAGTAGTTGTTCGACCTCATATCTGCCCACTCACTCAAAGTCGCTTTTCCAAGGAGTAACGCGCCCGCCCTCCTCAGCTTTGCCACCACATGTGCATCCCTAGACACTACACTCCCAAGTAGCATCCAACTTCCTGCGGTAGTCTCCATCTGATCCTTTGTCGCGATGTTGTCTTTTACGATGAACGGAATGCCGTGGAGCCGGCCGCGGACATTTCCGGCCCTACGTTCCGCATCTAAGGCAACTGCGATGTCCATGGCATCAGGATTGAGTTCAATGACTGAATTGATGTAGTCATCCACTTGTCTGATTCTTCTCATATAGCACCTAAGCAGATCCACCGCCGTCAAGACCCCATCGCTCATAGCACCCTGTAGCTGGTCGATTGTCGCTTCTTCTAGTGTAACGTTTCCACATTTTGGCATCGGAAAGAGCCCAGCAGTTTCTCCATTACTCTCCAGAGGGAAATAATATGGGTACGGGTTTTGAAGAGGATCAATCGAGAGGACACATGATGGGTTTTGTGCCGTATCGCAATAAGCACCGTCCTGCGTCCCTGACGTTTTGCCAAGAACAAGGATTGAGAAGAGTGCAGTGATGACTGCCAATACCATGATGCTGGACGAGATGCAAGGTGACGGGAGCAGGATCCAGGAAGCTAGATGAGATGGGGTTTTGTACCTGCATACCATCCAAGCTACTACTTGGACCTACCCGAAATCACGAAGATAGCTATCCGATCTGCCCCGCCTCCAAGGAACTCAATGATATGTAAGCCAGAACCCCAGAGTTCGATAGGCCTTAGATTTCGGGCTTCGTACCTAGAGTGTAGTAGACCATGTCGACGAAAGTCTTTACGGAAAATGCGATATAAAGTTCGTTACTGTTAAAGGACCAACCTGTAGTGCTTAAGGGTTCAGCTGATTACTAAGTATTTGCTTACCGATCTATTCTGTGGGTTAATCTGTGCAATGTCTTGGCGATATCTTAAACTTTACTTTCCGCCACTAAATTTATATAAGAACTTATAATTTTACCTATAGTTAATTAGCTTTTTTAATCCACTAACTACCTAACTCTTAAAAGGTGCTTTAGATGCTGCTGTAGTAAAAGCTTTAGCTAATAGTTAGCAGGTAGTACTTGTAACGATTCGCATGAATCGTTCCATTCAAAGTTACATGACGAACCTATATCTGAAGGTTCCGCGTATCTGTCCCGACCCTGCCCTGCCCCTGCGCTACCCTTATCTCCAAGTATTTGGCTTCACCTCTCCCCTTAGCTAGCTCGGTAGTTTTCTGATATCCTTTCGTACGAGGCCTATGTGTGTCAATAGAATTCCCAGGTTTCTGAGTCCCCACGCACTCCCATATGCCTCTGAGTGTAGCGATTCTCATGAATCGTTTCATCTCGGGTCGCTCGGAACCTATCCGAAGGGTCCCCGTATCGGCCCCGACCCTGACTCGACCCTGTCCCCCGCGGTTACACCTATTCCCCCAAGTATTTAGTCGCACCTCTCCCCTTAGCTAGCTCGGTAGTTTTCTGATATCCTTTCGTACGAGGCCTATAGGTGTCAATGGAATTTCCAGGTCATTGAGTCCCCACGCACTCCCATATGCCTCTGAGTGGATTCCTACCGCATTCGGACCCAATGTCTTGCCTGCGCCGTTACACTGAGTGGATTCACACCGCATTCGGACCTATTGTCTTGCCTGCGCCGTTACAGTACTAGTTTTTAAACGCGTAGCTGCTCTAGATATAGCTTTTAGAGTAGAAAATGTTTGATAAGGGCCTTTTAAAATACTAGAAATTAGTTTTATTATGGTTTAGTTAAAAGGTATGTATATTTTTAAAATCTAACTAAAATAATAAATATTTAGTTATATATAGACCTAAGTTGTTGCTTTGTCAAAGTTCTTATATATTTAGCAAGGCAAAAACAATGCGACGCGAATGCCAAGACATTGCACAGATTAACGCACACAATAGATAACTAAACAGTGCTCGAACACGCCAAGGCGATTTCGAGGCTGACAACGATCCCTAGGTATCCAATTCCTGGCCCTGCCACTTTACATGAGGCTCTTCCACTGCAGACTGAAGTTTGAGGTTCTGTGACAACACTGGAGAATTCACTTCCTAAGTCAGTGATTTAGCACAGAAGGAAGCATGGCATTCGCCCGCCCCCAAATGGCTCTATATACGATCCCCAACACCTCCCACATCTCTCCTCATTGCGGATAGTACTAGTATAACCCCCAATGAAGACCAACCTTCCGTCTGTACTCTTCAGCGCTTCCAAACTGACGTTCCCCGTACCGTACCGGCCTAGAGAGGTCAGCTACAGAGATCATGTAGAGGTAAGTACTGCATTCGCCTCGGAAACAGTCTACATCAGCGCCACAGGAAGTGCTTGCCATGTCATCATCGACCCAACAACGTCCACCAACAACGACTGTCGGATGCATCTTGCCTTGCGGAGGGAGCTAGCTTGGGCCCTTGGGGGCGTATTGTTTGCCATGTTCGTATTTACCACCTTTCTGATTATCAGACTCGGACGCCAAGTATCTGGAATCTTTGCAGAAGCCTCGAGTATCGTAGGCGTTGCCAGTCTCTATCAAACGTTGTTAGCAAGGGGCTTGCTCGACCCCCGTGGGGCAATATCTGGTCCTGTAAGCAAGGGCAACGGAGACACCAGTACCTTTGATCGAACGACCACTGTGCACGACAACCTCTCGACGCAACAAATGCCAGTCAAACAAGCTAAGCATAGACAAGGGCACATCTTGGTGCATCCCGCATCGCTCACACTCTTCTGGTTCTGCCTTGTCGCTGTTTTGGTCATGATCCTCTACTACCGCTTCGTCAGCAAACCAGGCACGAATAATTCCTTTGAGGATTTTTATGAACAGCTAATCTTTTGGCATCAGGTTCTTTATGACATGCATCGGCCTAGCCATAAAGCTGTACTGGGGAGCTGTAGAGAAGCATCTGCGCTCGATCGCGCCCTATGTTGCGATGGCGTCTGAAGGCGGTGCCACAGCGGATAAAAGTGTACTCGTTCGAATGCCGGGCCATCCTATTGTTGGCTTAATCTACGGTTCAAGTTGGCTTCAACCTCTGCTTGGCCTGGCTACATTAAGTGCCGTGCTTAGTGAGGTGCTCGTCATCACCCTGAACACTATTCCCTTCTCAGTATCGACTGCCTACCTAGCTTTCGAGCTTTCTGTCTACATCAGCACCGGTATCATTTCACTCATGATTGTCACCATACCATTCATCGTCATATGGAAGATGCGGGAAAGAGGAAAATAGTGTGTAAAGCTCCCGAGTGTATCACGGAAGTGCTTGCAATGCTCGACGATGACCTACGGAGCAATTTTAGCAATCTCAGAGAGCTCGGAGGTTCCCAAAGAGACCAGATTGTTAGAAGTTGGAAGATAGATACTCACTGGGAGGGCAAAGCCAGTGCAGGAATAATTACAGAAGAATTTTGGTGTATCATTCCGATTAAGTAGTTCTGGCTTTGATATCAGAGGCGCCTTTCCCCGAGAGATTGCAATGCCAATGCAGTTTCTCTCAACCGTTCGCTATCACAAGGTGAGAAAGAGAGTGCTTGGGGAGGAGCAAGGCTGCGGGGCTGAGGTCGGCCCGACCGCCAAGACTCCGCACAGCCACAAGCCACAGTCATCACAAATAAATTGCACCGTGATGATTATGTATGTTGGTCTCAGGGATGGCAGACCCACTTGTATATAACGTATATATATACATACACATACATACATACTGTATGAAACCTGAGGCTGTATAGAACGCTTAGTAAGCGCATTATTTAACTAATAAGCTGCTTATGTAAAATTACATGTAGGGTGCATCTTAGAGGTGAACAAATCTACTAACTTTCTAGCTTTCTAGAGCTTAACATTTAACCTTTGTGCAATTAAAGCTTAGTAGTACTATACAGAGCACCTTTGTATACAATTTTCTAGTGTTAAGATGCCACCCTAAGAGTTAATTAAGTAGAGCAACGTTATTAGAGTCGCCTAAATTAGCAGCAATAATCTAAAAGTTAAATGTCGCTATTGCAATAAGCAGTAGACTAGCTCTGCTGTACAGCGTATTAAGCGCTATATAAGACGCTGCAACAAGCTCCTGTTAAAGCTTTACAATTAATATAGACATTAAAACAATTAATAATTAGTTGTTAAGAGTTTAGGGCAGAGGCTGCTGCTAGCAGAACTGCAGATAAGCGCTTATAATTACAATAAGTGCACCCTACTTCTTGCTAAAGCAATATATAGCGCTAGAGTCCTACTTAGCTTTGTAAGTAAGCATTTTGTATACACGTTAACACACGTGTTAACTAGTAAATTTATAGGTTAAGCAGCTAGCGTTCTAACAATTTCTAAGTGCTATTTGCTTAGCGTTTACGCCGCCATTACGTAAGCAACTTGCAAACAAAATACTTAATACAACGTATACAAATATAAAAGAGAGGGTGCTAAAGAAGCTAGAGAATAGCTACAGGCAGGTTACTTTACTCTCTAACAGGTGGACTAACTTGCGCGGTAAGGCAGTTGTTAATTACATTGCAGTAACAAGATGCAACACTATCTTCTAGAAATCTACCCCTACAGGCGCTTATTACTATACTAGCAAGTATATTGCTTAGGAAGTTAGAGATGTAGTTAAAGAGCTAAATCTAAATAATATTATTATAATTACAATAGATACAGCTAGCAATATAGTTATTGCGCAGAAAATACTAGCACAGCAATTTCCTAGGGTGCTTATGCTTAGATGCGCTGCCCACATCCTTAATCTAGCTGTTAAGGATATATTTAAGCTTAACTACATTGCAACGCAGTAGAACATAGTTTTTAAAATTATTAAATACTTTAAAGAATTAACTCTCTAGGTAGGATTACTAAATTTAGCGTTAAAATTAATAGGAATAGCCTACAGAGCCCTAGCCCTACCTAGTAAGACTAGGTGGTGGGGGAAGCTTAACGCTGTTAAGAGCTTACTAAGCAACTAACCTGTTCTTAAGCATATTCTCTACAGAGTCTTCCCACCCCCTTATACGCAAAATGCCTACAATAATTAAGAGAGATATGTTAGAATATAATTAATTATACTTTAATACAGCTTTTAGGAGCAGGTTTGCAACCTACAAGGACTTTTAAAGCCCTTTTAGGAGGTTACTTAGGCGCTGCAGAGCGTACAGCTAAAGGGCTCTTAAGCCTTCGCATACATCCACTATCTCCCTACAGAACTAGTTACAACTACCTTGCTAGCTACCTAAGAAGTACTAGACATTATTACAAAGCGTTCTAAGCAAATTTAGCGTACAGAGTTCCTTATTGCGTACATTTGCAACCCCTCTGTGTGTGCTAAGCGCCTAGTTAAGTTTACAGCAGAGATGTGGGCAGAAATTAGGCAATACCTCTACTAACAATACAGCGATCTCTAGTGTGCGTCTAGTATTGCTATAGAGCTTAAAGACGCGTATTTTTGCAAAGAAATCTATGCTAACAACGTTAATTAGAATACTTTTAATAAATACAGCAATCTAGCTAGTTAGTAGTACAATATTAGGTGCAGTAAAGACCTCTAAGAGCTGGCAATATACACACTTAGCATTAATCTAACAACAGCTGCAGCAGAGCGTAATTAGAGTACACACAGCTTTATTTACAACAAAGTACGCAATTAATTAACTAATAAGCGTGTAAAGAAGCTTGTGTACGTTTTTAGCAACCTTAAAATTAACTTAAATAACCCCCTTAAGGCGCCTAAGTACTTTAACAACAAGCAGGTAGAGATTAAGGATGTTCCTAAGGATAAAGAGGGCGAGGAGGTGCTAGGGGAGATGCTAGGCTTGCTTAGTTTCTAAAGAATTATCATGTATTAGTAAGCGATCCATACATACATCTTATACCAGTATATATACGTTCTATACCATATACTGTATGGATCGTTTCATACCGTATACGACCCATCCCTGGTTGGTCTGGGTTGTTATACACTAGCCGAAATTGGTAGCTGGTTCGATCGGAAGTATCGACTGGGGTAACTAGCGGCTATGCATGAAATTGTGCGTGATAGTAGGCACAAGGCTAATAATAACTTCTTAGTATAATAGTAAGGTGTTAAGGCCTAATAAGGCCGCTTATAAGTATTATAGAATAGTAAGAGCTTAATAGTAGGGCTGTAAGGAAGGAACTCTATCACGCTATAGAGGGAGGCTCTCTACAAATTAGGCGCAGAGGTGATAATGCAAATGTAATTTATAGGTAAGAGGCATCCTAGATCTTTAAAAATAGCTAAATTACATTATTTATACTTAATTTTAGTGAAGCTTAACGTGTGTGCAGAGTTATACTATGCCTCACCACGTAGCGAGAATCACTACGTAGCGAGAAAATTCTACTACTTTACGGCTTAAATCGCCACCACGCGTATGAATAAAGTTCTGGCTGGTAATACATGCTTCTTCACGTATTTACCTACTATATACTAGCCTGCAGTTAGAAAATTACGACAGCGTTATGAAGTTCTCGGTGTGATTCTTTAGGCATCAAGATCTGCTTTGACTATTCCACCCCTGTTTGATCGCGATTGAAAGCAACATTATAAGTTTCGGAACCTAAATAATGTAGCTCGACCGAGATAGGTTTAGATTATTTTATACCAACATGGTTGAGGATCTGACGAAGGAAACCGAGAGTTTCTCCGATAACAGCAGGAGAGGTCTTCGATGGCGCGTCTTGTCGCGCGGCTCGATCTGTCTTAGTGTAATTTAAGCACGCATTTATGTAATCAGAAGGCTTTAGCGTCATTACCTCATCTGTGGCGCATGGCTAGGGTCTCTGCTCTGTTTGTTCTGTTTGTTTTGTTTGTTCTACCATGCTTAAAATAGCCCCGTCCAGTCCCTTTGTTCCAGCATGCTTAATATAGACCTCCCCCACTTTCTTTGTTCGCGCCCGCCTGCGCCGTACTCTGGGGGTTCCCTCTGGGGCCCTCTGTGGTCCTGGGGGCACTCGCCTGCCTGCCTCCGCACTCTCATCGCCATCATCATACACAGCTAACATGGATAGAGCCAGTAAAGTACTCTCTGAGGGCATTCCCGAGGGCATACCGAACACCTACTCTGCCATAGCTGCCCATGGAGACGTCCCGCTCTCTACCCTCCACCATCGTGCACGAGGACGACGCTCGAGAGAAGACAAGGCTCAGAGCCAACTTTACCTCACACCATGCGAAGAGAACGCTGTCGTCGAATACTTGTTACGAATGGATACTCTCGGGCAACCTGTGCGGATAAAGTATATACCGTCGATAGCATTCAGTGCTACACGTCATCGGCCTGAAGCAGATAGACCACTTAAGCCTCCTGGCGTGAACTGGGCCAAGAGACTCGAAAGACGCTGGGAAGAGCTTATAGCGATAAGGGAGAAGCCAAAAGACTGGAATCGGCTTAATATATATAACAAAGTCTCCCGCTGGTTTGAGATCATCGGGAAGGAGCTCCAAAAGCCGAAGGTACGGCCGAAGAATGTCTATAATATGGACGAGACTGGAGTCATGCTGAGCATGCCCAACTCCGTCAAGGTCCTTGTTGGTAAGGATAGTAGACGAGGCAGCCGTAGAGGCGCCCGCGTGAAGCGAACCATGGTAACCGCTATTGAATCTGTGTCCGCCGACGGTAGGTGTCTTAATCCCATGATTATCTGGCCCGCTTCGACCCATCGAGCCAACTGGACTACATTTCCCACCCCTGGCTGGATGTACGCGATCTCCGATACAGGATTCTCCGACTCTTATATTAGCTTGCAGTGGCTTAAGCTTGTCTTTGATCCCCAAACTAAGCAGCAGGCTTGTGGAGAACCACGTCTACTTATTTGGGATGGGTTCGGCACACATGAAACCCTTCAAGTGCTAGAGTTCTGCTTTGAGAACAACATCATCCTCTGCCGTCTGCCCTCGCACACATCCCACGAGCTTCAGCCTTGTGATGTCGCACTGTTTGGACCGCTGAAAACATACTATCGCGAACAGGTTGAGCGGATGGAGCGAGGAGGGATTAATACTATTGGCAAGCAGCATTTCACGTATCTCTACAGTCCCGCAAGGGAAAAGACATTTACCAAGAGGAACATCCTTGCCGGATGGAGAGGAAGCGGTTTATTCCCCTTCAACCCTGACAGAGTTCTCGCTAACCTACCTAAACCACCTCTTGTTGAACTAACGATTCCAACAAACAATAGAACGATGGAGGAGGTTCGATACGAGGCGTTGCCAACGCCCGTAACGCCAAAATCAGGAGAGGCTTTGACATCGCTACTTGACATAATTGAACGGGTTCCGAATACCGAAGCAAATAGCCAGCACAGAGAGAGACTTCAACAGAAAGTGTCCCATGCCGCTCAGACGTTTCTTGCACACAATGCCCTTCTTCGCGATGATAATAAATTCCTGACCCAAGCAAATGACGAAAGTAAACCTCGCCGAGCAGTAGGGTCGAAAAAAGTCGGTGATGGGAGGATAATAGTGTGGAAGGACGTCGAACAGGCGCGGATAGAGGATGCGGAGAAAAAAGCAAAGAAGGCCGCTAAGGAGGCTAGGGCAGCTACAACAGGCAAGAAACGTGGTCGACCCCGAAAGAGTGCTACAGCAGATACGCTGGAGCCGCAGGCTAAGGTAGCGCGAATCAGCGAGACACAGATTGCACAAGGCGAAGCTGGTCCCTCAGAACCAAGGACTAAGGTTGTGCAGTGCAGCGAAGCACGGGTTGAGCATGAAACAAAGCCATGGAGAGCCCCAGAGGCGCATATGTATTAGCGTGGGGTTTATATTATAATTTCGGCGCAATGAAGATCGTGTGTCATTGCTTTTGCTGCACTCACTCTGCCATGGGCTATTCTTACGCTTGCTGCCGTACCCGGTGATCATACTGTATTCTTCGTCATCGAGATCCTCAATATCCTCCTATTCAAAAAGGCGTTAACCAAGACAGCGCAGATAGATGCAATATGTATCGCGAACAGCGAAGCTAGGCCTTTAGAGGCAAAGATCATGCGGAGGGGCGAATCGCAGATTGAATGTTAGGCTTATCCCAAAGCCATAGCGAGTCCCAGAGGCGAGAATCTAGTACTATAGCAGACAAGTCTGTGTAGCATTATTAAAACACCTATAGAGGCTGAAGAAGTAGAGATAGTACTTACCTCATAATGTGATGCATTCTTCGTTAGTTCGATGATGCAGATAATCCCTGCGTTTGTCGGCGGCGAAAAGCCTTATGCATCTCCATTTCCCTCATAGTGCCTCTTCCCCTTACAATTCGTCCAGTGTCATCTTTGAAATTGTAATCCCACACGTGCTCGTCTGGATCTTCTTGAGGTCGAAAATCTGGGGCTTTTCGAGGCGGCAAATGAGGGTCAGTCGTGTACCGCCACTCTTTCTCGATCGCACGGCGTGCGGCTGCGGTCGTCGCTGTCATCCTGTGTGCCTCTTGCTCCTGTAGATGGAGGAGAAAGTTGCTTCGTAGAAGCCAGGACTTGCCGTAATCGGGACACGAAGCAAGCTTGCATGGGTAAGCCCATACGTGCCCAGAAGGGAGGTCGGCATCAGCATTGTCAAACTCATCATCAAGCTCGGAAGGAATAGGAGGATTGAGGTTCAAGGTTGTCATAACTGACTTGCTAGCTCGTGTCGTCTATTAGTGGAGAATGGGCGTGTTGACTTACTTCAAGCGCGGGGCATACAGGGAAGTCTTAGACGAAGAGGCTATTGCCCTTTAGTTTTTACGTTAGCTAAGCGCTAAGCCACAGATGTGCCATCCTGGTGGCGTAGATTACATCGTAATCATTATGTGAGCATGTCGGCTGGCCGGGGTCATCTCGCTTAAATCATGAGGTACTGATCAGCGTGGCGATATTGCATGAATCATCTTCCTTTAGCCGTCACAAGGCTGAGGAGGACCTATCAGCGTGATGTTCAGACTTTATGGGTCTGATGCAGTACTTGACAAAATTTTGGTATGACAAGGCCTCAGCGTTGAGCCTGCGATAAAGGTGACCTGTTATAATGCGAAACATGGCCTCTACAATAGGGGCCGCGATAGCGATAACAAGGACAGTATTTTTCTAAGTAGTGATCGTTAGATGATTCAGAAGGACGCCAAGTATATAACTTTAAGTTAAAAAAATTTAATTGGTAGATGCGGAAAGAGTTTTCGCGACTGTAAGTCTAAGTACCTTTTGATTTTCTCGCTACGGGGTGATTCTCGCTACGTGGTGAGGCATAGTAGTTGCTTAAGGTTAAAGTACTTGTAATATTTTTTGGCAAAGGTGGTTTTTCGGCTCGGTTGGATGGACATTATCCTCAGAAGTGAATAGAACAACCATTGTGAATCAAGCCCAGTACTAAGACAATAAGGTGGCGAGATCTGGTGACTTCGTGAAAACGAAGCAAAAGCAATATTGAATTGTTGAATTGAATGAGAGAAAACACCTTAATCCATTGCTCCTCCCGGACAATTGATTAATACTTAAGCTACTGGATCTTCGAGAATGGCCGTGGAAGCCGCGATGCTGACAAACTTAAAGTCCATCCTTTTCAATGATAAGATATTTACCATACTTTCACTTTGGGAACGGAGCAAATGGGAGCCCAAGCTTATTTCGCAAACCCGAGAAAAAATCTGGCTTCTGTTCCAACGCATTTAAGAATGCAGTAACATCTTCCGCAATTGCACGAAGCGATACCTGGAGTTTCTTGGCCGAGCTACCTAGTCCAGCTAGCTGTTCTCGAACTTCGTTGTGCTGCAGACCTTCGACTTCAAAAGCCTCGTGGATCACTTCATACTGTTCACATTCCTTATCGGCGGAGTTTAACGCGTCGAAAAGGGGGTCCGGCAACCACACGACCTGCTGATCATCTGGATTGAAAAGTTGCTGGAAGATACGTCGGTAAACGAGAAGGATCTGGAAACATCGATCATAATAGTGTGTCAGAATCTTAGCCTCAGTCAAGGCTGCGATTTGAGACTTTTCTATTGAACGCATGCGGTTGGCCATCCTGTTCAATGCTTGAGCGCTGTCGATATTCGCATCTTCCATGCGCGTAATGAGCTCGTTGTAGACTTGTTGAAAGCTGTCACTTTCCTCTTCGATAGCTTTGGCAGCCTGTTCCCTCTCAGCTGCTGCACGAGCAACAGTAGCAATCTCAGCGTCTTTCTCCTCCAAGGCTTTAGAGACTTCCGCCTGAAGCGCTTCCAGATTTGAGCTGTCGTCATGGAGTTGGTCTCGAAGCTTAGTAACACAATCCCTCAACTGGTTGTTTTCCTGCTCAAGCCTTTCCATTCGCCTGTCCTTTTGTTCTGCTGCAAGTTGCTTCTGCGTCACCTCCTGCAGCTTCTTCCGGTAAGACTCTGCCCTCCCTTCCGCGTCCTCCATCAAACCCTTGTAAAATTCCACTCTGCGCGCCTCTTGCAAATAATCAACCTTGAGCTGGTTATGGTCGCTTGGTAGATCTTCCACTGCCTTCTTTGCGGCTTCCAACTGCTTCTTCAAGTCCTCGTTTTCTTCTTGAAGCTTCTTCTCCCGCTCTTCGCATTCTTGCACGTATGATTTCATGTCCTTGAGTTCCCGCAAGTCCTGGAAATGGTCCCGCATTTCCTCTGGGATGATGTCTTTACCTTGGCAGCCATTCCTGGTGGCCTCATTCCAGGCTATTTGCATTTGTTGGCGGAGAATGCTGAGGTGATTAATGGAGGACATGATGGTAATGGAGGCTTGGGGGTTTGCAGATCGTGGGCGCGGTGTAGAGTAAGCCCACTCGGTGTGTCGCAGGTATAAAATGACCCCTTGAATTTGTTTGCTTAAAAGATGCTTCGATAGAAAGACATTGTACCTGAACGTTGAAAGAACCCATGTGACAAACATCCTTGTGCAAACTCAGTGCCTTACATCGTTTACTACATGGTAGGTGGGTTACAATATCTTCTCATGAAGTGCTAAAGCAGAGTACACAATTTCCGAGTTGTTATGATATCTGTGGGAGATTTTCTGAGAGACTGAGACGCTCGATTGGATCTAGGCAGCATGGCGAAATGAAAAGCACCCGACGTTTTCCGATCAAGCAGGAAAATACCCATACCCAAGGGCTGCCGCGCTTTTCCAGTACCTGTAGTTCTTCAACTAGCCTGTGCATGGTAGGACTTGGTCGTGCTGATTAGGAAACCCCTTCGACGAGGAGAGAGTGGGTCGGCAACGTCAAACTAAACACCGAGGAGGAGTAGTAGCACCGTACCAACTTTTCTGCACCAAGATCCATTGTATTAATAGAAAACTCACGATAATTGTTCTTAAATAATTTGCAAGATACACATAAAAACCTCCGAGTGGTCTAAGTCCTTCATTTATTGAGTGACTGCCACTGCGCTCAGAGCACAAGAGAGCCTAATTAATCATCACACCTCCGGGAATAGTCTCCAACCCTAACGTTGCATTAGTCAATATTCAGTTCCACCAAGCTAGGGTTCGAGTGGACGTACATCCGTTGCCGTCGACGTCCTCCTTCATCGTCTGCGGAATGGTGCATTTCATCGCATCCTCGTCTGACTGCCGTACAAGCTCCTTGCATTTGTCATTATCGCAGCGTGCGTTCAAGGCACGTTGAAGCGAGTCTCCTTTCCAGCCAAACATGTAATCGCCGTGCTGACCATGGCCGGTTCTATGAGGGAATTGTAAACGCGTGGATTTGAACCGGGGTGCAGTTCATCACTTACGCATCACCCATGGCATACACGAATGGTTGACTGCCATCCTCATTCCACAAGCTCTTATTATTGTATGGCTTTGTATCCCACATAACCTCATACATCAACTGTGGCAGGTGAACGGGATGCGATTCTGGACACTTTCCCCTTTCTAACGAAACGTTGTATGGCCGATGGACAACAGGCTCCAAGTAAGGCTCGAATGGAATCTCAGAGTATACAACATGGCTCTGATGATCCGGAGAATCAAGATTCACGCCATCCCAGCACGTGGGAAAGCTGATGGTCGTGCGAATCCCCCCAGGGCAGAAGTGGTCAGGGAGACTGGTTGTGTCATTTCCGGTGCAGGGTGCTCCTCCGAATGGTTTGAAATCCGCACCTTCGAAGCATCGATGGCAAAGACCCCGAGATTCACCTTTCGTACTACGAAGCGTCGGGTTGCCGGCCAGCATGCGGAACCCCTAGAATGGCACTTAGGAAGTGCATCGTAAGATTGTCGGGGTGAGATGCAAGAGTGGCATGCGTCTGTAATTCAAAAGTGAGAAACCCGGACTCACCGGTTTGAATGCAGTAACATTACTAATCCCATCATATGGCGGAATGTAATACACCGTAATCCCACCGTTCTGCCTCAATCCTCCATTCTCAAACTGCTGTACACGCTTAAAAGTTCCATTCCTCGCCTTGTAATACAAGGCCGCCGTCCAGTAGTTACTAAAGTCCTCGCTAAACGTGCAGCTTGTGCAATTGGATCGTGAAGGTAGATCGTATTCCACAGGCTTCATGTCAGCCCTGAATGAGTTTCCGCCAACGATCTGATGCACATGCGGAGTTCCGACGACTCCTGGATTAACGAGTGGGTCGAGTCGCTCCACGACGAGTTGGGAGCATGCGAACCGCATCATATGCGCTTGCTGGGCATGTGTCGTTGGGAGAGCCGCCAGAAAGGCGAGGAGGCCCGAAGAAGTCCAGTGCATGATGAAGGCGTTGTGTCTCTCGACAACAAGTACTGGTAAGGAGCATTCGCTGAACGTCCTGTGTACGCTTCCCCATACTTGTACTCTGAAAGCTACTTAGCAAAGAAACAACGCGCAAGACACTGTGGGGCTTGCAAACTGCCGTTACTCTAAGAGACGTCAGTCAATTTCGAGTTCCATGATAATTACCCGGAAAGGTAATCTGTGTCCTTTCGCTTAATTTATTCGGGAAGCCAAGAGCCTGGAGGGACAACACTCTTAATTATGCGATAGCCAAATGACCCAATAACACAAACCTGTTGTAGACTCCTTGCAGATTCTAATTTTCTAGATAAGATAGGCGAAAGTTATGGGTTTAACAAAGATCTGCATTGTTTGGGGTGGCAAAGGGTCCACGGGTGTAAAGATCCGAGTCGCGGGAAGTGACAAATACTAGGTTCTAGCACCTGCGACGGGGCATGACAGGGTATGATGGGGCTCCAATTCAAGACAGTAGATATTTCCCTTTTGTTACCTCTCCAATTCCAGCAAGACGACAAAGGATTGTCTAACGCGTAGCCAGGGTAGCCTAAGGTACTGGCGTGTGCGGTGAGCTTGATCTCAATCCTCTAAAGGACGCATCCTGCATTGTGGTACAAGTAAATAAATTCCTGGGAGGCGAGGAGACAAGCAGTATCGAAGAAGGAAGGCAGCCCATGAACACACTGTTGAGCCCTTCACCCTTAACCTCCTACCACGAACCATCCATATGAGTGCCTTCGACAAGAACACCTCCTCAAATCAGCCCTTATCTACAATATCTACTCTTCATCCTTCTCTCCTACGCTCTTATCATCACCCTCGTCTTGTTCACCCCCGTTTGCTATTAGTTGCACTGCACTCGGGTAGTTGTCCTCCATTTATTGTTCATCCTCATCCACGTCCACCTGCGTGTCATCCAAGCCAAATCGGCGGTGATTAGGATACCGGCCCCAATTATCCTGCTCTTCCTTGTTGAAATAGAGGGGGTTTAGGATCTTCGGTTGTGGCCATTTGCAGAATCGGGGACAGTGCATGTAGTCGTTCACGGAACGCAGCTGTTTCACTAGGCCTGTTGGCAGAGTGCACAGAAATTGAAATATCTCTTTGTTTTCCCTTTCGGTATGGTTCTTAATCCTATAAACTTCGCCACCAATTTTGATCTTGACAAGGTTCTTGTGTTGTTCTGTTTCCAATTTGAAGGTTTGCTTCTCTTGAATACGGAAGTTAATAAGATGAACCTCACTCTTAGTCATTACCCGGATGCGCTTGGTCCTTTGAGTGGCAACCCTCATGGGTGTGGTCTGGGCTACTTTCGGGACAGAATCCTTGAATTGCTGAGTAGATTTCCCCGCTGGTTTCAGCCTACCCGCTTCTGGGACCAGCTGGTTAATTCCTTGAAGAGAATGGGAGTAGAAGGTGCCAGTCGCTTTGAAAACTTCCACGTTTGCGTGCTTAAAGCGCTTGCGAAGGCACTCGGGCGATTTATTTTCCCCGTGCAGCTCGTTCCATGTCTCTGCAATCTTGGTGAAGGGAAGCGGCGTACCCTTCCATGGCGCCCGCAAAATGTAAGCACCTTTGAGTTCGGCAGACATATTAGCGAGCTTAGTTACAGCCCAGTCAATGGGACATTCGTCTTGTTTTGAGGTTTGAACTAGGGTTGGCAAGGTCGGTGCCTCAGGCAGCGGAGTCAGTAATTGCTCTGGCTTGGGCACAGTCGCTGTTGTCGATGCTTGGGTTGGCGTTGGTAGGGTTGGGGTTGAAAGGGAAACAGGGGGTTTAGGGCTTTTGTGTAGCACCTCCTTGGACTCGTTGATCTTTTGGCGTTTCATTAGGGGCGCAGTGTGATTTTGGCCTTGATCGTCTTCTGATGCAACATCGTCTCCACGGTCTTTGCGCTTGAGCGATGGGCTTGGAGGCATGGTGGAAGGGGTCTGGCTGTCAGGGCCATGTTGAGATACTACACCTGGTTGCGTTTTTTCCATGTCGAATGATAAAAGGTTTCGTAGCGCACAGAGAGGGTGTGTCGTGGAGGGACTGAAGGAAGGAGGCTCTAAGTACTGGAACTGCGGGGAGCAGGCTCACGCGGTCTGATTCTCATCCCCTCCCTTTGTGTTATACTCATAATAGATTTGAATAGGCGGCTTGAACTAGAAATAAAGGTTCACTCGACTAGGTGAGGAGCCAAACCGTTAGGGTGATCTGTGCGCAATATTGTCTCTGTACATGACTGAGGCAAGAAGCGAATTAATGATGAACTATGCACCTCGCCTTGGTGGGAGTGGATCATTCACCTGAAAATTTCACAATAAGGACTGAATGGGATGGCTGGACAGTCAGTTGGGGGATCTCCCAACCGCCACACCGCCCTCCATCACGGACGAGAACGTGACGAACAAGACCTAGAATAGTGTCTGATTTCGCGAAGCGGAGACAGGAGGTGAAAGCGGCGATATACAGTAGCTGTAGGCAAATGCACTAGCCACCTGCTTCTTTCGTTAATTCATTTTCCACATTTGTGTCGCGTTAAATCAACGAAGCAATGTAGGCAAGGTGAAAAAATTAACGTTGAGAAGTTAAATACGTGTCTTACAAATGCGTAGCTAGTACGGTGGACTGCATATGTCCCGGGGCTTCTAAATATTGAGACTGGGTATCGAACGTAGTTGGAAACTGGCCCCCTAGGTGTCGAGAGCGACCTATCATCGAAAATTGAATCATTCTGGTGAAGTTTAGCGACAGCATGTGGGGTAGGACTTGTATCAATGTCGTACATTATGCAGGGAGTTCTTGCGGAGACTGGGGGGCAGGTATTGGCACAGTTGGCGCAGCTGGGTAGTTCTGCTTCCTTGTTGATTCTAATCTCCCAAATGGAGATTTCCAGCGGCTTCCAGGTTTTTGCGTGCCCACAAACTCGTTGCTTCGCACAGTGGGCAATTCAGCCACGAGGGGTGTTGACGGAGGTATGTTTAATTCTGAACTAGGATCTTGAATCTTCTTGCCTGCTCCTGCAGTTGGATCATCGACTCTTCGCTTTCGCCCTCGGTGTTTGCCGATGATGTAGGCGGAAATTGCACCTGCAATGGCAATGACACCTAGGGGTACACCGACTCCAATACCAATCTTTGTTCCGCTGGACAACCCTGATTGCTTGGATGCCGATGGCCTGGGGTCCTTCGTGCCGGTTGGTGTGCCGGAAGTGTGAGTTCTCGTTACGGTACTTAGAGTTGCCGCATTTGATCTGATTTATGTTAGCATGCACGACGAGTAGCGATGAGATGTTAAATATATGGTAAAACGCACCTAGCGCCTGTGGGCTTCGAAGTTGCCGTGGAGCTTGCCGTGGAGCTTTCGGTGGAGCTTTCGGTGGAGCTTTCGGTGGAGCTCGCCTTTGTAGTAGCCTTCTTTGTCGTCGTTTTCGTGGCCGAAGACGATGCAGAGTTTTGGCGATGAACAATATCCGCATTCACGGCAGCCACACTCCAAAAGCAAAGGCAGAGGGCTGAAAGGAGAGTAATGAATCGCATATTAATGGAGATAGATGGAATCGCGAATTCTCAGACATACAGTACGACGAGGGTGACTTGACCTTTCATACTATTAATGGCCCGTTTTCAAGGACAGCCTTAGAGCAGTGACGTGGGGCGTCCCAGAGCTGTGCACATACAAGAACCATTCACGTCGCAGCTACTGATGTCAGGCATGTCAGGCCTCCAGCGTTGCTGTAACGGCCCCCCCAAAATACAGAGGCAAAGCAACAATGATGGCTGTGAGGCACAAAAGTGGAGCAAAGCAGGAGACGGCTAAGTTGATGCTAAACTGTACAGGGTCAACCATACAAAATATACGTATTACTATGGGAACTTAGGGCGCGAAACGAGATATTTTTGGGAGAGGGCGGTGCACCTGTCGGCATCATGCTAAAACTATTTAATATTGCTGCACGCTAGAGTTTTAGGGTTAGCTCTCCAACCGCATTCTTCGACGTCCCCTGCCTGTCCAACAGAACCCCCAGCACATCAAAACTTCAAATGCACAGTTTGAGCCAAATTACTACTCTAAATGTAATCTTTCTCAACTCTCCACTTCTATCTTCCTGCTACCGGGTCTAGAGAACTAGGCTGGCCACCAGAAGTCCCGTGATTTCGCGACTGGGTGGTTCATCGAGCGCCTATGGAGATTACTTCCTCGGGGCAAGCCATGATACCACATACAACCTCTCTCTCACCTCTCATCTCCACTCTTCTTATCTCCCTTCTTTTCAAGTATACATTTCAGCGAGAAATGTAACGAAAATAATCGCTGTTCGAGCATGCTGTCCGACCCCATCCGCTTTTGTAACCACATTACCTTTATTCGCCCTTTCATGGATCAGATAAGTTACCATTCATTGGTCTACTACTAAGCCTTGCGACGAGACTAGAACTCGACCGTCCATCCTTAAGAGATAGATCGTACCCAGTGCTGCCTCGCCCACCACGCCATCCCAGACTTGGGCTATTCAACTGCAAGGCTCGGTCTATCGCTGCATATGAAATAACCCCGCATAAAAGTATATCATGCCCTCATCATTGTGGGCACCTTTCTTTTAAGGCCTGGCAAATAGAACTGACTCATCTTTGATTTAGATCCGAATCTTAACCTCTTGACGGGGTTAGGTTTGTTTCTAGCGGTTTGAAGGATACGGTACACGAATTCCAGGGCATGAACTAGTCTACTCCGAAGCCTCTCCAAGAGGACAAGGCCGAGTCCAGAGAATGAGCGAAAGTCTGCGTCTTTGCTCTGAGCTGCATGTCCAAAGAGTTGCAGCATTTCGAAAGGTCTAGTACGTCGAGTTCTCTTTCGACACTAGCTTCTACTCTTCGCTTAAACGTCGAGGTTCATCTTGTTATAATTGAGAGCTTTGCAGCCTTCCGATTGGCACGGAACGTTATGTAAACAATACATTTGGGCCTTTAAACAGATCGTTTTGGAGATATTCTATGAAGGAAATCCACAGCCCCGGACATCGAGTATCGCCGCGTTGGTTGGATGAGAATACCCAATATAGTATAAGTGCATTATCTCAACTCCAAAAGGCGCCGTGCAAGAGGAAGAAAGATAATTTCCAGAATATCGCGAAGAATGGGATAAGACGGCAAGGAGCCTGAAGAAAGGGATGGAAAAGCGTGGGAGACACTCTGGTGGGTCTTGGTTCGGAGCTATGGTTAGAACCTCTGCAATTAAGATCGGAAAGAAGTCAAAGAATGAGAGCCTGAACAGCTCGTAAAGACATCTCAGAGTATGACGGAAGCACGCATAGTTATCAGCCCGAGATATGCTTATTCTTTGCTCACCAAGAATGAGCGCTAATCTCAGTAGGAACAAACCCGAGTTCATTCAAGCGGCAACATTCATCGGCCGTGGAAACGTCGACCAGCATCTGCAATAATTCTAGCAAAATCTCCAGGATGGACATACTACTGTGGCTCAACTGATTGGTAAGGCGTCCGGAGAAATCAAGAGTATGGTACGCGAAGAAGCAAACAGAACAATTGCGTTTCTGCATACGCACCCCCAAAAAATCCAAAATGTCGTAGCTACCGAATCCCCAGATACAAGGTGCCACATCGACTCGGCCTCGAATCATGATAAATCTATGAATATGTTGGAAGCTCAAGCCTAGAGTATTTCGGACACGAACGCTCTTCCAACCTATCCATTTGTCAGTAAGAAGTCAGAAGGTTGCCTTTCATTGGATGTTTTAAAAGCAATTGCACGGTAGCAAAGCACAAGGGTGGAATATTTTCATTGAGTGGCTTAAGCTAAAAGCCAAGGTATATTAGAATTGCGGAAAGTCTAGCGGGAGAGAGAGAGCAGGCTGATAAGATTTTTGACAGCTGAACCCCAGACAGAATCGATTTTAGAGTAATGAAGGATACCTGTCGAAGTGCTCCCTGCATTCATATGGAACGCGGGCTCGTCCATGCTTGGGAATCAGAGGGGCATTCTTGAGACCTTACTCCAGCTGGTGCTGTTGACCAGTACCCAGGCAGCTCGACATCTGCTAGCAAGCACCACAGCGTCATCGAAAGGCTTAATCTCAGATTGGGCCTTGCTTGAGCTTCCCTTGCTTTGTTTAAGTGTTGAAGTTCCACCTAAACCTATTCATATCTTCATCGACGAACTGGGTTTTGGGTTGGCCGGATGAATAGTGTTGCCATATGACTGGTGTGGCCGGGTGACTTGTGGAACATGTTATTAGCAACGTCTCCTTTGAAAGCGCTCCGGATGTCGGTACGCTTGCAAAGGGGCTTGATGTTGCGCCGAGAGCGAAGTTTGTATCGCCAGAGAGTGTTATGAATAGCCAGCGTCTTGAACAGCTAAGAATATCTTCAGCACGAGGGCAAGAACACATTTTCTGTGCCGTAGTATCCTGAACCTCATCATCTCACCTTCTCTATCAGTAGCTCTGCAACACCACTGTGATAGTGTCATAATTGGTTCCAAACAAGAAGAGTGTCTAAGGAATTCAGACTTGATTCCTAAATCACCCATCTATCCCTCGAGATTAACCATCTTAGTCCCAATAATAACTCCACATATTCAACCCCGCAAACTCGTCCGCATAGGCCTTAGCCCTCCCCTCACCCCCCGCCCCCGCACACACCACCAAGGGCAGAAAATGCTCCGCTCCGCCTCTAGGATGCATCTCATACGCGCCCTGCCACTTCCTCCATCCCTCAAACTTGCCAGCCCTCTCAGATAAATCGGCCGTTTGTACGGCATCGGTGACTTGCCGACTCCACTCCTCATTCAGCGCTTTAAACGACGGCATGCGTGTCTGCCCCGAGAACATTGCGCGCAGGTTATGCAGCGACGCGAATCCCGAGCCGACGATCGCGATATTCTGGGCGCGGAGGGAGGAGAGCGCGCGGCCAAGGGCGAAGTGTGTGGATGGGGATTCGGAGGACAGGACTGAGAGTTGGATGATGGGGATGTTGGCGGAGGGGTTGATGAGCATCATCGGGATGAAGACGCCGTGGTCCCAGCCTAAATCCCCCCGGGTTTTGTTAGCTTCTAAAACCTGACCGTTGGTAGGGTAGCTGGGGGAATTAACGTACCTCTGCGATCATCCATCTTAGACTCCAAACCCCGCTCCTTCAAAACCCCTTCCACCAACCCCGCAACCTCCTTACTCCCTGGGGCATCATATTTCAACGCATATGCCTCATCCGGAAACCCGTAATAATCATACAACAACTCATGCTTCTCCGAACAACTAATCGTGGGTACTTTGGTACTCCAATGTGCGGTCACTAACACGATCGCCTGCGGCTGCTCCGGGGTCCCGAGTTTGAGGATCTCAGGGACTCGCGTTCGTAGCGATTTTACAATGGCGGCGTGCGAGGGATCGCCGAGAATGGGCATCGGGCCGCCGCCGTGGGAGATGGAGATTACGGGCGCGAGATGGGGAGAAGATGCTGACATGTTGGCGTTAGAAGTGGTGGGCTGGGTTGGGAGGAAGCCGGAGGGGTGGAAGGGGAATTGCTGGAGGCCGTGGAAAGGATTGAGCGTAAAGTTTGAGGGTCGTAATTGAGCGCACGTGAGGCGAGGTTGCAGAAAGCTGACGAGGGAGTGAGCGAGCACGAAAGATGACTTGGGGATTCTCATGACCCATCGAGAGGGATTGAACACGGACGTGTGGCCATTTTGAAGGCACTGCGTTGGTACATGGAGTGAGAGCTGTTCGACATGTTTGTAAGATGCATGAATGGGCGGAATTGATTCCATCTCGGCAATCTGAGGTGCTGACTTATCATGTCGGGATCGGAACAGGCGGTATCCGGTCACATGCTTCCGTCACTGTGATATGTCAACAAGGGAATTACGGATGTATGAGATGAATTTATGCCCAGGCGCATGTACCATGTGCTTAGCTAAAAATACAGCGAGGCTTCCCGCTACCCGAACTCCAGTCCAGAAATCCACTCCGAGAATACTCACTCTAGCATTGATTCTGACCAGTTCCTCAAAAGAAGGAGAGAATGAACCTCTCTTTAAATCTCTGGGCTCTCATCAGTCTCTATCCAACCTAAAACCGCCTGTTTGAATTTGTACTCACCTATTCCATCGCCGCCATCAGCCGAGTCATCTTCCCCAGCCTTCATTTCGATATTCTCCTCGTTGTCCTGCATGACCTTGGCCTTCTTGGACGCTCGACCCTTGCCTTTTCCAGAAACCTTCTGGGCTTTCGGCTCAGCGGGAGTCTCCGTGTCAGCGTCATTAGAGTCACCACGCTCAGCAGCTTCGGTGGACTCGGCCTTGCGTTTGCGAACGGTCTTTGGTTTGGCGGTCTTAGACACGTCGCCGCCGAGAAAGGCAGAGAATTTTGGATACGCTTCAGCTGCCTTGCGCTTGACGGGAGGGAATATCTTCTGGAGAGATCCAGGGGTATTACCAGTCAAGGTAGCCATCACGTTGTAGTCGTACTGTAAATATAGCTTGTCAGAACACTAAAACAGACGAGAGAGGGAAGACTAGACTGCTTACTTTGTCAGGGCCAGTCTGAGCGATATACGCCGCCGCAAGCATACGCGTCTCACGGGCGTCAAACCCAGCGATGCAACCGACATTGTCAAGGGAAGCAGAGTCCTTCTTGGGAGCCATCCTGAATAGAATTGGAACTTTGATGATAGCAAGGCCGCCAGTAAATACAGCCAGGAAGTAGTTTTCTTCGATTTGCAGGTGTGGAGAAGAAGAAATGGAGACAGATCCAAGGAAGGTTGCGAGGGACGACGGCTGTTTGTCACTAATAACGAATAAAGGGAGAGCTCTATTAGTGAGAACGTGTCGAGATAGCGGTGTCAGGTGACTTTCGATACATCGGGTATCGAGGTTGTGGTGAAAGAGCGCACCCAGATGAGGAAACTTGCTCAACTTTCATACACCGCCAATCCACCTCTGCCATGTTTGCGAGGATTGTGAAAGCTAGCAGGCGGGTAAGAAATGCAGCCTGAAGCTTCTGATCGTTGAAAGGAGAGGCTTAACTTACTCCAAAAAATTCTATGGAACATTGAGCGAAGGTAGCTTGTGCGGTTACACGTGTTGCTGAAACTGGGGAAAGGAGTGAATCGGAAATTATATTTTTCTCTCGAGGGCATCATGGAGACTGCAACATACAGAAAGCATGTTCCCGCCCATCGATATCCACGACTACGAAAATGGGAGATCAGAAATGACATAAATCATTTCAAAGAAATGCGACCTACCGTTCGAGTGTCAATAGTCAAGGTGGCTGAAGGTTGTGTGACGCACAGAGCTAGTCTCATGCAGCGACGGGTCGACGATTGCTCAATGGTCCCTAGCGGAAAGACTGCAGGAGCACCCTTGAGGCTGCCGTCGAGTTGAAAACAGAGTGTGAAAGACTTCTACCTGGCACTGTGAAATCCAATAGATACTGCAGATTAGTTGAGCTGAACGCCGCTGCATGTGTTTCCTTTCCGGGAACATTGCAGGAGAATCCGAGAGAAATCCGAGAGAAATAAATCCAATTGACATTCTCGCCAAGTTCTCCTAGTGAAGACTCTGTCATAGGAATCAACGTGCTGGGCCAAGCCAGAACGAAATATCTAGCTCTGCTGCCGGGCGACTTTCGCCTTGCTTGGCGGAAGAACCAGCTCAGCGTATACCGAATACTCGTTTTGAGTGCATTAGCAAGTGCAAATGATTGGCAGCCGGAATTGTTCCCGACCCGACGACAAACGCTCTCCACACTCGGAATCGAAGTCCCAAGTCCACGGAATCCAATACAAATGCTCGAATGATAGTGATCCGAACCGACTGCACCATTTGTCGCCAGGAATTCAGAGTGGTACGATGTTCCCCACTATGAGGACAGACCGGCACCAATAAGCAAAATGGCAATGCAAAGGAGCTGCACGAGTGGGGACTGGAGATGTTTTGGTTCAAAGAAGAGTGGGTTCCAGGGGCTGAGATGTTGCGGCACGGTTGAGGATTTTGCTGTGGTCCGCGGCGAGAGCGGATGCATGCTGGTGTTGGTGTTGGAAGTGAGCCTTTGTGGTGGGTGTCAGCTGTGTGACGGGATGGGAATGGCGCAAATGGTGCAGTGGGTAGGTCCACAGCATTATTGAGAGAGGAGATGAGATGTGGAAAGGGAATGGGGGAAGATATCCAAGGAGGGGCTAAGCTGTTGCATGTTGATGCACACGACAAGACATTACCAGGATTGGGGAATCACAACGCAGGAGGTCTCCTTCCGGCACCTTTTGGCGCGTGTTGCCACAACACGCGTTGACGCGCAGAACGAGGCAGACATTATGTTGTCTTGGATAGGTCCGGATTATGGAAGGAGGATTGCTTCTGCTGGGACCAAGGACGACTTTGTGGTTGACAGCTGTCGTTCAAGTTGCGGCTGCGGATATTGATTGCACATGGCGCACTGCAGCATCGCCGGTGCCGAGTCACTCCTGTGATGGGTTTGGTCAGTGCAGCGGGGCGTAAATACTCGCCCAGCCAGTCGTTGTTGGGAGCGCCGCAGCGACTGCTCATGCTAGGCTAATGGGTGGAAATTGAGGATTGATGGTGCGGGCGATCCAACGCGGCCGATGGCTTACTTTTGGACATCTTGGACGCGATGCAGAGGTCGAAACGGGATGGATCCGCGCGTCGCGGGCCGTCGTGGGGCGTCGTGGTCCCGCAGGGAGAAAGCAATTTGGGCATTCACCGCCAAGCCCATGGTCACACCCCCACGCCGAGCCCTGCATTCTTCAACCCTCGACTCCCGCGCAAAGAGGAGGAGCGCTCTGCCATCATAGCGCTCTCTGCTCCAGCGTAATCCGACTAAGCACAGTCGGAGAATTCCTTCTGCCCTTTCATCTACTCTGCGTCGAGCTTCGTTGAGCTTTTTTCGAGCTTTGTCGAGCTCTAACTGCCCCCACCACCACTCTTCATCCCGCACCTGCACCCGCACCCGCACCCTCAAAATGGCCGCCCGCCATTCTACCTGGACGCTGTCCTACCGCGAACGTGCCGCGCATCCATCCATTGGGCCCCTCGCCCAATACCTCCTCCGCCTCATCTCCATCAAGAAGACAAACTTGTGCCTCTCCGCCGACGTTGAGACCTCCGCGGAGCTCATTGCCCTCGCCGACGAGGTGGGCGACTCGATATGCATATTAAAGACTCACTGCGACATCGTCACCGACTGGACAGAGCGCACCGCCAAAGCACTACGCACCCTAGCCCAGAAAAAATACTTTGTGATATTCGAAGATCGTAAGTTTGCTGATATTGGAGGTACTGTCCAGAAACAGTACACCTCGGGCTACCACCGCATCGCAAACTGGGCCGAGATCACGAACGCACACATTCTCCCCGGCCCTGCCATCGTTACTGCCCTCCACCAAGCTGCCACCCAGACTATTCAGAAATACAACACTACCGTGCACACCGAGATCTCAGCCTCTCCTCCGCCCTCAATAGCTAATGGCGATGACGGTGACAACAACAACAACCACAACGGTGGCGACGACGACGGCGACGACAACGATGACCAGGTCGACAACGAGGTTGCTGTCGAATCACCCCCAGAGATGGAAGGTGCCGATGACAGACGCTTGAGCATCAAGCCCATGGACCGCAAGCATAGTGTCGTCAGCATCAGCACAACTATTTCCACGCGGACAGAGAGCATATCCCCGCGGCCACAGCCTGACTTCCACCCAGATGAGGTTTTTGCCCTCGACACCCCCACGCTTCTGTCCCGGCTTGGCGAGCCACCTTTCCTGCGCTCGCTCCTCCTACTTGCCGAAATGAGCTCCGCAGGCCACCTCTTGACACCCGAGTATTCGCGGAAGTGCGTAGACATCGCACGACAAAACCGCGAGTTCGTCATGGGTTTCATTGCTCAGCGGAGTCTCAACACCGAACCTGAGGACAACTTCTTGACCATGACTCCCGGATGCCAGTTGCCTCCGCCAGGCCAAGAGGGGAAGAAGCTAGGCGACGGATTGGGCCAGCAATACAACACACCGAAGAGCCTGATCTATGACAAGGGCTGCGACGTCATCATCGTCGGTCGCGGTATCGTGAACGCGCCGAATCGGCGAGCAGAGGCGGCGCGCTACCGCAGTGAGGGGTGGAAAGCATACGAGGAGCGGATTGGGGTTAAGAAGGGGTAGAGACTTCCCTCACCCTTATTCTTATCCCACGCACTTAGAGCCCAACCCATTGAACCTTAGAAACGGAGAGGCTTGCGCTGATTATGTGCAATCCTCAGGTTTCATTCAGCAGACTATGCGCTTTTGTCTCGCGCCCAAGGACATGCGACTCGCCCAATATCCCTCTCGTTACGTAAGATGAAGAACACCATCATGCAGTCGGAAAAGGAAAAGGAGAAGGAGAAGCAGAAGGAAAAGGAAAATGGTCAAGAAAAGGAAATTTTGCATTTTACGGCGTATGCGAATTGGCGTGGAATGATTTAGCACCATGTGGGGCTAGGCCTGGGCATTGGTAACGGGAACACGCCCGCCATGGAGAGCAGGTCATGTGCTCGAAAATCGGGCACAGTTGGCAATTAGGAGGGCCTTCGGGTAGTCTGGAGTTTTAGCCAGGGATCGATCGGGATGGTGGCGGGAGGAAATGTTGATGCATAGCTGGGTAGTTCTTGGCGTTTACTTTACCATAGTTCTAGCTTTCGAGTGTATATCAAGTTATAGCATGTTAGCGTATACCACGGAATACAACTAGAGTAGATTTAAGCTGTTAGGTATGAAGTAGTTCCATATCACAGAAACCGGAATTATTATTAGACAGATAATCCGATGCCCACTGATATCGCTCACTAGTAGGTATGTATATCTATACTCCTCTACCTGGGGAATCTGATATAATGGTGGGGTTAAGAATATCCTCAAAGAAACACTTATCCTCGCGCATGCATGCTTTTACTTCCCACAACACTCCGAACCAACCGCCCTCCCGGCCTTTTCAAACTGCTTGTCCTTCACCCCGTCTTCGCCTTCACAGGCGCCATCCCATACTGCCCAATGACCGCCATTCCTATGAAAGCCGCCAGACAACTGAACACCAATGCCACAATCCCCCTCGCCGTGAAACCCGCTGGAAGGGGGCTCGGACTCTTATTCTGGCCCGTTAGATCAAGTAGATTTTTCGTATTCCCTGCGGCATTGCCTTCACTGGGCGTGTTGCTATCCTTGCACGCTTGGAGGTGGTTGGCGGGGATTTTCCCGGCGAGTTGGGCTTGCAGGGTGAGAGGGTCTTCGATAATTGTGGCAACGAGGCCAGAGGCTACGTGCCATTCGATGTGGCAATGGAAGAGCCAGACACCGGGGTTGGTGGCTCGGAAGCGGAGGACAATGTGGCCGTTCGGTCGGACAAGGACTGTGTCACGCCGCATGGGAGTTGGTGGCATGGAGGAGTCGGAGATGTAGGCGCCGGCTTCGTCTTCGGAGCGAGATACTACTTGAAATTCGTGGCCGTGGAGATGGAAGGGGTGTCTGAATATCTGGTTAGGGAGCGGGAGAGAGATAGGGAGGTAGAATATGAATGCTTACTTTCCTGGATCATTATTATTTAGGATGATCTCGACGGTTTCATTGCCCTTTAGGAGGATTTGGTTGGTATTGCCGCCGTAGATGACGGGATTGGTGGCTTCAGATCCGCTTGTGAGGACTGTGTAAAGGGTTGGGACTTTGGCTCGGACGAAGGTAACATCGTTGAAGAAGGCACTGGGATGAGGTCAGTCGCGTGTCCTCCATAGAAGGTGATGGACTTACTAGTTTGCGCCATCCCCAAGATTATCCATCTTCATATCCAGAGTGACCGAATGATCCACCTTGTCAAGAATCCCCTGCTTATCCTCCGGGACGAGGGTGAAATCATCAAAAGGCTCAAAGGCATTGATTTCCTTGGCTGCAGGCTTCTCCTTCTTCTCATCATACACCAACCAGCCGGTCACATTTGGGTTGAGACCCGCTGGAACCACATCAAAGAGATCCTAGGCGTACGATCGTCAGCACTAATTCACGCTAAAAGTCTTGAGCATCTGCGCCGAGACGATGGCAAAGCTTGATACTAAGATGCAGATTCTTACCTGATCCATACTCCCCACAAACGCAAAGTTGGCGTCGGTACTGTTCTTCGCCGTGATGAGCACGCTGTAACGCTGGGCTGCTGTCATGTATAGCATGTTGGCTTCGGTCGGCTCGGTGTAGATGCCGTCGACTTCGACAATTTTCATCGTGTGACCTTCGAACCAGACGTACTGCGCCGCAAAAGCACCCATGTTCACCATCCGAACGAGGTAGGTTTTCCCAGGTTGAATGGAGACTGTAAGATTCTGCGTGTCGTTGACGAGGGCGGCATTGGGGACAGGCTCAGCGCCAGACGGGTTCCTGATGCTGATGAAGTCGGTAAGCAACGGGCCCATCATGCCATGGTACCAGTCAGAGAAGGATATGACAATTTCCTCGTCATAGAGATCTTTGTGAGGGGAGTCGGGGTCATGGACGATAAGTGGCGCACGTATGCCGTCTGGATATTGTCCCTTCGTGTGAGAGTGGTACCAGTAGGTCCCTGGTTGATCAATCTGTGTGTCAATTAGCACTCTTCGATGGGCTCCATACAACGCAATGGATCGATGCTTACCGTGAAATTGTACGTGAAGGAGCCTCCCGGAGGAATTGGACACTGTGTGACCTGAATTGGTCCATCCATGTGGTTGGTACCAAACTGAAATAACCCATGGAAGTGAAGGCTGGTCGTCTCGTTCCCAAGAGAATTTTTGACGTTGACAACGACACGATCCCCCTTGGTCGCAGTAATGGGAGGGAGCGGCCACTTGCCATTGACTCCAATCACCGGGCGATTATAGACGCCATCCGGATTTGCATAGACCCAGGAGACGTCAAAATCGTAGGTGACGGTGGCAGCGTACACTGCGGTCAAGAAGAAGGATATTGAAAGTAGAAAGCTGGACAGAGACATAGCCATGATAGTCACGACTAGGGAAATAATGAAATTCCCATTAACATAAGCAGGAAGAGGGAATCAGCAGCGCCGACCGGGTGAATTGCTCTCAAGATGTAACAGCAGCAGCGAGGTGTATGCGGGGCACCAGAAAGGGAAACTGATGGAAAAGATTAGATTGATAACGGAAACTGACGATGATCTGATAAATTAGCCACGCTTACCAAAAGCAACCACAAATCGTGGGAAAATCCGAGCTTCGGCAGCTTTATCTGATCAGCTGCTAATATGCCAAGCAGTTTTGAGAAGGTCGGCGACGTGAAAGGAAGGGTTCCCTGGAGTGTCCCTGTGGTGATTTGCCGCTTGGGTAAAACGGAAGCCGTGGTTGGAGCAATGGGGTGGGAGAATGCCAGTCTGAGCGACGGAAAAGGGTGCAGGGGCAATGCCGCTTGAACTCGGAGCGAAGGAAGTTTAGGCGAGGTTGGGAGGAATTGACGGCGGAAAAGCTGCACCACGCTCACGGGATGGCAATGGGCTTGTTTTATCAGATCAGACCATCTGATAACTTATGCGGCATTTTGTTGATGCTTTTGGGTTCATCTGCAGGCTAGCCAAATGAACGAGGTCCAGGACAGGCGAGCGCTAGAGCACCAGTGGTCGTGTGCGCAGGTCACACACAGGTCTTGAACGGGAGGGTTCTTGGCAAATACGATCGACTTTTTCAGTGTTCGAATTTTGTTCAGCACTGTGTAGAATGTAGGAGAGGACTCCGACCCTCGAGCAGACGATGATAGGTTCCGTGTTGCTGTTGTAGCCACGTGGATGCCGCACAGCATGTATCCGGGAGGAATGTCAATGTGAATCGTCGCTGGGGAGTTTATGTGCCATCAGCTGGCCCGCCGGGGCGCCAGATTTTCAGATGCCAGAAGCAATATCGATGGCTGCAGCCGAGAACTGCGATTCGTCTATGCGTCCCGAAATCGGCCCTGGATGCATGCATGATGCGGCACTTGTGGTGCGAGCAGTCATCTCACCTGCCGTCTGTCAATTCAGCAATTGTTATCTGATCCCCGCAACGGTCGCCTTTATCTGATCGCCCCTTTCCCACCACTGTCCTTCTGCATCAACCTTTGCCCGCTTGCCAAGACCCTTTGTAGTATCAGATCACGAGCTGCATGCTCGCCCTTGGAGTCTTCGGAAGATGCCTAACGTTTTCGCAGTCCCAGGTGAGACTTCCCATTACACACGCAGGCTGGTGTGTAGCGTTCCTCCTTCCAGAGTTGCTAACAACAGCAGTCTTTTTCATTTGTTTTCGAGAATGTCTAGAGACGAGCATCATTGTGTCTGTACTCTTGGCGTTCCTGAAGCAGTCGTTGGGGCCTGAGCATGATGCTGCAGTACGGAAAAGGCTGGTCAGGCAGGTGAGTGACCACGACCTACCTTCGATTGATCCATTCTGACCTAATTAGATTTGGCTTGGCGTTATATTGGGTCTATTCATATGTGTTGTCATCGGTGCTGGCCTAATTGGCGCCTTCTACAAGGCCGGGAAACAGGCCTTCGACGCGGCAGAGTTCTTATGGGAAGGTATTTTCGCCCTCATAGCGTCCATCATCATCACTTTGATGGGCGCCGCTCTGTTGCGCGTGAATAAGATGCAGGACAAGTGGCGCACCAAGATCGCCAAAGCCCTCGAGGACAAGGACTCGTCACCTTTGCCCTTAACTGGCCGCCTCAAGAGATGGTGCCAGAAATATGCGATGTTTCTGCTACCATTCGTTACCGTTCTGCGAGAGGGTATCGAAGCCGTGCTCTTCATTGGTGGTGTGGGGCTTGGGTTGCCCGCGACTTCCTTTCCCTTGGCAGTCATTTGCGGTCTGCTTGCTGGTGCGGTTATCGGTTACTTGATATATAAGTACGATGCACCCTTGTCGATAGGGAGCTCCGAAGCTGACCAGTCCCAGGGGAGGAAACCGTACCTCGTTGCAGATCTTTCTGATCATCTCAACTTGCTTCTTGTACCTCATCGCCGCCGGTCTGTTTTCCAAGGGCATCTGGGACTTCGAAGCACATGCCGTACGTACACCTCACGCGGGCATGGCAGATAAAGCTAACCGTTACAGTGGGGGAAGATTGCAGGCGAAGGTGCACTTGAAGCTGGCTCCGGGCCAGGCTCATACGATATCCGTAAAAGCGTCTGGCATGTAAACGTGAGTCTGATATCTACACATCCGACAGAATCCGTACTAAACGTTAGCCAGTGCTGCACCCCAGGATCCAAAGGCGACGGCGGCTGGGGGGTTTTTAACTCTCTTTTTGGTTGGCAAAATTCCGCCACTTATGGCTCTGTCATTTCATACAATCTATACTGGCTCGTCATCATCGCCGGCTTCCTTATGCTAGGATATAAGGAACGAAGCGGTCACTGGCCCCTTCAGAAGCCAGCTGCTGTTGCCGAAGACGTTCAAAGCCAGAGCGATGGGAGCAGTGGAGTGGGTGAGAAGAAGCAGGAGGGTGCGGCGACTTCGAACGTCCGCGAGATTCAGGCATGAGGGGGGTTTCGCAGGGGAAAGTGCATAAGATGAGAACAAGGTCCAGCAAGCATTCGACCAAGACTTAGAGCAGCGCCAGCAGTAGCTGAGGTCGGTAGTCAGACTCTTTGCCAGACTCTAGCATGTGGGGACGGATGAAGAAAAGCGGACTTGCCGTCATTCATACAAACTAATAGGAAGCATACCTTCGGATGGATACGAATAAAAACAAAACTCTTTTAATCTGCTGCACATAGCCTAGGAATCTAGAGGAATCTAGAGGAGATACTCAGGGGACTGTTTAGGGATTACTCAAGTGGAAAGTAGAGATCGTGATGATGTAATCGAAAGTGTGGTGTGTTTTCAGTTGGTGCAGGGCGTGGTGAAGCCGTTATTGGCTCTCTCTATTGGTCGGAAGGTGTGGCGGAGTGGCGTCGCTGAGGGAAGGCAGAATTCCTGACCTGGGGGCGACTGCGCCGCCACACCGCCTTCAACCTATTCTCCAACACAGCGTATCGCCTGCTACACTACTCGACATGGCTTGGCCATATCCGTGAACGAAAACGCCTCTTCCACACTTCTCTGACGCCGTTCTGCATTGCGAATATGCTGGAAGCGGAAGATCCGATGGACATCGCCCCTGGTGGGGACCTGATCCTCGAGGTCCGTCAGGATGAAGGAAGCGGCGCGTTTTCGTATCGCGTTGAGTCCAAGATGCTCCGGCAGAACTCGCGATATTTTGACAGTCTGCTGAGTGGCCGTTTCAGTGAGGGCCAACAACTGTCTGCAGCGCTTGAAGCTCTCAAGATAGACGGGCACCCCGAGATTGCACATGCTCCCGCAGATACCCTTCCTCGTATCCCTATTGTCAACGTTGGGAGGATATCTAAAGTGTCTACGATCCAGACTCTTACCGCAGATTTTCTTAGAGCTCTCCACGGGCACGACCTCGCTGTCACGAACCCTCCCGTAGCCAACCTAGCCAACCTCGCAGTTGTAGCCGATCGATTCGATGCCCATGCACATCTTGCAAGATACGTTCAACGGAAGAAATATCTGCATGCTATTGACGCCAAGACGAGAGGCAAACCTAGCACAGGCATGTCCGAGGAGAGGGTGCGGCAGAAGCTGCTGATCGGATTGCTGTTGGATCATCCACCATGGGTCACTCGGTACTCTAAGCAGCTCATGCTGCGCGATTCAGAGCAGTGGAAACCAGACTTTGAGGCGAACGACAAGACAGCTATGTGGTGGGACATGCCAGGTGCAGTGGAAGGTGCAGTGGCCGATCCACCTGGCGAAGCCAATATTGACGCGAGCAGACGAGATGATCCAGCGACGGGAGTATATCCTCGAAACCGTCAATTCCCTTCAGTCGCACTTTCTCAAACTCTACACTTCTGGGGAAAGGCAATGCAAGTTGGGCTATGACTCTTCGATTCAATGCGACTCCTTTCAGCTCGGGGAGATGGTTCGATTCTTCACCAAGCTGGGCACGCTTCGATTGCAGGGAACCATTTATGACCCTGCCGAACCCGATCATTACTCCGGGGATATCAACAGACTTTTGGAATCCCTCCGCCAATGCTCATCTTATCAGGTGGACCGAAACCATTCCCACTGTGGCCTGCGAGTTAGGCTTCTTCCTCTGCTCGACTTGATCCAAATTCACCTTAGCCTGGACACTGGAAGCTTAGATATCGGCATCTGTGGTGAATGTTGGAGTCGCAATAGGCCATCGTATGCCTGGTCGTTAGCAAAGCGACCGGTCTTGTGGACTCAGTCCAGGTCTTTGACCGGTAATCGCACCCTCGCTTCGCTGCCCAAAAAGAAAGTCCAGACAAGAGAGCATCAAGGAAGCCCGGGTAGCTGCCTCCCCAGGCATCTTATCGTAAGGGACATGTTCATGGCAGCCGAAAGAGATTGGACTGCTAGAGACGCCGACAGCATATTAGCGCCGACGACGGAGCCTAAATAGGAAAAATTGCACTGTCATATCTCTGTTAGGTGTAAGGAGAGTTAAGCGAATGCAAATTTGTGACATGAACTATGCAAGCATGTTATAGCAAGGGCGGAACTGAGGCTGACTCAAGGCCCCGATGAGAGGATGGGTCCAGGGTTGAGCTTTCTAGATAATGGTACCTGGAGCTGATTTGCAGCCTCCCCACGAGCGAGGCTGGTCTGTGCCTTACCATTCCTTTGGGGTCAGCCCCTCAACCCTACCGCTGAATGAAGGGAGGAATTCTACCTTTGGCCCCATAGACATTTGAAAAGACTCTGATATGTACAGTGGCCCTATGGCCTTTCCAATCCGATCCTGAATTAGACAAGTAAATCTGCCTCAATCTGCCTCAATCTGCCTCACAATGCCTTGAATGGCCATTGACCAGATCATTTGCACACTGAATGGAAAGGCATAATCAGAAGCAGCTGCTGAACATGGATCGAGAGTGGATCGCCATGGTAGCCCTTTGGCAGTGCTAACCGCTGTGCAGTAGTTCTTTTGCGGATGGAAGCGGTTTATCTAGCTCGGCAGCGGCAATGGCGACTAATCAACGTTTCTTCGACAGCGTCATTCGCCAACAAGGCGATCTTAAGGGAGCTCGTGATCGCTTGTGAAAGGCTATGGATGGGGCTGTGCACGGCTCCGCCACTACTCTTGGCACGCAAACTCCTTATTGAGATCACCGCGAGAAGCCCCCGTGAAGCGTTTGCGCCACGAGCCATATGCCTGTTCAGATGACACAGTACCTGTCTGAGCTCCTGTGTCTGAAAGCAGTCTGTGGCTGGTGTTTAGCAGAGGGCAGACCCAAGGCAGAAAGATGCCCCCTCGGCGAGCACCTCGCCCCAAGGCCAGGTAGTATAAATCATGAAGTCTAACCGCGGATGAATCGGCCTGTATGTCCTTGCGACTGTATAATAATCCGCTCAAATAAACTTTTCTTATCACGAGACTATTTGTGTTTGCTATTCTCAAGGCGATTTGCTCCTGCAGCTTACAATGTCTCTCACTACCCCAACACTTTTCAACCATCACAGTCCGCCCAGGGCTTCAGAACTTCGACACATTCCAGTCAGACAACCAAGCATGTTCGGCACGCTCAAGAAAGCGCTCTCACGAAGAGGGTCAAATCCACTTAGCTCCTCTAAGTCCGCAAATCTATCGCCGACTTCTCCAAGCGGCCATCTTGCCACCCCGCGCAGCAACAATCCCTTCAGTTCAAGATCTCCAGCTACTCGTCGACCAAGTCAGTATACGCTGCTTTTCGTTTTTATGGCCAAAATTGACGTTTTACAGATAGCAGCACGCCACTAAACGAACCCCCACCTGCCTATACAGCAGGCCCTGCTGCGCCGGCCAACCGTGAACCTCCAGTGACTTCCACAGTCGATGACCCATTCCATTTTCTCAGAACCTTCAACACCATCTTCCTTATCGATGACTCCGGTTCTATGGCCGGCCGTTCGTGGCGAGAGACAGGCAAGGCTCTGGAGCTCATCACCCCAATCTGCACCCAGCGCGACGCTGATGGTATTGACATCTACTTCCTGAATCACCCTGATTCGGATTACTATAAAAATGTCACGCTTCCGGGAACTGTGGTCGAGATCTTCCAAAATGTTCGACCCAGCGGCTCAACCCCAACTGGCCAGCGTCTCTACCAGATCCTTCGTCCATATCTTAACGAGTATGAAAAAGCTCGAGAGAACGAGAAGCCAAAACCCCTCAACATTATTGTTATCACTGATGGTGAGCCGTCCGACGATGTCGAGAGTCCCATCATCGAGGCTGCCGAGGAGCTTGATCAGTGGAAGGCACCAGCCTGGCAGGTCGGCATCCAATTCTTTCAAGTAGGCAAGGAGCCTGGTGCGCGTGAGCATCTCAAGCTACTCGATGACAAACTCCGAGAGTTTTCTGGCAATCCCAAGCTCAGGGATATTGTAGACACGGTACCATTCACCGGCAACGATCATGAGGAGCTCACTGCCGCCGGAATACTTAAGGCTGTGCTGGGTGCGGTAACCAGACGTCTAGACAGGAGATCGAAGGAGCTGCATCGGGCAAAAGATTATTCTTCTTCTTACGAGTAGAACGCCGCACTTCATCTCAACTAAGGCTTTCAACCCCGGGTAATAGGCTGTTCTACACTGTATCTCACTTCATCCTTTCCGATGAATTTCCCCTTTGCTTGTATCTACTAGGGCTATGGTTTGCGGGTTAGCTTTGGCGGACAACGTATGCTTTCACACGACGTAAAACGTATTCCAATTTCCTTCTGTTGAAAATTTGTTCAGCGGGCTGAGTAACCCAGGTTCTCTGCAAACTATACCGGAACTCACGTTCTAGTATATCTGCAAATCAAGAGCTAAAATTCAGCATCGCAGTAGAGAGTCAGGAAAGCAGCGGGTTCCGCTTGATTGTTTTTCACATAGTCATCACGCTCATACGGTCCACATAAATAGAGGAACCCTTATAGGTTGGCTTCGTACCTTTCGGCTTCAATTGATCTTCATTGCATCCAAAACTTTGCATTAAAGCCGGTGTCCTCTCTTAATTCGCTGTATTTCATACTGGAATAATATTCCTCAACACCGTGGAATGGCGTAATAAAGAGGGATCAGTAGCCAGTCAAGTACTGACAAGACTCCAGCTGAAAACGCCTCACAAGGCAGATTCTCAATCGTTTTATCTCCGTCGAGATCCGTTCTCAATTCTGTCCTCCCATTTCCCCTTTCTAATTTCCGGTACCCTCTCGGCAGTAATTGCATAAATTCTTTCTTAGGATTTCATGGTTTTTCGGGTTATCTTCCATAGAGGGGTTGGTGCCTCGTAAGGCAGACTGGAGACGCGCCAGCCGTATCATACTGATATTCCTTTTGCACCAATAACAAATAACCAAGCTTTTTGCCGGGGCTACTCTTACTATTAGGAGCACAGAGTCCCCAATTTGGCGTCAACCGGTGAATATGGCATGGCCGAAAGGATATGGATAGACCACGCCGGCGCTGACACTGCAGGTGGTCGACCACATCACATGCGCCTAGCGTCTCCTCGGATAGCACACCACTTGCAGCCACGAATGTCTAGTGGTGCGATATGGTGACAATGGTCATTCGAAACCTAGAAGGTATTGCATATGGTGAGAATGCCGCAATGAGTGCTTAGGACTGCAGAAGCAGAGAATTAGGCTTCTAGATTCTGCCTTGTACAAACTTTGAATAAAAATTCGCTACTACGCGTGAATGTAACGAAGGAAGAGGCGAAAACGCTGCAGCGCGTCGAATTTTCTGTTAGGCTGATCAATATGCATTGATACAATCGTGTCGCATGTGGCTTCTCGATCTTGAATTTCTTCTCCAAGGGCACTCTCCATATGTTGGGGTGGGGATTTTCCCAGTTGGACCACTACAGTCTAGCCGTCGCACTCCTCGATGGTTTCGATGGTCTGTTCAGACCTTCACCACTGCGTCTAGGTGAAAGAAATCTGGGAGACCACCAAAGCGTGCAGCGCTCCCCAACCGCCAAATCGTGCTCTCCATCTTTTACCACTAAAATTATTCAAGAACTTCTCATTCCGTACCCTGTATATTGAAAACAATTTTTAAAACCCTCTATAATAACTCAACTTGACGCCGGGATGGTTTGACGGGAAAGTCTACACCTTTCCAATGTTTCACACCATCTATCCGAGAAGGGAAATAACCCTTCCCTTCTTGAGTGCGCGAGTTCGAGTAGGTGTTGTTTGAGTGTAGGGTTCAATGACCGACAACAGAAAACCCTTCAAGGGTATATCTGGGCTCAATAACTGTTGAGTTTCTTTTTGCAAAATTTTCTTAACTATGTTTCATTATTACAAAGGATCTTTAAAGTTAGGGAAAAGTAATAGTCGAATGTAGGGGTTTTTTGGGCACTTTCTCTAGTGGTTGAACAAAGCGCAAACAGTGAAGGCGAGGGTAACTAAAATTGCAAACACTATATGTACCACAAATAAAAGATCCCTCGTGGGGACCCTTCCCCTGTTAATATTCCTGACGGCCAGCTTCACTAAGCTTAAAAGGTGCATAATGAATGTTAGGAGAAGAGTTCATATTTCTCCCCGGAGAAACGAAGTCTAGCAACCTAAGGGGCCCATTCACGAGCACATACATGGCCCCCCCCTCTACCGGTCAGGCAAAAAGTGGAGTTGGTGATACTGCGAAGTAAGCGTCAGCATTTCATATGTGCAGTCTGCCATGACTAAGATGAGCGCCCTCTCTGAGGATGAAACACTCTCCATAGGCTTGACGTGCTATGGGGGTTCTTCTCGCTTGAGGCAACCTATCCTACCGCATAGGTGTCTAGGTGTTACCACCACCATTATTAGACATTCCGAACATTAGTCGGCGTTGAATAGAGTGCTAAAGGGAAGGCGTCGTTGCACTGGGTCTCCATTCATGGATTTCCGTACCGAAGAGGTGGTCTTTATCTACGGCTTAAATGCTTGATGTAGCGCGGAAACCAATTAATGAGCAGACTGCGGTACCCGTGCTATTTGGGGCTGCTCGTCAGTCTCTGTACGCTCTTTTTGCCACTATACTGGGTGGATAGGCCCCGCTGGGGCTCAGCGAGTCCTGTCCCCAGCCGACAATAAACTGATTACAACCAGTTTGTCCGTAACTAATTTCCTCTGTGAGACGTGCATCTTGTGCCAGCGGGTTGACAGACCCCCTCAGACAGCCAGTTTTCTGTAAGCAAACTTCAGTGCATGGTCAGCACAATCACCGATTATCTTTGATATAGGTGGGCATCTCTGCGGGTTGCATCGGGACGGGACGGCTATGAATTAAAGGACCCTCCAGCTCTATAGTTTCTAGGCTTGCCAATGCAGATAGCTCTCATCTTTTTAGTGAACGGTAGGTATGGGGCCTGCGCCGAGAGTCTTGGGGTTATAAAGCCCAGCATCTGATTCTATACAGGGCCCATGTGTGTGGAGATCTACTGTCGAAAAAACCCCGCGGGTTACACAAGTGAAAGGCTAGAGCTCCGTACCACCCACTCCGCCACCACAACCAAAAAGGTACGAATAATCAACCAAGGGTCGATTCACGTGTAGGATAGTAACTATATATATGCCTTACAATAGTGAGTACGTGGCTGGACCATCCGATGACACGTTGTAATGCTCATGCAGAATGATATAGGAAGAACAGGTTAGCAGTGAGGCCGATCCCCAAGTTTTAGGGCGACAAAGTTAGATCTGACCTCCACAGCACGAAAATATTGAGCACAGCTTTGGGGTGGCTCTGGTATTGCTTGGAAAGTCCGAGAATGCACACCGTGTCGCTTCATCATCATGTGTGTGTGGCTGTATCTAGAAATGTCTGTATTTGACGGTCATGCCAACGCGCAGATGGCCGAAAAACAAGTTCACGCGGTCCAGATTGTCGGCCTCAGAAACATCGGCAAGGGCTCTAAGGTTGACTAACTCCGTCCGTCACCGGCAATCTAAACAGCTGCCTAAGTCTCGAGGACACCGTGAAGTCAGTACCTGTAAATGACAATCGAACTTAATAATCAGCGACAGGACTACATTCCTCCCCCTTCGTTCTGCCACGTCCGCATCACCCGAAATCAGGACCGACAATGGCATCAAAATCCGCAAGGAATCTCCAAGCTCAGCTTCCCGGAGAGGTTCGTCATATTTGCCGAAAGATTTTTTGGAGCCTCTCCCCACAAGACTATCCTAGAATTAACGTGGGGTTTTCTCGGTTCCTAATTCCTAGATCATGTCTGGAGATGCACCGGGACTCTGCTTATTCCCGCCCCTGCGTCTCTTTTGAAACCTTTGTATGAGACTCAATTAATTTTTGCGTTCGGTGCAATTCTAGGTCCTGCGGGGCTTGGAAAACTTCTCTCTTCTCATTCACCTCGCCCACCTCTTTCCAAGCCTCATGACTGACTTGTCATACTCTACCAGCACCTTCTATTGCGAAAGCCGTCATTTTCCACACGCGTATGAATCTAGGATTCGCCTTGACCTCCTCTTTAATGCTGTCGTATGCTTAATGTCGCTTGACATACCGTCGTCGAACTGGAATCTGCGGAAGCGTTTCCAAGGTCCACATTCCCCAAATTGGACATGTGCGCACGGTCCTCGTCTCTGCAGGATGCACCTAAAGCTCCGATGAATATCTATCTGGTGCAAAAATCGGTGGAATTCCTTGGCAACACAACGATTTTCCCTGCGCGCGTACAAACTCACATACAAACTGTGAATTTACTTATTTTATATAAGAATTATGCAACAACTATCTAATAATTGTTAGTAAAACTTAAGGCTATACAAATATGTGTAAAGGGGTATACTAACGCGTTTTTTAGAGTTATAGTTTTATGTTTTAAGCCTATAGCGTCTCTACAAGGCCTCTCACGCCCGCGCAGGCGCGTCGCGCTTCTAAGATCCCTAGAGAGCTTATAACTAAAGGCTGCAGCCTTAATCTACGCTGGAGAATTAAAATATATTGCTTTTTGCTGCTAGGCTAGCGTTACAACTCTATTGCTAGTCATGTTAGTGTGTTGCAGTTAGAGGTGTACGCAATTAAGCGCAACTTAAAGCTGCACAGCAGCACTTGCAAACTAAGTGATCTAAACGCTATACTTAGCCGCCTACGTAAAATAGGACCTAAAGATAAGTAAGCCTTATTTAATAAGCTCTATTAAAGCAGCTAGATGTATTATAACAAGATAGCTTACTAGTTATAGATAGAAAGAGGCGTTAAAGTACACTAGTTAATAGTTACTTAGCTACTTAATAATTACAGCTAGAGTAAGCAAGCGCTGCGTCCTATCTTTATACTTTGTAATAAAGAGCTTTATAAGAGCTATTGCTGCTGTATAAGGCAGTTTACTACTGCTAATCTAGTGTTTCTAGATAAGTCTATCTTTAGTAAGAAGACTAGTTAGCGGCACTACACCTACGCGCTAATAGGCTCCACAAACTGCTATATGTAGGACATTTAACAAGAGAAAACCTAGGCAGCCTTACCTGCGTTTACTATAAATAGGTACCTGCCTTGTACAGGCGTAAAAGAGGGCTATTTTAGCTATAAAGACTTTATAGATTAGATCTGCAAGTTGCTACTGCCTACCCTTTACATAGCGTACAGTAACAAGACTATAGTTGTAGTCCTTAACAACGTCTTAATTTATACAAACTAGGAGGTTGTAAGTAAGATTAAGCAAGCTAGCTATATTATTAGATATTTGCTGCTATACTTGCTAGACTATAACCTAATTAAGCTTACCTTTAGCGTCCTTAAAGCTTAGATTTGCAGGTACTATAGCTGCACACGTAGGTAATTTAACAACTTTAGCAACTTTCTAAGGGCAGCTATCTGCAAGAGTTAGTGTAATTAGTTTACAAAAAAGCACTTTAAGCACACTGCTAATAGCCTGTATAGGATAGAGAGCAAGGAGGCATTAATAGAGGCTAGGCACAAGATGTGGAGGTAGCAGTAGGGCAAGTAAGCAGTAGAGAGCATAAGGCAGAGAGAACAAGCGTTAATTATATAATAGGTATTATAGTATTAGTAACATAGTAACATTTTTCTAAAGCCTAACACCTGCAGTCCTGTCTCCTTAGTTTGTTACTCTACTACCTGCAGTGTTGTTATTACCTATGTTTATAAGTCTTATAGCAGCAGCAGTAGCAGCAGCAGCAGCTTAATAGTGCTGTTTAAACTTCCTAAGATTCTTTTAAAAGTGCCTAACTACTTTATCTTTTAGCTAGAAGCGCTTACTAACTACTACCTTATAGAGATCTTTACTAGAGTTTAATATCTCTTATAAATCTCTAACAGTCTACTGCTCTAAGATTGCTACATCTTACGCCTACTTATAGTCCTTATAATTGTCTTCTAGCTGCTAGGTAATAATCTACTTAAAAAACTCTTTTATAATTACTTTTATGTCCTCCTTGCTGCTTATAGGGCTTAAGCTTAGCACACAGGTAGAGAGCGCTGTTGCAGGTGTAATAGGACGCTAAGCAATTAGTAGCAGTAGTAACAGCAGTAAAGGCAAGTAAAGCTGCTGTAAATAAAGAGGATAAGTAGGCTAAGAGTAACTAGCAGCAGCAGCAGGGCTGTATAGATAGCCTATTAGTAGGCTAGGCTAGCTAAATCTAGGAAAGTTTAGCTGTAACCTTATATTTTTACGCTAGAGTTAAACTATCTTGCGCTGCTCCTCTTGCCACTAGGCATTGTCCTCTGCCTTTTGCCTAGCCTACTAACGCTTACGCTTTTTTAAAGTGCGCTAAAAATTGCGCTTAGAGTTGCTCTTACTAGCAGTAGAACTATAGCGCTTTTTGCTTTTACACCTGCTCTTTAGCTTTAGCTAGTTACTACTACTAGTAGGGCTTCTTTAGTAATTAATAAGCTAAATTAGAAGCGTAAGGAGCTCTACCTTACCTATAAGAATTACATTTGCCTAAGATTTTACATCTGCAGGCAAGACTTTATAGTGCTTAAAGTTAGCAGTAACCTAGCACTAGCACTTAAAGTTTAGGCACTCACTATTACTATAACGCTAGTGGCGGTGGAGTCTCTTCTTCTAGTCCTCCTGCGTGGCTATATCCTGCAATTGCTGTACCGCTCTTGCCTTGTTAAGCAGCTGCTAAGTACACCTTAGATTTTTTTTAAGTTGCAGCGTTAATAAGTTAGGTACATTAGACAAGGGCTTATTAGCATACTAATTACACTTAAAGGCTTTCTATAAAGCAAGCGCTTTAATAGTAACCTTAATGTTTACCTCTACTACTTAAGAAAGCAGCCCTTTACTAATTTAATAGTTAACCTGCTTAAAAAACTTCTCCTCCTTAGCTGCACTAAAATCTGCTAGTAAGTGCGTCACCTTTTGCGCCCTTAGGCCTACTTAAAAGTTAATTGTACGCTAAATAATCTTGTACTTATAGCCTTTAAGTTAAGCCTCTAGCATAGCTAGCAGCTTATTTACAACATTCTCTGCGTCCTCTAGCCACTATATAAAGTAATTGTGCTGCTCTAGTGCACAGTAAACAGCGCTCCTTCTATTAACAATTAGCTTATATTTAACCTTAAGATTGTACTCTAGTGCGTTTAACAGCAACAATAAGTTAGCAGAGCAAATAGGGGCAGCTGCTATAAGCGTAACACAGCCTGCTGTTAGCAAATTTAACTTAGTAGATAGATTAATAGTTACAGCCTTAGGCTATGTTTTAAGCGTTAGTAGCAGCAACAACAGTATAAAGTTACACTCTATTTACGTAGTAACAGGCGTAGTAACTTAAGCAGGGCTTGCCTAAGCAGCCGCTAGGCCCGCGTTAGCTGTTAAAGGCTCTATAAACCGCACCTAATTGCGCTATAAGCGCGTTGTCCGCCCTCTAGTACACTTTACAGCCTTTAGTTACGCCTTTATAGCTTTTTAACATAGTTTTGCTGCTTTCTTATGTGCTGCAATAGCTGCAGTAGCTGCAGCAGCAGCCGCTGCCTCTGCTGCAGTTACAGAGGGTATACGCGCCCTCTTTGGCCTCTCTATGAGCATATTAATAGACTACAACACTAAAAACGCGTTAGTATAGCTTCTATACACGTATTTGTATAGCCTTAAGTTGTACTAATAATTATTAGATAGTTATTACGCAATTCTTGCATAAAACAAGTAAATTCACAGTTTGTGTGTAAGTTTGTACGCGTGCAGGGAAAATTGTTGTGTTGCCAAGGAATTCCACCAATTTTTGCACCAGATAGATGTCGAATTCCGTTATTGTGCGTAGCGAATCGGAGAAAAGGCAAATGGTTTAACAAATAGTCTTGGCGACATGCTCAAGGGCTACCACGCTAGAATATCTCCTCAATTTGCCGTCTTACGTGGGAGACTCAATGGAAACTTTGGCTCGTTGAGTCTCTGGGCATCCATAGGCTCTCACGGTGCTAATTTCCTGACGAGAACTCTGGATCATGCACAGCTCCATTCGATACATCGATAGGCCCATAATCACGGCGTCAGCCTTGCTTTGATGTTGGTTATATCTTTGAAAAGGGTGACGAAATTTCTTTAGTCGATCGAAACCTAGAGTTACGGTCTTTTTTCTCACATGCGCATACCGAAAACTTTATAGGAGAGAGGGCCCGCCGTGCAGGAATGAGCTTCTTCCTCCTGTTCCCTTTCGAGTCGATTAAACTTCTTAATTTGACCGCGAGCTCCTGTCCTGAGTCGCTTTTGGCCGCCGCTGTCTCCCACTTCATGGCTTTCATTTCCAGAATCAAAGAAGGTATTTCCTCCGACTATTCCATCTAGCGTATTAGCCATGAATGCAAGAAAGCAAGCCGAACTGCTAGCATCATTCACACCCTGCTCGTAAACGTCCCTAAAGTCAAGGTCCCTACAATGGCGGTTGGCTTCTATGGCCCCTGACATTTCTCCAGAAAGCGACCCAGAGGTGTGGTAGGAAAAGAAAGGCGATTGGTATTCTCACTCTTGCTCGAAGCGCTGTCGTTCTAGTAATTTCGACCGGGCTATCGAATGCCCTAAATAACAACATCGATCTTAAGAAGAAACACACTGTTTTTGCTCTTGTCAATGTCGAATCGGGCGACATCACTGCTCCTCACTCATATGCTCTCAGCATTCTTGATCAAGAAAATCCTTCACCGGGCCATAACACCCTTCCTTGCTGCTTCAATAGGGCATCTTGCTATTGCTAGAGCTTCGGTTGGAAGACTAACTACGTCATCGATCAATCGCAAGAGCTCGTGTATCTCGGCTTGGCAAACTTCTTCAACTCCTGCTTTTTATCCATGGCGGTTGGAGGGGGGCTCTCGTGTACAGCCGTGATTTCCGGCACTGGTGTCAGATCCCCCGCATACGGTCTGATGCCTGGTGTATTTGTTCTTATCGCCATTTAAGTATGAGTCCAGCGTTATCTTAGTTTCCAAAGGTGACTCTGGCGGCAATAATGGTAGTGGTATATGGCAGATGATTGTGCCCCCAAAGGTATTCTATAGATACTGGAAGACCTTGGTCGACTTCACTGCGCAATGCTATCACTCTGGGTTACTATCTTCGCGGACACAGAGATGGGCATTTAATTGCGGTTGGCTTTCACGTCGCATACTGCATCCTTTTCTCCGCCTTCGCTCACGTCCAGAGAATTAAAGAGGTTCGCGAGAAACCTCAACGTCTTGACTCGGGTCAGCTTCGCCGCGCCAATGTGACTGACGTTCCTCCAGATTGTCAGGTATTCAAGTTCACCGAGCCAATACTTTTTGCGATTGCATACCATGTAAAAGGCCGATACTTTGACCTCATTTAAACATTTAACTCTCGACTTATAGAGTCTTATGAAGGTAAGAAAACAAACTGGGGCTGGAGCGTCTCCGGGGGAACGGAAACTCGGCCGACTCCGAGCTAAAGCCTAGACGGTAGATAAGCTTCCTCCGCTGCGGCTTTTGGTTTTGGATATGTCGATGGCTGGTCTCATTGATATGATAGGTCTCATTGCACTTGCGGATCTTAAAGCTGAAGTAGAAAACTTTGGTGGAAAGGGTGCCGACATCCGATTTGTGTCTATGAATCTGGAAGTTCGGGGTCGTTTTGAGAGATTCGGATGCTGATTTCATGATATGGGGGAATAAATTCAGGGAAATGGAGAACCCTTGAACGGAAATGTGGTGTATCCATGGGTTTCTAAAGCGCTGAGCAAGGGGGCTCGAGGCTTTGTCATCGAGGAAGATATTACATTCGGGAAAACAGAGAGTAGGCAGATTGAGAAGGTTTCTGTGGAGGAAACCGAGCAAGTTTGACGGAACATAGCGAGTGAGCTCAATCTTCTTGCCTACTTTGAGATCTGCTAGCTCTGCGAGCACGGCGGCTTTACCACGCAATGCCAGGCGATGGGGGGGAGGCAACGAGCTCTCTCTTTGCATGGGTTACACACAGATGAGCCTCGTCATTCTAGACCAACATATAAGGAGCGACTATGTTGAATATCCTGTTTTTCTGCATATTAGGCTTAATGTTCCGCCCTACTAACTGGGTGACTTGTAACGCTCACTCATCTCAATCTTGGACCGAATAATTGCCTTAAATCGCTGAGGTGAGTGGAGCGATGCCACAGCACTAGCAGCATCAGTTAACGCGCTGAGAAGCTCATTTGACAGAGCTTAAAACAGGGCAACCGATGCCCTCTTCGAAGGGAGATTGCGAAACGTATCAAGCATTGTGGGGAGCCGCACATCTACAAACAACCCGTGACGGCATATTTCCCTAAGTCCTCTAGGGAATTGGAGGATGCTTGCCTATGATAAATCTTGTCCGAACAGCTCGTTCCATAGGAGGCTAGGTTAGAATCTTGTATCGCAAGATACGACAACTGCTTAGGACTTTCCAGTCACTGATGTGATCTGCCACCGCGCTGGTCATGGAACACAAGGGTTGAGACTTTGTAGCACTGTGGCTAAAGATTGTCTAATTGTGGGCTCTCTTACTGTCTGCACTGGGACAAAGTCTTGGGTAGCTCCGTGCCTATACCCCTCACGGACCCTCCTCTAGAAACTTCATGGTCTGAATACTTGTAGGTTGTACTTGTTATTGTGACTGGCGCCTCAGGGTGGAAGGGGTTAGCCGAGTGGGACAGGAGTGGGTACTCTGGTGGGCGGTAGACCTTTGAGTAACGAAGTCGGATATGCACCTCCCCTAGTAGAGTATTATGGCCTTCCATGGTAAAAACTTTCTGAGCTCTCGGTGTCACCTGGGCGGATTCTGGAAGTTGGAAGACGCAGACTGCATGGTTGGTGCGACAAAGATGATCGGTGGCAAAATTCTGATTAGCAGGGTTGGAGAGACCTTTGAGGCTTTAGGTAGATATACATTGAATGACATAGTGCGAATTCACACGTTTTTCCTCCCGACTCTTCACCATTCGTGAGTTAACCTAGGCTCTGAATGTTCACGCGGTTCAGCGTGTCCACCAAATCGGTCTTCAATAGGTCGTCTTAACGAAATCGTTTTCATGACCCGGTGTTCCAAGTTATCTCCTCCAGCTTCTTCCTCTTCGTGAAGTTGCTATTGGCTGCTCCTGCTATGCATACAAGGTGCTGATGTTCTTTTCTGTACCATACAACACCCCTCAAACAGGATGAGAGCGACAAGATTCGCTAGACATAAGGGTAAAGAAAGGATGGGAATATCGGAAGGAAGTTTAGCTGGCCACGATACACACCCATGGGAGTTATCGATCTATTGAAAGAGTTGGAGGATATGTTTCTCGAAATAGTCAGTCCATAAAAGCTTGGCGCTTTCACTGGGCTTGAAGGTGATTCGAAGGCATTCTTAATAGGCTTCCGATTGGACACGAGCATGTCACTGTAATGGAAGCTACATGTGCTGTTGAAAGCGGGTCGGGTCCCGGCGTGAAATGTCCCATTGTGACAGACCCGAACCGCGGCCACGATTTTCACCTCCAACGAATGGGAAGGAATTACCTCAAGAAATTGAGAGCGGACAGGCGTGCAAGCGAAGGACCCGGAAGACTTACGACACCACGAACCTCCTGGGGCGTAGAGGACGAATCTCCGTCCTTCCTCATTACCTGTTCGCAAGACACAGCTTGAATGCAGAATCATTGATAATAGACGTCTGAACGCAGAAAGCATCGCTACGCCGCCAACAGAATGAGTGGAGAAGAACGATATGGCCAGACCTGTGAGATCTGTGCCGCCGCACTTGGAGCTGGCTGCAGATGAGGTGCAAATTAAGTTCAAAGAAGCGCGGAGTCCGGACAACGGCAAGTCGAGGCGATGTTGCGGCGGAACTCATTGGACGCATAATGACATGAGCCTTCCTGGTCTGGAAAGGACATTTGATGAAATGTGCGTTTTCAGGAATGGATAGAGTGTCAGAGACGTGCCATGCAGGCGTGACGAAGTTTCTGACGGAGAACTCAAATCATGCTTTTATCGATAAGGGGCATCTCACCAACCCGGCGCCTCGGCATCGCCTACCACAACCGGCAAAGAAAAAGAAACTCTGGGGTGGCCATATGCAGGAACTAAGCAGACCGTCTTCCAGAGTGCTCGTCTCTTAGGGGGAGGCGGCAAGACAAGAGGCTGACTGGTGGCTTTTCCCTCACGCCCCACCTCGGGAAGCGCCAATCTGGCCCAGCCAAGCGAAGCATGAAACACATTTCAACCAAGAGTCAATGAAACACCACCACCACTCGTTGGGAGAGAAAGTCAACTGGCGGCGGGCGCTCGCGAATCGCTGTTTCGAAACACAGCCGCTCCCCTCTCTTCCTGCAGATGGCCAGGTCGCTTACGCCGTGCTGCACGGAGATTGGCTGCGGCACAGTCAGGGGTCACAGCCAGATCCACGACCGCCCACTGGGAGCTTTATGGTAGTTTTCTTTAGTGGTGAAAGGCTGAAGACACGGTCATTCCAATCCGAAGGAAGGAAGCGGGGGCTTTCTGTGGATGAACCTAGAAACGCCCTGTAAGTCATGAGGAGGCGTAATAAATACTAGGGCAGTCGCACATCGTAGGGAGAGTATCACCTTCTGTAGCACGCTCTCTTTACGAAAGGCAAGCCCTGGTGTCAACATTCACTCATTTGTTACTACAATTCTTCAAACGCAGGATCGTTTCTTCTTTGAGCTTCACATTGTTACGACGGCCACACCTTCACTGCATCCCGCACCACAATTCTTCCTCTGACAACTGACCTCACCGGCCTCCTCCAACGTCGTTGCACAGAGCCCACTCCAGTCATTCATTTGTTGCTCTGCGGCTGTAAAGAGAACGCACACTCATTCTTTCCTTTCGAATTTTCCATACTCATCACTGGATAAAAAACCCCTTCTCAAAACTCACACATCATATTTGAAACCCCAAACCCCCCACAAGATATTTATCGAAATGTACGGAAAAGGTCTCGCGCTTCTCGCGCTGGTTACCGCCGCGCAGGCACACATGCACTTATTTTTCCCACCGACGCTTAAGGGTGATAACAATCCTTTCACCAAAGGCGATGCAGATCCCCTTCTCAATTACCCGTATGGTTGCTGTGGAAAGCCCAGTCCCGGGCCCTGCAAAGGCCATCTTGGACTCCTCGATACCGACGAAGGAAAGCCGGTCGTCACGTGGCAAGCCGGGCAGAAGGCCAACTTCTCCCTGTCAGGGTTGCAAATCAACACACCAACAGAAAATCCGTATGGAGGCAATCACTTCGGCGGGTCGTGTCAGGTGGGCCTAAGCTTGGATAAAGGCAAGACATTCAAGGTCGTCAGCACCTGGCAAGGTAACTGCCCTCTTCGTGAAGGCGGAGAGGACCCTGCCAACCAAGTGTTTGACTTTGTGGTGCCGGCAGACGTACCCGCAGGGAACGCAGTCTTTGCGTGGACGTGGGTGAATCGAGAAAAGGAGTTCAACATGAATTGCGCAAGCGTCGCAATCGCTGGCGGAAATGGCGAGAATCAACAGCAACCTGCTGCCTCCTCTAGCGCTCCAGCCCCTTCAAAGACCCAGTCCGCTCAGCATCCCGAATCGACCGGCGCGCAATACACGCTGAAGAGCTGCACCTGCGAGTGTCCGTCTCAGACCTACACCGACTCGTGTCAATGCACGTGCGAGTCCCCAGCTGTGAGCCGGCGGCTTGTTGAGCGTGAAGCTCTCACCCTGCATAAGCGCCGTCTGCAGCATGCTGAAAAAATGAAAGCACCCGTCCGACGTACAGAGGCCGTGGCCTTCAAGTCTCGACCTGACATGTTGATTAATATTGACTGGAAGGATAAGGAAGACGGCCAGTGCCACTCAGCGGGTAGTCCGTACGAACTCAAGTTCCCGGACCCGGGACCTACTGTTGTCCAAGGCGACGGCGAGTATCAGCTCAAGGAGCCTACTTGCTGAAAAGAATACATCTTTAAGACGAAGGGTGTTGAGCACCCTGCCTTATGAGCGGCTGCAATATCATGTCGCGGGCTCTTTATTCGGTGGAGTAGAATGGAGTGGAATGGTATATTTGACGCATTTTCTTGTTCAATACTTGTGTTCGCTTCTCACTTCCCTTTATGTCTGGGTTTCTAGTCTTATGTAAATGACTTGTACCCACTTGTACTGTTTCTGATTCCTTCCTTCATTAAATCTTGTTCTCGTTGTAAGTTAAGTGTTTAGGTGGAAATGACAAAAGTTATGGATGGGAACTACACTTCATGAAAGTCTCCTGTCTAAATTCTCTACATAAGGCACGATTTAACTTTCGCCCAAGTCGCCCTTAGTCCCTGTAGCTGTTCATCATCATTTTACAGGGGGTGTCAAGCAGAAAAACGCATCCTGGAAGGTGTCGTAGCGTATCAGCAAAGCTTTATGTACTATAGAGACTTCACCTCACTTATGTCCCAAACCACCACGATCTTAAAATTGGGTTAGAGTGCACCTTGACGTGTATTTGCTTCTTAAAGAAATCAAAGGGTGACCGCACAACGCCACGCTAATTGCAAACCAGAGTAAACGGAGCTAGAACCAGAACCAGATATTGCTTGTCAGCCATCTTCTCCCCGAACTTCGGTCGTTCTCTGCCTCATTACTCCTCCCTCCCACCTAATGCCTCACGCTCAAGCCCCAACAAACAAACCCCTAGGCCTGCCATCAAACCCACAAGCTGCAAACCTCCACCAGTCTCCCTTAACCCTCCCAAAAACATTCCTAAGCACCCACCCTACGGGCGTCGGAATCGGTGGGAAATGATGCACCCCACCCTCAAACGTAACGTCATGATTTAACAAAAATGCCGGCAACTGGGTGGTCTTCGACATGCTTCCCATCACCTTATCCGCCTCTTTCTGCGTGAGGGCCTTGAGATCGAGAGAGTCTCCAAATTGGGAGAGGGAGAGCAGAGAAGGAATTTCATCGACGAGATGGATGGATAGTGGGACGAGGAAGACGTCCATGAGTTGCACACACTTCTCGCCGCTAAATTTCTCCGTCCCCGTGCCGGAATTCAGCGCTTTCAGCCACTCGCCCCAAGCGTGGAAGCCCGAGTGAAACGCTTCGTGCTGCTTGACGTTACCGTCCATAAGTCCTTTAATCCCCGTCGCTTCCTCGATCGCGGGGAATAAATACGTTTCTTCCCCATGGTGATGCACTTCGAGTCCCTGGTAACAAGAATAGGAGTACGAGATGAAGGATGAGTAATCGGCAGGTTGGACGTATGGGGCCTGTTTGTAGATACTGTTGAAGGCGCGGGCGATGCAGTTGTGGACGAGGGCCATTTCGGAGGCGACAAAAGTATATTGGTCGGTCTGGAGAGTGATGTTAGTTGGGCGGGGAGAAGGGAGAGAGGGCTGACTTACAGCACCGGTTTTCGAGAACGGGGTCGAGATTAGTTGCATGGGGCCGTCTTCCCAGCCGTATTTGGGGGTTGAAGTGGAGGTTGTGGAGAACATTTTGGTATTATAGATTGGAACTGAGCTGGGAATGGAGACAGAGGATAATGAGATGATTGATATAAGAGACACCTAAGAAAGGAGATATGCTGAATTCTGTCTACCGAATGAGACTCTGCTGTATTTGATTGAGGTGGTCTCCTACTCCTCGACTCTCATCCCTCTTTATATAACTCTTCTTCATCCTCTATCCTTCAGCTATGAGCTCGGAAACCTCGACACGAAGTGTATCCTTTCTTTCTTCGTGTCTCTAGCCATTTGCAGAGCTCTTGAGTGGAAGTACATTCCAGATTGGGTCCCTATCCCACACCGTTTACGAAACGCACCTGCGGGATCTGTGAGGCGTTGGGGCTTTGCTCAGGTGGCATGGTTTCTCTGTAAAATGCGTTCATGGAGCGGTGACTCGGTCTCTGGTTAACGGCCGCAAGGCCCTTGAGGCTGGAGTTGAGGCTGGGCAGGCACAAGGCTGAGCAAGCTTCTCTTGGCAATGCCAATAACAGGCTGGTTAATACCGCGACAAGTTTCCAGAAGCATACGCCAAGATTGGTGCTAGCGTTGCTGCACCGACGCTTTAAGGATGGATATACCTTGTGGCGTCGAGCTGAGCGGTCAGCTGCAACATGTAACGCGCGTAAAAACATGCGAAATGGGTGGATTGTGATGCTGTTCGAAGGAGTTGGATTATTCTTGTGTATTTTTGGCTTACGAATGGTGATTCCCAGGAGAGGAATGAGGAATGAGGCATGAGGAGGGAGCAGGCACTACAGATCGCAATGTTGTAAGCTATTTAGTGTTTCCTCTATCCTAACAAAGTTAGTTGGTTTACTTTATGCGACGATACTTGGGGAACAATGTACGGAGCATGTCCCTCTGCTCTCCAACTCTGAAAATGCATTTGGCTCTTGTGCGCATTCTGTCCAGCCCTCGCGTTCAGTTCACTAAAGGGATTCGTTTCTAGCCTCGCTTGCAGCCTCGCTTGCGTAATGAGGAGCTTGTTAGCGAGAAGTTTGTGGCTGGTGGTATCGTGGTTTACCACGGCTGTAACCAAGGATCAGTCCGTGATGGCTTCCTTTGAGCTGAAATTCAAAGGAGTGAGAAATAAGGCTTGGGAAGGAGGGACCGCGACAATTTCATGCGCCATTATGGGAAGAAGTCTTCCGGACAACCAGGAGAAAGCTGATTGAATTAAAGTGAATGGTCCAAATTTATGCAGTTTCAGTATCTCGTTAACTCGCTAACTCGTCCACCACCACAACGGTGAGGGGTGGCCGCGCTTTCTACATACAGGCTTATGCCTTGGGTTTGTCCATATAGCGCAGATGATCCATTCGCTGTGACTCGGATTACGTCCATTAGTAACCTATTCGCCGGAATCTGTCCTGTCCAGAAGCGGACTCTATTGCTTGAGAAGCTTTTCGAGCTCAGCAGCAACCGCGTCACCAACTTCTGCCGTTTTTGAGGTTCCGCCAATGTCGGCTGTTCGGATACCGTTCTCGATAACGATCTTGGTAGCCTCGTCGATCTTTCGGGCGATATCTGGCTGGCAGAGGGAGTACTTGAGCATCATGCTCATTGAGAGAATAGTTGCGACGGGGTTGACGACGCCTTGGCCTGCGATGTCGGGAGCGGACCCTGTATAGAATGAGCACCTGGATAAAAGAGGAGCGAAATGTACGTACCGTGAATGGGCTCATAGATGCCATTGATCTTGGTCTTGCCGTCCGGGATGCCACCCAAGCTAGCACTGGGCAAGAGCCCCAGACTGCCTGGAATCACGCTGGCCTCGTCGCTGATGATGTCGCCGAACAGATTGCTGGTGACAACGACTCCATTCAGTGCATTTGGGCTCTTGATCATGAGCATGGCCGCCGAGTCGATGAGATGTGTACCACATTTGAGAGTTGGGAACTCGTCTTTCATGATGCGTTCGAAGGTCTTCCGCCATAGTCTCGACGTGGCCAGCACGTTAGCTTTATCCAAGCTCCATACCGGTACCGGCGGATCTTCCACTAAAGCAAGGCTGCCGGCTAACCGCACCACTCGTTCAACTTCTTCCACCGAGTACGGTTCGGTGTCGAGAGCCTTGCCGTCGCCGTCGTCCTCCTTCCTGTCGCCAAAGTATATGCCACCCGTCAGCTCGCGAACGATGGTGAAGTTGACGCCTCTGCAGATCTCGGCCTTGAGGGGTGATATATTGACGAGGGATTCCGAGGCGAAGAAGCAGGGTCGCAGATTCCCGAATGTGCCGAGTTCTTTGCGGAGACGGAGGATGCCTTGTTCGGGGCGGACTTTGCCGGTACCCCATTTCTGCACGCCATTGTCAGCGCTCGTGAAGGGGAAAAAGGATATCAAAGTGAGAAACACATACAGGCCCGCCCACGGCTCCGAGAATGATGGCGTCTGCTGACTTTGCTGCAGCGAGGGCGTCATCGGTCAGTGGGCTCCCGTGGGCGTCGATAGAACACTAGATTGCAGGTCAGAGGACGGGTTCGATGCTCCGATGGGCAGCCAATGGCCTTACTCCTCCAAAAAGGTGCTCCTGAAAGTTGAACTTGACATCCGAGTGGGTTGCAACGACGTTCAGGACCTTGACTGCTTCTGCAATGACCTAGGCCAAATGGTGAGCTTCTCGAAGAAAAACATTGCCTAAGAGAATTATTGGGACTAAAAAGTAATTTACCTCAGGACCAACGCCGTCACCTAGAGTCTATGTATCAGCAATGGCAGCGCACGAGGCAGCAGAAGCGGCGGGGGCATTCTCACCGCCAAAAACTACAATATTGAACGAAGGCATGGCCGTAAATGCGACATGAAGAATTGTAGAAGGAGGAGAGGGACATGTGCATCACGCCCCTCATACCCCGCCGGGAGCCGCCCTGCGCCGATGTCGGAGAGGGCTGAGCCGAGGCTTGGCGCGGCTCGATGCCAAGACGCAATTCTGCCAGGACATACCGCCTTTTGAAAAGTTCCGAGAAGCCTTCCTAGGTAGGTAGACCACTGGGTCAAGCTACCACGTCATATTAAGTCCCTGCCTTCACGGAATTTGCCTCTCTGACCATTCACTGATGCTGTGCATGTACACTCTGTCAAATTGGCTCCTATCCCAATCACCGCTTGGCGCCTCACCACATCTCTGAGCCCACTACAACACCAGCGAGCGCGCTCTCTCCGCACCTTCACGTCCACCGCTGCGAGCTCGGGCTACTGGGATGCAGTGTTGCGGGGGCTGAATAAGCTAGCCCGCAAAACTCGAGAACAGGTCCAGGTCCAGGTCCAGTACTCTCCACTCACACGGGTCCGTCCTTCTCGACGGTTGCCTAACCCCGCAACTCGAAGGCAAACCCAGGCATCTCCTCCATATCGAAGGTCACGTTGGCCGCGTACCCTACTACAGCCTCTTCGACCTAATCGACGACGTAGGGAACACGTCGACCCCAAGGAAATCGTCTCCGGCTACATCGATCCAATGGAGGCGTCCATTCAGATTATCACTACCCCCACGGCTGATACTCCAGGCACAACCATTGTCCTACACACCATCAAGAAACAGTACCTTTTTGGCAATGAATCGGAAGGTACGCAGCGGGCAGCTACCCAGATGGGAGTTCGGTTGCTTAAGGTTCAGGACTTTTTTATCACAGGTAGGACGGAATGGAGCAACATGGGTGGATTGATAGGGATGATCCTAACTCTGGCTGATTCAGCCAATTCGGCATACCAGACCCTGATGGACAATTATCGGGCCAAGGCTAAGACGGCAAAATCAATTGCTGAGCCTCAGCAGCAGGTGCTGAATCTCTACGGTCCCCCAAATATAAAACAGTTCCTCGCAACATGTAGAAGATTTATCTTCCGGAAGGGTATGCCCCTTACTGTGGAGGAATTCACGGACAAATCACCCGCCAAGGATGCAAAGGGCGAGATTTTGCCTACCTGGCAGGACAGCAATATCAAAGTATGGGCATTGCCGATTCGATCCTCGATCCAAACTCACGATTCTGAAGGCGAAGCCGCGCTTGCTTCGAGAAGGGAGATATTTGAGAAATACCTCAATAGTTTTGAGGACCAAAGAGCATCTGCTTTCGAGAGTGCCGAAGACCGAGAACTTAGATATGACCGGATTCGAACGACCGTCCTTAAACACATGTTCAACTCGGACTGGAAATTCGACACCTTGGTCGAGAAGCACATCTCGGAAGTCGAGATGCCGACTGCAATATACATTCGAAATCCAGATACCAAACAATTGGAGAATTATCGAGGACCGCGACCCGGTGGAGCTGATCCTCTCCCAGACCTCAAGGTATTGACGCGAACACCCTGGCCTGGTGCGTTGGTCCAAGGTCTACCTCCAACAGTACCCGCTTCAGAGTCTATGTCCTATATTGTTCGGACCCATCCAATGCGCGGAAAGTTCGATCCTAACCGCGCAAAAGAGCTTGGAGTCAAACCAGGTCGCGACTTCGCTACTCTTACGACAGGAGCAAGTGTACGAAATGCAAAGGGAGAGACAATCACCTCTGATATGGTTCTAGGTCCAGAGCGACCAGGACAAGGTTTTGCCGTGCTTGATGTTCCTTCCGTTGAGTATATCGAGCCTGTTGTCAATCGAGAGGAGTTGCTGTCATGTAGTGTCATGCAGGACGTTCAAGCTTGCATATGGATTCTTGGACCAGGCGTCTCGGGACATCCTATTCTTCAACAGTTTATGCAGAGGCTGGATCAAGTGAAGCACATCATCTCCTCCCTTGATACATGTCCGAACAGGTTGGCGCTAGAATCTGTAGCTGCTCAAACGATTCGCCTCGGGCAGGTCGATGCAGAGAGATACCACACACCATTCCACGACAACACAGCGGTTCCCCAGAAAAGCTTACATTCCATTGCTATCCATGATGTTGTGTCACCACCTAATGCTACGGCTGCCGATAAAGGCATGAAGATTCAATTAATGCCTAGATTCTATTTCCACGAAGAGCAGGTCGTACCACTCTTAGACATTCCTGCTGTTGAGCAGGCAACCCCTCCAGAGATCCTCGAACTGGCTAAAGCGGCTCGGAAGGCAATAGAACAAGACCATGATGCTCTTCAAGAATGGAGACAGAAAATCCCGCGTCCTAATACCGAGGTCATTACTCTCGGGACTGGATCTGCGCTCCCTTCAAAGTACCGCAACGTATCAGCGACGCTTGTTCGAGTACCGGGTGTTGGAAACTACCTCTTCGATTGTGGCGAAAATACTTTAGGCCAGCTTCAGCGAGTCTTTGATCCCGAGGAACTTGTTGATGTGCTTCGAAATCTACGACTGATATGGATTAGCCATCTTCATGCGGACCATCACTTGGGAACTACATCTGTCATTAAAGCTTGGTATGGAGTAGTGCATAGCAGTGTTCCTGTTAGAACGCCCCCAATTATAGCATCCATTCCGACCGTTACTCACATGTACGGATTGTCGGTAATTTCACATGAAGGCATGCTTGGATGGCTCCACGACTATTCGTCGGTAGAAGACTTTGGCTATAGCCGCATTCTGCCTCTTCAGATCTCTCCTGTGCTGTCTGGAACCGATTCAGGCTCCGTCCTCGAGTTGTGTCCGACTCTACGACACCCAACATATGACGGCGAACATATCCTCAGGCAACGAGATTACGAGACCGTTCTTGGGCTGTCAGATATCCAAGCCTGTCTAGTCGCCCACTGTCGAGGCGCCATGGCAGTTTCAATAACATTTCCGAAGCTACTTTCTGAACCTGATCCGCTCAAGATCTCTTATTCAGGAGACTGCAGGCCCAGCATGAAGTTCGTTGAAATCGGTCGCAACAGCACGGTCCTAATCCACGAAGCGACTTTCGATGACGAGCTCCTGGGCGACGCAAAGGCTAAGAAGCATTCTACAACATCAGAAGCTCTGGGCATCGGAGCGAAAATGAACGCTAAAGCGGTGGTCTTGACGCACTTCAGTCAACGGTACCAGAAGATTCCAGTACTAGAGACAGTTGATAATGGTGAGCAAGAGGATCCACTCCTAGGTCCAAATGGTGCAGAAGATGTGACAGAAGAGGCGGTGGTGGAGGAAGACGTTGATGTTGATGTTGGCTTGATGGCAGATAATATGGATATGGTGACCGCTAATGCTACTTCATCCGCTTCCGTACGCCAACACTCACATCCGCGTCCCCATCCCCATTCCCATTCGCAACATCAAGAAACGAATCAAGAGTCCAACGAACAAGTTATCAAAGTCCACTCTAAAGACATGAAAGTCGCAATCGCATTCGACTACATGCGCGTCAAAACCGGCGATATTGCGCAACTGGAGAAGTTTACGCATGCCCTAAGTAAGCTTTTTGCGAACCCCGAGGAAGAAAAGGGTGAGAGTGATGAGAGTGAGAGGAATGGGAATGGGAAGAAGACGAGTCTGGATGGGCAGAGCGGGAAGAAAAAAAAGGCGAAAAGGAATAATTAGGAGGCAGGGATTTGGATTTGTATGATAGTGCTGCTGTAAGGATATGTATATGATATAGAATTGGATGCGTTCTTGGTGTGTCGGAGGCGGAGATTTGTGGCATTTGATAGAGTCAGCATATGATAACAAGTCAATGAGGATTATGCCGTAAATACAAGAGGTATTAAATATCATTCCAGCATCAGCCGTGTTATTGTCTACATTATTAATGGTAGCAGCACTTAGTTTCGAGAGCTCAAATACCTTCTCGTTCCCTTCCAAGGCTTGTCAATACAAGGATTCCGCCTCTTAAGACTTTGCCTGCGGCTGCTTACGACGGTATCTCCCACACCTATCGTACGTTGAACAAACCAGTTACGAATGAACGCTGAATCGGACAATGTCGTTAGAGTCAATTACTATAAAACTTGTTCTCGGAACGTTTTCGATTCGACCGGTTCAGGCCCATATGAACCTTCCGGTTCGACTCAAAACTGTTTGTCGCCACCCGTAGTCCCAGCCGATCCTTTTGGCTGTGCCTCCAATCCACTGCCTTGCCATGCTCCTGTTAGCAGTGCATTAGACGGAGCATCTTCATCTCTTACCAGCAGTCCAAACCCATACTGGGGCCTCAGCCTCTTGATCATGCAATTGCTTCGGGGTCGCGGGAGGTGGATCCATGACCAGCGCCGATGCTACTACAATGTTTAGAGGCACGTAAAGAAGAGGCATGAAGTTATAGTTGGATTATGGACTAGGAGAGTGTGAAGGTTGGTCAGCCCGCTCCAGGGTGGTTGGGGAGCAAGGCGGTTGAGATCTTCTAGCAGTCCTTACTGAGCTGCTGCTGCCGTGTCATGCAGCCTTGCTCAGCCCACCCCGCCGCAGCTCTCTTCCTACCCTCATTTTCTCTCATTAGCCTTGTACCCTCACGGAACAGGAGGCTCACTTGCTACACTGAGGCTTCCAAGGAATCGACAGGCTGATTCAGGCTCACTGCATACCTCCAGCGCTTCCAACCGTACGTAATACGATTCGACTTGACCAAATCCGGGACGTTATGTCTGACTTTCTTAGTACGTTTCTACTATACAATTAACATAAGGACCACTTACAAGTCTTAACTATAACAATTAAGAATCCTTATACAGCTTAACAACTTAGCAGAAGTTACAACGTAACGCTAGAACAAATATAATCTGTGTTAAATAGGCTCTTTTAGCTAGCTGCTTATAGTATAAGCACTTAAGTAGCAAGAGTAAGAGTAGTGTACAGTGTGCACAGCGTACAAAGTAGGTAGAGTGGGGGCAACATGTTTCTAGTTCTATTGCTCTGTCTTTTCCTTTGTACAGAGGAAAAGGGGAATATCTAGATGTTCGCGCACAGAGGTTCGCGCACAAGCATTATGTGACATAGATACGTGATCCTGCTTGTGCGCGATAGCTTGTATCTAGGCTGTAACGCTGCTACTGCGTACAGACAATCTAAGAGAGCTAAGAGCTTAGAGTAAATTACCCTCTAGCAGAGCTAGTTCTTCTGCAATTAAAGAGCCTTAATTATCTCTCTAAAAAGGCAGTTCCTGTTAAGGTAGCAAGTCCTTCTCCTACTAGAGAAGGCTCTCTCGCAGTCACAGGACGTACACAGAATAAAGAGGAAATTAAGGGCAATTTTAAAGAGCGTAGGGTAGGAGAAACATCTTACTTTTGTCTACTATGTAAAAGGATCTGTAAACAAGGGGCTGTTATTCTTAGCTATAGTAAAGTCCTCCTAATAAGAGTTATAATATTACTACAACTCTAAGGTTTTCTGCTGCCTTTTGTATAAGCAATTGCTAGTAAGAGAGAATAGCAAATTATAACTTAAAGATAATATTAAGGGCAAAAAGTTAACTATTTGCATAAAATCTAATACCCTAGCCCCCCCCCCCTCTCTAACGCGTTCTTGCTTATTGTACACTATAGAGTTTTCACTAATTGTTACTTAAAAACACCCCCTTAAACGCCCTCCTAACGCTTGCCTATAGATGTCTAATTAGGTTCTATATTACTAGGAAAAATTAACTTTCTGAGACGTATTACAGACTATAAGGGGACCTCTCTTAGTTGTACGTTACAATTGACAGTCCTCTTACGTTTGTACGGCTCACGTGACCGTAACTATTCACTTTTCTGAGTCGTAGTACGTACGGTTGGAAGCGCTGCATACCTCCCAGGCTTCGATTGAGGTTTTGCAACTGTTACTTCCTTTGCAATCTAGTGCAACTTCCTCACGGTAGGGGCTATGGGGCTATTTGAGCGATAGACCCATTATCTATGTCAGCCAGCATCCTTACCCTCCTTACTGCTACTGATGGCTCCTGGAAATTTCTCTACAATTTCATACTTGAAGTCACAGAGGCCGCGGTCGAAGTCCGATTCTTCCACATCGCTTATAAGATCTTTAGGAAACCCCTTCTAGATGTAAAACAATAAGCTACATCATTATTGCTCACTCAATCTCGGCCATCTCCTGAATGCCATGGGTGTCCAGGACCTGGCTTAGAATATTAGAAGACATACAAAAGGTGCGGCGCTCAGAGATGCAGTATCTCAATGTATATATCTCATCTGCAGGAGTAATATCGCCTCCTTCCAAGTATCTAACAAGCTACCTTCTACTCGTATCTGAACTGATGGATTATCGACTCAAGCACTAGTTTAAAATCAATCTAGAAGCTTTAGTCCTCTCCTTGAGCAGTATGTTCACCACAGTGCGGAGTTACTCTAACACCAGATTGTGTGGGCCAAACGGCCCTTTATTATGCTATAGAAAGCTAATGTGTGCACACTATCGACTTCCTTTTGGGGGCTGGTTTCGACATCAATGCAATCGGTTACAAAGGCGGCACAGTAATTAACCACGCAGCATACCAGGGCAACATTGCCACTGTTAAGAGGCGCATTGAAATTAGGGCTGTGACCCGTGGAGTATAGTGCAACAGGGTTGGTGGATTACATGTTGTCATTTTGTCGAAGCCAACGTTTGAAATGGCCGATCGATAAGAGCGAAAAAGAAATGATTGTGGAATTGAGGGGAAGCGCACTTACAAATCTGAGCTAGGTAGGTCAGCAGTTGCTTGTTTGGTCGTTGGTGTATTGTTCCAGTCATCGCACCGTTTACTTCATATCCGTTTCACAACCAATATTCATTTCATCTATCCCTAGGCCCTATAGTTTGTTCCTAGCCGGTTCAGAGAGCTCTTTCATAGGCAATTCCATATTCTTTTTGACTTGATAACTATAAAGAACCCCTCTCCCTGTTATTGGGCGGATGCTGTGATAATTGATAATACAACTCCGGCCTCTCCAAGACCCATTCTGCTTATTTTCGCCTAATTCTTCCGCAATAAAATCACCGGCTAGGTCTATGCTTCATGCTAGAGCCCATGGGAGAGTGTTGTGACCAATGGCACTGACGCCTCCGTGCCGAAGATAGGTCCAAGGTAGCAAGGCCAGTTCTAAAGCTAACCCACTTAAGCTCAAAAGCGCTTAGCATAGGCCAAATTTCAACCTCGATCTCGATCTCGAAAAAGCGGCCAGTCAACGGCACTTCCTCACTCTAGAAAGAATTAAGTAATTCTTATCGTTGTTCAGCTCGTGGCTTTGGACCCCACCCACAACCTGCATGAAACTAACTCAAAATCCAAAATCTCACCGTTCCACAGCAGCATCCTCAAACTCCCGGAGAGTTGGGTGGGTTAAGAAATGCCCCAAGTATTTAAACAAGCATGACGCCCAATTGAAGTTTGAAATCAATTTGGTGCTTCCATCAATTTTATGTGGTCACGGACCGTGGACTCATGGATGAAAGAGATTCTACGTTACCTGCGCCAGTCCTTGGTGTTGATGACCACCCAATCTTTTGGGACGCAGACAGTGTCCCTTTACAGAGCAGTGGAGAATTTGACAGCCTCATTCATCGTGAGCATTCGCCTTTATCTTCTTGTTGGCGTTTTTAAACCGTATGCAGGTAAACGTAGCCAAAAGCGTGATTACTTCGAGCCTACACTTGAGAATTGTAGTACTTGGAATGAGCCACCGAACCCAGAGACGTGGGCTTCATTTGGAGATCACGGGGTTACGGCAAGTGTCAACACCTATGGGGATATGATACAATTCGGGAGATACCTTGGCGCGGGAAGAAGCGGGATGTTTTCAGCGGACCATTCTACCACAGCGGAGCCGTATTGTGTATTGGCGAGAGCTAGACACTTGCAGAGCTTATGTCGGGATAAAGAACGACGAGATGTCACCTACGGTCTGCAATTTCCTCATATCGAATTTGAACATCAACCGCAATTGAAGTATGTCCACGATACGTGGCCGCGGTATGAATACAAAACAAAGAAGGTCAAAGTCTCTATTCAATGGATGGTCCGAGAGGAAATAGTCTTACAGCAATACATTGTCACGAATCTGGAGGCCAAGGAAATAGATATTCCGTTTGAATTTGCTGACGACATGAGGATCCGAGACTTAGAATATCTGGACTCCAGTTATAAGTTCAATGAGGAAAACATGGAACTAGAGGATTACGAGAAGTCCGACGGGCCCAATCACTTTGGGTGGACTTTGGTGCACAAACTTCCAACAGTAGTGAAAGGTCCGCAAGAGGCCAATTCATCAGAAATAGGGGAAGAATCACAGCCACAGGGAACCGAACGCTCTGCACAAAATGTGGAGAAGTCACCCGAGGAAGAAAATGGTCCCGAATTGCCAGGTTTAAAGACCCATTTGACAGCAACTAGAGGTGATACATCACAAAACGAACATCAAGAGACGACAGGACTACAACAAGATGCAATGGTGCAGTTAGCAGAACCACAGACCGAGCAAGACGCGGTTGCAGTTATTGTGTCCATCTACCTTGACGGCAGAGCCGTGCAATGGAACAAGACGAAAAGCTGGCATCGGACACTTGGGGTCAGCTCTATGCCCAGAAGTGATAAAATCGAGAGCATTGACGCAGTTTCTGATACAATGGAGGTCGTCACCGCCTACAGGATGATACTCTTACCGAAGTCAAAGGCGCATTGGCGGAACTTTGTAATCCCAGCAGCCTCAACGGATGTACACAAATTTCTCAGGGAAGCTCCATTCACACGCTTTTGTCTTTCTGGGATTGATATTTCCACCAATCCTGTTCCAGATTCCGTCTCGAATAATGTCTCATCGAAAGACAGTAAGGACCCTTCCGGGATACCACGTGATGGGCCGTCTAATCACATCGAGTTCGTCATACGTCGAAAACTTGAACATATACTCTCTGTATGCGCTATTCCTGTAACACGACCACTTCTGGATGAAGGCAAAAACGGCCAGAAGCCTCAGAGCTTTTCAGATATAGAGCCAGTGGCTTTGACATGTGGTGACATATCAGCGCACCGAGTCTGCACCTCAGCCAGCTAGTATGTTTTTACATGAAATTCAAGGGTGAAGCTAATAAAATTTGTGTGAAGCTTTGCGTTTCGGCTGCTCCTCGATGCTGCGAGACGGCTGGGTCGAATTAAATCCAATGACTTATATATAGATTCCCTTCGCCAGAGAATCCACAGAGTTTGCAAGGGCCATCTACTGTGGTTATTGAATGTAGCAGAGAGGAAGACAGTAGAAGGGTTAATGGAATGGTCGGCCCAAAAGTCAAAGTTTGGATGCTTTGCAGCCAACTACTGGGTAACTGGGAAGATCATGGATCGTTCCTCCTTCTCATGGACGCCGAATGACTCCTTAACCGATACACCATTTCAAATCATCAAAGCAGCTGAATTTGCCAGCTTATACCCACATCCAGAAGATCAAGCCCTCGCATGGAACACGGTATTGAGCGTATGTGAGCCATGGCTCAGAGCCCTGGAGAAATTGGATAAGCATGCTCGCTTCGCTTGGCCTCACGCCCAGGAAGAAGGTATAAACATCTTTCGGTTAGACGATCACGTCTGGATTTGGAAAGCCTTAAGGTCAATAGAAGAGCTTGACATATGGGGACACCTTCTTCAAGATCCTGAAACCAGTAACAAAACCGAGGAAGAGGCGGAAAGAAAGCGAAAATTGAAAGATGAAATTGAGCAGTTCTCAAGAAAATTCGGTTCTGATCAAGTTCGACGGGAGGTTCTCGCCCGTTTTACAATTGAATATGACGTTTCGAGGAGACGAATGCTGGCGGTAACCCGATCTCCTCGAGAAACTCGATTCTTGCTTCATGCAAGAGACACTGCTCTATTCTATGGAGTCGTCTGGGGTTTCATTTTACAACAGGAATTTTTCGAGGTTTGGAAGAACACGCTAGACGCGCAAGTGCACCACCCCGACAACCAAGAAACCCGCTGGGATAATTCTATTCGTTACGCCCTCGCCATCTTGATGGGTACTATGGGGAAGAGCATCAATAAGCAGTCACCAAACAAACTACTCGTGTCTTCAATGAAGCTTCTATTCCAAGCCACTAGCCCTAATGGTTTCTTTCCGGGGCAACTGGACCAAAGTACTAAAAAGCCGACATTATTCTATGAAGAGGAGGACAGGGATTTTTATTTCCATGCATGCTTCGAGATTCCGTTCATCCTCCTGAATCGTGCCTCTCGAATTAACGCGGTATATCGTCGTGGATCTGATTTGATGTCGGATTCGGAGTGGGTGGTCGAGGCAAGCTTAGTGGACGACGAAGGCAATCCGGATACTCTCAAGCGAAAACGGAAATCCCAATCAAAGCATCGACCATTTCCAGGAGATCATCTCCTTCAAAGCTTGGATGGGTTCGACATAATCTCTGATCTTGAAAGAAGACTAGCACCGAATGTTTCGAGGGCAGCTCACAAAGCCTTGAAGATGAAGAAAAGCATACCTTTCAATAGTCTGATCGATACAAGCAGTATTGTGGATATCGAGGAAGAGTGGCTGTATAATTACCCCGCATTCCTGCTGGGTGGTAAAGGGATGAAACCTGGAGACGTAATGAAGCAGGCACTAGAACTTTCAAAACAGGATGAAAGCAGCGGCGTCGGAGTAATAGTAAACAAAGCAGCCATTGCATATGTAGAGGCTGTCACTTGCACAACTCGGAATACGTCTGACTATAGCGTGGCTGGAAGCGATAACGATGGGGCCTTCGTGTTTACTTGGCACGAGTCTACCTATATCGTCGATACTCCAAAGAAAAAGCACCTTGGGAAGGAAGATAAGCGAAGCAGTTTTCAACTTGAACCCATCATCCTCTCAAATCGTGGACTGTGGGCTACACTAAATAAGCCTCGCACGGCCGCCGATGCAAAAAAAAGATTTATTTGGTTACCAAAGGCTAGTCCAGAGACTGCGCTGGTTTGCTATCTCACCAGCTCTGACACGGAGAAACTAGCTATTTCTTTGTTTTTTGATCGGCATGCAAACTTCGAAAATTATTTTATCGATGATGCAGCCATGGTCGAAAATACGTGGGATAGTGAATTCCACCTAAGCTTCTTCCAGTTAATGGACTCCGACCAAACCGCCTTTCGCCATAATGGGATACCGGAGCCAAGTGACGACACCTTTCCGGGCTATTCCAAAAGTAAAATCACACGGGCTTCGATGGGATTTCGCTTTAATGGAGACTTCTTCGACAGATATTGGACCTGCCATTTCATTGAGTATGTTCCGGCCAATCCTCCCAAAGATGAATGGGACTCAGCGGTGTTTGAAATCAATGGCTCGCGTAAACACCGGTCCTGGACGCAACGAAAAGTCCTCGAGCTGCAGCTCTTCGACCGGATACTAACGGAGCTAGTTAAGAGTACTAGGAAAATATGGAACGAGATCCGTAATGAACTTGGTGTAAAACAAGGTGCCCTCTCCTTCTCGATCCTCAGCAGCGATGACTACTTCTCGTCAAGCGCACAGTGGCAGAAATCCCAGCATATCCTCCAAGATGTCGAGGAGGAGCTGTCATCCGCCCTCGCCGCCATCTCCAAATGGGAGTCTCGCGAGAAAGACAGAGAACAACAGAAGCCGCGGTGGACGCGAAATGATGAGCGAAAGTACCGCGGCGACATCAACAAATTGCTCGGATTAAACAAGCGCAAAATTCGGGACCTCCAAAGCCTTCGTGACAAAGTGCTCTCACTCAAGGACACCCTTGTCAGCAGTCAAGATCAGATCCGAGACGACCTCGGGCTGAAGGGTGCTGAAAACATCCGCTACTTTACCTACGTCACTGTCGTCTTCCTCCCCCTCGGCTTTGCCGCCAGCGTTTTCAGTATGAATGGGAGACCTGCCACACACGTCCTTACTAGCATGATTGCCTGCGCCGTGGTAGCACTTGTCCTCACCATCATAGCACTTCTCAACGCAAAGACACTCAACATCATTCTTGAAGAGATGACTTACTCCGTTGACAACTACTCTCGCGCAAAAATGCAGAGCAGTTCGTTCATGGAGCAAATTAAGACACGAAAGGAGAAGCATAATGAAATGCTGCGAAATCGGAAGGAGAAGCTGCAGCGATATGAGCCGACCGAGCACAGCCATGATGAGGCTGCACGAGCAAGTAGGAGCGCCAGCAAGCAGCACACTATTACAAGACGTAGAACGCCGAAGATCGAGAGCAAATGGCATTTGTGGTTTTGGCTTACCTATGTGCTCATAGAGTTACCAGCGAAGAGGGTGCTACAAGCATTTTTCTCCTTGAAAGAACACCGCCTGACGTGGACAGCTGGCATCCGTGTTGTATTGGGTTTGGCGCTCCTGCCGATTTTTATCGTATGCTGGCTCATCCAAATCCTGGTTTACAACGTAATCGACCTTTTTGCACTTCTTTGGGGTAGGCGTTATCGATCTCTCTTCCTCCTTGTCCTTAACTTACTCATAACTCTGTTGAAGTTCTTATTGCTAACCGGGAGGACGAATAGGATGGACTATCTTCCACTTCTCCATGTCGCCGTTCCCTGAGAGTGGTAATTTCAAGAAAAGTATTGGTAGGCTGACTTATCCCCCTAAATGGTATCGTCCGATTAAAATGCTTGACGTGATGATAACGATCGAGAGAGAGAAAGTGAAGAGCCCTCGTCGAGGGAGCAAGGAAGACAGTCGCAAGGGCTTCGATGAGATGGAGAACCCAAAGGCAGAGAATGACTCGCCTGTGTAATAGGATCTAAGGGATATTCCCAAAGGTAGTATCTCGTGCTTTTCTTACTAGTGGAAGACAATTACGGCCGCATAAATATACTAGGGTAGAATTTTGGGACGTTTGAGTATCTTGTGCTGCGAAAAGCTCCTTATTGTAGTCGCCGGTACTCACACCCATACAAGTGTTTCCACCACCATCATTTCAAGAGCGCCGAAGATGAGATATGGTTTCGTGCTAGGAAAGGGCAGTTTCAGTAAGGTGGGAGCTGGAAATATTAGTCAGGAGAGATTATATAATTCCTTGTAGTGCCCAGCTGGCCGAATAGGACCTCCACCCGATCCTATTATGCCTATTGAAGGGTCATTATCTAGTCTCAATGCTAGGTTATGAGCGTATCACTAAGCCCTCAAACTTCTAGTTAATCGAACATGCTATAATGGTTGTCCACGTAGCGTTAAAATCGTCCGCTGAACGTCGTCATCAAAGCTGAAGAATAGCTATCATCGAAAAAAAGAGAGGTCTGCAGATAGGCAGAGTGGGATGAAAAAGAAAAGACAAAGGTACGATTAGAAGACATGGTTTTAGATTCGTACGACCTTATTGATATATGACAATATATGGATATGGATATGGAGAGAAATAGCGGCATTTTTAGTACTACAATGGCAGCAATGGTGGCATTCGAATCGCTAGAAATTTATGTCTCTATTCTAGACCATTCGAGCTTATAATATCGTGCTGTATAAACATGTATATATATAAGTTATTGTATGCTTTTTAGAGAGATTTTATAGAAATTTAGAATTAACTATTTTGTAGCTACTATAGTCTATAGGAATAATAGGTTAGGTTAATTAAAGTGCACCTTTAATAACTAACACTCTGTTAAGAAATTCCATGTTAGGTAGATTTAGGTTCTCTTTAAGTATAGTAGAGAACCCTACTTGTGATCGTCTCTGTTGATGGGACGAAGCGAAGTAGAAAATAAAATGGAAAGAGAATAGGCAGACAGGACAGGCTGTATTTTAGCTGTGCTGTTCGCGTGGATGCAGGCGGCTCAGCCACGGTGTTCAATAGAGCGTAGTACTATTCCTACTGTTCCTGATAGTAGCAATCTCTTAGCAGTTAGAACAAAAGTAAATTGCCTTCTATTATTGTACAGTTAACAAAGCTATAGTTACTGCAGTAACTGCCTATACTAATTAATTTCTTAGTGTTTTGGTAGCGCGTTCGCGGAGGACGTTTTCGCGCGTAGTATTATAAGGGCTGCTGTGGAACAGGAGGCACGCCTGGCAAACAAGCTGCAGCAGTACAATAATACTGCTTAATCTAATCTTGTTGCAGCTAAAGACGATATAATCTATAGAGATCTACCTACTTAATGGCATTAAATTAGGCGTAAGCACTATCTAACACTGTACAAGATAGCTCTTAACTTCCTATTTATCCCTGCTACAAGCTGTAAGTGCAAGAGGTGCTTTAATCAAGGCTCTACAGCCACAACGCAACTAGATTGCCAGAGGACTTGTTTACTTAGAGTTAAACAATCTCTGCAACTAGCCCTCTAGAGCCTCTAGAAACACTTGTTACTGCAGTAACTGCACTTAACAGTAGCTTTACAATTAATTAACTTAGCAGTAATTGCTACTGCCTGTAAGGCTGTTTTAATTTACTCTCTCTGTAAGAACCAAACTCTATTACCTCTAGGAACGTCTTAAAAACACTACTGACAGTAACAGTTACGTTCTCTGAAACACCATGGGCTCAGCGCACCCGGCCTTGATTGGAAGGTGGGGTTTGGGGCTTTCTCTCTATTTACAGCAAAAATTAGCAGGCCTGAAAAGTACAGTATTCACTGCGGATCTCCTTCCTACTGCCTCGCCTCGATATGATTTACAGGAGCGTCCAGAGGTCAGCCAGACCTACCCTCATCAACCTCAACATCATTGACAACACCTTTCAATTCATCAGCCGAGAGTATCATGTGGGAGGGGAGGTGTCAGTGAATAGCGGTCCTGCTGAGTGCAGTCTCTTGGCATTGAGCCCCAGCGTTTCGCATCTATTATATGCAAAAATCGGGGCATTTCTTGGCACTGCCATCTAGAATTTTTTCCCCCTACTAAAATTGTATGTAAGATTGAAATTTTAACAGGATCTACTATATATTAATAAAAACCTAATAGAACTGCCCTAGGTAAGTTAAAGCTTTTAGTTTGCATAGAGAAGCGCGTATACTAACCTTTTTAAGAGTAACAGCGCGTTAGGTTATAATGTATCGCGCCTATGGCATCTCTAGCGTATCAGGCTTAGGACAACAGACAGGAACCACAGAAACAGCTTCTTGCTATGCTAGAGTAGAAGGAGCAGATTTTTTAGTAGCTTTTACTACTTTCTTAGAGGGAGGCTTACTCTTTGTAGGCGCTAGGATATAGTAAGCTTCTCTTACTTGCTCTTATTACTAGATTAACTAACAACGCGCTAGCTTCTGTTTATTACTACTAGCAGGCTCCTTAGGCTTCTCTAACGGGCCCTGCGCCCTCACCTGCGTAGAATAGGCTAGTGGGTTGCTCTCTAGGGGGCTAGGGCTGCTCTGGCCCTCTAATTAGGCCTATTGTTGTCCTATTACTCTAAAAAAAGCGCTAAGAACAGTATCTTTATATAAACTTAAGGCTTTAACCTACTAATAATGTTCCTAGGAAGAATTTGTTAATATATCTAAAATTCTGTTAAAATTTAATTACCCTATAACGTACTTTATAGGCGAGTTGCTCACACACTTGAGTTGCTTACTTTTGCTAAGACCCTACTACACTACTCTTCCTACACTAATGCATTTCTAACAACACTACTTAAACACGTTAAAGGAATGTTAGATGTAGCTTACGCTTTAGGCTTTTAAACAAGACGCAACACTTTTTAACTAACGCGCTGCAGCTATCTATAGGGTCCCTTAAAAGATAATAAGTAACTAACGCGCTAGACAACCTTCTTAAGCTAATTATACAGCTAACTTATAAAAGCTAGATAATAACAAGGAGCAGGTAATTATTTAGCATATACTTAAGCTAGATGCGCAAGGATTTCCCCCCTAGCTAGCAGCTGTGGCTAATATAGCTAATTCTTTGCGCGCTAAGCATAATATAGGCTATATTAGCATAAACTAGCTTAATACATTTGTTAAGTGTTACCTAGAGCTTAAAGTAAAGTTTAAGCGCAAGTATAACTATAAAAGAGCTTTTTATAAGGATCCTGCAGTAATTTAAGGCTAGTTTAACCTTATAGAGAATATTAAAGCTAAGTATAGCATCTAAGATAATAACACGTACAACTTTAACAAGACAGGGTTTATAATAGGCTAAATATCTACTAGAGCAGTTGTTATAGGTTTAGAGAGATAAGGACAGCTAAAAGCAGTCTAGCTAGGCAACTAGAAGTAGACAACAGCCATCTAGGGCATTAATGCTAAAGGGTGGGCTATTCTGCCCTTTATTATTTTCTAGGGTGGCAACTACCTTTTAAACTAGTATAAAAAGGAAAATCTACTTTAGGATTAAGTTATTATAATTTTTAAGCACAGCTAGACTACTAATTAGCTTAGTCTAGACTAGTTAAAGCACTTTAACGTGCATATAAAGAAGTGTACTGTTAGCAGCTACTATCTGCTAGTTATTAACAGCTATAAAAGCCACAACTTGCTTTATTTCTAGTAATACTGTAAAGATAATAAGATTATTACTATCTACATGCCTTCTTACTTATTGCACCTTTTATAGCTACTTAATGTGGGTTATTTTACTCTTTTAAAAAAGGTGTATAAGCGCTAAGCTAAAAACCTTATGCGTAACTAGATTACTTATATTATAAAGATAAAGTTCTTACTATGCTTTAAAGCAGCTTATAATGCTGTAATTACTTTTAGTAATATCTAAGAAAGGTTCTAAAGCGCTAGATTAGTTCCTTTTAACTTATAATAGGTTATAATAGGCCTTAATGTAAAGTTGCGCACTTTATTACTACTACTACCTGTATACAACAAGCCCTAGTAGTTGTAAACCCTAAGTAATACCTTAAAACTTAGGTTATAATTAATGCTTATAAAGATAAAGATTTAAAAGCATATAAATAGTTTACTAACTTCTATAGTTAAGGCATTTAAGAAGGTTTTAAAGGGGGCAGTAATAATTGCGTATAAGCTAGTGTTAGTGTAACAGGAAATTACTAAGCTTTAAGCAGCTAATAAAGCTGCTACGCAACATAAATTATATAAAAAAAAGCAAATTAAGGCAGAAGAGACTTTAATAATTTAGAAAGGCCTGCGCTTAACAGCTTTAAAGGAGTTTAAGGCGCGCAGTAATAGAAAGAAGGCAAAGAAGCAGGTGTAAGCTAAAGTAGGTAAGCTATCCTAAAGGCGCTGCAGACAGTGTAATTAGACTAGGCATAACACGCAAACGTGTAAGCAAGAAGTAGAAGTAGTATCTAAATAATATTCTAGGCTGTACTGTACTATATAGTGCCAGAGCGGGTTGTTATGGGCCATAATAGAGTTTGTTGGGGTGGGGTCTTGGCAAAAGTGAGCGACTCGGGTGTGTGAGCGACTCGCCCATGAAGTACGTTACAATTTTAGTAGGGGAAAAAAAGATCTGAGGTACGCCAAGAAATGCCCTGATTTTTGCATACAATAGATGCATCCAAGGCTGAGGCTTGTGACCACTAAAAATCTCTAGGTCAGTGACCAGGCTCAGGGCAATCATGTCATTTTTGTCCTATAGATAACAGCTAACGCCGCCAAAGATATGCGAGTTCACACTCCGTTTTCAGAGATGTTTATTGCAGGTGGTGGCCATAGGCTGTCGAGTGGTTCACCGGTAGGAGTCTGAATAGTCCACCTAGTACCCTTTTTTCCTTTGCTGTTGACCATTTTTTAATCTTTGTGACCGCCAATATTAATTATTAGCGGTTCATACACTCTCTGCCTCTTCCAGAGTACCCAATCGATTGAGTTAGATTACTTTGGCTGATCAAACCAAAAGCCATATGTTATTTGGCATCTGTCTGTCCTTGTGGGTGTGTCGGTCTGTTGTTAGACTTGCTTAATCGACTGGTAACAGCCATACAAATAGGAATACGAAGAGTCTGATTAGCTAGTTGCTCGAGGTTTCCAAGATTCGTAAGTATTAAGAACTTAGGGCATAAATATCATCAGCCTTGACGCTCCCATTCGCCTCATTGCCAGTAATCAAGATTCAATACCGACATCTACACCTCAGGAGTTGCTTGCAAATTCCGTATCTCAGTGGTTACCCACAAAATCCGAACCTTGGGAGTTATCTTCTCAACCCATACCTCAGGGGCCACCTATCCGTCCTGATCACTAGGAGTTACCTACAAAATCCGAACCTCGGGGGTTATCCTCTCGACCAAAACCCCGGGGGTCACCCATTCGTACCAATCACCAGCAGTTAACCACCCAACCTAGTGCAGATTCCAAAAAAATATTCCCCATGGATTAGATGACGCCCAATCTGAACAGCGTTTTGGAAACGATGGTGAGGATGGCAAGGATATATGTGACGACAATGGTGAAAGTAGTGGTGATTTGACGAGGAAGATCTGTCGATGGCGTAAATGCCGGACATGGTACTATCGCTAGCTTTGCAAGCCTTGGGTCTGGTGTTTTCTAGGACTGATGCATTATTTATACTCCTACGCGTTAGCACTTAGAGCTATTGGTATTATCTTCCGCCCCAAAGCACGTTCAACAATAAAATTCATAACGAAATCTGGAAAGGTAGCTATAGACTTCAATGATGGAAGCTCGGATATTACATTGTTCTACCAGAATGGGGCAGGGTGATTGGAAGAGTGGCTCTTCGGCGGCCAAGCATTGATGCCGTATGTCTCCACTAGTTTTAATTTGCACTCCTTTCTCGTGTACCCTAGAGGACAACCTGTACGCATATTAGAAGATTCGCTATCGCGTAACGGAACACCTCTCATGGAGCCATGGTATTCACTTCCCGGGTCCCAGGAGTTTGTTGTAAGCATTAAAAGAATATGCACTCTCATTCTCAGCTGACATTGGGAGCGGTATGTGTTTATATTGATGGTTATAATATGATCCGGGACTTGAAGCATTCAAACATAACCGATCAGAGGTCCCCAAGTGAGCCTGATTGCCATTGATTGCCTTTGTGCAACGTATCATCTAATACTTAAACAGGCCTCTTGGTTCTCACTATTTTGCAGCATCAACGAGTAATACGACTAGTCTTCCAGCGCGTGCATCGGCACAGTACGATGACCCGATAGGAATCCGTCTCTTTTTATTCTGCAACCAAAAAGCTATTTAGAAATTAATTTAGTCTCCACTTGGAGATTCTTGGTCTCTTGGTTTTACTTTCGAAGATTCCGATCTAGATGCAGGTGTTAATTTAAGTTCTCTACACTCTACTCACTATTTTGAACAAATAGCTGATATTGACAGGTACTCGCCACGGAACAAGTATCACGAATTTATGGTATCTTAGGCTACGGAGAACGCTTCAACAGCACTGGCACGACTTCAACGTTAGCACAAATTCTACATATCCAGTACAAACTTTGATTGCCGGAAATGTCACATACGAGCCCATCGTTCCCAATAGTCGGTCCGACTGTTAGTTACTGTTACTGACAGTCAGATTCCTGGGCAGTTGGTCAGTAAGAGGACCTCCCTCTGTAACTAACTAATAGATGAGGCTGTAGTTACTGCAGTAACTAGCCTATACAGAGATTTTATTAGTGTTAAGGCTAGAAATAAAACCTGCTAAGGGCGCTTATAATAAGCTGTAGAGATTAGATGCTAGATTTATTAAATCTTTATAATAAACTTAACTTTCTCTATCTTCTAGCTATAGCCTAACACCTATTAATATGAGGTCCTTCTTGACGTCCTAGAATTGTACGCTTCGCCACCTGACGTTGTCGTCAGCTGGCCCTAGTACCTAGGCTGCAGCCACCCACTTTGCGTTGTCCTGCTGTCTTAAGAAGGTAAGAGTAACTTTACTAACACCCTCTATGTTCTTATCTATTATATTATTAGGCCTAACGCTTTTAACACCTAAGGCTCTAGCTAAGTTGCTCTTAAAGGCTTTTCTCTATAAAGTAGGCTAGAACAACAGTGTTAAGTTTCTAGTAGACTAGAATAATATACACTACACTAATAAGCCCCTAGTAGCGTTGCGGGTGGGATATTAGGTACAGGACCTGCGCTAGATCTCTAGCAATGCTAAGTTATTAAATATCTAGCGTTACAGCGTAGACCTAGTCTATATTAACGCTATTAGTAAGCGCATAAGGCTCTAGCTTTATAAGACCTGCTACCTAAAAAAGTTAATAATAGCTTATAAAGCTATTAATTTTACTGCGCATATTACTACCTATCTCTAGAAAAAGCACTCTATTAGTGTTGTAAGTAGCTAGCTGTTCCTGACAGGGCGCCTAGGGCCCCTAGATCCATGGGCAGCGTCGCGGGCAGCAGGTAGTGCTTTTAGGGGGAGCCATACACTATAGCAGGAGACGTTGTTGTTAAGGGCGTATGTAGACTAGGTAATACTGTAAGATGTAAGTTTTAACTTAGCTACCTTAGCTAAAGTCTAAAGTCTTATTACATAGAATTAGCTTAACTTTTTTAAAGCTTTACTATTATTAACAACTACTTTTTTTAGCTATATAGTAGATAGTTTAAAAGCGCGCAAAGTAGAGGTTTAATTAATACTAAATTTAGCTGTTAGTAGGGTAGTGTTAAGTATAAATATATAGACTTCTCTAAACTACTTTTTATTTCTAGCAGTAGTTGCCTACTTTATTAGTATGCTAAGCCTTTAGTGTGTTGTCTAAGGTCCTCTTAAACTTTATAATATCTTTATAAATTACTATATTTTAATAACTTATAGATATAAATAACTAACCTTAGAATTTACTTATTAGCTTTAAGAACCTTCTTAGGGACTATATAGGCGCTAATTAGGCTATTACTATCCTTTTTGTTATTAACAACTATAATATCGCCCTCTAGTTTAGCTGCTTTATAGGTAATAATGTAATAAATAATAACACTAAGCTTATTATAAGCTTTAACTTTTACCCTAATATTTCTATCACCTTTAAGCACTATATACACTGCGTGGGCTATATAATTAACCTTGTTGTTAAGGCCCTAATATATAGCAACAGCATTAGTAAGTTTAAAGAAAAGTTAGCTTAGGCTGCGCCCTAGAATTAATTTTAACTATATAGAAAGCATAAAGTTATTAAAAAGCTTTATAACTTTATAAACACTATTTTTGCATTTTATAAATGCTATAAGCTGTTTAGGACTATATAAACTAAGCTAAGTAATAAGGACCTCCTCTAGCAATTTAGCAGTCTCTATTTAATACAGGACAGCAGGATTAGGTAGCACTCTGTGTATTGTATGCTCTTACGCTGTTATAAGCTTTAAGACCTAATCTCTAGGTTCACGCGTTAGTAAAGAGCTCTATTAAGCGCTAACAACATTACTGCTAACAAAGCTAACAAGAACAGTAATAAGGTTAATAAAAAGGACAAAAATAAGCTAGACTATAACTTATTAGCTAACACCTTCTTAGGTAATAAGTAAGATAAGGTTAAAAAGCTTACTAACTTTTTTAAGCCCTTTTATTAAATAACTTTAAGGCTTAAAGGCAACATTAGCACCTTTAGGTACAAAAGTCTTTAGCAGACGCTTGTTAACTTACAACACCTCTAGCAGAGACTTTATAAAGTTAAGGACGCTGTTGCTTATAAGCCTAACTACTCCTACATTAAAAATGCTACTAAGTTTATAATACAGAAGCTTACATTATATTTTATTAAGCTTATAATAGATTAGCTGTCTTTACTATACTGCGTTATAACTGCTCTTAACTTGCAGCTTTAGCTACTCTAGTTTTAAGGGTAGTAGTTAGCTTACTTAGCTTAGTACAAGAAAGCTAAGAAATCTCTAAAAGACATTTTTTAACAGTATGTTAATGCAAAGAAGGAGGAGGTAATTAAGCTTAACGCCTCTGCCTTCTATTATTATAAAACGCTAGGTAGTAAATATTATAATAAGGAGTTTAAGAAGACTATAGCTATTAACCTTTACTTATAGACTAGCTCTTAGGCCTATAAAAAGGCCTAGATGTTAAACAAGCTAACAACATATTTTAATAATATATATAGAGACTTCTTTATTGCTTAGGATAAGGACCTAATTTACAAAGATCCTATAACTTAGTAGCATTACATAGGCAAGAAATAGTACCTTATTTTATATAAAGTTGCCTTTAATTATTTATCTATACCTGCTACCTCTTATAAGTGTAAAAGGTGCTTTAGTAAAGCACAGAGGACTATATTAATAAATAAAAACTTTCTTTCTTTAGCTATAATAGAGGCCTTGTAACTCTAACATAATTAGATTTAAAATAAGGCTATTAAAAGTAAGCTAAATAAGCTTATAGCTTACATCTCTGCTAGAGGGATATTTAAGGATATAGATAATAATTTAAGGGGTACAACTCTAGTAACTCTAGTAACTCTAGTAACTCTAGTAACTACACCCTTTAGTTACAGAGCTATTAAGTAGTAAGCTGTTACAGTAGCCCTCAGTTACTGTACTTAACCCACCCCCCATCAGTTGGTCAGTCGGGCGAGACGTACAGTTACGGCTTCAAATATACCCAATAGTTACTAGTAACCGACTATTGGAAACGATGTACGAGCCCCTTAAGCGCTCCTCCTCCATATGCACTATAAACTTCAACAATGCTAGGAATGTTATTGTACAACTCGAGAACGACACGCTCGGAGAACTGGTAGTGTCCGGGAATGCGGAGTCTTCTACACTTTCCCATATCTACCCGGTAATAGACAAAATATTCTTAGAGAATACGAGAATTGCTTGTCTCGCGTTAAACAGCACTACTGTAATGGAATTTGATCTTCAAATTTAGGCACAGCTGTGAAACTCCGCAGGATGTAAGGGCGTCTGCAAATTTTTGAGGCAACTAGGGTCCGAATATTGGGTCGAAGGCAAATTTCACGATGATGGTTGTAAGTGAGATGCGATGACAGGTAGGCCATAGTTGTAGTTGCGAAAGGTAAACAGATGTGAAGCATGGATAGGAGGCACAAGTGGAACAGCAAGTGTCCTTTGTAGAGCGGAGATCGTTGAGACTCCCCAACTTATAGCAGGTTTGGTTGCGGTACTTTTGAAGTTCCAACATGGATTCATGGAAACTCTTGACTACAGGCGTAAAAGCTGACTTCAAAACCCTAGTCGGCGTTATGGGTTTTCGGTGCCCGCGTCCTTAGTTTTGTATGGACAGCACTTTAGTTATTTTATGTTTCTAATCTATGTACTCGCCAACCCCTGTCCTATTCCTGTAGCCCCCTCTCCTCTCCCCACAACCATCGCAAATTATGGCGCCTTAACCCTAATTACCCGCCGCTTCAACCGGATCGAAGGTGTACGAAAGAGCAAATCTGGAGAGGCGCAAATTAGGTGAGTCTGGAGAAGCGTAGGGTAATTTGCAAATGGCACCGGAAGTGCGGCTAACTTGGAATAGCATGCAAAGTTATAAAGGACAGTTGAAGAGCTCTGCTAAGCCAACCAGACTTTATATAGCAACTTAGAATGTAAGTTAAAAACTCTAACAAGAGAGGAAGCACCACGTAGTTTATTGAGCCGCCAATAGCCTCGGTACTTTGTTTAGCCTTTTATATCTTACAGCTATTATTCATCCCAAATCACAGAGCTCAAGCCATCTTCGCCACCATAGGTTCCCCTTGGAGGAATGACAAGATTAGCAACCAACTTGCCCAACTTGCCAGTGACCGTGTCCCTAGCGACAATGGCAACGTTCGCCGTTGTCTGACCGCCAATAGCCACATACGTGCCGGCCTTGTTGATGGAGAACGAACGCGGGTAGTAACTGTACGAGTTTGCTAGCTCGATGAAGGTGAGGGAGCCAGACGGCTCAATCTTGAAGGTGGCCAGAGAGTCCTTCTCTGAACCGAACGACGTATCGTTGCGGTTTGACGCGTACAAATAGTTGCCTGCAATGCGGATCTCAGCGGACTTGACAGTGACGCTGCCGAGGGGAACGCTTGGCCCGTAGTTGGATATAGTCTGGACTAAGACGAGCGAAAGGCAGTCTGCACCGTTGCTTGGGTACACGACATCGTACACGCCCATGGAGCTGCTGACCTCATTGAGACTGTAGTACTTCAGGACAGACCCAACTTTGTTGAAAAGGCCGTGACGCGGACCGTCGCCAGGGAGTGAGGAGATGGCTGGGCACGCCGTCAATATCCCCGTGTCCTTGTTGATTTTGAAGATGCGCGTGAGATCCGCACCCAGATCTGGAACAATCATGAATGCCCCCGTCGGGTCGGTAAATGCAGAATGTGGATGGGGTTTATCTTGGCGGTCTGGCCTTGGCCCTGGACGGTCCATCTTAAATTCCAGTAGCTGGATTGGCTTAGTGGTAGAAGTTATAGGTAGTTTGTACGCTGTGAGAGTGGATGGGGAGCTACAATTCTTGTTAGGAACTGGGCTTATCAGGTATTATATTAGACGAACTTACTATTCAGAAGTAATCACGAAGCTCTTTCCATCTGGTCCTCCGTAGAGCGAACCATGGACACTGTTTCCAGGTGTCGGCGCAGACCCAGTCAGAGACAAGGCGCTAACGCTCGCATTTTTTGAGTTGAGCGAGTATTGGGTGATGACACCGCTGCCTTGCCAGCTCTCGTCGAAACAATAAACGATACGAGTGCTCTCGTCGAGATACAGCCAAGTAGGGGTGACACCACAGCCTGTGGCCTTTGAAGTAATCGTTAAGGCACCGCTAGTGGCATTGGAAAAGGACAGATCGAGGGTATATATTTGTCCAGAGAAATGGGAAGCGAGCAGTTTCACGGCGACGGTCTCGGAAAGGAGAGATAGTCCTGTTAGAAGGAGAGACTTGATGGGGGCCATGGCGACTTGAATCCTCCAATGCTAGAGTAGAGTTCACGAGGTTTTACCATGAGCCAGCCGGACGGCGCATATTTAAAGCTGAACAGAAGGTTAAATTCCTTGAAAAACATTGGCATGCGTTTCTCCGCAATTCCGGGAACAATATAGTAGGTGATAACAGGGAAAATGCGCAAGATTTCATCTCCGGGTAGAGGCTCCGTAATTGTTTCGGCAGCTAGCAAACTATAATGACAAGGAGGTTTCAGCCCTAAAAAGCGAAATCTCTGATTAGCCCTGATGAGCATGACAATGATTGGCTGAAGGGCACGTGGAAGTGTTCGGAGCAAATCACGTTGGAACCGTGCACCACGTGATATTGCGGGGTACAGACCTTCGGGAAGTGTTGCGGTGAATGGTGGAGTAGCCGTCGCGATGCTATTTCAGGCCTGAATTTACAACACAGCATTTTCGACTCTCTGTCCCTCTTACCTACGTTTAACGAGTATCTGAACCTGTAGATTGAATGGGTAATGACTTATGGAACGACAACAGAGCATGTTCAGGATATTGCGACGATGGCCAATGTGGTAGCAAGCAATTTTTGGTCTGCGTTCAAAGGCGAAGTCTTGAAGGGGATGTATGAAGAAATTATCTGTCAGAATCAGCAAATGGAAAATTTACTAAGCCCGGAATTTCCTAAATGCCCACCAAGGAATCAGTTCCGGTAGCTCATCAAGTTGGCGTCCAATATTCTGACAACTGCATCACTTCTACATGCCTCCATTCTCAAAGTCAAAACTCGTAAGCTATGTAGGCTTTCAGACCTCTCTGTAAATCGAACGAAATGACAATGGCGATGGTTACAGAAACTTTCCATAGACCAACGAAATAGGCTAAGTCATAGCAGATGAATGTCTCAAGGACCTCGGGAGGCAAGGAAAGTTAGAGTGAAGGATCCCTCTGCTGACTAATCCCCTCTCTTGCACAACCTCGGCTTGTCGATCTCTCTATTGCTACTCCGACCTTTCGTCGGTTATATACAATCTCCACCATGAAAATTTGCTACAATGGCTTCAGTGCCCGAAAAGTGGCAATTAGCTTCATGGATGAAGAAGGATGAGCGATACAACCGGATACCTAAAGACTGGCTCCTGAAGGACTTACCATCTTCTAATGTGACGACTTATCTCGACATACCTCGCAAAAGCAAGCTGTTGAATGCGGAAGAGCTGAAAATAACGGAGGAATATGATGCCACATCGCTGGCTGAAGCAATCAGGAGGAAGGAGTTGAAGTGCGTGGATGTTACGAGGGCTTTTTGTAAGGTGAGCTGAAGCATGTTATCACATGAGGTGTGAGGAAGCTAATGTAGATGGAATAAAGAGAGCTGCAATTGCGCAACAACTCACGAATTGCCTGACGGAGATTCTATTCGATGATGCTTTAGCGCGTGCTGCAGCGCTTGATGATCATCTCGCTGCCGGAAAACCTCCTTTGGGTCCACTTCACGGCGTTCCCGTGTCCCTGAAAGACACGTTTAAGATCAAGGGATATGATGCCTCCATCGGTATCGCAGCCCTGGTTTACAACCCTGCTAAAGAGAACTCCATCTTGGTCGACATCTTGCTAAATGCTGGCGCCGTGCTGTATTGCAAAACCAACATCCCGCAAACCCTTATGGCGCTGGATACACACAACAACGTCTTCGGTCGAACCATAAATCCCTTGAATACCCTTGTCACTGCTGGCGGGAGCAGCGGCGGTGAGGGCGCCCTTCTCGCAATGAGAGGCTCAATTCTTGGCGTTGGTACGGATGTCGGTGGATCCATCCGCATTCCAGCGATGTGCAACGGAACGTTTAGTATCAAGCCTAGTTGGCAGCGTATCCCATATGCAGGACAAGAAGGCGGTACTCCTCCAGCAGCCTCGAAAATGGGCATACCTGCGAGTGCAGGACCCTTAGCTCATTCAATGCGGGACATCGAATTGTTCTTCCGCGTGGTCTCAGAACAGAAGCCGTGGGAATTGGATCCAGATGTTATACCTTCTCCATGGAATACGGTGCAGTCTTCGCTGGGCAGAAAACTAAGGATAGGTGTTGTTAAAAGAGACGGCGTGATTGACCCCCATCCTCCAATCCTGCGGCAGTTAGATGAGGTAGCTGGCAAGATGAAGGCCGGAGGAATCGAGGTCGTCGAAATGGACATCACGCATCTATTCTCCCAATGCCAGTCCCTCGCCAACGCGCTCTTTAGTGTCGAAGGAGGCAACGCAATGTTTGATATTCTCGAATCGACGAAGGAGCCGCTTTCCCCTTGGCTGAAAACTCGCATGCGTCGCAAAGCTCCTCTATCTCTTGAAGAGGTCAGGGAACTCCATGCTAAAAGAACAGAGTTACGGAAGCAATTCCTCAAGATATGGAGAGATGCAAGTGGCAAAGAGATTGACGCCTTCATTTGCCCTGTTGCACCGCACCCAGTACCACCAATCGATAGATGGAATGCTGTGAGCTACACTAGTTCCTTCGTGCTGTTAGATTATCCCGCCGGTACGCTGCCAGTGCGAATGTTCGAGAGTAAGGATATGGAAGGCGAAATGCCAGAGTCAAAGCCCTTGGGAAGCTGGGATGAGGCGAATAGAGAGCTATGTGAGTCTTTTCTTTTCATTAGCGCGGTGCGCATGCTGACACACTAGCTCAGGGACGGACTTCGACCGCTCGGTCTATATTGGCACTCCGCTTTGCGTTCAAGTCGTAGCTCCAATGCTGGAAGAAATGAGGTTGTGCGAGGCCATGGCTGCGATTGATAAAGCACTGAGGGGCGATAAGACACTTTCCGCGAAACTGTAGTATTAATGGTACCCCTCCTCCGAACCATGAAAGGATGCGAGTATTCCTTCCCCCATCATCGCCAAGAGAGCGAGGCCCAAATCAATACATATGTCACAATGTACATGCTTCTCTGTTCAGCCCCCAAGTACGATATACCACTCCTTCCTACCAGTAGCTAAGGAGCAAAGTCACAATAAACATGCCACTCCCAAAACCTTTCCACTCCCACGCAACCTCCCTGCCCATCCTTGACAAAACACGTCCAATCCCCATCTCTATCATCGTACGCCCAACCACTCACCGCAACCCCACCTTTCACACCCTCAACATAAGTCCCAGCATAGAACGTTCGATCATTGCTGCAAAGCGTGCTGCACCCTGGCGTTCTCTTCTCCAAGAAATTGGGAATTGATCTCGGAGCGGATACGGATCGGCGTAGCGGCCATCCGTTGTCTTGCAACAAGCTTCCTACCAGAGGGATCTCACATGCTACCGTTGCTGCGTCGGCAGAGATGCTGCAGTAGCCGTTGTCGGAACGATATGGGCTGAGTGCGGGATTTGGGCTTAGGATTGCGTGTGTGTAGGTGAGTTGGACGGCAACAGATGTGTATGTGAGAGATGGAACTGCAGGGAAGGTGAGCAGAACGCTGCTTTTGTCCGAATTGAAGGTCATGTGTGTTGAGGCGTATGTGGAGAGGAGAGGAACAGTGGAGGGCGGTGAGAGGTATAGAACTTCGCCGCCCGGCCAGATGGAAATGCAGCCAGGGTAGATGGTTGTGCGTTCCGAGAGGAGAGTGGGAGTATTTAGCATGGCATGACTTGGGAGAGCGGTGGTTTGTGGGAAGGGGGTTGCAATGAGCGTGAGGAGAGCGAGAAGGAACATAGTGCGCGTTATAGTTTTGGAAAGGATGATAGGTGGCGAAAGTGCTTTGCAAGAACTAGAGGCGAGGTAGCCTTGATAGCTATGTGGTTCATTTGCAGCCATGCCTCAAATATATAGTTTGACTTTTATCAGAGCTGATACCTGCGAACAATTCCCCAGAAACTGTTTAAAGAAAATCATGCAGTTGAACGTGGATGGCAGCCTCGGAAAGGGTGGACCCTAATACGGACATGCGTCGAGTTGCATCCCTCGTGTTCGCTCTGCCTGCCCGTTGTAAACGAAAAGAGCCTTATACATCGATGCTTCTTGGGTCGCTGATCATGTTGATGGATTCGGAAAACTTCTATTGGTGGCTAGCCTTGGCATATGCTGGTCGTTATCGAAAACACTCGTATCCGATTGGCTGGGATATGGTTCGCTCAGCTTGTGCAGAGCACTTTCGGGCTCCGGGTCCTGGAGCACAGCTAGCACAGATGTGCAATCAATTCCCATTTCAAATGCTGATTGCAATGTCGTTCTTCCTTGCTATCCAGAAAGATGGTCGGTAGATATTCTGCAACATGCTCTCAGGATTCGAGATATATCCAGTCTCAATTCGGCCCGTCTCATGTTTCTCTATGGTGAAACCAAAATGCTCAACCAGTTGGACAACCTCTTCATCTGTTAGTTCAACTGATCCAGGATCGGCAATCCCAGCACCTAAATGCTTGTTTGCCGACTTCGACTTCTCTTCATGTTCCTCCCCAGAGCATTGTAGTCTCGATGCATGATGCCAGAGAAGCGGGCCTAAGTTAATCCAGATCCCTCCGACCTTTAAACAATTTTTTACAGCTTCAATGTATCGAATGATGTTCGGCGCGGTATCGATGAAGAAAACAGTAGCTACCGCATCAACGGTGTCTCTGGCACTCGGTATACTGTATAAAACGCAGAAATCGCCCGCTGCCATACTCATCCGCTCACTTGCAGGAACTTTCCTACCTTCTGAGGCCTTCTCGAGCTCTACTCCCGGGTGGATATCTGGGACCTGGAACGTGCGGAATTGGTCGCCACGACTGAGATGATTGGAACATTGCAGAGCGAAGGGAGCAATTTTGTATTCCCCGATAGTTTTAGTGTGATTCAAGACCAGGGAGCTGGCGATGAGGGCGTGATATGACAGTTCGTTTCCTTCGACAGAGAAGCCGGCACGGCAGATGTCGAGGAGGAGGCGTCCGAGACCGGTACCGGGTAACAACACTTTAAATTCGGCTTTGTCGAGCCCTGGGCTCTCTTTGAGCCGTTGCGCAAATTCTTCTTCAAGAGCGTTCACAACCGGATCGAAGCACTTGGCCCGCTCAGCCGCCCCTGCCACACTCCAGTCCCGATAGAATTGATGAACGGTGCTCCTCGCTTTGTCGACATCATTTTGAAAGCTCTCTTGCGTGGTCCGAAACGTCAAGTGATCCATAACGGTGGAGTAGACTAAAAACTCATCATGGACGCTTTTTTGGTCGACAATTTTGGCAACCCACTCGCTATCGAGCGCCGGCGCTATGAAGGCCTTGAATCCGACTTTGAAGATGGCTTCTGCGAGCTCCGCATTGGAGTCGATAAGATCGTCGAGCTGTGACAGGGAGTCCAGGATGGAGAAAGGAGGCCTAGATAGGAGACCCCAGTGCTCTGACGGGAGGGAATAGAAGGCTTGACGGCGGACGTGGGTTGCATTAAAGTGAGCGAGACGCCGGTATGACCTAGATGATGAGAGGGTATCGTCTGGTCAAACAGTATGGGCGACCCACCGGAAAGAGTCTAGTACAGACAAGAGATGTTTTTGCTCGTCTGGATCAGCAAGTGGATCAAAATCGCCATCCCACTCTCCATCTGCCATTCCGTCCCTCTTACCCTAAAGCAGGAACACGATATATTACGAAGACTTCCGGAACACTGCAGGAGTAGACAGTCTTGGAGGAGTTATTTGTCCGGGAACAGGATCGCCTGTGATTATTAGTTGCGGGCTTGGCGCCCGGCGTTTACTCCGAGACACATCCGAGAGAAGCTGTTTGATTTCCAGCCTCACACAGGGCAGTTCAACAACTCAAATCAACAATGGTGTTCTCGGTTCCGAATGGAACTCCCTCAGGCAAGCCAGTCGAGGTCTCATTCCCACTTCCACGAGCTCCTCAAGCACACATCCACCTTCAACTCACTAACAGCCGTACCTCCCTTTTGATATTCCTGAGCACCTCTTCGACCGAGTCGCGGACTGCGGCATCGCTCGGAAGCTTTGTGTATGCTATGCCCAATGTACATGTCTCCCTCACCCTACCCCATCAGGCCAAATTCTCTGACGCCGCGGAACCAGCTAGCGAGCCCTTCGAATCCTTACAGCACGCCGCTCTACACCCAGAGCGCGACGCTGGACTTTACCACACGACTAGCGAAAGTTTTGGCGAGGAAAGCCAATAAACCTGTATATGTAGGCAACTCAATCAGCTTTGCGAGCGCTGGCATGGGGGGAACGGTGGAGGAAGAGATGGAGGGCTTTCGGAGGTGTGTCGAGGTTGTGACAGGCCTGTTGGAGACGCGACAAGGTGGGGAGCTTGGCCAATCTGGAGTTTGAGCACATGGTCACGGGATCAGGCGACGCGACCGTGTCAGCCCTGGAGTGCTACTGTAGTTTTCATGAGCGTGGTTCCCACTCTCTTTTCCTCATTGCCTCATCCCCACTACCATGTCAAACGAAACACGGAATCGAGCGATCCCCCTTCCATGCTGCATTATCGCGTCTCACAGACCTGTCCCAACATCGAGGAATCATTCCATGCAGTTTACCAGCTGACAGGGGTATGTTGACCTCATACTCACTTATTAGCCCCATGCTCTTCTTCCTAGGTCACTTTTCGAGATTATCCACGTCAAGGCCGAGGTCTCATGGCGATTCGGAGCATCACAAACCATCATTGCATTCATCTGATCTTACAAATGAGGTTTCTATTCTGGTCATCTACTCACACATCCTCTCGCTATTCCTTATCCGGACTACTTCTGCATTGATTCATATACGTCTTGGCTCTGAATCGCTAACAACCGCACGCTAGCTACTCTTGAGGGTTTACAACGACTCTGCCGCTGATTTTCCCTTCGAAAACCTCAGTGCTTGCTTGATGTAAGGCAGTGAGTCCTCTGCCTGGTTTTGTGAATTTAACCGGCTCAACCAAGTTCCCTCTCAATACCTTTAGTAGATAGTCCTTGCACCACCAGGCGCGAGACTCGCTGTACTGATCCCTCTGAACCGCTTGGCTAAAAGCCTGGTAAACCCGATTAACATTGCTAGGCAATTCAATGTCTCCTCCCAACACTGATCCAATTGCCCACCACCTTGTGCCTGCAATAGAGAGGTCAGCGCTTTCTGCGATGTGGAATCACCGCTAGCAGTAAACAGGTATTTGTAAGATCCAAGTGAACGAAGATGATCCACAACATTTGGAGCTTTATAATCGATCACCTCAGAAGCACCAAGCCCTTTCTGGCGTTCTACATCTCTTGAAGAAGCCGTGGCAATTACTGTATGCCCAACCTGGCATATGTTAGTATCTTCGATTTCTAATCGCTCTGGAAACAAACGGTCAGAGATACTCCCACTTTTCGCATATTGCACCGCATAACTTCCCACTGCTCCTCCAGCACCCTAGATCAAGACTTTATCCTCACCTTTCCCAGTATTTGGTTCTCCCGTTCTTAGGAAAAGATTGAAGACTACAACAGCAGTTTGCAGAGGGTAATCGATCAAGACAGCCTGTTCAAATGAAAGGTCTCCTATCTGCCAATTTGTTAGTGGCTAGCCTTGCCTTCTCCCAGTGGACGATACCAGTACCCTGGCTAATATTTTAGCATTGCAGATGACAAGCGGCTGCCACGTTCCCTCGCGCCGTTGTGTCTCCGTCCTTCACATATGCTTGGGTATCAAATACCGCACGGTAACCAACCTCAAGTCCTGTTACGCCTTCATCCAGCTCCTCGATAGTTCCTACTCCACTTGTCCCGAATACGACCGGATAGCTCAACGGACCAGCGCCTCCATATCCAGAAAGAAACATTTTCGCATCCAAGGGCTAGACAGCGATTACCTGATTGCGAACCAATACTCCTCTGCTTGACGGGCGGTTGACTGGAAGACTTCTCACCTCCAACTCCTTTCAAGGGCTTGGGAATACCCATACGCGGTTGTCGGGTGTCATATCTGACAAGGTGGGACGAGCTATAGATGAAGGGAGGAATATGCCGCTCAGATCTGTGTGCAAGTGACACATAATCAGCGATAGTTAGCATGAAAAGCAAGTGGACCAGTGATAATATAGGTGAGCCCTTAATTTCAACATTTCAGAGAAAACACTTTCATGGGGTAAATGCTAACTGTTTGAGGCTGTGGTTCAAAGGCTACCCCTCAGTTGTACTGTGTAACCAATATCGCATGGTGGAATAAGCCCTTTGGCAATCCTTTCATAAACCAGATCCACTTCTACAGGACCATTTGTCGAGCATGGAAATGCATCGTGACATCGTAAACGAGTTCGAGCGGCGATTGCGTAAGCATAGGGTAATCAGGTAATCACAGGGCCAAGGTAGCCAGAAGTCCGTTAATTAGGCAGCTTTAAAACTGAGCGCACTAATTTAGGGACATCATCTTCGCTTCAAGCCCCCATCCACATCTCCGCGATAAATCGAAGCCTTCTGTGTTTGATATTGTCTTGTCTCGTCAGAAGTTAATGATAACTCTTTCGGGAAGACGTGCAAGCAACAGAGCATTTACAAACAATAAGCACCGACTTGCTTCCTCAACACCATGCAGAGACATCGTCGATGCTCGCTTACGCTGGCACAGCCTCAGCCCTGGAGACGATAATAGGACCTATCTCTACCAATCTATTGGCAGTCCATATCCTCGGTGACGAACCCGCGTTCCGGCAAGAAGGAAATGACTGCAGGACCAGATGTCTGAGATCAGACAGTTCGACGGGATCTCAATTTGGAAGTCTTCTAGAAGTCTACTGGAAGACTGTCCTGGCTTCCAGAGAATCGTCTTCTGCAGGCATCCCCTGCTTAGCGTGAGTACAAATCACCCAAGCGAGGAATCTCCGCTGACAAAACCTCCGAGCAAGACACTAATATTGATCTCTTAACACCATTGGGTGCCTAATTTGGGACATTATGCTCTCTTCCCTCTAGCTATGACCTCATGGCGTGTCATTTGGGAGACGTTTTCCTGCAGACTGGGGTGGGGCCAGAGCGGAAATTTCAACCACAGATGAGTAAACTCTCCCAAGTCGAGAACCACCTCGTGTTAAAACACCTAATATTAGAGCCTAGCGGACCTCTGATTCGTGTGCGTTCATTTCACGGCTTCTCAAGATGACAGTTCGACAGAGTCAATGCGTTCGAACCATACTCCTCGTCACGCTAATTACTTCCTCCTATACAATCATGACTAGTCAGTTACGCCGAGCTTGGGCATCCACCCATACAAAAGTGTACGAAGTTGAGAGAAAGATGACAAAGAGTATGCCACTAATCACGTATACGTGCCGCGTCGAAGAACACTCGGCCTCATTCCGTCACTGGTCAATTTGACATGCTTACCAGAGTGAAGACAAACCGCGTTCTCCAGACACTAAGAGAAGGGGTAGAATTTTTAGTGTATCATGAACATATTCAGAAAGGGCCAGCATTACAACAAGGCAACAGTTTCGATACTGCCCTGGATGCGCAGGACCAATCTGCTCAGAAGGGAACTCTTCGTCTTGGAGCATATCGAGCCTTCGTTTACCCTTGCAACGGAACCGGTCATTTTGCATGCGGCTCAGGATAAGCATCTCACGACAGCAAGCCTTCACCCTCCCGCTGCCAGATCGGTACCACAAACGCATCCGAAAGGTTTACACAACCAGAGCGAGACGCCACACGGCTAAAAAAGGCGTGTCCGTCCTACACCTCTGCACTAACCCAGCTACTCCGCAATCTGATCATACCCTACCGCCCGGAATCCGTCTCAACACCTCGATATCATTTGTCGCTGGTCTTGTGCTTCGAACTCATCTAGGGAAGAGGTACTCCGCTCTGACCTCCACCACTGGGCGCGGGCCATCTATATCACGATTACTTCATGCTTTGGACGCTTATGCTAGAGAATTTTGTCTGAGTTCAGGGTCTCCTCTTGTTCTAAGCATCGGATTCGTGATTTTGGAATCTGGACCGAACCTTTGGATTCGTGGCCCCGGTTACTGGATCCAGGGCGTATAAAGACCTGGCGAAGATCAGTTAAGTGAAGTATACAACAACTTCAACAACATACCAAAGAGTTCCTGCTCCTAGCTAACAACTCGGAACCCCAATATTGAGCACTATTGCCACGGTGTCAACTCCAGCACATATCAGGAGTTGCGAAATCAAATTCACTGTCGGTAGGACAATCAGCATATGAGCAATCACCATTCACGAGAACCCAATCCACCAAATTCATCAAAGAATCTCGTTACCCAAGAAGCTCCGGCACATCCTGAGTCCTCGAGTCAGCAACCAACTGCATTTAACGGCCGAGAACACTTTGCGGAAACCTCTCAACGTACCTTTGGACCTCGCTCTCAGTCATTTCCAGACTTGCCATCAACCGCACAAGATACTCAGTCGCACAACCCACCAAACCCACCAAATCCAGTCCCGGAGGCGCCACGAATAATAGTTACCGGTTCTCCCGAACGCCACGACGCACGCACATCATCCCCCGCGTTTGAGTCGATCCCACGACAGAGTCGCTCACTGGTATCTCGACACAGCCCCAGGAACAGCTGTTCGCAGCCAGCAAGGCGGTCTAGCACACCGTACACCCGCCTAAGATCTCGATCGCAGTCTCAAGAAACCCGAACCGCCACAGCTGCCGCGATGTCTTCTGCATCCTCCTCTCCAGGTAACACCACGACCGCCGGGGCCTCAACACCGCAGCCCTCAACATCCGGGACGAACCCATCTTATCACCTACCGTACGCACCATTCCCATATCCTATGCCTGGAAATGCACGTGGCTCTGGGCAAGGCAACCAGGGAAGCAGCAACTCGGGCAAATAAGCGCATTTTCCAATCACATTTTCCAGAATTGTTGCATTTGTGGCGTTCTGATATGACGAGACGGCTGAATATGAGTTCCTAGATACCATGCATTGGACCGGTTGCATATGGCGGCGCTGGATAGAATTGTCCCTTTGAATACTTCCTCCACTTCTTCACCTTTTTTCCATTCAATAGTTCACACGCCCTTCTGTATATATTTCCCCCCACCCTTTCCTCTCATTTTGCAGCTGCAAAGGCACTTCTCCATTCGACTGGCCACCGACTGGTAGGAGCAACGTACGAAATGAGTGGATGGTTTGGCACGAACCGACCCTAGTTCACTCCTTTGATTTTTGGCATGACGATACGACTTTGCATACCGACCATTGTTTATTCATTTTGCTGTAGACCGACCCCAGTACATTCATTTGAATTTGAATTTACGAGATAGATAAGATTAGACAGAGCTTCAATGAAAGAGAGCAATCTCACCTTCCGCGCGGAAAGCTTTGGATCAGGCCTGACACTTACGTGCAATGCTATCGTGATGCAATAACGGCGATTCGTGCGCAACAAGGTAGTAAGGCAGTAGAGGTAGATAACAGGAAGTGGGACTGTGTGGCTGACCATTACTAATAGATCTCTTGGCACTATCAGCCACGGCAGCCTGTCGTTTCTCTGGCTTCGTCATTGAACCAGACTGCTCACGTTGTCTGAGCACAAGAGCATCCCTTTTCATTCACGCGATACTCCAGCTGCCTCGTGCCGGCACTGTTATTACCCTTCCTCCTCTCTTTTGTCCCTCCTTAGCAACTACTCCCACTCTCTGGCTACCTCTCCTCCGCGATCCTCCTGCCTCCTTTCCCTTTCGCCGTCCGTTTCACCATTTCCATCCAACATGCGAGCCTGCACCTCTTCCAGCCCCTCCAGCTCAAAATCGCCCTCCATATTTTCGGTATCGATATTGTCAGCATTATTTCTTAGTTTTTCGTCGCTATCGGCCGGTTTCGATTGCCAGGATGTTGCTGCGGACCGACAGCATTTTGACTTTAATCAGTTGGGGGGCCCACACCGAGTGCACTGGTTACAGGACCCAGACATTGTGCACCAAGAGCAGTTCAACTACACATTCACTCTAGACATCTGCCATCCGCTAAAACGGGATAAAGGAGTGCCTAAGGTTGAGTTCTGTCATCTCGGGTCTAGAGGTGTGTTTCTTCTCATTAATGCGCTACCCCCCTCGCCCTTTGACAACAGAAGGACTGCAGATGCTGCGCAGTCCATGTCCACATTTATATCTAGCTCGTTGCATTGAATCGGTGCTGATCTGCTGTGGATAGTATGCGCTGTGAGAGAAACCATCGATATGTCAGACAAGAACAATCGAACAATCAACCCTATCGATATCGCAGGGACATACAGAATGGACAACGGCCGCACCATCGACGCGAAATTCAGTCTTCTCCGCAACTCAAAATCACACTCAGATGCTGGCCGGGAGGGAGTACGAGCCGAGCTGCACGGCGGCAGATTTCCATTCAAAGACAATAAGAATGGCTTGGATCAGATGGCCATCATCGAGTTTGTCTGCGATAAGGACCGCACGGGTCTTGAAAACGACGAGAAAGATGACGGGGAGAAGGAGGATGATGGGAAGGACGGAGAGAAAGAGGACAGCAAGAAACTGAGGCGGCGAGAGGACAGCAAGTGCGAAGACAGCGATAAGAGTCTCCGCTTCTGCAGCTACGAGGTTGAGGAACAAGAAAAGGGTAAGAAAGTCAGTGTTCTCCGATTGGAATGGCGGACAAAGTACGCGTGTGAGGACGCGCTTGACGACGCCGAGGGCTCTCACTGGGGCTTCTTTGCTTGGTTCATTATCATGTGAGTTATCCATTCCTATTATCCATTCCTAATTCCTCGTCGGAGCCTCCCCCATCGACACCTACACACACCAACTTTGGAAATCGGAGGTTGGAGGTTTCCACAATATGCTGGGTTCTGTGGTGCTGACGTTTCACCCAACACAGCCTCTTCCTTGCAACAGCCGCCTACCTCATCTTCGGCTCATGGCTCAACTACAACCGCTACGGTGCCCGTGGCTGGGACCTCCTACCTCACGGTGACACCATCCGTGATCTGCCCTATATTTTCAAGGACTGGGCTCGCCGCGTCGCTGGCGCCATTCAAGGGCCAGGAAGCAGGGGCGGGTATAGTGCGGTCTAAGTTTGGTGGTTAATCAGCATTTCTAGGGTCTGCACAGGTTTGGGACTAGGCAGGGGACAGCAGCACCTTGGCGTTAGTTCGTATTGCTTCACACATCTTGGATTGGGTTGTCTGGAAAGAAGTATAGCGTAGTTTCGAAGCCCTTGTTCTGTTTATTAGCCTGTACATTTACTAGTACCGAGTCTGGTATAAACAAAGTGATTGGTGTTCAGTCTGTGCGTGGCACTGGCAGATTTAGGGGGGGGAGGGTGTTTCTGTTCAAAAATTAGTATATTACCGTTTCAATGCTGTCGCATAGAAACGAGCTCTAGTCTAGAGGTATCAATGCACGCTACAGTAAGTATTGCACAACGCAGAATAGTCCTCCCATCAACTGAAGGATCGAGCAGCCAAAAGACCCCCAATCAGCAGCCACCACCCCTTACTGATGCTTCTTGACAGCACCGTTAGCAACCCCATTAGCTCCCTTCGCCTTCAGAGTGAGTTCCTTCAACGTCATCTCTACTTTATTCAACGCCGCAACGGCCCTAGCGCTCGCACTCACGCTCGTGCAGAGCAGATACAGGGGTATTACAATCCAGAAGCTGTTCATAAAGACAAAATACCCCCAGTAATACGCTGCCTCAGGCCTCGAGTATGAGACCTGCAGAATCATGTGGTCGAATAAACTGGTTGCGTAGTAGAGGACGTCGCCGTAGAGCTGGCCGAGCGAGACAATGGTTTGGAGGGGGTAGCGTAGAGGGTGGTCAGTGGCGACTAGGGCAGCGGTAAGGAAGGAGAGGGGACCCCAGAAGATCTGTTGTGGTTCAATTGTTAGTGGGCACTTTTGAGGTAGGGGAGGAAGGGGAGGGTGTACCGCGGTGATAGTTTCCATGCAAAGAACGAAGGCGTCCTGGGTTAAGTAGCGGGAGTCGGAGAGCGAGTACTCTTTCCATAGCTGCCCGAATAGATCCTGCATCCCACCCATGCGGCGGAAGTTATACGCGAAGTAGCCTTCGAAGAAGAGGTGAATGCATCCGCCTATGCCGAGTGTTAGTCTACCAACCCTAACCGTCATATGTGCGCATTGGAAAACCTACACAACACAAACCACATGACGGTTGCCAGATCCGGAGTTGACACATGAGGTCGCAATCTTTTCACGGCCAAATATGTAGCCACGAAGATGACGGCACAGCCCGCTGAGAACATAGAGCATAGCTCCAGCGTGTTCCATTCATTGGCGAGGTATCCGACGATCTCGGCTTCAATTGGGTAGTAGGGGTGAAACGGAGTCTCCGTTGCGGTGGGCATGGCGGGCATGGCGGCGGGCGGCGAGAAGGATTCTTGCAGACGTTTGAAGAAGGATGCCATGATGAGAGGCCTGCAACGTCACTTTATTCCTCGAGCGATGTTAGGGATACAAAAGAAAAGGGAAGGGACCGTGGGGAAATGCGCTTGCTAGAGATGGTTAGGTCAGGTCGGGTGCGTGTGTGCCTGCCAAGGGACATTGTCGCTAACGTTCCAACCTTGGAATTCATTCACCGTCCATGTGACCACTGCTGCTGACCTCGGGACCTTCACACGTCGTGAGCTGGACTCAGACTTCATCTTCCCCGCATAATCGCTTTCTATTTCTCACTTCTCCCATCTTTTCATTCTTGTTCTTCGCGCTGTTGTGTTGTTGTTGTGACATCCGGGGCGCTTCCCGAAAACCTTGGAACCCGATCTCAAGCCAGGTAGCCATTCGTTGCATTGTCGCATAGCCGAAAGGATGCACAAGGCGGAGGAGCCAACCGGCCACCCAGAAGAACGCGGCTACTCAGAAAAGGTAACCTTGTCCTCCTGTTCCAAGAACCTCTGACATCATGCGCGCGTGTACGCCCGGAAAGCATCCCCATTGTCACTTTCCTCTCTGGCTTTGCCAACAACACCCCATCGATGGCACTTGAATGCATCACACGGCTTTAGAAGTGTCCTGTTGGACCACACGTCTCACCGGGACGGGCTAATATATGCCGGGGTCGGAGCTTCCCCTGATCTATCCACCTTCCCCGCTCGTCGATCATTTTCACTCCTGCAACCTCGATCGGCACGCATCTTGACAACCTTCAAGAATGCACCAATCGAAAATATGTTCCGAGCGCATCGCTGACTGCCACGCAGGAACAGTGTCAGATCACACGCAGCAGCTTCAACCATGCAGCCACACCCGGCCGGCAGCCGTTACTTTGCCCCTCTAGCCTGATTGGCGATGCGAAGATTGGATCCTGGACCCAGCAACGTTCTTTCCCGGCCCAACATCCAAACGTTGCCTACCAAGCCGTAGTTAACCCATATGACCTTGCGAGGAAAGGCCTCCTGCGGAGATGGGCTAACCCAGGGGCGGCTGATCAATTCTTTACATTTAAAGCGGGCTCTCCCCAGAAGTCTTCATGGCGGTTGACCTCTTTTTCCACTGGTCTTGTTATTTCCTTTCTGCTTTTCGCAATGTGGTATCTGTATGCATTCTTTCTTGGCTTCTTTCCAACTACAGCTCCACTAGTCTTGGAAAGTGGTGTTGGAAGACTCCCGGCCTTGGGTGTGAGTTTGCTCGAACAGTTTTCAATACATTAACTCTATGCTAAATATCCGACAGTGGAATTCCTGGAACGCGTATCATTGCGACATCTCTGAATCGCAATTTCTTACTGCAGCACAAAAATTCATTGACTTGGGATTGAAGGTCACCATTCCCCAAGCCTTCTTTGCTCAACTACTCACAGGCTTAGGACGCTGGATACGAGTATGTCAACATCGACGACTGTTGGCAAGTCAAAGACCGCCGAGACAACAAGACCAATCGTCTGATCCCGGACCCTGATCGCTTTCCAGACGGTATTCACAGCACGGCTAAGAAGATCCATGACCTCGGTCTCAAGATCGGCATCTATAGCAGCGCAGGTACCCTGACTTGCGCCGGCTATCAAGCGTCTATTGGCTATGAATCGATAGATGCTGCCCAGTGGGCCGAATGGGAGATTGATTATCTTAAGTATGATAATTGCAATGTCCCGCATAATTGGACGGATCCTTGCCGTGGATGTGTTCCGGAAAGGAGGGGCGATTTGGTGAACGGAACTTGTGAGTTATTTCGCACCCGTCACTTGTCAAGCACATGCACAATTCTAGGAATCTAGCCGCTCTCCCGAGCTGAGAAATATCTATCTTCTTTCAGATGCCTGCACCGCCGGGGTCCTTCATTTATCTTCTAATGATCACTCTTGCGAATTACTGTGCCAGACAAGTTCTAAGTGTAGCTAGGTACAAGTGCATCCGGCATGTGTCCTTCGGGCTTCGACTACTCCAACTCTCTTACTGCCGAGCGTTTCCGTATAATGCGCGACGCACTGCTAGCCCAAAACCGTACAATTCTCTACTCCCTCTGTGAATGGGGCGAAGCTGGGGTCCAACAATGGGGAAACAGCACCGGCTCTTCCTGGCGCATGTCCGGCGACATCGAACCGACCTGGCAACGTGTGCTCGATATTCTGAACCAGAACTCGTTTTATTTAAATAATGTAGACTTCTGGGGCCACTCTGACGCGGACATGTTAGAGGTCGGGAACGGGTTGAGTATTCAGGAGAGTAGGAGCCATTTTGCGTTGTGGGCCGCGATGAAGAGTCCGCTTTTGATTGGGACGGACCTGGCGAGGATTGCAAGCGACCAGCTCGAGGTGTTAAAAAACAAGTATTTGTTGGGCTTTAATCAAGACCCGGTATATGGAGCCCCAGCCAAGCCGTACAAATGGGGTACAAACCCCGACTGGACGTTCAACGCTTCATATCCTGCAGAATACTGGTCTGGAGCTTCAACAGCTGGGACTTTGGTTCTCATGTTCAATCCTTACTCTGATGCGAAGAACAAGACGGCAGATTTTAAGGAGATTCCAGAGTTAAAGAAGGGAGGCAGCTATCAAGTTAAGGATATTTGGTCGGGAAGAGACTTGGGGTGTATAACGGGGAAGATCAACGTTGAAGTGGAAGGGCATGACACAGTGGGGCTTTTGATGACTAGAGAGTGTTCGGGAAGACTAGGGAGGTTGGGTGCTAGAGGCTTGGGGTTCTTTGGGAATTGGTGAGAGGAGAGCGTATGAGATGAGAAGCTGAAAGAGGGATAGAGGTTAGTTTTTGGCATCCAGTGTACTGGCGCGGTTTTATGGCATTGCTATGCGAGTCTTTCTTGATTCCTAGTACATAGATATTTTCATTCAGCATATAGCATGTTATCGCAGAAGGTAGAACATAAGCAGGGTGGAGTCTAGCTGTTATAGCTCTTACTGGAGCCAGGGAGAACATAAACGAGATGAAAATTTGATATGCTGCATTCTCCCTCTGTGACATACCACATAAGATGATTAGATTGAGCTGGCCGAACAAACTCCTTCGGGGCGGGTGTGGCTGTCGTGGCTGATATCGAGTTCGTCAGGGTGGATGATTGGTTGCTAGGTGGGGGCGCCACGAGGACCACGATAGGAATAGCGTGATGGAGGATGGAGACTTTGCCTGCACGCCTCACAGGCTGTGCAGGGCCAAATAATAAGGTAAAGAAAGGATAACAGCAAGAAGAAATGCGAGACTCAAGACAAATGAAGGTCTAGAAGCTCGTCGACGTGTCCCTGTTTGCCCGTCGCTTGCGGTCATTATCGGATTGTGTGGTTGGAACACCATTTCGGATCGGATCTGCAGTGAGTTGCGCGATCCCTGCTCGCAGCTCTAGCTTGCTTTCAGCGACGCACCATTGAACAGCACTCACCTGTGGGACTGATAACTGAGAACCCTTCACACCCTTCACACCACCACGCTTTCATGTACAGATGCTGCTCACCATCCACCATCCTCTCACACATCATCAACATCTTCGCACCCGCCGCTGAAGCTTAGCGAGGTGTGCGCGGGCAAGGTACGTCGTCGAGGGTTTGTTTACAAGTTCCACCGCCCAGCCCCAACGCCGCAAACATCACAAGTAAATGCAGACGCGGTTCTCGCTCTCACCATGGCCTTTCACTGACTATTGTGACGTGCTTCAGACCCAATGCCCGCATCGCCGTCCCCGCAGACGCCTCGAAACCCCTCTCGTCAAAAGAAAGATGGTACGCCGAGCAACAGGAAGGAGCAGACCAGCGCATCGCCGAGTCCCCTCCGCACCATGAAGCCAGCCGACTTCGGAAAAGCCATTGGCATCGACAAACCCGCAAATGTCAAGGACAAGATTCGAAAATGGCAGATCGACCTCGAGGGCGACGACGCAGCTCCTGAGAATCTGGTCCCATCCGCGCTGGCTGACACCAACCCAGCGCCCTTGCCCAAGCTGCAGCCGACACCCAAGGGCACACCGCTAGACGAGAAGCCGAGTCTGAGACCTGCACACACACCCTCGAAATCAACAGATGAGCTTCCAGAGCGTCCGAAGAGCGCAAAAAAACCGGTGCACAACAAACTGGACGACGATCTGCGCATTGCGAGCGCCCCGAAGAAACGTGTGGTCAGCGACTCCCACTGGCGAACGAAGAAGTCTCCCCCAAAAGATGGCGCGACTCGGCCATCGCCAAAACAACTCCCTACCGCATGGGTCCGGCCTGCAGTGCGACGAACTGAAACATCTGAGGCCAAGGTCTCAACCCCCAGTCGCCCAGAGCCGAAGCCTCTGCTGCTATTTACAACCAGACCCACAGGCCCGCGGCCAAGAAGCGCAAAGCGGCGGAGGCCGTCACGGCCTTCGAGTTCAGGGAACGAGGAGCGGCCAAGTAGTAGCGGGTCAGGAAGTTCCAAAGGCGCGAGGAGCGGGGATGATGGTCTCGCATCACCAACCTCTCCCACCTCGGCCAATAAAGTGGAAAATGTCCCCAGGCGTCGACGACGACGTCGTCGCGGAGCAACCTCTCCGAGAGTGTCGCTGTCGACTGAAGACGGGGACCCCGTTAAAAGGAAGTCCATGCGGAAATCAGATGCGTTGTCAGCAGATGATGCCTCTGGCGAGATACCAGATGAGAGAAAATCTCCGCACTTTCAACCGTCTTTCAACGAAGACGGTCGAGAAAAGCGACGAAGCCACCATCGGAGGGAGCATACCCTCACCTCTCCAGAGGATCTCCCAAGAGATGCCCTGTCCAGTGGCCGACGCCGCTCGCACCGAAGATCACATCCATACGACTCGGAGTTCGAAATAACTACCCTTTCACACAAACCTACGATACCAGAGACTCCACCGAAACCACTAGGGAGCAGATTGGAAGCCTGGCTCAACACCACACCAGATCCATTCGTTGACGCGGATTCTCGGACACGGCGACCTTCAAAAGAGTCAATATCGACACTGGAGTTGTCGCATCGCAAGCCTGAGAAGAAAGATGCTTCTGAGACCATCGAGGTCACGAATGCGCCTCTTGAAGATGCCCTGGAGCGCAAGAGCGGCAGCAGGCGGCGCACAAGAACCCGGAGCTTGAGTTTCAAATTAGACACTGAGGCCTTGAACGATAAGCAATTATTAGCTCCCTCGACAGATCATACTGAGACTTCCTCCGTTAAGAAGGATGAAGAAATAGCTCCCAGCCTGACGCTAAGGCGGCGAGGTGCGAAACGTACACAACAATCCCCAACCAAGGATCGAGCAATATCTTCTCCGCTCTGTGAATCAACTGTGCTGGACGAAGATATTGCGTCTTCTGCTCCTCCCTCATCATCCGTCGAGGCTCCGACAATGGCACTTGAGAAATTGTCCCTACGGACTAAACCGGAGAACCCCGCAATGCGTCGCGTCTTCCCGTCGACTGGAAAGCGACTTTCAACGATCGCGTCCGTGGAGACTTTTGCGACAAAGATGCAAGCTGCGGCTCCTTCAGAGACCGTAGGCTCCGAACCAGTGGAGTCTGTTGAGCCAGTGGATGTAGTAACGGAGCCAAACAAAACTGCTAACGAGGCGCCTGCCTTGGAGTCTGAAGATCACTTCAATGCGGATACTCTTAATACTCTAAGTCGTAGGAGCACGAAGCGCAGACTTGCCAGCCATGCTGATTTGATATCGGTGCTGTCGATGCCCACGAGCAGGGCAGGCACAAAGAGTATCATGTCCGCTCGAAGCATCCGTACAAACAGGAGTCGCTTAGCAACTGCCACAACTAGCGATATCATGAGCGAGCTTGCTTCTGATGAAACCAAATATATGCGAGAGCTTCGGACGCTGGTTGACGGGGTCATTCCTGTCCTGCTCAGTTGTGTTTTGTCGAAATCTGATTCTGCCGTAGCAGCGGGATTGTTCAGTCCTTCCGCCTCGAAGGCAGATCCGAATAATGTCACAAAGCCAATAATAGACATGGGTATCTCTTTAGAGCGACTGAAAAGCTTACACAGACGCGTCCCGAAGGACGACCCTGATACCTTCCTTTCCTGGGCGCAGAGTGCGCAACGCGTGTACTTCGACTACATCAATTGCTGGCGGATGGGATTTCAAGATGTGGTGGTGAGCCTTGCTCCCGCTGATGAGGATCCTTCTTCATCTACTCCCGCTAAGGTTACCGATGGCACGGAGGACTCTGGCGCTTGGGATGAAGGTCTGCCGCAGAATGCGGAAGGCTACGTCGTAAATGGAGACGGGGAGAGGGTCGATGTCGCCTACATGCTTAAGAGGCCATTGGTTCGATTGAAGTATCTAGCCAAGAGCATCAGAGTACGTGTAGCCTTCCTTGTTCAGCATTATGGAGGGACGCTAACCATGTGCAGGGTATCAATCACGTAAAACCCTCCGAGAAAGCAGAAAATATGTCGAGCGTGTTCCAAGAATTGGTTGATGCTGCTCGCAAGCGCTCCAACGATGAGCGAGCTCGACTCGAGGACGAAGCGGCTGCAAACATAGATCCGACACGCGCAAGAGATCCGCGAAGCCTAGCGCCTTTGACCGGCGTGCGCATTGACCAGACCCGTTGTGTCAGGGCCAGAGACTATTTCGACTTGCACTTGATCCACTCCAGTGGCCAAGAAGTCGACTGTCGTGTGGAGTTGCTCCTTCGCGACAACGCCCAGGGCACAGGCAGCGGTGGAGATGTCCTATTATGCGAGGTTGACGGAACTGGCCGTTGGCTATTCTTGCCGCCAATTCAGCTCGGTCGCATCTCCGCGCGTAATGGCGACGTGAAAGGCGAGATCATTGTTATGATTCGCGGATATCATTCCGATGGAAAAGAATGGAGTGAGGTCTTTTCTCTGCAATCAGACTATGAGCAGGCTGGGTTTGAATGGGTTCAGATGTTGGGACTGAATCCAATACCACCCCAGCTGGAGGAGCTGAGGCAAACCCACAGCCTTGTCAATAAAACGCCACGGCCGACAAGCAGTGACGCCACTTCTTCTTTGGTCTCCACAGCAACAGGGTCGACGCCTCCACACAAGAGCCGTTCTCCAAGCCCTCACGAGATCCAAATTCCGATTGGAGAACAAGCCAGTGCTGCATCCAAACGGTGGGGCTTTGAGACGCCTGAAAGGGCCTCGAGGTCATCAGAGGCGTCGCCTACCACACCACCAAGTAGTGACGACTTGAGGCTGAGCAAAAAAGTTGCTGCAAGTCCAATATCGCTCTCATCGCCTGTCGACCCTCGCCTACGAGCTGAAGATGGCGTTCGCATCTCCACTCCTATACATGCAAGCCATTATGACGATAGCCAACTTGAGCGAACACCTCGAAGCCTCGATGAAGCAATGATGATGGCTGGGAGTGGTTCGCCGATCAGTCTTAAGCGGACCAGAGCGAAGAGACTTTCGAAAAATTCCTCCTCATCCCCAACTTGCTCCCGACCATCCAGACAAATTGTTCTTGATGATCCTTCGGGAGAGCCCAAGCAATCGAGGAAGTTATCCAAACGCCACCGATCCGAGCAGCCACACACCTCTCCAGCCTCGTTAGTGTCTCAGTCAAGCAAAGGCTTCAGTGTATGGATGCCGACATCGGAAGCAGAGTATTCCAGTGATTCTGATGAGGAATTTCCGGTAAAGGGAAAAATACGAGAGGAACCAAAGAGACTGGAAATGCATAGACGGGCATCGTCTGTGCCCTCAATGGACCTTCCCATTATTCCAAAGATTCGGAAGACAAGTCAGCCGAGTACTCCGGCCAGAGAGCCTTTCAAGGAGGAGTCTTCGGAGGCCAAAGAACCACCAGCATCTGCCCCTGCCAAATTAAAGAAGACTGTCCCAGAGCCAGTTACGGAGGGAGCTGAGAAACCTGAGGATGAAGACAAGCCACCACCGGTACCACCTCATCGATCACCAAGCCCTGCGACCCCAGTGACGCTTAAAGGATCCAATACGCCTTATTTCACGCCATCTCTCCCAGGCTACAAAACACGTCGAAGATCCTCATCACCTCTTAAGCATGAATACGAACCCTCCACGGCCACGGAGTCATCAACAGAAAGTGAGGAAGAGGTCTCGGCGGAAGAGGACGACCCGCTAACCGAGGAGTCATCTGACGATGAGCTTGAAGATGATGTGCCAACTCCTCTGATGCCAATTGGCCAAGCCAAGCAGTTCCCAAAAGTCTCTCCGCCAGCCTCCATCTACACTCTCCCCAACGGAACAATAACACCATCTCAATCTGCCTCTAACACGCCCTATAGGGCTGTTCCAAAGAGCTCTGGTCAAGCTTCGAAAACTATCGCGTCGATATTCAGTTGGTCTGACGCAGGTAAATGGGATAGTCTTCATCCCGATGAATGCAGTATTGTCGTTACACCAGGAAAGATCGAGGTTTTTGAGATTACGGCCGCACACTCAAAGCCCTTCCTAGCAGACGGTGATGAGATCATTCAACCTGGAGGACGCGCTCCCCTTATTGCCCTAGAGCTAACTCCTTTGGTTCCCATCCGCAAAGGAACTGCCATTGATATTACAATTCGCTCTCCACCAACCGCTGACTCTCGCATCAGAAGCGGTAATAACATCATGCTACGGAGTCGAAATCCCGCAGAATGTGCAGACCTTTACGCCATGATCAATCACGCTCGAATCAACAACCCGACGTACATTGCGCTCCAGAATGCACGAGGACCATATGGCCAGACTAGCTGGGCTGAGGCAATGGACCGTCAGAACGCAGCTCGATCTACCGCCGGTTCCTCAAGTAGTTGGCTTGCTGGTACGCTAGGTCGACGAAGCTCGTACCGAAAGTCCAGCACTCGGGCGGCCTCAATTTCAGCTGCCACGGAGTCCTCTGTTGGAACAATGAATACTGCCTTCAAGTCGGCTCTCAATCGCTTTAGCTTTGGCAAGAACGGTCGTTTCAATATCAGAGGCTCAACGCTTGGATCTCGTAGCACCAATAGTTTTGACTCCGGGTCAAATGGGTCGGGGTCCGGTACCAACACACCACCAAATCTCGAGCCAGGGCGAGCTCCCGGTGCTCCTGCCGGTATCACCAACACGAAATGCCGCCTCTATGAACGCGAGTCTTTTACAACTAAATGGCGAGACCAGGGAGCAGCACGTCTTACTATCATGCTTCCGGATCCTTCCGCCCCGCAGACGACTATGAGACAAGGCCAAGGTAGTCCCGGTGTCCGCAATCCCACCCTGGAGAAGCGAATTTTGGTCATGGGCAAGACGAAAGGCGAGACATTGCTGGATGTCACACTTGGAGAGAGCTGCTTTGAGCGCGTAGCGCGAACGGGTATCGCAGTTAGTGTGTGGGAGGATGTTGTCGGGCCTAATGGACAGATCGGGACTGTGGGTGCGGTCGGTGGTGTGAGTGGGGCCAGGGCGAGGGTTTATATGATTCAGGTACGTTCTTGCTTATTCCTCTGCATCTCAGGACAGCTGCTAACCCAACGAAATAGATGAAGTCGGAGCGTGAGGCTGCGTACTCTTTCTCTCTTCTCGGAAAACTCCGATACTAATAGGACGCGCACCCGCAGAGACGACATGACAGCGGCTTCTCTCGGCATCTTTTTTTTCAGCCAACCGTCTACACTACAGACACGATTTCTCTTTCCTGTGGATTTTTAGCGACTTCCATTTTCTCTTTCCTACCGCATGCAATGCATATACCTGTTTTCAGCGAGCGTCGGCGCATGCATGTTTTGTTCCGAAGTATCTTGCGGTTTTCTCACTCGATTTCGGAACTTCCACGGCTATACTAAGAGACTAATAGAGCTCTACTGCTTATCGAGCCAACACGATTTCTCCAAGTTCTTTCTTCGAGTCATGTCTCTGTCCCTTATTTAACTCTATCCACTTTTCTCCTCCAACCATTTCCTGAGGGCGATATTGCAAATACACTCACAGGTTTTGCATTTGGAATGTTTTCTTTTCTTCTTTATGTCTAGCTTTTAGCATTACGAGGCAGGTATTGGTTCTACTATTCAGCGTGCGTGCAGATCCGGGACATTTCTTTCTGGCACTGGAACTGGTCTCAGGGGCTTTGGCAATAAGGGCTGACGCTGGCGTAGCAGCAGGGGCTCCATAGATAGGCGGTGTACTGGTCCGGGGAACGGGAAGCCGGGGGCGTGTATAAGTAATAATACTATGTGTTCGTCTCATCAAAGTCTCAAGACCGATATTGCAATTTGATGCTTGAGTACCTTCGCTAGTGGATGTACAGAAACGCCCTTAAGGTAATTTACCTCTTCGTGTAAGTGGTTCGGTATGGAATACTCACTAGAGATGATTACTTACAACTTGGACGTATGTAAAAAGTACTTCCAATTGTGTCTTTCAGCGTCAAATGATTAGGCAATGGGTGCTCGCGCTAACAACGGGGACCCACTAATCTATCTGCACACAATTTCTTAAGGAAAGCTAAATATTAGACTACTCTCAATAGAATTAGTCGACAACAGAGTAAGCGTTCTATTGTTGGGCCTCCTATTTATCAACGTATGAGCAGTGCTCTAAGCTACTATGAAATGCACGAAACGAGTAGTACAGAGGCCGGTCAGAAAAGAATGCGCGACGACTTTCGAGCCCCATGGCAATAATTAAGGCGCACTCCCAGTTCAAAATCTGTAAGCCGCATCTGCATGCCATTGGAAGTCCTCGAAGCTAAGAATATCTCTTGATGACAAACACCAAGCCTACCTGCAGTGCAACGCACACGTCACAAGTGCTCACTAGTATCAGAAGCAGAGTCAGTTCGGTTGCTAACCTACATAATCCATAAAACCCCCTAAGAGATTCTCCCGCAGTTATCGATATCATAGCATAGCAAAATGTCTGAAGTTCTCGAACACGCGATTCCCGAATACCTCCAACAAGAAAGAACCAAACCCTCTAAGCTTCCAGCCAGTTATGTCCCTCCGTTTCCAGCATACGTATCCCGATACCCTCGCTCCATTAAGGAGATTGTCATGGCCATCATCGGCGTGCAATATCGGTCCAAAGACCTCGACGATGGCGTAGTAATCTCCCAACTATCGGAATTCATGACGGCATCATCGTCCAAATCCATCCAGCCAACTTCCTGGGAGCTGGCGTCTGTCACAGATCAGGCTGGGGCTTACAACGTTGCTATTATTGCATATTGGCCAAGCGCAGCCACGCACAAGGAGTGGGGTTCTGCCTCAGGATTTGAAGCATGGTGGCAGGGACTAGAGGCAGGAGAAACTCACGGCTGGTTCTTAGAAGTCCTTTCACCATCCATGGATCGCTGGGAAGATGTGTATTCTGGTAACGAGGCCATAGAAGGAGCTGCACACATGCGCGAAGGAGTCAGTGGTCCTATCCACGAGCACGCGTATTGGGGAAGCATGCGGGATCGGATTCCGGCGGCTCAAACGGACGACCTTGCTGGTGAAGCCGTCGGAAGCTCCACGCTGGATGGCGGAAAGACTGCCAGCCGTGTCCAGGTCCCTGGACGAAAGAACTTAGCCGTCATTCGCTCCGGCCAAGATTGGTCGGCAACCCTCCCCGAAGAGCGCAGATTATATCTAGAAACGATGCATCCCGTCCTCCTGAAAGGCATGAATTTCCTGCGAGACCACGGTTCCGAGATAGGCTGCTACAGCTGCCGTCTAATGTCCATTATCGACGCGGGAACCCAGAAACCGGATAAGGATCGCACGTTTGGGCTGGCGTACTTCGACGACTTGGCTTCATTGGAGAAGTGGAGTAGAGAGCATAAGACGCATCTAGATATTTTTGGAGGGTTCTTGCAGTATGCTAAGAAGCTGAATAATGAGATTTCGCTGGAAGTTTTTCATGAGGTGCTAGTTTTGAGGCCAGAACAGCAGTATTTTGAGTATATAGGTTGTCACACGGGGACTGGGATGCTTGCTGCTTTGACGAAATGAGGAAGCGGGTTGTAGCGTGTAATTGGGCGCTTTGTACCCTGTAGTGCATTGAGTCTTGCGGGATGACCTTGGATTATCTCGCATCCATCTTCATTTACTTACCCCTGATATTGTTCTTGTACCTTGTTAAGCTTTTCCCAACACTTGAGTCTAACGCTTCACTGACTGTGATCCCAACACTGTGTTCAATTTCCAAATTTACGACTTCCCATATCTCCTTACCCATATCCTCCATGCTCCTCTTCAATTACTGTAACACCATTTGACAGCCGCCACATCAGCGCCTATCATACTTAGTAAACTCGTGGCAAAACCCTGAGTCCAGATGAGTACCGATAGTCAACATAAGTGGTCGCTCTGCATCCGGCACCGGGGAGGCATCAGGGGGGAGCCTGAGACGCGTGTTTGCGGTCATTAATTGTGGACAGCGGTGGGGACGTCGACACTCGCATCTATAGATTTTGACATGCCAAATTGGTATCATCGTCAAAACGCTGGAGACAAAATGGGCGGGGCCGTAAAGGACCCCTAAGCTCTTGGTATAGTGCTCCGCGATGTTATTGTCAGAACTCCATGTACGACTCTCGCAAGGTGCTCGTAGCTGCATATCCTTGTATACGAAATCTGCCTCGATGTGAAGACTCCCTGTAAACCAAATTGGTCAGAGACGAGCACTCAGATCGATCCAGTGGGATAAATTTTGGCGCACAAACTGTATTTACCATGCCGGAACTCCGCTCTGGGACTGGCTTCCCAATATCCTGGCCTCCTTGTTCTTCCTTGCTTTCTGCGCCTTTGCACCGCCGCGTCTCCCTCAATTCCTAGCCATTCAAGTAAGGGGGAGTAGTTGAAGGAACGAAGGCCGTTGGGATTTAGACTCTTTTCTGTATGATTTGTGGGCTGTAGATACTGGTAGGGAGTTATGGGGGCAGCGGAGTTGAGGTGGAAGGAGTAGAATTGGCGAAATAGTAAATGAATAGGTGGCAAAATTAACCAGTTACCACTTGCAGTTGATGGTGTGGGTGTAGTGAAACTGATGACTAGAGTGTATGTGAATTTGACATTTAATGAATGTAGTGATTTATGTGACTAAAAACTAAGCAATCCTCCGTTTTGTGGAAGGAATTGTAAGGATGAAAAGGGCGGAAGACTAGCCGTTAAATGAAACGTCAGAAACAATTCCAACATTAGAGTGAGCCGTACGAAGATAAGCCCTAGTTAACTGTTGGAGGAGACGTGTTTGAGTGTTGAACGCGAGTCTCTATGTCGTAAGCAACAGTGAACAAAACATCCCCCCCTGGGTACTGTAAAGTCGCCCACCCTAGTTTGCGAAAATACCGTCGCAAATTTCCCGCTCATACTCTAAGTCAGGTTGGAACTCCCAGTAGAGGCTCTCAGGGTCACTAGCCATTTTGAAGGTATATGCCGCCGCTTCGTCATCAACGAATATCTTTGGAATGCCATTGGCAGCGGCAGCTTCGACCATCAGCTGGACCTCACAGGAGCGCTCCATGAGAGTGTAGAGATACGCAGCCTCGTCAACTGTGCCTCCTACGGTCTATCATTGTCAGCTGGGTATACCCCCTTAATTCGGTAGGATGCTTGGGATAAACGTACTAAAAGCCCGTGATTTCTCAAGATCATACCTTTCCCATTTGGGCCTAACGCAGCTGCAAGACGCTTACCTTCGGCCTCGTCCAGTACAACGCCACCGAATTCCTCATAAACAGCCTGGGCTTCGCCATACATATAGCAGATATCCTGATTGATCATCTCAAGCTTCCTGCCAAATGCACTCCACGCCTTCCCCGCCTTCCCATGACAATGACATGCCGCATGTACATCAGGCCTGGCTTTGTGCACAGCGGAGTGGATCCTGGTTGGAGTTGAGCACAATTATTTGTTAGGGGATCAGGTGGACCCATCACGTACAAAAACCCAGCTGCGTTGGCCGGTCGAGAAGTGTTGCCTCCTACTACCTTACCATCGTAGTCGACAAGTATCATATCAGATGCTTTCAGTGTTGCGAAATGTTTGCCGAGAGGATTCGTCCAGAAGGTGTGGCAATTCTCTGGATCACGTACGGAAATGTGGCCGGACATGCCTTCTGTGAAGCCTTTGCGAGCAAAGACACGGAAGGCGCCTGCCATGTGTTCTAGAATCCACGCTCGATGCCTGTCCATGGAAGAGAAGATGGGGATGCCGGGGAGGCAGACTCCTTGCGATATGGCCTGAAGCGGGCTGAGTCCCTGGGCGGGCTTCTCTTCACCTTTTGAGACCAGCTGCTTCATCTGTGGGACGACTATTGATTCGGCGGGGACAGCGGATGGAGCCATTTTGTAGGCTGAATTCTACGAGAGGGCGTAAGAGGATTTACAGACGAGATGGAGGATCCTAGAAGAAGCTCTTCCTGCTTCCTGTCAAGGACTTGACATGTCCACAAGTGATACGCTTCATAACGAATGAGGCTGCCGGGAAGGCAGTGTCCGATATACTTCCGAATCCATCGCAATTGGGAAGGTATTTCCCAAAGGTGGGGGACATGGTCGAGTTTGTCTGATGTTGAGATGAGTGCTGATACGTTCATCCCGAAGCGGGGTTCGCGCGGCAGACGCCAAGGGACACCCAGGTAATGACAAAGCTTTGATGGTATATAAAAGGCCGCCTCGACCTTCTTAGACGTTCAAATGAGAGGGAAAAGGAGCTTTTGAGACGGCGAGCGTCCAATATTCTATACCTGAGTAATGTCTCCAAAATAACGAGGGGTAAATGAATGTATATATGGGAACGCATACAAAAATCTCAGTCCATAATTAAGGGGCCCTAACGCCAGTGCATGCCGGAGTAATAGTTGTGGATAAGATTCCACCCTTACCCCAGAAACAACTTACAGCTCTCCAGCCAGTTAGTGCATGACAGGACTTCGCAGTTGTGGCGAGATCGCGCGAGGCTGCTGGAGCCATTAGGTGAGGGGGCTACGAGATGAAGTTGAAAGAAGCGGTATGAGGGGACGCACTTTTCGATATCTAGCCATTAGGATCGTGGAAAGGAAGGCTAAGGAAGACAAAGATGTGCATGGAGATGAGCGAGTGGTGGGAGAGACATTGAAGCTCGAAAAGCCGCGGCTGTGGCTGGGTGGCTGTGCACCTAGGGCATCTCAACTCAGGTCTCAACCTGCTTCCTGCGCCACCACTCCGAACTCATCCCCAGCCTGCACTATCGCCAGCAGCTCTTCAATGTACCCACCAAGCAGACCGTATTCACCTCCAAATTTCGGCCTCGCGTCTCTTCCCACATCCGCCGACCGTAACGATCAGCACTTTCTGCGCCCGAAATCACCTCCCCTCTTAGGCCTTCAACAGTGCCTCCTAAGAACGAATTCAAGTCCCTAACACTTCGACTATTTTTGAATAATGAAAGGTCACCTAAATGCTCGAAATCTTGAGAACTGCAGCAACCTGTGCCGAGCTGCTGTCAGCTCGTGCTCGGCTATACATTCCAAGCCCCATGTTTTCTGACCGGAAGGGTGTGAGGTGGCGCTACCGACCCGTCGTGCGCAGCTGCGTGTTTCTGCTGCGCAAATCAAGTTCATTACACAAAATGTCTTTTCTCTTCCACCAAACCTCCCACACTTCCCATTCTTTCGCATAATCTGTATTACTGCGCAAGGAATTGCTCTGACACTTTGGTCCTACCCTATTCCAACAAGCCGCTATTCCCGCCCGAAACCCAGCAAAAATGGCGGAAGTTGCAAAAAACAAGTACCAGGCACCAGCTGACTCCATAGCGCGATCGCAGGAGGAGACAGCTATGGGCAGTGTTAGGATACGACTACGGATCTTAGATAGTACCGAAATCGACTCAAGTTCAATTATCGAAACAGATGCTAACAATTGCTCAAGTAAGTCAATGTTCCTCATTCATGTTCTCAATTCTACTAACGCTTTGACTGGCTAGATGCTGGGGCGGATATCATACTCCAGAACTACTACCTGTCGTCTTCTTCAATAGGCAAAGCAGATTCTGCCTTTTTGGATGCGACAGACGGTGCTCTGCACAATATCGATTACCCTCCTCGACGTCCTGAGATATTTTCTGATGAGTTGTCATTCGACCAGACCAATATCGATGAACGGCAATGGCCTGAATGCCCTGTCGAGAACGACAAACCCATCATTACTTGCGCTGTGGCGAAACCACGTCTGACGAAAGAGGAGCACTACGTTCTCGAGTCCCATTTCCAGAAAGAACGCAAGCCTAGTACCCCGACCAAGAGAAGCTTGGCGGAGACTCTTGCAATTCCTGTAGACAATATCAACGTTGGTGGCCCCCAGGCCCCGATACAAACTCTCTAGAATTGTGCTAATCACCCCCTAAGAACTGGTTTCAAAATCGAAGAGCCGCGGACAAGTTAAAATCGAAAACAGGAACCAAAGATGCCACAGTGGAGGGTATGGCAACGTGCCTGTATAGCCCACTCCCAGCTACAACGAGCGACATCCGATGTCCAACGCATCCAGCCCTTGATTGGAATTTCATCACGCAACATGGCCCGAAACCTAAGCTCTCTACAATCTCAACATGCCCAAGTCTCACAAGCGGAAGCACATCGACCAGCCGAAATTCCTCAACGAGGTCGACCAAATCTCTCAGGTGGACTGAACGTGATAGTCCTGCCCGTGGAGTGAATCCGGACATCCTAAGTGTTTTTGACTCGGGATGTAGCGAAGATCTAGAAAGTTCGGGTTTCCACTCGCTGACTAATTCCACCGACCGCCCTATAAAATGTCCAATACAGACATGCGAATACCATTTGAAGGGCTTTGCAAGAGCTTATGACCAAATGCGACACACCTGCACCCATTACAAGGGCCGCATAGTCTGTGGATTCTGTCCGGGATCCGGTACCACGATAGAGAAGGCTTTCAACCGCCACGATGTGTTTTCGCGCCACCTGCTCAGCGTCCATGGTGCACACCGACTACCAACATCTTCAACAGCTGCGAAGCAGATGTCGCCGTCACGAAGGACACAGGCAAAGACTCGAAGGGGAGAGCTGTACAAGACTGGCGAATTCAAAAAACCACAAAAACCATTCGAAAGGGAGATTCTTGCACAGTGTACCTTATGCTCGTTACCTTTCGACCCCCAAGGGATGTATGAGCATCTTCTAGGCTGTGTTCTTCGTTGTGTGACAGAAGGTACTAGCGCCGAAAGTAATGAACCACCAAGAATCCCCATGGAATTCAACGATCCTACCGGGAATGCTCGTCGAACTGATTCGGTCATCACTCGTGATGAGACAACAGAAATTGGTGCTACTACAAGCGATTGTCTAGAGAGTCTTGACTTAAGACCTGAGGCAAGCTCAACTCCGGAACCAGCTACGAGTTCTCAACATGATACCAAAACGAATACTCTCCTCGAACCGAATACAGACAACGACTACCCAAGTTCCAGCGCAAGATCTTCCAGAAGCACGACTACCCTTTCTGAAACCGACGATTTGAGACCACAGGAAATTACAACACCTTCTCGTTGTCCCTCGCCGACAACCTCAGACGAAATCAATTCTTCTGACGAAGAGACTGATTGGACAGAAGACACATCAGCCCTTTCACCTCAGAGTGAGCCAGATGTACGGATCCAGCCGGTGCTCTCACCAATCAAACACGAACTCATTGATGAGATCATGAAGGAGTTCCACCTTCAATTTGACAAGTATTCGGCTCATATTCAATCATGCAATGGAGAAAGCAGCCACAGCAGCTCTCAAAGCACTTCTAGGCACTCATCTTCGAGTGGAAGCTCTGCAGACTCTTCCCACGTGTCCCGGAAGCGAAGCCTTAGCAACCGGTCAACCCCACCACCTAATCGCGATGGTGACAATGGAGATGACCCAAATAAGCGTCGAAGACCTGACTCAAAGCGCTGTGGAAAAGACGCCGTTCTAGAGCGGCGATTTGCGTGTCCGTATTACAAGCGAAACCCTGGACGGCACCAGACCTTCACATCGTGTCGAGATCCCGGGTTCAATACCGTCGCTCGTTTGAAGTGAGTATGCGTTCACAAGTGAGTTTTGCATCTTGCTAATCTCTTTAGGGAACACCTTTATCGCCGACATCTTCTTCCAATTCAATGCAATCGATGCTGCTCTACTTTTCCGAACGAGCCCTCCCTTCGCGAACACCAGCGCGACCCACGTGGTTGCGAGATTCAAGAACAAATCCCATTGGAAGGATTCGACAAGGATCAGGAGAGAAAACTGAAAAGTAAGAAGAGAAACCTCGGGTTTCTGACCGAGGAAGATAAATGGAAGGGTGTATACCGAATCCTGTTTCCTGACGACAATGAAGAGAACATGCCGTCGCCGTGTAAGCACATGTCATAATTTCTCATTGATTTAAGCTCATTATTTCCAGATATTGATTACCGTGTTTCCTCGGAAAACACTCTTCAAGGGGAATCATCCAACATTACCCGCTTCCAAGAGTTCTCTCGACTCGAACTCCCGCGCCTTGTTCGTCGTACCCTTGAAATTGTCGTTGAACAAGAAGCACAACCATTAGAGGAGAAACTGAAGGATCGACTCGTCGATATTGTCAAGGAGTGCTAGACGCAGTTGATATCCATCTTCCAAGGCGTTGAAGGTACGATTGAGGAGCCGGCGACTCTAAGCTCGACACCCGGGCCCAAGCCTTCACAGCATAGACTTGAAACTCCGTTTGATTTCCCATGGCAAAACATAGACCCCTTGCCTAATCTCAACCTTACACCAGCTACAGATAAGTCGAACGTAGACGTATGCACCTCTCTGAAGGAGCAAACGGAACCGTCTCCTGTTGAACATATTACGGATTCTCCAGACTCGGGCTATGACTCGACTTGGGCCAGCACACTGCCACAAGATATGTCGTTCGAGTTTCCCTTCTTCCCTGACTTAGGGCACGTGGTCGCCGGGGACTATTGCGGTTTTGATGACAGTCAAAGTTTCAATTTGGACCCGTCCACTTGGTCATTCGATGACGCGGTGCAGGCGATGGGTCCTCCATTAACCGACACCGCACAATCTCGAAATTAGCTTTAGGAAAGATTCGTTTTCATTCTCAAGAGAAAAAGCAAAAGGGCTAGGAGAAGGAGAAACGGAATTGTGTGATGGGGATCGCGGAATTGGGGTAACTGGGGTTATAGAAACTTTCGTATTCCTAGTGTTGCTGTTGGGAAGCTCCAGTCTCCTGGCGAGTTCTGCTGTACCTTCGGTAAACAAGGACACTATTTAATCTCACTACTTAAGGTTGCCTTTTGTGTGAATCAACCAATGTGGATGAGGCTCATTAGGAGGCAGGGGTCTTGAAGCATCTCACTAACTCTGGGGAGCTAGCGCCTTCTGAGTCACGTGATACATGAGGCTTCGCAACCTTGCCACTCTTTGCACTCGCTAGATTTGCCTTTTAGTATTCTATTAACCACTAATTTGACAGCTTTTTGGAGCTTTCCTTAGCTTGCTACAGACTTGCGATAAGCTGTTTAGTGGGAGTAATTGGAAGCCCCAGCGTTCAGCGTGGATGAAAATCGACAATTGCGGTGATGGGTGTGTTAACGGCGAGGTTGCATCGGCTTTGCCGGTCATCGGCGACCACAAGAGCGTATACGAGCGCGGCTGAACAACATTTCTCTGAGAAAAATGCAAATCTGGGAAGGTTCCCTGCAAACAAGCTTTTTCTTTTCTTGGATGTCAGACGGCCTTACCAAATTCGGTTTCGTGATGTTCGCCACACTTGCCCAAGCAAGGCTGGCGCCTTTACAGCCTCAACATTGCCTCCCTAGGTAGTTTTATGATGCTCGTACTGCAGTGCATATAAGACCCGCGTGCGTTCCTCTTAAGTTATGATATCGCCATCACCAGGATGTCAAACTTGACTCAAACCCCCGCCCAATTCGACAGTTGAATAAAGACATTTTCGACAACGACATGCATATCTTCTCGGCCGCCACGGCTGGCTTCGTAGCGGTTGCCTCCCTCGCAACCCCAACACTCTCCACTCCTCTGCAAACTAGCGAATTGTCCCCCCGTGATCTTGCTGGAAAATGTACGAATGGACAAACAATATGCGGTTGGGCTCTAGTTCAAAAAGGTGAGGACCCAAAATCCCCTTGCATCATTCCTCGCTGCTTGCCAATCTCAAGAGTCTTCCTCCTTGTTTCTCTCTATCAACCCCTTCTTCCCACCACTCGTTTCGATGAGCACCTGAGAGCTGACAGAACACGCAATAGGCTGGAGTCCGAACAACCTGCAAATATGGTGTAATGGGCGATGCAATCCCAACAGCGGCGACGTGTGGAACACGCTATGGCAGTGCACGGGTGATTGGTCGGCTGTACCATTGCATCTTTGCGGGGGAGAGAATAGCTGTGTGATTGATAAATTTAACTGGGCGTACACGTGTAGAGGCGGCAGTTGCTAGGGCTCTAGGGAAAGGGCGGATGCGGAATACTTAGGAGGACTGCGGAGTGGGGAGATGTTCGCGGACGATAGACTAACGAAGCAGATTTCATCGTACGTCTCGGCGCATAATCAAGACTCCTTCTTATAGAATCAAACCTACCTCGAAAGAATAATATCAACCAACTTATCGGATGGATCCAGTCCAATACTTTTGCTCTAGACTCAATACTGCTTCTGCGCGATTGTATACTGTATATTATTAAGTGTTAATCTACTATACATGTCCACTTTGTTATCCGCTCTCACGATATTAAACCCGACTGTCTTCAAATCTCTCTATTTCTGACTAGAGGCGGTCTTGTTAACTTTAAAATCCTCAATTATGTAGCTAAGACCAAGTGTCATCGCTTTAGAAAGCCGCAGGATTTCTCAGAACTGCTGTCGTTGGATCCACACTAGCCTGTGCAGCGCCATACCTTCATACACGAATAGCAATTGGAAGGGGGAGAAATAAACAATATGACAAGTCGAAAGCCAGGATGAACGGGAGTCTGGTATCACGGCAATCCCGCAGATAAATACCTCCACTGGCTTCCAAGAGAACCTCCGAATGCAGATTTAAATGGCATCACAGCAATAACCAGCGCATTGATTGCTAATCGAACCCAATTTTAGCTGAGCCTAGCACCAGCGGACACACCACAGCGGCACCAGGAAATCAACCGTCCGTGTCCTTCAAGATCCGGGACCAAACTTCCAGCACCCCAAGAGCACAAAACCTCGTTGAGCCTATCTTTTGAAACATGAAGACGTTTACAGTCAAACCCCGCCAAGCCGATCACCCGCTAAGCTAATAACCTTAATATCGCGATAATTTTTTTGTGCCTTAATTATCCCCCTATACAAATTAATTAATACCTTACCCCCTAATATATTAGCTGCAAAACACTAAAATATTACTTTACTAAAATTAACAAGTAATAGCTTGCAGGATTATAAAAGAACAGCGCAGAGCTCTTAGAAGCTAGTATAAAAGTTAAACACCTTAACTATGCTATAAAGACTGTATACAGTAGTTCTTATAGCAGTACAACTATAGAATTAGTTAGTTAATAGTCTCTAAGTTACTAAGTAGTATGTTTAACAATATTAACTAACCTAATCTCTCTTAGCAGCCTTTATTAGCAGTGCAACATATAACTAGTAATTAGCTAATTCTTAACTTAATACTTTTTTAGTAGTTCTAGTTAATAGAAGCTTGCAGAGCTTATATTACTAGCAACCTGCTTTTTAAGAAAGCACATAAGATCTAGCTGTAGATTAACAAGTATTAACATCTACTTTTTTTAAAGTTTAGCTAGGGCTAGCTATATTAGTTCTAGCAGCGCTTTAATATTAAGTTTTAACAGCGCTATAGTAAGGCTAGATCTGTAGACAATACTATAGCAGAGAAGGTAATAAAATTAGTTTAAACAATCTATAGCAAGTATGCTAAAGAGAATATATATAATATAAATAAAACAAAGTTATTTTAGAAAAATATACTAGTAAGAGGGCTATTAACCTAGCCTCTACCTAGAGTTAAAAAGTTAAAGTTAAGGATTACTATAGTATGCTGTACTAATATAACTAGCTCTTATTAGCTATCTTTATAGCTTATTAGCTATGCTAAGCAGCCTTAACCTCTCTGTGGTATTAATCTCTAAGCGCTTAATATATATTAGTGTGTAAATAAAAAGGCATAGATAAACTTAACACTTATAGCTAAGTAGTTAATATATTTTTATAGCAGTGTTACAGCTTAGCTAATTCTCCTCCTTATAGACAACTTTAAGGCTTACATTTAAGGCCTATAGCAGGCTTCTTTACTATTCTATATCTGTGTTGCCTTTCTTTTACTAAATACAACAAGCCTATATTAACCTCTTAATTAAAGGATTATCTAGAATCTAAAGACCTACTATAAGAAATACTAGCTTTAATTTATAGTAAAGGAGTATAAGGCTAGCTATAACTCTTTATTAATAATTACACTTTAAAACACGCTTTAATAGCTGCGCATTGCTTAGATAGACAATATATTAAGCTTAATAATATATAATTGCTTCTGCTGCAGTACAGTTATCCTACTACAGGTACTGCAGCTACCCCTCTAGCTAGAACTAGACCTCTTAGGCCTATACAATCGTACGCAGGAGGCTAGCTAGATATAAGATATAATAAGCCTTAGTAACTTCCTTAATCTAATTAATAAGGACACTAATATTAGGGAGAAAGATTAAATGCTTAAGGATATAGTTACAGAGCATAATAATAGTGTTAATACTAAGAAGGCTTAAGCTAAAGATAAGAGTAAAATTATACTTTTACCTACAACTTATTAAGCAATTTAGGCTATCTAGTTACTTTTATAATACTAACAACACTAAGAGACAGTAATTAATACAGACATCTGCTAACTTAAGCGCCTAGAGAGGCAATATTAAGCCTACAAGGCTTAACATCAGCGCTAACAAACACTAGATAGTTGGCTTATATAATTAAATTATTGCTAAGACACATCTTGGCAACCCTAGTAAGCCGATACCCTTAGTAAGGCGATTGAATTGACGTGGCTGGATTCCTATCGGCTTGGCGGGGTTTGACTGTATCCTGGTTTCAATCACTTCCTCTCCCCCACCTTTCACTCCCGCGCTCACTCCATCTCCTAAGCTTTAACAGCGACCATCCTTTATAATCAGATTGATCGCAGACTTCAACACACCTTCCTCGTAGGTGTTAAGGATTCAAAGAGCGGAGCACTGATGTTAAAAGCGCTTTGTTTTCTTTCGTAAAGGCAGCATGGCATATACCGCGGAGAAGGAAGAGAGAAGAGACAGTGAGTAAGTGTCTTCTATGTGCATTAGCCGCATATAAAACTCCCCGGTTTGCAAGTTAAAGATCTGGGAAGTAGGAGGAGGTGTGGGAGAAGGGTAAGGTGGTTTATCTTTAGAAGCGCAACCTCTTGCATCATCATCATCATCATGATATCTTCTGCCTGAATTTGATCCTAGCTAATGATCTGTAACGCTTGGTCTATACCCCGTATTCGAGGTCTGCATTCCTGATATCCACGTCTTGCCTCTAGAAGACTCCCATATTCCTCCCCGTTAGATGTGAGGTTTTACAAGCGCTAAAGCCGCCCCCTTCAGACTCCACTTAGGCATGTTCCAGGCATTAACGGTTGTATATAATTCGTCGCAAGTCTAGATGTAAGAGTGGAGGGAGGTTTTCGCAACTGTAGTTGGTCAACAGGCATGGCAGACATCTCCTCGCAGCCAGCTGCCTACTAACTCTTGTCTGAAAACTACGTATGCATAAACATCAACTTGAAGCACCACATCACGAAGGAAGATAGTTAAAGAGGAAAAGCTTGATTGAAGGGAGCATGCCTCCTGAGTTCCCTAAGCGAATCATCAATGATGTGAAAATATAATAAGTTGAAGCCATTCGAAACTTCATACACATCATCCGCTCAGTAAGGAGGGCGATGCGTAAAATCCGATCCGAATTGATGGGAATTAAGACAGTGGCCGAAAGTCCGAGAATTCTTTTCCATTCCATCCCACCCGCATATCCTAACAGGGCCGAAAACATATTATATCCTTAATGCCAATCCCAAAATGCCGCTTCAAATGTTTAAATTTGCCGCCAACGCCAGATACGAAACATTTACACAAACTCGAGTCTTGCATGTGCACGCTCTTCAACTACTCTTACAACGCCGATGCGTTAAGTTTTTTCCCGCTAGTGAAATCCCCGCTGAGCCGTTGCGGTCTCAGGTATATTCCTTTTCACCTTTATGATGATGGTACACTCGTAAAACGCCATCGCAATCCGTGCTCGCCTACCCAGGGTTACTAGGCTAGTCAATCGTCCATGATGCAAATCTACCATCACTGTCCAGGTCCAGATCCTGGGTCTCCGACGAACCCTCCACCATTGTCATAGAAGGGCAGTATATCATGTGGCATATATTCCAGATCCCACGGCATCATCTCACTTGCCAACGCCGACATATCAATTTCCTGGCTCTCAATCATCATGTCTCCGATGAAATTGACACCAGAGTTCGTCCCGTCCGAAGGTGTTGGATATTGTCCAAATGCTCCCGGTGAGAAGTCTTGGTTTGCGTTTGGGGGCTGGTTTGTAGGCACTGAGGTGGAGCCGCGGTGGGTCGTAAAGGGTATGTTGGGGAGTCGAGATGTATTTGGCGAGCCTGCGGAGAAGGGAGAGTGCAAATTCAGGAGAAGGTCGGCATCGGAAACTAGGACTGGATCGGGAGTGTGGACGTTGTGGAATGTATTGCTCGGCGGTGGCATCGATGTGGGGTTGAACTGCTGGGAACTTGGCATAGGGAAGGTGGACGACGAGGGCATCGTTTGGGAAGATTCGTATTTGATGCGCGGGTTCGCCGGAGGGCCGTTCGTTGGAGGCTTCGACAGAATAGAGGCGATAGATGGCTGGGCACCGTCGACTACATGGTTTGAGTTCGAAGGCTTACTTTCACGGGTGTGGCCGTTATCGGGGGTATACATGACTGCAACGCTAGTCGAGGGCGAATTCATAGTGCCTGTGAGCGACCACCCGATTGCTAGACTAGGTATTAGCAAATGTGGATACGCACGAATGGGAGAACGTGCCTTGACTTGGATGCACCATGGGTGATCCTGGTATCGTGGGCGTGTGAGAGCCTTTGTTTCGGAGCGCTGCAGGCACCTTGGCAGCATTCATGGCGTCACCAAAATTCTGTGCAGTCAGGTACGTCCCCCAACTCAGTTTCCGCCGCCATCCAGGGCTCGTAAATGAAGGCTCGGGCTTGGGCAACTCCAGGGCACTCTCCATCTCTTCTCTGGTGTAGAGCAAAGGATCCCCAACCCCTTTGGCTTTCTGATCTAGCACGGTCAAGATATATTTCACCCCCGCCCAATACGTTTCTAGTGACTGTAAGGCTCGGTAACAGCGCTGATAATTCTGGTTGGCGGCTGAAGCAAGCAATGTGTGCTTGGCGGCTTGCTTTTGATCGTGATCTTGCGTGTGACTGGACCGTTCGCCGTTGGGCGGAGTTGGGTGCTTCTCAAAGGGGAATTTCATGTGATCTAGAAACGTACTCTCAGCTTCCATTGGTCCATGGTCGAGAATGGAACCTGGCGTAGACGGACGGGAATGGGGATTGGACGATGCAGAATGCAAAGCAGTCTCTTTTAGAAATGCACATGCAGCAATGTAGATGGGTTGGCTGGAGAGCAGAGATTAGCAAATGCAAGAAGACCCGACAACGCGACGCACCTCGTAAAAGGATTCCCAACCCCTGTCTTCGCATCGATAAGGTCGGTGAATGCCAAGATATCTGCAACGGTTTTCGCAGAAGACATTGATAGCTCACGACTGTTGCTTGAAAGAGGCTGAATACTGCCTTCAAACGTCTTCAGTAGAGTAGGCTGGTGGAGCAATACAATCAGCGTATGGAACCAACAGTGCAGCAGTAGGAAATTGGTCCCCTGGTTGATCTTGACGTAGTGCTGGAAGTTGACGGCGTTGAAATGGAGCCGGGGCGACAGATTTTGGTAGATCTCGGTTAGGTGGTACTCGAGCGTGTCCAGCTGCTTTCGGAGGTCGTCCGTAATGTGCACCTTTTCTTTGATGCTGTTGAGCAAGTCTGTGACTCTGCCGTACAGATGCACGATTCGTATCAGTGCGGGGAAAGGCAGCGGCCACCCAGAAGCTGGGTCGACGTCGTTCAGAGAGGGAAACGAGATCTCAATGTCTCTGTCGCGCAGGGTGACAGGGCGTCCAGTGCCCGACGAAATGACGCGGTCGAGGAAGAAGATGGACCAAAAGGTATCCAGTCTCTCACGCTCCACTGCCCGTTGCTCCTCGACCGAAGGATCGAGGCTTTTTCGACGCTGTGGCTCAGGAATCTTCGCCGCAGCCTCGGACCCCCCATTCGGGTCTGTCTTCACTGACTTGGGTGTCGGGCCCTCGCGGCCTTCGTACTTGAGCCCCTCCAGCGTTTGCATGCCGAGATCCTGGGCCATCCGAATCGATATCCCAAGGTACATCCACAATCCACTGTCGCGGCTCGCCCCGAACTCATCGTACGCCAGGAGCAGTGCCGCCTGGACGACGGCAACGCTCGGGCAAGGGAAAGTGTCGGGAATGGCCGATTTGGCGCGTTGGGCAAATGCTTGGCCGAACTCGGACGGCTGTATACTCGCCTCATTCCCCCCATCTTTCTGGGGTTCAGGGGTGCCGGTTAACATCGGATGAGTGGAAAAGCGCGCCGCTAACGCGCACACAGCGTCGACCAATATAGCGTCGACTTGCTTTTCCTCCAGATCGCGCATGAAGCGCTCTTTTTGCAGAAAGGGGAAGTTGCAACCGAGATGGACGAAGAAGAGCTTACAGAGGTGGGTGATTAAGGGGCTCGGGGACATGGCGGAGGTGTCATAGACGGGGATTTCAGCGGGGGTGCGAGCCTCATGGAGTGGCGGAGACAGCTGGCCGACCGAAGGGGGTTGGCCAGGCGAGGACTCAAGGGCTACAGGTACTTGGTCAGCGGAGGGGCGAGTTGAGCACAGAGAGCTAGACAAACGTACGATCGGACGACGTGTGGCCGGTGCCGTGTTGCTTGCCGCGAACCTTGACGACCATCTGCTTGAAGCCGGGCATGATGGCGGTCGGGCCGAAGTACCTGAAGTAGGGCATACGATTGCGGGTGCTGAGACTGAGGCTGTGATGCTCTCCAGACGCAGCTGCCCCGCCATGTCTCGCGCGGTCCTGCGACTCCGTCGACGCTGTGTGCGGCAGGGGCGGTCGTTGTGATGGCGGGGGAGCTGCTTCCTGCTTCAGCTTTCGCGCAGGCGGGCTGGAGGCGGTCCCGGCATTGCTCTCGCGGCGCTGCTGGCTGGTTGCCTTCTTTTCTCTGCCGGCCTCGGTCGGGCTGTTGGACGTGTGAGTGTCGGTCTCGTTGCCGTAGCCGGCGCACTCGTGCTTGTTCTGCGTGCAGGTGCCGCATACGGGCCGCTCTCCTGCGCATCAAGTCAGTCTCCATCCGTGCGGTCGTCTGCCATCGTCACTGACCCGAGCAGCGCGTCTTCTTCTTTCGACATGTCAAGCAAGCCGAGTTGATCCTCCTGCGCTTCGCATACGGTCCGTCGTGGTTCGTCACGAAGCGGATCGGCTTCGGCTGGGGCGGGGCAGCATTTGCAGAGGCCGTCGAGGACGCGCTGTGATTCATGAAAGAGGGTGTCTGGGTGCTGGGAGGCAGTCTCAGAACTCCAGCATCGGGCAGCGAGGCCGAGGCCGATGGGGTCGGGCGCGACGAGTGCAGGAGCGGGTGCGGGTGTGGTGTGTGTGGTGCTGGACCAAGAGCTAGGTCGGGCTGGCGGGGCACCCGGAGATTTGCAGAAGGCAGAGAGCCGGCAAGAGCGTCGCGCGAGAGCAGAAGAGCATCACAAGGTCGCGGATGAGCGCCTTAATGTTTGGTCCAGCGAGTCGGCGATTGAACGGTGTGACGGGCGTTGTGATGGGTCGTGGTCTGCAGGACACGAAGCGTGGAGCGATGCGCCGAGACGGTGCCAGAGTCGCGCAAACCCCAGGAAGCCGCCCTACACGCCCCAGCAGGTGAGCCGAGCGTGGGGATATCGAGAAAAACCGACACGGCAGATCACCACCTCATCTCCACGTCTGCACCCCGTGCGATCCTGCTCCCCCCTGTGTATGTCCATTTATAATGGATGCAATGCGCCCGGCTCTCGTGTCGCTGCGGCTGTCTGCCCCCCGACGCAGCCCCCGCCCCCGCGCGCTGTTCCAATGCCTTCTTCACACGTCCCCATCACGATCTGCGACGCCGCTTCCCCATCCCTCAGTCCCTGGCCCGCCACCAGACACGCCCACGCCTGCTGCAACAGACGCGCTGGACAGAGTCGCACGGAAGCGGAAACAAGCCGAGCTGTTGAAGCAGGCGCAGGAGATAAGAACGAGCCCTTCGAGGCCGGATACCATTCTCAAGAAGCGCTTCTGGAAACATGTCTCGGTGCGGGACCAACCTAGTACGCATCACCAATTGCATTAGAGGGGGGTTTGCTGCGCTGACTGCCCGCAGGTGGACTACAGGTCTTCCTGGACAGCAGGCCCGTCCGAACCCCCAGCAAACAAGTCCTCAACCTTCCTCCCTCAAAGCACCAGCTGGCCACCGCCATTGCCCTCGAATGGGATCTCCTCGTCAGCCCCCAGCAGGCTCTCAAGACGCACTACATCCCCATGACGTCGCTCGCCGCTCGCGCTCTCGACATTGAAAAGGCGGATGCAGAGGGGAGGGCCAGTGTTCGCGACAACACTATCCGCACGCTGCTGCGGTATCTCGACAGCGACACATTGCTATGCTGGGCGCCCGAGCGAAACATACACGACGCGCCACAAGACAGAGCTTCCTTACGGCAGCTTCAAATCGAAGTCGCGCAGCCCATCATCAATTACATAACCACCTTCGTGTGGCCGGGCGTCGAGATCAAACCGATTCTGGAGCCGGACAGCATCCTCCCAATTTCACAGCCCGACATGACGAAAGACGTGGTGCAGGGATGGCTGTCAGGGCTCCCAGCATTTGAGCTCGCGGGATTGGAACGCGCGGTGCTGGCCAGCAAGAGTCTGCTGGTCGGTGTGAGACTTATCCACGAATGGGGCGAAGCGTTTGCGCACTCACGGGAGGCCGGAGATGCGGACCGTCGCTTCGGAATTGAGGAGGCGGCGGAAGCATCAAGCTTAGAGGTGCGGTGGCAGACGGGGCAGTGGGGAGAGGTTGAAGACACACACGATGTTGAGAAGGAGGACCTGCGGAGACAGCTCGGAAGTGTGGTGGTGCTTGTGAGCGGAGATAACTCGTAGAAAGGGTGGGAATAATTTGTCCACGAGAAGGATTGTAAGTGGCCACAGACCCTGTACAGTGCCTACCTGTGTATGTAATCATGCAGCACATACGCAACAACAGTACGCGCTCTCTGGAGGTGAATTCACTCATCGATGTGTGCGTGTGCTTATTGAGACACCAAAGCATGCAGTCCCGGAGCAGTGATTGGGCGGTGCTGTGGCGACCCCCTGAATCTGGACCGTGAGCTCGGAGCCCCGCCACCGGGTGTGCTCTCCAGGGCCGGCCCTATGCTGCACTTTTGAAGCTCGGCGCCGCCGCACAAGCCCACACTCCAAAGCACTCTCTCACTTCTTTGACCTTCTTATATTGGATACACCATCTCCTCTACAGCCCACATTGTTACTCCCGTTTAGCCCTTCTGGCTTATGACAACGCGGCGACGGCCCGCCCAATCGCACAGCAATGGAAGGGTGAGTGGTTTCTAGATTTAAGACTTCTGTAGTATCAGCACGAGACGGCATTGCAGTGCCCGACATGTCCAGCAAAAACTGGATATCATGAGCCTGAATGCGCGTATCTAGGCATTCTTCGAGTGGCTGACCCAGTGCCACAGACACAAGCGTACCAAGTCCAACAGCGTGAAAAACCTCCTCCAGCGCGTGTCGTCAAAAAACGACGTCACCGACCTCACCGCCGAGGGCAGTGTCCCGCCCTCCAGTTCAGCCACGTCTCTCAGCTCCCAGCAGGCCCCCTCCATTGCCTCCCATCACCACCACCACCATCATCCGCATGTACATCACCGCACCGCCTCCAAGCACCGGCCGCACCTCTCTGCCACCATGTCGAATGTTGGTGCCCCGGACATGCTGTCTCCCGCCTCGCCTATCCACCAAGCGTCCCCCTCCTCCCCCACCACCAAGGGCGCTTCAATCGAGCAATCTGTAAAGCTCTTCCGCGTGTTTGAGTCGCTTCGCAATGGAGATACTGGTGCCATTTCCAAGGCAATCAGAGAGCAGTCCCCCCCCACAGACGGAGAGCAAAGCAGTTCTTCGCTGTCTTTGACCGGCGGCCGCTTAGAAGGGACATCGATACTTCACCTAGCCATACAATGCGCCGAGGTCCCCGTTATCGAGTTTGTGCTGTCCAATGCGACAGCCGGCTCCGACTCGACCATCGACATCAATGGCCGCGACAGGGACGGTAATACACCTCTGCACCTAGCAGCCACCCTCGGGCGTACCCCCGTGGTTCGCATGCTGCTCGACCGACCCGGCATCAACGATTCCATTACCAACTACCAGGGCCAGACCCCATTGGACCTGGCTCGGACCCCAGACATCTTCCAGCAGCTGCAGCTAGCACGGTCGATATTCATAGACACAAACGTCAAGAAGATACACCAGCTAGTGACAGTTGGGGACATTGCCACGCTCGAGAAGCTGTTGCAGGATCCCAGGATGAAGAGCACTCTGGATGTCAATGGCGGTGAGTTGGCGACGGACCCGATCGTGGTAGATAGCGGAGGTACATTGCTCCACGAGGCGGCAAAGCGGAGGGATGTGAAATTGATCCAGATGTTGCTATTGAATGGTGCGGACCCATTCCGCAGAGACCGGAAAGGGAAACTGCCTCAAGACTACACCAAGGATGACCGCACCCGGGCAATACTGAAGCGATCCCCTGCCGCTGCTGCTGCCCAGAGGGGCATTCAGGAGAAGACTATCTTGGCGGGGGCAGGTCCTCAGGCGGGGGCAGCATCTGGGGAAAATTCGTTTGGCCCCAAAGAGGGGCGCGAGATGAAGGGCTATCTGAAGAAGTGGACCAACTACACAAGTGGCTACAAGCTAAGATGGTTCGTTCTCGAGGACGGGGTGCTCAGCTATTACAAGCACCAAGGTACGGTCACGGAACATTGCCACCTGGGCTTACGAGACTAATTGCCTCTAGATGATGCTGGGTCGGCTTGTCGTGGTGCAATTAACATGAAAATTGCAAAGCTGTACATGGACCCCCAGGACAAACAGCGCTTCGAGATTCAAGGCAAATCTTCGGTGAAATACCATCTAAAAGCCAATCACCAAGTGGAAGCTAAGCGGTGGTATTGGGCGCTGAACAATGCTATCCAGTGGAGTAAAGACGAAGCGCGGGAAGAAGAGAAACGACACAATCGGGACCAAGAGGCGCTGAAGCTGGCAAAAATTGAGCAGATTACGCGACCATCGAAGGAAGGCGATTCGCTGAGCATCACAAGTTCAAGATTGACGAATGCGAAAAATCTTGCCCCATGTAGGTCTCTGTCCGTTGAGTGAGTGAAATCGTATCTCACAACCAACAGCAACATCGCTCGGCGTTCCATTGTCAGGCCAAGACACCACCTCCCGCACAGGAGCCAGCACCGCAGAAGAGCCCGATCCTAGCATTTATGAGCCCAGCGTAGGCGGGAATGAGCTTGGAAAGATGGTCAGCAATATGGGAACTGCAACGATTGAAGGCGACATGGATGATGATGAAGATTACGGCGATGATGGGAGTAGCCATGATATTCGACCTAACAACAAGGACGCCTTCAACATCACAGCGCAGTCTGCAAAATTGCAACTCGACCTTCTCGGTCAAGTCTCTACAGCTTTGCAGGCTGAAAAAAGCAAGCACCCGACAATGCAAATATCTGATTCGCTTGTCGTTCAAGCTTTGTCGTCTTATGAGGCAGCTGTTGGGAATCTTAAAGGCCTCGTTGGCGACTTGCTCCGAATATCAAGGGACCGCGATGCGTACTGGCAGTACCGTCTAGATCGCGAAGCGAACGTCCGCCGCATGTGGGAGGAGAGTATGGCAAAGGTCGCTAAGGAACAAGAAGAGCTTGAGAACAGAATCGGCGAGTCGGAACTCAAGAGAAGGAAGACAAAACGAGCGCTTCGTGAAGCTTTAGAGGAGTTTGAAATGAACGAGCACGTACCTAGCGAAGACGAATTCACCGAAGCAGAAGAGTCAACGCACCTAGAACCAGAGCCCAAGGCTTTGAGACCGAAAGCCAGTTTCAGTTCCCAGGCTCTGCGGCGCAAGTCAACGTTTGCAAACATTAAAGCTGATATGTCGGAATCGGAATCGGAGGATGACGAAGAATTCTTTGACGCCGTCGGAGCTGGCGAGGTTGAAGTTGTCGAGATGCCAATCACCAGTCCGGGCCTTGAGGCTGTGGAGATGGCTCCGTCGGTCGAGGATTTGTTTGAGGGGAGGTCTGCTGAAATTGCTACTGGTTTCAGGGGTTACGAGGATGGCCCACGACAGAAGCTTGCTATGGATGCGGATAACAGACCAAGGATTTCACTTTGGGTGAGTTAGATAGTGCCGGAGGTGTTTTGAAGCTAACGTTTGATTTAGGGCATCCTCAAATCCATGATTGGCAAAGACATGACTAAGATGACTCTTCCCGTCTCTTTCAACGAACCTACTTCGCTCCTCCAGCGCGTCGCCGAAGATATGGAATATACGGACCTCCTAGATACTGCTGCAGAACGTATGGATTCAACAGAGCGGTTGCTCTACGTTGCCGCGTTCGCCGCATCCGAATACGCATCTACGATTGGACGTGTGGCTAAGCCTTTCAACCCTCTCCTTGGTGAAACATATGAGTATGCAAGGCCGGATAAGGGATATCGCTTCTTCATTGAGCAAGTTAGTCACCATCCTCCGATCGGTGCTGCGTTTGCCGAATCGAAGAAATGGGATTACTATGTGAGTCACCCCCCGACCATTTTCGCATCTATTTGGATACACGGTCCAATAAACCGCCGAATCGTAACATTTTTGCTAACGTAACGTAGGGCGAATCGAATGTCAATTCCAAGTTCTACGGCAAATCATTCGACATCAACCCATTAGGAACATGGTTCCTTCGCCTCCGACCAACCTCGACCGGCGGCAAAGAGGAGCTGTATACCTGGAAAAAAGTCACCTCCTCTGTCATCGGCATCATCACGGGCAACCCCACTGTCGACAACTACGGACTCATGGAAATCACAAACTGGACTACGGGCGAAAAATGTCAACTCAATTTTAAGCCCCGCGGCTGGAAAGCATCATCAGCCTACCAAGTTATCGGTAAAGTCCTCGACGCCTCAGGCCGAGTCCGCTGGTCCGTTGGCGGCCGCTGGAATGACAAAATCTACGCAAGGCTCACACCGGGTTTTGAGGATGCTGAGATTGATAAAGGCGGGTCGATCTCCTTACACATCAACAGTAGACACGAGGAGAATAAAGCTTTCCTCGTCTGGCAATGCCACGAACGCCCTACCGGCATCCCATTCAACCTCACTCCCTTCGTCGTCACGCTCAATGCCCTTCCAGACGCGCTCCGCTCGGTCGTCGCGCCGACGGATACACGCCTCCGCCCGGATCAGCGCGCGATGGAGGACGGAGAGTATGATTTCGCGGCGACGGAGAAGAATCGGGTTGAGGAGAAACAGCGGAAGAAGAGGAGGGAGAGGGAGGCGATAGGTGAGCAGTTTATTCCGAGATGGTTTTCTAAGGGGAAATGTGAGGTTACGGGAGAGGAGTATTGGGTATTTAATCATGAGTATTGGAAGGCAAGACATGAGGTTGCGGTTAAGGAGGCCGAATGGGGGGATAAGGGGCTGGAGGATATCTTTTGATCGTTGAAGTAATCAATGTTCGGGTTTGAGGTTAGGATAGCCTCGTATATATGCATTTACGTTGTAATGTGTTCAGGTTTTATACACTTATTGTTTGGACGGTTATGCGATTGTTTTTCCTGCAGTGGACTGCGAGTGGACTGCGATCTTATTTCGGAAATGCACCAGATGAAGTTGAGCAGGTTGAGAATAATGAGGGCGAAGGCGAATAGTGTGGTCGTGGTTGACATAAATATCGCCAGTGGTGTTCACGTCAAGGTTTGGATCATTGAATTGCCGTTAGGTTTACTCCCCACCCCACCTTGATTTTTAGCAACAATAGGATGGTGGGACGACGAAATATAAAACGCTCTAATATTACAAAACCATATAGCCTAATCAAAGCTTTAAAATGGGTGCGATATTTTACCAATTCATCACCATTTGACACTATCAAAGCTCTCCTAACCCCCTACATGATCCATCAAGTCGTTCGTACGTTCAGTCGAACCACCTCAACAACAACACCGAAAGCTCTATAACAACACCGCCTTTTAGAATCAAAATTACATATACAAAGAGGAGCAGCAAGTGTAAACGCTTTTGTATCAAGATTCTAAAAAATCTGTTTGCGTTGGAGGTGGTTTGATTCGTGCGTTACATTCTGTGTGCGAACGTAGGTTGTACGGATTTGTGTGTGATATCATTGAGAATTTTTTATAGCGAAGATGGTATGTAGATGATGCTGCTATGTCATCGTGGCAAAGATGTTGGGTGTGGATATTGATTTGGTCTGGTTTTGGTGTGTTCTATTGCAGTGTGATGTATATTACTAGTCGGAGGTTTGATATCACTTTGGTCGAGTTAGTGCGGATGTTTCATTCAATGTGCCGGAGTCGTGGAGTTGAAGGTGCTTCTTGATGAGTAGGCCCCTACGCCACGTTGCGTTTGAATTCATGCTAAGTTCTAAGGGGGTCGGTGGAGTTCCCTTGCTCTGTGGTGGTGACGATGTTGTTGGTCATATGGAGTACGACGGCTAGGAATGCGATCGAAAGGACTGCAGGAAGCGTTATGATATCCTCGATGAAATAGCATATCCCGGAAGTAGGTCTAGCGTGGAGTATAGCTACCAGCTGCCGTGCATAGACTCAATGAGGCTGAGGTGGCTGTTTATATATTCCTGCCACCGTGGCCAACACAACACTTTCTTAGAATAGGCAGAGGGCCTTATTAGGGGTTTGCAAATAGATCCTTCAAGATGGTTGCTTACCAGGTCAACTAATTCCCCCTTTTGGAAATCTCGCTCGTTGTTTTGCTTATACTTCCCTCGTTTAACATGGTAGTTAATCCATCCAACAGAAGTCAGATCCTCAGCGTAGGATCTCGGGGCTAACGTGATGATGAACGAGGCAGCGGATCCGTGCGGAATTGTGAGAATATGCAGGATCCTAAGGCCACCTATCCGGATAATGAAACTCAAATACCAACTCCGCTGAGGCATGTGTATGCAGGAATGGGGTTTGGAATGGGTGCAGTAAACCCAAGATTTTGGTGGAGGGTATCCCTACTTGTCTTTTTCTCTCCCGAACCAATTACATATCCAGGTTTGCCTGTCACTATCAGTATCATCGTTGACGGCTACGAACGCCTCTTAAAAGCTTACCCCACTTTCTCGAGCCTTGAAGATTCCCCCTCGACATCTCGGAACGCACACTTTCGTGGTCAAAGTCGATTGCATATGCTGTTCTCTCATGGGTAAAGTAGAACTGTTTTTTCTATCTGTATCGATCCTGTACTTCCTAGGTTCCATAACGTTCCTACTTGTTACCCTCATTCTGGAGAGCGTTTTTAAAGATGATTCGATATACCAAGGCGAACTACCTAAGCTGGACAGAGCGTGGGAGGATTTGAAAGTACGTCTACCAACCTCTGCTACTCAATTCGCAATCTCTTTCTTTCTCTCTCCCTCCCTTTCTCCAAGTCCAAAGTCTAAGCTTTCTCTAACGTATGACTGCGGTTGAATGACATCCTGTATGCAAATAGAGATGGCCGAAGCAGGCGCTACTAGACCCCTAAACAGGACATCCAAGACTCCAGGCGATGAAGACTACTACATCGTCGAGCGCGATGTTTTCTACCAATTGCATGGCTTGAATCTTCGCACTAACGTAGCAAAAGAGAACAAATAAAAATGCAAGAGAGCAAAAACGAAGCCCATGGGGCTCGAACCCACAACCTTTGGTGAACAGGCGAAGACCGAAAACCAACGCGCTACCATTGCGCCAAGGCTCCAATGATAACTATTTTCTTAAATTAGGTTTTATATATACAAATTAGATAGTGACAACAATATGACGTTAAACAAACTAGAAATGCTAAGAGGCTGTTATGTTGAGAGATTACAAGCGCCGGAAGGACGTGTGGCGTAGTGGGTCTAGGTTTGAAGTGTGCGGGGCTATGATTATCGTCTAGTTCCTGTAATTGGGAGCCTTCCGTGCCAACAAAGCCTGGGTTACTAAAGCCACACAAAACGGCAACGGCGGACTATCATGCACATTCAGGTGTTATAGCATCACCAGCATAGTGGAGTGACATGGTACTTTAAATGTATTGTGCCCAACACTATAATCAAGTATACCAACCCATCTCGCCCATATATTGCTCCTCACCTCCCTCTTGCTTCTCCTTCTTTCCTCTCCCATTTCCATCTCCACGTGCCTACCCTCAATAACCCCGTCCGGCAAATCTACCAGACCCCTCGTTAAGTAATCCAAACGCATTACGCATAGTAATGGCCTCTCAAATCATAAATTTTTTTTGTCAAACACACCTATCATAAAGGCATTCTATTCAAAAGAGCGTCAAGAAAAAGAAATACAAACCAAAGGGGCGTGAGCTCGTCAGCATTACGTGTCATCTCTTCCACGTCCTCACCTGCACACACGCATACATAAACGAAAGACAAAAACATTAAGAGCCATCTATCCCGCCCACCAGCCAAACTCCTGAGCCAGCGGGAATTGTAAACGGATGGCGGGGAGGGGGGAAGGTTATTAAGGGTTGGGCAGGTGCGTATCGGGGAAGTGGAGAGTGCATTAGGCTGATTAACATTGGTCGAGCTCGAGGCCGAAGGTAAGGACTGTTGTGAAAGTGTGGGAAAGAAAACCGATGAGGGTGTATGCAGAGTGTATCGATGCTTGCTACGCTGCAAAACAAAAATTTCAGTCAACGCTAGACTAAAAGCAGGCAAAACGCCGGGATATCCAAAGGGGAAATGCTGGGATACGATGTTGGGTATGCTGAAGAGGAAGCAATACTTCAATCGGTCTCGGGTATCCTAGAATATCGATGTTGTATGAGATCGATGAGTGGGCGGTTTATATAACAGGGCGGGGTATCGTGTCGTTCGCATGGCCTGATAATAGGGTCTCGCAGGAGGTGAAGACTACGTCTTAGCGCCGAAATACCGATTTATGGGTGAGCGGCGAGTCGAACGGTGGCATTGGTCCACGTATTCTCCCACCTCTAGCAATAGGAGTTTGTCCCGTACAGAAGACGCACACATAAACAGGAGGAAGATTGTGGGTATTGAGTCCAACGCAAGCCATGTGGAGCCATTTCGTGCATGATTCACATTGTACCATTGCCCGACCGTCATCCGCAGAGTTGCAGACGCAGCGTGTAGTCTCGCTCGAAAGACTACTTCGGTCGGTAGATGGTGTGGTGAGACTGGCGTCGGTGTTTGTTGCCGGAGATCCGTTGAATGAGTTGCTATAGGGGTCGTATAGGCTGTGTGGACTTGTGTTTTGATGCGCCATGTCGGCAGATGCTTGTGCCCAGCGTTGGTTGTGAGCCTGGAGGGTATTCTGAGAGGAGCGTTCTGCAGGAAGTTAGCTAGTGGAAGAAAAGAAACGTAAAACCATACCAAACCGCTTCTGTCGACCCTCGACTACCTTCTTCAGAGCTCCAAGAGCATCTCCGGCCGAATCAGACATCTTCTGGTCTTCATTTTCTTTGACATCGCTAAAAGGGGTAGGAAAGTCCATCATGCTGTACCTCCGGAAGGGGTTGTCTTGCCCCTTCTTCACAGGACGTAGTGTCTCAAACGAGGACTTCTCAAAGACTCCCGAAGAGGGCCTCGGCATCTTAAAGGAATTAGAACGATCGAGGCCATCACTGTCTGTCCGAGCGTGCTTTGACGTCCGGCGTTGTGGGATGTTGAAAGACGCGTTTCGACTCAGAGTGACTGGCTCATCTGGCTCCGACTCGCTGTCGTCGTCAATCCAAAGACCGGGATATTGGCGCCTTAAATCCTTCTGCGAGCCCCCACGAGTATCCCTCTGCTTATCATGGTCCTCAGCAGGAACAGTCTCTGTGCGTGCCCGACCGTCTTCGTCAATGACAAGCCGAGTCCTTGGTCGTCGAATCTCTGGTATGGACGTGAGGGAACCGCCACTCTGCCTCTTCAAAGGAGACGAGCGTCGAGGGATGTGAAAGCCTAGTACAGATCCTGACGATTTTGATTCCATAGATGATGGCCTACTCTTTCTGAAGCCACTGTCGGTGTTGCTACGCTGCAACCCTGGTCTAGGGTTTTCAAAGGAAGCAGTGGACGAGTTAGTATTTGTCCGTGAGTGCTGGCTCTTTACTATTTTGGCCGACTCCCTTTCCCGAAGCGATTCCCGAACCTGTGTTTCATAAGGCTGTCTCCCTTCATGATTTACGTTCATCGGCTGTGTCGGGTTGCTAAACGAAGAAGCTGGTCCCGGACTAGAGAAGCTGAACAACATGCTAGGATCAACGCCCCCAGAAGTGGAAATGAAAGAGTTGGGCCGCGAATGTGAACTCTCAGTGGGACCTGGATTGTTCGCTGCAAATGAGGGAACAGGACCAGGAGAAGACATGCCATGCAGAGCTTGAAAAGCCTGAGGATCCATTTGGTTAGCTGGAGTATGGAATGTCTGCCAATTTAGAGTGCCGTCGATCTTGTGTGGGGTTGGACCAAAGGGATCTGATGAGATGGGCATGTCTACATCCATGCCACTTCCATCACTCGGCTGATCCCAGAACAAGCGCGAGTGAGGAAGAGCAGGCGCCGACATCGGCCCTGTGCTTGGAAATTGCACCATATCGGGCGAGAACTGGAGAGCTGGAAAGCCGAATGGTGTTTGATTGAAGAGTCCATCAGGTGCTTGCACTTGGCCCGATGTCCGTGAGGTCACGGTAGCAGGTGTGGCAAATTCATTCCCTATACTCTGATGTTGACCCCTCCGTGAAGTTGCGTCTCTCGTAGGAGGCGGCGTCTGCATTTGCGATGTGTCCATGCTAGCAGGATGAAGCCGTGAAGATGAAGTTTCCCGTAGCGTATATTCAGGTTTCTTCACCGACAACGGCCCTGGTGAAGACGACAACCTTCGAGAAGGGTCGACGGGAGGCAGAGGAAGATTGTTCGGCCTGAAGTGGTTGACATGAAATTCGGGATCTTCGGGGGTCCGAATGCTCTGACTATATGAGCTGGATGGCCGGTCTATGGGAGTCGAAATTGTAAATGATGGGGTTTGTGCGGGTGTCTGGTGCCCATTGACCCGAGGGGTAGACCAAGCGTCGAGAAAATGCGACTGAGGAACAGGCTCAGCCTTGGGCGTTCTAAATGTCGAGTCCGGAAAGGTCACGGACTTGGGGGTGGAAGAAGGACTTGGAAGGTGCCAATCCGTTGATCTGACGAAACACCTCACACGTTAGCCTTGAAACAATTGGGGGATTCACTAATACGAGAGTGAGAGGGGCATGCTGAAATATTAGATCAGACGACGGACATGGTGGAATCCATTGCTGGAGCATTGGGGAACGATTCCTGTCCTCGACGTCTAGAGTGAAAGTGAGGTCCAATTTGAGGGGGAGCTTTGGGGGTCGGTGCATGAGCTTCACGACGGCGATAGTGGGGTGCTGCCTGCCACTCTGCCTAGAGACAAGCGATAGACGAGATGGTGATTCGACGAGTCTCTGAAGGAATAGGCAGCAAGCCGTGCCGGAGACTCCCCACCACCTATACAGCCATGCTCGAAGCACCCGCCCTATCGCACCTTCCCCTTGAACCGCAGGCTGGCATCGGGGCACACGAGGAAGCAAACCAGGTAGAAGAAGACCCGTACCCATATATGTGCTGATCCAAACTCATAGCAAACCAGGTGAAACAGGATTCCCGCCCTAAAAGACCATGTAGCGTGGGATATCTGGCGGCGTGCGGCGTTGAGCAAGTCTCGGAGAGAAGTGGTGATGGGCGGTTGAGGACGAGCAGGGACGACGTCGCTTTGGCAGAGATTTTTTTTTTTTCTCTTCACTGTCTGGGAGGTCTGGACAGGATGGGAGCGGATCCGGGCAAGGAAGCTGTGGTACACTGTGGTACGCTCGAGAGGAAGGGTCCGAGAGGTGCCAGTGCGGTGAGACCTCGTGGCTGCAGGTACATATGGAGACCGCAACGGCTAGTGGGTAGTGATGATGTCTGCAGGCCTAGGGGGGGGGGTGTGAAGGTTAAAACAAGGTGGGTGTATTAAGGAACGACTGCACTCTGGAGGCACTCCGTCCACTTTTCGCGAAAAGAGTTATTGCGGCTGCAACGAGAAATAATTGGGCGTACCAAGACGATGCGCGTGGGCCGGCCAACTGCCAGCGAGCAAAGGAGTCTTCTCCTGAGCCTGGGGGGCAATAATCACGGATCTGGCAGCAGGAGATCAGGAACCACGCCGCAGTGGGCTGGAGGCATGCTGGCGGGGATGCTGAGGTTGAGGCGAGATCATTATTGGCAGGGAATCGTGGTAGAAGCCTTCAGCAGCACGGAGGTAAGATGGACTCGCCGGCTTGGGCGACAGGCCACACTGCACAGGATGGTAGATTGCCTAGTACTCGCCTCTCCCGAGATACAACGATATGCCCACTTCCAAACGGCACGGTTGAGAGGGCTGAAGGAGATGTGTGCGGGATGATAAATGGCATACGATATCGCCATCCATCAATTCGTCATTACGCTAAGAGGAACCGCTGGTGAACGTCGAGCGGCGCAGCTGCACCACTATTGGCCTTCAGCCCGCCCTCTGAGCTCTCTTCTGCTGCAAACTCCTGTGCCGTGAGCAGGTTCGCTGCACTCCTGAATTGTGAACGTCAATGGCGCCGTAGTCGGCTTGAAGCAGCAAGTGGGCAGCCAGTCATCGCGGTCGTAGTCCAGAGTCCATGCCCCATGCCAGCTCATCAGCAGTAGCTTTTAATCTGCGGTCTTATGCCTTGGAGAGCCCGAGCTTCTTTTGCATAATTCAGCCAATGGTAGCCTTAGGATCTTTTTCCTCGGGGGAATTACCGCCTGCTCTTTGGTCCGACCATGTTGGCTCAACTCTCCTCACCATCTCGAGCTTGGGGCCGGGTAGGCTTCTTGGAAAGGAAAGCTACCTCATGCCAACATCGCAATGGTCGTCTTGACTAACTGACAGCTGTCGCCCGCCCTGCCTCAGGCGCTATTTCGCTTCGGAGAGGAGCCCTCTTTGCGACGGTTCGTTTCATCTACCGCTAACCCTTCCGCTGCTGCGCTGTCTGCTCTCGTGTGATGTTTCCGGATCCACCGCGAAGTCGAGAAGCAGGGCGTGTTTCGGTAGCCTAGCATTGGTGCAGCCCTGCTAAATTACACTCTCTCGGTACGAGCACCTCTCCATCCTGTAGGTACCTCTATGCAAGGTACAAAACACTCCTTCGCCAGTCCAGTCTCCTTCTGTAGACTGCATCCATTCCACAGTAAGCCACTGCACCCGCCGAGCTCCCCTAGTAGCTGAGTCTGTCTGCAAAAATCATCTCATCCTCTGCCGACCGAACAAGCACACAACGACACCAAAGCCAGGGGAACCCCTCCAAACAGTTTTTGTCAGTCGGCCATTCACAGCGCCTGCCTGAATTCTGCCTCTTGAGGGGTCAACGACATCATCCTCCGACCGTTTTCGGCGGCAAAAGGCACCCCTGTGAAACACGAGGTCCTTATTCAGGACACCAACTTGGACGAATTGTTCATCAGTACCAAACGTCATTGTCATGAAACTGCTTGCATTCAGAAGATGCTATATATAACCCTATTTTCATGCCTGTCGTGCTATCCAAGAGTTAACCTGCCTAAAAATCCTATGGCCTCACGAGTTCATCCTTTCGCCAACGCCGAGCTTGCATGCACTGAAGAGAAATTAAGTAAGGAATAGTGCAGTTGACTGCATCGAACCTGCTCGTCTTCCGGACTATTATGTACAGGTACGAAACCGTTTCCTCTCATCTCGCCTCGTCTCGTCTCGTCGTTCATACTGCCGGTCTTACCACTACCGGGTCGTCTTGGTACGACAAGTCGGATACTACCGAGATCCTATCCTGGTTTCTTCGGAACGTGGGCCCTGACAAGTCCGAGACTGCATCATCATCATCGGTCGGATCTGCGAAAGGCGATCGCGTGGGGTGATCTTGGCTCGAAATCAAGTTTGTGTGTGAATGCGCGGCTGGGGGAGCTCGCAGGCTTGTGTCGCGCGACAGAGGAGCAACACTTCGGGGCCGGTATGGTGGTGGGGGTTCGTCCTGTGCCTCATCTCCATTGACGAACGGATTTCCAAGGCCAGTGCGATCCTGCGGGTCATGCATCGACACAATGTCTGAGGTGTCAATACCGGTGTAGTATGCTCCACTGGAACCTGGCGCAATCGGTCCTAGAATGACCGGTTGGGGAGTGGTCGGGCTTGCTAAAGTGGGAAGAGGGTGGGATGGAGGTGTAGCGTATTGGGGTTGGGTAGAAGGTGGGGCTCCAGGATGGACGAGAGGTTGGACAAAAGGTTGATTTCTCGTCTTCATCTCCTCTACATGCGCCTGCACAGCCTTCACCTGTTTGTCCCGCTTACGCTTACGCAGGTAAAAGAAGAGAGCAACACCGAGGATAGCCAGAATCACGACTGGGACGACTCCAGCTGCAGCGTACGTTATTGTATGATTAGGCCCATTCCTTTGCATATCCGTCGAGCCGTCGTTCCCGTTGTCATTGTTGCCAGTAGATGTGGGATTTGGTCCAGTATAGATGCGAGTTGGTGTTGTTTGTGGCCCATTAATGTCGGAATATGGGATGGTATGCGATATGCTGGACTGTGTCGACGGAGCACCTTGTGGTGGCCGGATCCCAGTCAACCACCCAGACAGAAAATTCCCAGTCTGATGCTCGTAGGTGGGCATCTCGCTCTTAAAATCAGATAGAGTGAATTCGATTATGGCAGTGAAGGATAGACCACCCGATGGCATTATGGTTGGTATCGGGGTCGGCTGGTTGGTCACGTCGTCGTTATGAGATCCCCAGGAATGATGGTCTTCCGAATCTTCATGAGCATCGTGCTGGAGGACAGGAATGCCCATCGAGACGGATCCCGGGTGGGCAGTGATATGTATGGGGGTTGAGCCTGTTTCTGACGTACTTTCCTTCCAAGGGTGTATCAGAACCTAAATCAAAGAGGGGTGAGCTCGACGAGTGATGATAGGTCCTTAGTTGTGCTGTTGTTGGCAGGGTGCCGTATCAGTCACCAGTGTCAGCGAATTCAAACACGGGACGAATGCTGAGGGCGCAGTTTTGTTCCCTGCCTGTACCGGTGGGGCCGGATAACGGAAAAGTCGCAACTTCACGGCCTATAACCTAGTAGATGGCCTCAAAAGCAAGGGCTGGTGATGACGCCAGGACTAGAAGTGGTGCTGTCTGACTTAAAATCATGAAATGGAGCGGACACGAGGCATGATTGTTGCAACAGCAAGAATAACAGCGAGTGTGAAGAGTGATGAGGAGAGAATAAGCTAGAAGTGGGCGGTGGCATTTTGGGGTTCGCTGGCATGTTTCCACATTCTCACAAGCTCCAGTCAAAGTCCGACTCCCGAGGGCTGAAGTTGGGTGATGGCTGGGGGCACAGCCTCGATGGCGCTGGATGATGGCGGTCACGGAAGCTGGAAACACCCCACCCGCTCGGAAATGGATTATTTTTAGGCTTGGCCTCCCCATTTTGACCAGGTTCATCTGTCGATCAGAAGCTTGGCCCGGAAACAAATACTCGTCTTGTGCTCCCTGACTTTGGAAACAAGACCCTCTTGGTGAATGGTGCTATCAACAGTGGAGATCTGCTTTGGATGAAGCCGCTTGGAGACACTTCACGAAACATTTGACGGCAACAAAAGAAAGAAGCTGGAATGGGGACGGCGAAGAGATTGCCGACCTTCCTGTGAGACTCACCAAAGCACTTGCAGATCTCCCAATCAAGTTCCCCGTCAAGCAGGGCGCACTTTATCATTGGTCGCTGCAAGAGACTATCTGCTCATGCCCACCTAACAAAATCAACTCTCTCGCGCGCTGCATTTGGCAAACCACTGTTTCGGAAAGCGATAATGACATCCAATTGGAAACTCCCAAAAGACCTCTTGTCGAACGCCTCCAGAGAATGCACCAAACAGGAATCGGATAACTTACGCTCCGGGCTCCGTTACGCTTCTTGATGTCCTCGTCTAAGACCGCAGGTTGGCACCAACTCCGGAACATGAATAGTAAGCATCTAGATGTAAAAAAAATATTGTTGGATCTAAGTAGAGCGTTCGAAGGAAACAGGTTTGTGTCTTCAACCAGCGCCGGTTCGATTCCAATATGCCAAGACTCAGTACCACCGAGCGAGTTTCGGAGGACGCAAAAATCTAACCACTTGCCATTGTGCGAAGTGAGGCTCGGGGATACGAGATGTTACACAAGTCACTTTAGTCCTTATTCAAGAATGCGGCTATAGCGTCCTGTGCATCGTTGTTCAAGACTGCCAGTCATCCGTGGCGTTGAGTTTCTTTCCACTCTTCGGTAGAGCCAAGTCACAATGAAACACCAAGCCCAATTAAAAAGACAGCAGCTTACTTGCTGAAGAAGCTAATGGCTCGTCCTAGAGTTGTGTCTCTCCAGCGATTCCTTGGGGAACTCCAGCTCCATCTTCCGAGTCCCAAAGTTTGATACTCGCCTGATTCAGGAAAGGTCGATTTCCCTTTGATAGGGTAGCTGAATCATCCTTGGCACCTCGTCATCGGCACCTCGACAATGGTGCAGTTCGACACCTCCTGCTCCTCCCACATGACAACACCGCGGTCCATGTAATCAATATCATGAGCGGCCTCAAAGAGCTAGCAAAAGGGGGGTGGCATCCAAAAAGTAAAGGGAGCGGGAAAGAGAGCTGGCGCGGTGACTTCAAGGGTGTGAACACGGTCGTATGTCCCTCTTCCGTATGTTCCGCGCTGGCATTGCGAGCTAACTCAACTATCCAGGCAGGATGGGTGGGCAAAGGCAAGAATCCAGAGGAGGAGGCCCATAGACACCAATCGGCGCCTCTATCAACCCTCAAAGACCCTGCTTCGTTTGGCCCTCCGCCGAAGCACATTAATTACCACGGAGCCGCAGCATCGCCGAACTCGACAATGTCAGACCGCCAAGAGCTTGGGGAGCCGCTGTCGCAAGAAGAAACTGCAGCAAAGCAAAGAGTGCAAGAGGCACGCGAAGCAAAAGCAAAGATAGAGGAGGTAGCGAACAAGCCAACCCCGGGTCCCTACAGAGCAAACACGACAGGCCTTAACACCACCCACGTACCCAAACCGCCTACTCGTCGATTATCACCTCCTCCCACCGTAGACCTGACGGTGAAGCTGAAGCCCAAACTCCCGCCTAGATTACCTCCTCGACAAAATTCTCATCCCGATGGGTACACTCAAGCGCCTCCACCTCCCTACAGTGAGAGCACACAAGGTGACTCGTCTACACCAGGCCACCTGAATCAGGGGCCGTTGGAGCGGTTAGGACAAGCTGGAATCTCTGTACCTGGCTTCAACATTGGCCGTACCGCGTCGCCGCCTGTACCACCTCGTCAGAACTCGTCGCCTCTGCACGCACCTCCTTCTCCTGCAGCAAATGCGAACCGCGGGCCACAGTTAAGTGAACTACAATCCCGGTTTGCAAAGCTGTCGACGTCGTCATCGCAAGGTCAGGCGCCCACTACTGGAACGTCTTTAGCAGATAAGCAGACTGCATTCAAAACTGCGCGCAATCTTCGCAATGACCCCTCGAAAGTGTCACTCTCGGACATGAAAAGTGCTGCAACTACAGCCAGCAACTTCCGTGAGAGGCATGGGGAGCAAGCCACAGCAGGCTGGCGAACTGCGAGCAGTTTGAACCAGAAGTATGGAATTGCAGACAGGATGAACAGCCCTACTACCACCAACGCTCCCCCTTCAACCCCGCCTCTCCCGCAATCTCCTACCCGGTGGGGAAAGAAACCTCCCCCTCCGCCGCCACCGAAGAAGAGGGAGCTGGTGCCAAACTCTAGTGAGCCGCCACCAGTGCCCCTGGGAAGTAAACCCAAGTTTTGAATGCCGTTGTTGCGATTCCTTGCTAGTATACCCTGTGTCATGCTCAAAGCTGTATTCATGTACATATCATTGGACATAAAAGCTATGACTCCCCAACACGTTGAGAAGACAAGGCAGCCAGTAGTGAGCTGCTTCGTGTGAGGTGACGCGATGCTCGTGTAACTACCACAAGTGCAGGCGCCGTCATCTCGTACACTTTCATATAGATTCGAGAAAGCGTCAGATTTGATTCAGAAAAGAGCAACTCTTAAGACTCCAGATGCAGCCCCAGGGCACGATGCACTCATTTGGTGTTGAGGGGCGGCTCTAGCAGGCACGTGCCCGCGTCATACCGAGGCTTGTTCCGACCTCGGGTCCAACTATTTTTCCGATGCCAAGAAAATTTCTAAACTTTTGTTGCCTTCACTGTCCTGCTCAAACGAGTGTTTCGTTGGACACATTACACGCAATCTGAGCTACGATCCGCTCTCTATTGCTTGCCATCCTCCTTCTCGTCGCTCCTTGCACACTTGTTCAATCCATTGGCGCTGTTTTCAAGCGTGTCATCCAAACAAAAACACTCGCGTGCTCAGCCAGAAACGCGCAGAAAACAAGCCCAACAACACTCAGACGTCGAGTAGCTACAACGTACACTCGAAATTCAACTCCCTAGTTTTGCCTCATAGCCATTTCCGCCAATTGGCCTTCTCTTCCGCAAAACACCGTCTTCGGGCCATTTCCACATCTTCCCGCGCTTCCTCAACACCAACAACTGAGCAAGCACATCAGCTCTGACGTTATCATGTCTGCTGCGGGACCGACTCTTCTAGCGGGCAAAATGCCATCACGCTCCCTCTTCGAGTTTCCCCCGCATATGGAGCCTGCCGTCATCCTACCACCGTTCCAGGAGCCCTCCTTCAAGACGCCCTTCCCGATTTCCTCCGAATTCTACAATGGCGCCTTATCCACCGTCGTCCCGCTCACAATCGCTGTTATCTATGCAACCACCGTCTTCTTCGTGAATGCGTACAACCGTCGCCACAAGAATCAGCCATGGGCCATCAGCAAGACTCGTCTATTCAAGGCGTTCGTCATTCTCCACAATGTCCTCTTGGCCATCTACTCTGCTGTCACGTGTGTTGCTATGGTTCGCGCCTTGAAGCACGCCATTCCGCACTACACTGAGCCCAACGCTCTCGTCGGCACCGTCGATGCGCTCTGCAAGATGCATGGACCTCGCGGCCTTGGCGATGCGGCAGCGTTCAACATCACTCGCAATGCTTGGGAAGTCAAGAATAATCTCATCCATCTTGGCAACAACGATATTCCTGACTCTACTGATCTCGGGCGCGTCTGGAACGAAGGTCTCGCATTCTGGGGCTTTATCTTCTATCTCTCCAAGTTCTACGAGGTCCTTGACACCTTTATCATCCTTGCTAAAGGAAAACGTAGCACCACTCTTCAGACATATCACCATGCCGGCGCGATGTTGTGCATGTGGGCTGGCATTCGCTTCATGTCTCCGCCTATCTGGATGTTTGCTTTGGTGAACTCAGGTATCCACGCAATGATGGTAGGCTTCCCTAATATCAATTCTTACGCCCCTGTGCTAATCCTCCTCAGTATTCCTACTACACAATCTCTGCCCTCGGCGTTCGCGTACCTCAGGCGGTTAAACGTACCCTCACCAGTCTTCAGATCCTTCAGTTCGTCGTTGGAGCTTCTTTCGCTGCCGTTCACCTCTTCGTCTCTTATACCATTCCCGTTCAAGTGGCATATGAAGTAGCAGCCACACCGACCGCCATCACAGCACCGTCGTCAAGCGTTTTCTCTGCCTTCGTATCGGCCATCACAGTCCCTCTGACGTCATCACCAGCGCTAAGCACAGCCACCGGCGCTGCTTTGGATTATCTGAAAAAACTCGTATATCGTGCTGCAGGAGAGGAAGGACTGGCAGAGAATGTCGTTCCAGCACCGGGCGTCACCCACTTCCCAGGACAAGCCCAAGGGGAGCCGCAACATATCCTCCAGGACACTCTAAAACAATTCACCTACCGGACCGAGTACCACGAGATCTCCTGCATCGACACAACTGGCCAAGCATTTGCCATCTACCTGAACCTCATTTACCTTGCTCCTCTAACGGGTCTCTTCGTCCGATTCTTCGTCAAATCTTACATTCGCCGAACCGGCGCCACCACCAAGCACCAAACCAAGAAACGTGCCCTTTCAAAATCAGCCTCTGACGCTATCCACGGTGTCGATCGCGAGATCGAATCTCTTGGCAAGTCGGCCGAGGATGGACTCCAGAAGGCAATCAAGGCAGCAAAGAACAACGTTCGCGGCAGGCCCATCAAACAAACCACCCTCAATAGGGATGGCTCACTCTCACCAGCAAACAAGAAATTTGTCGAATCCTTCAACCGACGCGTCTCACAGACCCTGGCGGAGATCGGCGAAGATGGCCACGCTGATTCGGTCAGGAAGGCCAAAGAGATCGCGAAGGAGGTTGTTGAGCGCGCTTCCTCCAGGGCCTCCACACCCAAGAGCGCTAGGTCCATGAGCCCAGAGGCTAGCGCCTAGATTGCTAGTGTGAGGCCAGTATACTTGTTCTTTTTCTTCTCCCTTTTCATCGCCCCTTTACTGGGTTTAGACGGAAAAGTTTTTTTTGTTTGTTTTTTGCTTGGGTAGCTCGGCTACTTTTTTGCCTGGCTTAATGCATAGCGCGGCTGGCATTATAGATACACTCTCTTGTAGGAATACAAACGTTGAAATCATTAACTGGGTGCTGGAATTTGGTGTGAGTGAAGCGGAATTTTTCTCGATCGCTGTTTACTGATAAATATTGCTAAAGCGATGTATAGATTGTAATCTAGTCAACTATTGTATTGCAACTAGCATAGTGCAAGTGTAAGTCTTGTTAATAAAAATGAATCCAACACCCTTAGACCCTATGTGGCAGAGCATCGGGTGGCTACTATTATACTAACTACCCCCCCTTACTTTATGCTAGTTGAGTGAATTGTCTTCTTAAAACTGCTTTTTTCACAATCTTGCTTTGTTATTTTCGGTAGGGTATTGCTATAGTATTACCTCTGATTAAGATTCTGGAAGTATAAGACAACTGCTTAAATATATCTACTTAACACCTTAGAAGTCTACGGTATAGAGTGTAGGAATAATAGTTGATTCACAAACTGTTTGCCTGGTTTGAATAGCAAGCGAGCATGTTCTAACGTACTACTTTGTTTTAAAAGCTATCTCATTGCATTTGGTCATAGGAATATTGTCCGATCTTCCACCACCAAATTCTATAATCACAGCAGACACCTCTATTGCATCTGCTTGGGACTGGAGCGGGCCACATAGTCCCTTACACCCTATGAGTACTCTTCCACTAGGCCACTTGCTGGACTTTTGTTACTCAGTAAATATGCTTTCCTCCAGCTTCCCTATGACAGACGTGATGACTATCCCTAACGAATACTCCCCTCAACATCCCACTCACTCCTCGCCAACAGTCTACCACCACTACCACCACCACTCTCGGCTCCCCCGATTACCCCACCACCTCGGCTACCACTAGTCCTCTTCCTTCCCCCAATCCCTCCACCTCCAACGGACTTCCTTCCACCAACCACTACCCTACTCTCACTCTCCCTCCCTTGCCCTCCCTCATTATCCCGTGCAAAGATCTGCAGACCTCGTAGGTGCGTGTCCTTTCCGTTTTGGTGGTTCTCCAGAATCTTGATTTGTACGAGATGGGCGCGAAGGACGGGGAGTTTGGGTTTCTTTTTGCGGGAGAGGCGGGGGAAGGGTGTTGTGTTTACGGAGGGGAGAGGGTGGAGGGGGGCGCGAGGATGGGGACGGATTGAGGATGGGTTGACATTAGGGTTGGGAATTTGTTGGTGGACGTGTTGGGGGGAGTGATGGGGGACGGTGGGAGGGAGCTGGAGAGGAGGTGTTGGACCTGGAGCTGTGGGTGTGTCGATGGCCATGGGGTCGCCACGGGTTGCCCCCGCTATTGCTATTCCTGGACCATTTATTACGGGCGTGTTGGTAGGTTGCGTATTCTCGGAGTCCGATATATCGTCATTAAGCGCAAGTTCGAGGTCTGGCAACCGCCCTATGACCCCGCCTTCACTTCCGTCATCCTCACCATCAAACCCCCCTTCTCCATCCTCATCCTCAGAATCCTCGCCTTCATCCTCTACATCTCCCACGCCCGAAAAATCCGCCCACACCCACCCCCTCGGCTGCTCCAACCTCATCTCGCCCCACTCCACAAGATCATTTCCACCACTCCCCGCTAAAAATACAATCCTCGTCGGTGTATAACTCTCATCGGCATCGAAATCCAGATACAATCTCAAACCCACAATGCGCACCAGTTTGAAGAAGTGGATGTTGAGATAATGCGGTTGCGGACCGTCGGATTGCCAGAATAGGGAGTTCGAGGGCGAGCGCAGTTGCGGGATGGAACAACCGGGTTTGTTGGATGAGACGGTCCAGGAGGCGAGGTTGGAGATTTCGCGGAGGTTGGGCGGGATTGGGTCGTTGTGGGTGGATGGGGCAGTGGAGTGGGTTGGAGAGACTGGAGAGGGTTTAGTTGAGGGTTGAGAGGGAGAGGAGGGAAAACAAGGGATGGAAAGCGCTGTATGGTAAAAGAAAAGGACTTAAATATGGCGGAGGGGTGGAAGTGCAAACCATAAGTTCTTTTTGAACGATATAAGAACGTGCAAACGAATATGAAGATGAGACAGGTGTTGACTAGAGAAATGAAGCTGAAAACACGTGCCTAAGGCAGACAATCGCTGCCCATGCGTCGAGGCGAATACAAGCAATTAATAGATAAAGTTGGACAAGCACCCAAACAAAAAAAGCAAACGAAAATGTCCCCGAAGCATACATCAGGTAGGTGCAAATCAGGAAATTGAAGTGCATAACAAACCGTGCACTCACCTAGTGGCTCCTCCTCGTCATCATCTTCATCCTCTTCTTCCGCTTCAACCCCAGCCAGCTCGTCTCCAATTACTTCCTCTTCATCCTCTCGAACACCCTGATCGTCCGCCTCATCGCTGTCAGAAACTGGAACTGCGTAGTGCTGATGTGGTGAAGGCTGGCCGCGTCGACGTAATGTTGGTGGCATGATTGCCGCTTCAGGGAGTGTTTGGTGGGGGAGTTGACCTGGGTAGTCCGGCGAAGGTCACGGGATCCACCCCAGGGCTGACTTCGGGACGCAAGGATTGCAAATGAAGCGAAGCTCTGAGTGTTTCAAAGGACCCCGAAAGAGAGTCGTAGATATCCAAGCACGAGGAAATAACGGTTGGAGGTCACAATTCCGATTGAGGCAACAGGCGGGTAGATGCTGCTGTGATATTAAACTCTTGATGGTGATTGGCAAAATCTTTCGGGAGGATAACGAATTGTGAGCAGAAGGGTGAAACGTGCTACAAGCCCGAAGCGCTCAACGTAATACTCGGCGCGCGTTTAGTTGAGACGAGAAGTTGTATCTCTTCTTTTGCTCGTTTGTTGGAGGTTCCTGTCGCGGAGGGTTCAAGCAGTGTAGGCCCGAGCTTTCGGGAGCTTCCTTAGATTCCGCGGTCCTTAATTGTGGTGTCAAGTGTGTGGTCGGTGCGGGACAGGGATAAACAAAGGCTATTGCTGAATACTTTCACCAATGGATGATTGTTATCTTGCTGATTCATCTTACTCTTACTCTGTGCATTTGTTTAAAACAAGCATATGAGGGTTTTGGAAGCGTCCGTCACCGCACAGTCACTCAACATCCTCCACTTCCATCTAACTAACATATGACCACAACGATGCATCATGTTTGAACTGTCTCAACCTCAGTTCAAGTTTTCCGCATTCCTCCACTGGTTCCCGGCTACCTTCTTTCGTCCATGTCTTATAAATACGGGTCGCTCAGAGGCGTAATGCATTACAGAAGTCGAGACCACTCAATGGCCGAACAAATGATAGGTCATGGGCATTTACCACTCTTTGCTTTTCGGCCCCCCTCGAGAATTCCCTATGTCATCATCAGCTGCACCTAAGGCTGGGTTTGGAGGCATCCGCCGATCTCGCAATGCACAACAGGCCCCTTGCCGCCGAGCTGGATGCATTCCATCCCATCGTTGGCAACGACGAAACCACATGTTGCACCAAGCAAAAGAAAGCCACACCCAATGGCCGACCAGAGGGGTTTTGTATTATTCGTCCCATCAGACCGAGGAACTACGTCTGTGGTAGAACCACAGTTTCCCTTGGGCGCTCAGCCACCCGCTTTTAAGTCTCATTCTTTTCTTCAACTTCAACTCCAATCTCGATTGCTTCCCGTCCATGCAGCATAGCCACATCAATTCTCCCCAAAATTTCCGGCCCCCAAAACCTGTTGAGAATGGCCCAGCACGATGATAATTCACTGGCTTCCCGTGGAAGACAACAGGCAAACGTCGCAATAGCCTTCCTTGTTCTCGCGTGGGTTTTTGTTGCATTGCGAGTATGGACACGAATCTATGTTATTGCCAACTTCGGTTGGGACGACCGAACAATGATTCTCGCCACCGTATGAATTACCAACCTATTTGATTGTCTATAGCACTTCATTTACGCATATACCTCTAGATGATATTCACTGTCTATTGCGCGGCAATGTTTTTTCTCGAGGCCCACGGTGGAGGGACTCATGTAACGAGCGTGGCTCAAATGATTAAGCTTATCAAGGCGAGTATCACATTCCATTGCTATTCTCCATAACAACATGGCTTACTTGGAGACAGTGGACTATTGTTGGAGAAGCTACATACCTTCTCACAATCCTCGTGCTTAAAATCTCCCTGGGCATATTCTTTTCGCGCATTATCGTTAAGCGCTGGCAAGCTGGGACAATCTGGATTACCGTTGGTATTAGCATTCTCTCCGGTACTTCCTCGCTATTCTACGTCTTTTTCAGATGCGGCGCCAACCTAAATCACTACGTCTACCGCCAGCTGGAAAACAAATGCACCTCACGAGGACTAGATCGATTCTTTGCCTATCAGCAGGCCTCATTTACTACACTTACGGACTGCATATTTGCAACACTTCCCATATTCATTCTGTGGAATTCTGGGATGGACACACGTTCGAAAATATCAGTTGGACTCATTCTCTCCCTAGCTGCGCTGTAAGAAATCATTTTAAGCCGAAAGGCCTTTCTGACAACAGAGTAGTGGCTGCATATGCTCTATCATTCGCTTCCAGTATGTGGATGGTCTGACACAAATCGAAGACTTCTACTGTAAGCGTATTCCCAGTGGTGGAGGATTTTGGTTTAGTGACCGTTTCCAGGGAACGCCACGAACGTTGCAATATGGTCCACGGTAGAGCCTGGGTCAGGCATTGTAGCAGGTTGTCTTGCGACGCTCCGGCCGTTCTTGAAGCGATTCATTACTACAGCACGATCAGTACGATCAGCGACGGCCAAGCAACTCTCCCGCTCCCTTCGATCAAGTGAACCTGGCTCGGACTCAAAATGTCCCACTGAAAGCAATATGAACCACACAGCCGCTAATAGGTCGTGCCGAAACACAAACGACGCATTTTCCAAGCATGGGGAATCTTTCGAATTGAAGTCAGAAGCGAACAGAAAAGATGGTGAGAGCACAGATTACATCCTCACTCAAACAGACGAGTTTGATGGGTCGTGGGCAGCACAACAATCTCGCGGCAACCTCGCTCTGGACCGACGAAGCACACGAACAAGTGGAGGACTGAGTGGCACACACTCCATGGACCCACTTTGGCCCCCAATTCCGACTCAGGGCACCTCTAACGACGAGATCGTCTGAAACTCGACCGACTTTCCACCTATCAGCTCTGGTTTAGCATCTACAGGATCACCACAATACACACCATAATAGCATTATCCGGCACTTCTAGCCCCAGACTTTAGCTCTACATATGGTGTTTCAAGGCTGCCCAGAATGGCTCGCATACCGAACTCGTTTCTTCCTGCATGACTACCCGTTGTACGTTGTGTCCAATCACAAATACCATGGCCGATATCCTTCGAGAGAACAAGGACTTGACATCTCTATTCTTGGGTTTTAGGCGCCACATATTTGCTTTTTAGTTTGTCGGCGCCCGTATTACCCCGCCGTTTTTTGCTGCCTGCAATACACAGCATGGCCAAATGACTCAACACCCTGAGCTTTAATGCTTCAGACCCCAAATTTGAGACTTGCAGATGGTCGATACGGGGATACTGCGGAGCAATGCAAGATCTTAGTGTCTGAAAGGATGGGATTTATGGGACCGGGCAGGCTGTTTGCTTCTCTTCTGCATGAGATACCATTTACTTTTTGTTCACGTTCTGTCATCACAATTGCTTCCTCTTGTCACTAACTGATCTATTGATCTTGCGGCCTGAATTTCTAAAATAGTTCGTATATTTGTACGGCATGTTACACTTACCACCGAATGCTTACAAAGGGGTTTGGGTCATTACCTTGCAAGCAGAACAAGGCGGACTACCAGAAGGTGCAGACTCCTCCACTAAAACGCACTTTTGACATTATATCGGATGGGTTAGCATTCAGTTGAGTTTACGTTGCTAAATCTCGTGTAATACGTACGCTTTGGGCAATATTTGTCAACTCGAAACATCTCCTCGTGCCTCTCGTACTACTTTCCTTCTAAGCTAAATGCCCACTTTTCTAATTCTATAAACTGTTCCTTCATCGGTACTTCTTCTCAAGTTCGGCTCTCGGCATCCACACATGTTTGTTTTTCGTCACACTACTCTGCATGAGCCACTGTTATCAACCCTTCGCCTCAAATAAATCCCACGGTCCCCACTAATACACCTTGTCCGCCGCCGATCGACTGACAAGCTGAAAGTCCCCCCCGGTCCAATGTCCCAGCTTGTTTAGACCCCAGTGTCCTCCAAAATACGAGCAGAAACATCATTCTATTTCTGCATGCCCGCTGACAAGGTTCAAGGTCTCTGTATCATATCCAGGCCTAAAGCATTTGACCAACTTCTCAGCCAGCATTCGCAATCGCCAATCTGGAAGCAAGAACCGACATAATCGATCGACCTGTCAGGGCTAATTCGGAATAGTATACAACGCAACACAGTGCATGTGCACGCGCTTGGATTGCTGCAGGGAGAATCAAAAGTGTAATCTGCCCCACCATTGCGATGTTGGCGTTCCGAGCTGTCAGAGTTGGCTGCTATGCCCAGGTAAAGGCAGGCGGAGAGGGATCTTCCGGAGAGGGATCGCAAAATGGATGGTGTGTGGGAAACGTCGGTATGGAGCAAGATCGACCTTGTGAAGCCTACTAAGACAAGGTGAAAAGCATTCTCTAGTTTGCGAGCACAACTCTAGCATATCTCCGAATGCGAATGCGATATCGAGCTTCACATCGCTCCACGAAGGATCACTTGTACTTCCAACAGTCGACAAGACGAGATTTGTGCCATGCTGATAATTCGCACGATCCTCAAATCTCCAACAACGGGTGTGCTCCACGACCATACAGCTTTGTGGAGTATCTTCGGTGAGATTCCTCCTAGTACGGTTCTGTGGAAAGCATCAGGTACTTTTATTTCCACCTCAGGGTTGTGTCGAAGCCACTCGGCCAGGATAAAACGAATCATTCTCCAGTACTTGCCCTTCAGATGCCCACACATCTTGATGTCTACGCCAAGCTGGAAGCCTGGACGGTAGGCGCCGTTGCAAGGATTTTTGCGAAGGATCGAGTACAGAGTAACAATATAATATAAGTAGATGGAACAAGGTACACACAAGAGCATGGATCAGGGCCATCTGTGTTCCAACTTGCCACGTGCATACATTCTCCAGCCCCCTAGTTGCTTCAGAAGGTAGATACCGACTTGGAGCTTCGCCTTGTAGTGAGGATGCCCACCACACATCCCGAAAAATTGCCTGACCTTATTGTAGTATGATCTCGAGATCGACTGCTATTCACAATGGTGGCAAAAACGAACGATCCAAAATCCGCAACCCACTAAAGAGGATAATTAAGGAATCTATGTCATCTAGTCTTCACGGCATAGGTAGCCACACCGCAACCCTCTCCCCCTACGGGAACGTCTATCTCTCGAGCTTCAACCATTCGCTACCAAGTGTTATTCGTTTCCAGCCTCCCAAACGCCATCGTCTCCATCGTCAGCGCAAATCTTCTTAACGGCATCAAGCCAGTCGCTAGCTAATACAGTAGTAGCACCGCCACCTGGGGTCCAATCATCCATAACAACTTCTTCGCCAGCAACCCCTCCTCCCACGGCTAGTACTAGTCCTTCAACACATCCAAGAGACTTCTAGGTTGATGCGATCCGTGGCTTGACTCCGGGCCATTGGAGCATGCTTCAGAAATATACCACGTCGCCTTCGTCACATATCAAGGACATCCTCATAGATGCCTCGCAAGCTACGTAAGTCAGGCGCAACGATGTTGAAAGAAATATAAAATTATTGCGATGGGAAGACAAATCAAAGTGCACGCAAAGGCAGAAATAATAGTCAAATAGCTTGACAGATTCAAATAAGTAGGGGATGCGACGGTCAATGCTATTCCAATACACGTTGGGCTGCCTTGCGCAGCTATTCGACTACTTTGAATACGATATGTTTTTCTCTTCATGACGTGGGAAGTTGACACACAGCGTAGACTGCCGTTTCGGACCAAGTGCAACTTAACGCGCAGTTCTTAAGATCAGAGCAAGTCATATATACCATTCACAGATACGTGGTTTATTTCGCCCCCTACCTGCAGATCACGAAACCATGCCCAGCCTTGTGCAACCAATCGTCAAGACGTTATTAGAGAGTCTGTATGAGTTGATATGAAAAGTACTAACCCAAGGCCTCAAAGTCTTGGCCAAGAAGGCAATTGGGCGGACTATGTTTTCAATATGGAAACTGGAAGGGATATTTTCATTCGCCGAAAGTTGCCAAAAGATCGAGACTCGCGTCGAAACGGAAATAGAGAACATAGAGCGCACACTTCATCACCAGGACCAACCAGATTTAACTCGAAAGCCTAACAATTTAGTAAAAGAGCTCCGGGAAGTCGGGGCCAAGCGACCAACGGCCGAAATTTTAGGCTCCAGATGGGAGGTGTTCGGAAATACCAGAAGAACGAGAAGAGGGCTGTATTACTGTGCTGGGTTTCGGACATTCCTTTTGATGATGATCATACAACTGCTATCAAGAATTGCAAGCCTGATACCGGACAATTACTTCTGCAGCCTAGCCGATATGAAGGTTGGGAGAGTCCTCAGTTGCCAATGATCCTTTGACTTCACAGCATTCGTAAGCCACATCCCTAATCTCGTAATGCAATTCTAACGAATGCTGTGAGCTAATGCGAGAAGTCGTAACTCGTCACTTGCGCCCTAGACCATCGTATGCAGAGCGCGATGCACCCTGCTCTAGCGTTCTTCTACCATAACCGTGATGAGGCATTACAACGTAGCGTAGAGGGGGTCCTTCGTAGCTTTGTTATGAAATTGGCAGTCTTGTCAACGAAGGGCGACAGGCTGCTTCAAGGTCTCTTGAAGGCCTAGACGGGAACAAGTAGTCTGGCTTTGCATCTGCTAAGCTAACCCTTGAGGTGCCGAGAATGCTCCTCACCGAGATTTCTTCAAGCCTTCCCCGTTGCAAACCTAGCACTTGACGCACCAGATGAACGCAACGAAGACAGCTGGTCAATCTTAATCGACTTTTTCTATGAACTGGTTTAGTCATTTCCGGCAATAGTGTAAAGATCTTCATCTCGAGTCGCCACAACGGCAACAGTAAAAGACAGTTGAGTCAAGTAGAGAGCGTTAGTGTCGAGCAACGAACGACGGGGACTAGATAAGCAAATTCGTTATCGAAATAATTGACCATGACCATCAACTGGCACAGAAACACTAATCTCTAATGTTGTGAAAAAAGAAGTAACGATGCATTGCTCGAGAAGAGTTAGGGAGTGTCAGAGCATTAGTTTTATTCATTGTCTCCAAAGAACTGGCCTTCTATAAATTCCAATAGGCAACTTTACAGATTGGTCAGCTGTTGAGATTTGAAAGAAAACACGACGTACGGTTACGTCTCGGCAAACTCCCGAAATATCTAAAGGAAGCTTATGATCCCTCTTGGTGTCGATTCGTGCTCAAGAAAGGAGCGAATCAGAAATTAGAATTGGGGAAGTTCCATGAATTACTTCGTCCTTCTCGCCCCTAAAGATTGACACCCTCACTCAAGCAGTGTGCAATAACGGTAGCAAGGGCGACTTTGGCTATGACATTGCTGAGGTGGAGTTGTTTCTTAACGCGTGCTAGAATCTCGGAGTCTTGGATGCTGAGGATCACTGCCAGTTCTCACACTTACCTCTGGAGGGGTACTTTTAAAATCATTCCCCATGGGCTATTCAAAAAACTCATCAGTTGATAGGTAATATTTGCGTGAGTACATTACTACCGAACAGCGCCGAGTGCCTACGGCTCAATCCACTCTTTCGTTACGCCGTGAAGTGTGGACGAAGTGGGTGTTGTCGATGCCATTATACTTCTACTTGCAAGGGAGGACAGATGTGAATGACATGCCTATGGGGAGAATCACCTTGCTAAAGGTGGCAGCTAGGCAGGGACACAAGGAGATTCTGAATTTGCAGTGCAGGGGTGACGCAGACGCGAACAAGAAGATGGAGAATACTGGTAGTGGATTGGCCGGGTTAGTGTATTAACGGAAAGCGGACGCAGCCAAGTTGCTTTGCAAGATTTTGGCTGGTGCGGACATGAAGACAAAGGGGCATGGTAGCGGATTGTGTCGCGTGACAATTGACGTGGAATTGGATATATTATCAAGTTACTTATCGACAAGAGCACTGATATGAACTTGGGGACTTGTCACTCATCTGTTTCATTACTTGCCTCTTTACCTCCATTCCCCATCTCTCCTGCTTCCAATGCTTTTCGGCATTTATGCGCTATAATCTCTTAATTCAAGATGACGCAGTACCCGCCCCTTTTTGCTCGGTACAATCTATACCTTTCGTTTAAACATAGCCTTAGTAATACGATCTGTAAAAAAGTCCTAAATAGTGAGGCAGCAGAAATCAACCTGGGCTTTAAACTGTGCTACCAGCCTTCAAAATATGTTGCAATCTAGTCCGGTAATACTCGAGGGAGGAGGAAATGAAGTATCTTGTATGGAATAGCAAAGCTTGAGTAGTTGTTGTGTTTGGAATAATTAACATAGGTGACCAAATAAAAAAAATACTTACTAGAGGGGAGTTATTTGGGTGGGGGTGGAATTAAGCATAACCAATGTAGATCTGAGAGCAATGGAACATCGACATCGTTTTCTAGTTATCCACAGATAGCCTTGTTGACACGATAACATAACAGCATTGCCTGACGTTCAAACTCCAGCACCCCGTTACTGACCCCTTAGAAGTATCTCCACCGCAGCTACAGCTACACTTAAGCTTTCCCCATCCCAAGCATACTGTTCAATGCGATCCTTCAGCTTTTGAGCTCTTCTGCTCAACTCCTCCTGCCCATCACCCCCCATATTCTCCTCTGCCTTTTCCAACACCTGCTTGGCTTCCATTACACTTTCCCAGAATCGCTGGGGCTCCGTCGCATATCTCGTATCTTCAATTGGCTTCGAAAACCTGAGGTGGTTGAACGGGAGAGAAGTGAGCAAGTCGTCCATGAGCTTCCAACGCTTTCCTTGAAGGTCGATAGGGAAGCGCACGAGAAGATCGTCTTCAGAAATGAACCCATTGTTTGTCACGACGCTATTGTACCAATGGGCGGGTTGGTAGAGCGCTTTTTCTTGGTATGGGTGTTCTTTGAGAATAACCTGGAGAATCGAGTCCGAAGGGTCGACGCCCGATTCACTTAATACAGGCTGTAGGAAGGAGGATAGCGCTCTCGTGAGGATTTGAAGCGAGCTCTCGGAAACGCGGATGAAGAAAGTTGAGGTTGATATTGCTTTGCCATCCGGCTTCGCTAAGATCAAAGTGACGTCGTCGAAGATATCTTCCGTCGGCGGTAGAAAGACACGTAGAGGAACCCGAGAATTGAGAAGAACGACTGAAGGCTCGAAGTACCTATATGACAGAAACAAGTCAGCTCAGGACAGGGGAATTGCAGAGGAGGGAGCCAAGGCAGACATTATCCAGTCAACCCTATCCTCAGCTGATTTCCGCAGTTCGTTTGTTACGAGACTCTGTAGCCAAAGCCACTTGCCCCAAATGTCTTTCGTGATTTGGTGGCGGAGGATGTGCATCTCATAGCCATGCAGCTTATTGTGCTGGGCATGCGAATCGAGCGCTTTCTCGTAAACAAAGTTCTTCTGTCCATAGAGAATCGTTGCCTTCGCAACCCGTACGTCCCGCACTGGCTTGGTGGTATTTAACGTGACTGGTGTGAAGATGGTAGGAAAAGCTGAGGTAGAAGGAGAGGTGATGTGAGCTGGTTTGATATAATAGCTGGAGGCCACGAGCAAGAGAGCGAGTGCCAGAATCTGCAAGCGGAATCTGTGAAGGAAAGAGTGTCTGAAAGAATGAGAAATGCATATCATCATTCTTGCCATGCCGGAGTTAGTAAGAACGTGTTGTTAGCCTTCAATCGTGAAGAGACGTGTTAGAATTCCCAAATGAAATTTGTTGTATCACTAGCAGATGGTACAATCTAGACCCGGTATTGCTGTGTGTGAGTGAAGGTACAGTGGTGGAGTTTGAGGTACATACAATTACGCTTGTCTGAGAGAGACTTAGCGCGGGTAGTCCTTATCTTATCAAAGCCACTCCACCTCGCCAACATCTCTTCTTGCTGGAAAAGACTGAAGAACAACTGTCAGCGCAGTGGTGGGTGATAAAGCTCGAAGATGGAGGGAAGGGTGAGAATTCTCTGCCCTTTGGATTATTCTAAAGTCCTCCTTCATTCTCATACGTTGTCTTGTCTGTTGCTCTCTGAAAACAAAGCTTCAACATATTTGACGACCCCGTCAGTCGCATCTTCAGCCTCGACAATTCCAATAGCCGTCTAGCCCTGCTGAGAAAACATTTTGGTTTGTCGAGGGAGGATTCCGGTTGTACAATTCCTTCCCACCTTGCCCATGTCACTCAACTTCAACAATCCCGATACCTAGCTAGCCACCCTTCCCTTCGTGCAACACACTTGACACACCTTCCCACCACCAAACCTCACCTCTCTCAAACAAATTCCATATCTTCGACATTCAAATCCTCGGTCATATACTCTTCCGTCGTGTTTGAAATCGGCCTCGGTCGATCGCCAAACAGCCACTTGATCTCCGAAACACGCCTTGTTGCAAAACACCCCAAAAACAACCCTGCGATAGGCTCGCCATGCAGAGGAGGTTTTTACCAAGTGTTTTGAGAACAGAGTGGCCGAGGTAGCGCTAATTGTGATGTATTTTTGTAGCACGGAATGGGTGGGGACCGACAGCTAGTGTGAGGATGGATAAGGGTACGAGAGTACAAAAGGTGGGAGTGCCCACCTAGATGGACAATTGATTGATGTGATGGCGATTTCGACCCGAAACAGTGGCCTCGAATTTCGAGCAAACTATACTTGTGCTCTTATTAGGCATCGAGTTTTAGCCTCTCTTTTCAGGATCCTTTTCACTGCGGTTACTACAGTCATCCAGCACCTCAGTGGACTTGGATAAAGCCTTGATGAAGCGAGATCAGGAGTGTGTTACCTGTATCTCACCTCCATGGCTGTTCCATTACACTTGACGGTCAGCTGAGATCTTCCACTTGCAGTTCAAGCAAGTTTTTCCGGCGTCGGTGAGTGCTATGCCTTCTTCTTGTCCAACCATCTCTCTCCAATGCAAGTTTCACCTGTCACTTCCACACACTCACATCTCCTTCAAAATATGCATTAGCAAGATTAACAATGCAAATATATTTCCTATTCCGTTTTTCCATCTATGCAACCTGTCACATCTTCAGCCAAGCCAAGCATGACACGAAAGGGTCTTTCATAATTCCTTCATTCTCCGAACCAGTCAGGAGCTGGCATTCACCCTACCACACAACAAAGTTGCTATCCAATACCGCCCGAACCATGACAGAAGCCAAACGCCACCAGAGGGCATGAGCATGCACATGCACCTATCAAGAATGAGAACACTTGGACAATGAAGAAAAGCGAGGAAATCTAGAGAAACGACATTTGAGGGTATCTGCTATCATCTCTGCACCAACCTCAGATCACAGAACGCATACTTCCATCTGCAGTGGAATCGCAATGTCGGTTGTCGCTTAGTTCTTCCCTCCCTTGGCCACCTCTCCGATCTGCTGAGCAGCCGCCTGGTTGGCCTCGTTGTTCTGGTTAACGTTCTCAACGTTTTGTGCGTCCTGGAGCTCCGCCTGCCACGCCGCGGCAATGCTGGCAGCAGGGTCCTCAACCACAGATGACCAGGTTGGCTTGTCACCAAAAAGCTGAACGCCAGCAGTGGCAGTCGGGATGGCGGTAACGGTTCCGTTTGAGGGGATTTCGCCCGCGACGGGGGCGTTAGTGGGAGAGGCGACACCGCCGATACCACCACCGAAGCCATTGTTGCCACCGAAGCCGTTGTTACCACCGAAGCCGTTGCGGCCGTTGATGACGTTAGTTGCAATGAGAACTTCGGATTGGAAGACTAGATGATGTAAGTATTGCGTTGGGAGGGGAGGTAGGTCAAGACTCACTCATGACAGTCTCGCTCTGGCGACGGCCACGGTTGGCAACAACAGCCGACTGAGCAAACACAGACTGACTGAAGAAATTGCCTTCGCCATCATCAACCGCAACCTGGATTTCCTGGACAACCAACATGACCGTGCTGACATCGTTTCGGTTATTCCTGAAGTTGGACTTTCGGGCCAAGTCGTTAAAGCCATTGCGGCCGTTGTTCTGGTTGATGACCAGAACCTGTTCCACTTGCTGAACGATGGCTTGCTCGCGGCCGTTGTCGACGATCTGGAGGTTCTCCTTCTGCACTTGGATGACCTGCTCGTTATTGAAGTTGTTGAAGTTGTTGAATTGGTCAAAGAAGTTGAAGTTGTCATTGTTGCTGATGTCGTTGAACTGGTTACCGAAGCCGTTGCCAAACCCGTCGTTCCCACGCTTGGCGGGGGTCACATCGGTGCTCCGTCGGTAGGCGGGGAGTTCCTCAGGCGTACGGGGAGCCTTGACGGGCGAAGCGGCTGCGTATAGTCATCAGTAAACCGTCCAATCTTGACTAATGTTAATGTCAGACGTACCAGCGAAACCAGTCGCGAGGGCCAACACGGCACAGTTCTTGAAAAACATCTTGTCGAGTGAAGGAGGTATAAACCCAGTTAATACAAAAGAAGGGATTAGAAAGGTAACAAATTAACTAAACGTCACAGACGTAAATAAAGAACGTTGCTTCAAGAGTAAATTTGTCAAAGGAGAGACCGGCAAGTAGACAACAAGCAGACTATCAAAGTCGCGAAGAAAAGAAGGTATTAACTGGGTTGAAGGAGGGAAGGTTAGAAGGAAGGTGGGTAAAGTCTTTCAGCGAAGACTACTAAAGACTGTGATGGTGGTGAGTGAGGAAGAAGCGAAACCAGGAAGCGACACCACCATCAGCTTATATTCCGAATTCCTGAGATTGGAGGCTGCCCGGCACCAAGGCCCCTGTTTGCCTCATCCTCAGCCCCAAGGCGACTGTCTTGCTGCGACCCAAAGGTTTGCACACGCCTGTAAACCTGGGCATCTGTCATGCCATCCGGCCACTTGCAGACCCGTCTTGGCTAAGCTTTTGGATGGACAGCTAAAACGGCTGCCAAGAGTGCTTCGAACTACAGGGCTTGCTGGAGCCGCGCTATCAGATTGGTCTGCTGGGGCCTACCGTCTGCGGAGAGTTGTATCCCGCATCTCTTGCCAAGAGACGTGTGCGCGGATCACCTGCTCGCCACCTCGCTCACACGCCCAAATCGGACTGACAGGGGGCATCAAGAGCGAGAATTTGTAATGTCGAGACTTGAATGGCTTCACTTGAGACGGAGTGACCTACATACTGGAGTACGTTGGGAGGATTGGGTATGGTGTTGAGGGTTACGCGAGACGGTGCTGAAACCCCTGTTGTGTGGGTTGAAGGAATCTGTGACTTGCAGCGACCCCCGACTGTCCAAATAAGCTTATATGTCCATGCACTAAGTTCATGCTGCATCATTCGGAACCGTGCCGTTCCTTTTTGATATTTTCCACCGAGCACGTTTTGCGCCTAGCTGCCCTAGTAACAGGCCTGTAGCACATCATGGAGGATGCTGAGCACATCAAAAGTGGCACCATGTTCTAGCTTCAGCACGTTTTAACACGAGACGGTACGCCTTTTCATCCATTCTCCCGTCCCCTAAGTTTTGATTTGCAACGTCCAAGACACAACATCTGGGAAAATGATTTGAAGGAATATTTCAAGAACTTGAATTTGACTCATGTACACGTACTCTTATACCCCATTCGGTAGATGCCGAGTCTGCCATAGACTTCGGAAGAATTGAAAGCCCGCTTAGCAACCCTTAAACGCCTGGAAATGCCAAGTGCTGCGACCGCCATGTTCCCCCGCTACCGACAGGAAGCAATGCTGAAAGGCATCTGGCTCTATGCCATCTAATCCGATTTGATTTGACAGACAAGAGATTACTCCTCGTCTGTATCAGTATCAGTATCGGTATCGCTCTCGGAACCCACGTCTCCTTCTGTATCGCTTCCATCGCTTGAGTCGTCATCCTGAGGCCTTCGTTTCTTCGGTTTGGAAGCCCCAGGAATGCCGCCTGACTTGAGTGTTCGCATTTGGCCGGCAATGGTATCTACAAACAAGATTAGTCAGTCTTCTCATTTCAATTCTATATTTGGAATGTGATCGGGACTCACCATCATCCGGTTCACTGATCTCATCTTCCTCCTCCATTTCCTCGGCCTTACTCGCCTCCTCGACCAAAAGAGTAACCTCCATCTTGGTATCCATGCCGATGTAGCTATCGCAAATCATGTGCATGACAAACGTGTAACTGCCGGCCTGGGGTGGAGCTCCGAATTGCATGTTCAGCGTCTGCATGTTGAACGTGGGCTTACCACTTTCGTCGAGAATTGGCTTATTGAAGGTTGAGAAGGTGAATGGAGGCACGGCAATTTTGCCTTGCTTGCTGTCTGCTAGGAATACATGCCATCGGGGAGCATGGTTGCGAGCAAAGTACGGCCCATGAGCTAGAGGAGGTTGAATGGGCTTCTCGTTTTCCTTGTCATCCTTGCGTCCTTTGAGGGCGGTGAGATCACCTTCCTCGGGATCAACATCTTCCAGATCCGACTCTTCAATAGCGGGAACATTAACGGTACCAGGTGGGATGAATCTTGCCTTGACGATGAACTGCACCAAGGAACTTGGGGTAATGAAACGCTCGCCTATGACTTTGAAGAACGCCTTCTCCACGTGCAAAACAGGCAGCTGCGACACAAGAGACATCGCATTCTTGTATTGAGCTTCGCTGAGTAGACCAGGTGCGACAACACGGGCCTTCCGTTGACCCGCAGGGATTCGCATGAATTCCTGAATAGCAATGTGGGTCCTCGATCGGTCTGCCTCCGCAGCTTTAGCGACTGCAGGAGTGAAATAAGGAAGTTGTTCTAGAGGAGATGCGCCTGGTCTTAGAGCTTGAATTAGGTTCTGTGAGGTGTGGTAGGCTGAGAGAACAGCTTTTGTGTTGCCATAGGCGAGGGCCATCGCTGTATAGGCCTCGTTCAACGTAAGGGCAATTGGAGCAACTTCAAACTTTTCGTCGTTGAGGATTGGGTCGTTGAGCTCGATGCGACATAGGTAGGCCCACAACAGAGACAGGACCTTCCTCCGAGCGCTATCATCCAAATCCTCGAGCTTTTGGCGATCCTTCTTCGTCAAGACGCCATTGACGGGCGCATCGACTCCATCCGCCAAGACCTTCTGTTCGAGTTTCGATAAGCCATTATCTGCTTTATGCCCTTTCAGAACTTCGTTGAACTCTTCTCCGCTGCTCAGGACGCCGATGACTCCGCTGTCGCTGTGGTCGTTGTCGTATTCGCGGAAGAGCTTCCCAGCACTTGCGACCAAGATCTTTTCTTTGGTTACCCTTTGTATTCCATACCACCATCGGCCAACAGTGTAGGGCAAAAGGACACCCAGCGCCAGGGCATACAAAAGCAGGACGTATGTGCCGTGCCCTTCGGTCACGATCCACTTCGGCAGGGCGATTCCAATGCTAAAGCTTTGCTTTCCGTCGGGGTGGCCGTATTGGAGGTAGTTGTTTCGGATTTCCTCGTCCGTGAGAGCCTTGAATGCCTTTGTAACCTCGACCCAGTGATCGTTGATAGATTCCTTCGTAATGTTATTTGCGGGATCTTCGCGGGCCTTGTCGGGATGTGCGACGAGGGACAGTTTGCGGTAGTACTTCTTGATCTCCTTCTCGCTGGCAGACTGTCATTTTATGTTAGCGAATGTTTGAAACGCCGAGGAACGGACGAGTGCACATGCCCTCGAAACACCCAGAACATCATATGGATCCCATATCTTAGGTACTGTCCGTGCCGTGACTGCCATCAAATACACCATCCAAGCTATGATAAGCCATCCCCCGACGCTGAAGAGAAACCGTTTTAGTCGCCGCTCCCGTCGCTTCTGCTTCTTCCGTTGCCCCTCGATGAGATCGGCATGCTCGGGCTTGAAATCTGTTTCTATTCGAGTGGCGGTATTCTCTAGTTCTGCCCAACGGTCAGAAAGGGAAAGTCCATGACTTGTACTCGACCGGGGAACGCACCTTTACTTGGTTTGAGGAGGGAGTATGTAACGGGGATGGTCACTAGACTAGTGATAGTGAGGATGAAGTAGGGAAAGAATTGTCCCTAGAGATAATTAGAATTGAAAAGCCATGCGTCGCAGCCGGCTGCGCACCTGCTCATCGTAGTTGTAGTCTGTCCCAGACATTTTGGACAGTTGCCCCTCGACGGGATGCCGACTCGAGAGGTTGGTTCAGGCAGGGAAAAATTAGAAGCGAGGTGCTGTTGAAGTCGTAGCGCATGCAAATAAATTGGCGAGTTTGGGTATCAAGATGGTGGCATAGCGAGAGGGGAGTTGGCGCTTTAAGAAAGTCAGGGCTCAAAGAAAGTCGTGGTCAATAAAGTTCCCGCAAGGACACATTTCGGGAGGCCATCATGGGGCCTTGGCGTCACGTGGTACTTCGCCACAAGGTAAGCCACTGCAGTGATTGGGGGGATTGAAAAAGTCATCTCTTTGACATTTCTTCCCGCCCCAAAAATAATTCGACAGATCTAGGCATGTGCACGAGTACTAAAAGATACTTGCAACAGGCTGGGGAGAAATTTACACGTGTTCTTGCTTAGCAGAGTTTATGTCTACATATTTTTCTACGCCCTGCGCACTCTGGACCTGCCGTGCTCTGCACTAATGTTTCAACCCAATGCATTCATTGGGAAAGCCCTAGCATTCGTGCCTGGTCAATTCATCATCAGCTCTCACACTTTCCTCCCGAATCAGCCCAATCCCCACACATAGAAGAATGAGCGACCTATTCCTTTGCAGGGAGACAATCATGGTCATATACAGATTTTCCCTGTAGGAATGAAGAACGTTATATTCTTCTGAGTGTTTGCAATGGATTGTAGGCCCTGCTTTCTAAGATGTGCTTATCAGGGAGAACAAACGCGGCTAAGAGATCCAGAAGGATGTCAACTGCGTTGCCATGACCAAGGTAAGCAGTGAGTGCGGGTGGAGAAGCAGGTGCCGAAAGAGCATTGAGGGCACGGGCGAAAGATTTGGAAAGTTGGATGGACGACAGATCAAGAAAGTGATGACCCTTCAACTACTTTCAACAGTTGTCTCTGCAGTGGACGGTGAATTCAGGCCATTGACTCCTCCAGGGCTAGGCATGGCGTCCAAAGGCGCTGCGTGCAGAGCTGGCTTCTGAGCACTCGCCAGGGTTCCTTTCCTTCGTTTCTCTAAGGCATCTCTTACCCAAGTTGCAACCTCCTTGTCCTCTACACCTTCTCCCGACTCCAGCGATCCTTTGGATGCAGTCGATGCAGGTGATTCAGATTCACTCACAGTTGCGATTGCGGCTGCGGCTTCTGCCTCCTCTTCATCTTCCTCGAGAATTGTCTCCGGCATGACAAGGGGTGCAAGCCATGCGTGCTGAAGAAGCATGGCATAAGTTGGCCGAAGGTTGGGAATTTTGTTCAAGCAGCCTCGGACGAAGTTCCTCGCTGCCTCTGAAAACCCTTCTTCGGGAAGGTCAGGAGGTTCACCATCCACAATGGCCTAGTTGCGTTAATTAGATAGCGATGCACATGGAGAGACTGTATGGGACTTACGCTGAGCTGACTGAAGATGTTGTTGTAGGTTTCAGGAGGGTACGGATACCGGCCCATTGCACACTCGATGATAGTGAGACCCAGACTCCAAATGTCACTCTGGACACTATACGTGCCTCCTCCGGGGTTGGCACCAGCTTGAGCGATTCCACCCGAAGAGATTCGCTCCGGTGCCATGTAGCTCTGGCACCCTATGTTTGTCTTGGCAACACTTGCCACGAGATTACCGCTAACTCCGAAATCGCAAATTTTGACTTGACCCTTCGTGTTCATGAGAATATTGGTGGGCTTTACATCTCGGTGGATGATGTTGTGTTCCTCTTTGAGTGACTTGAGACCCATTGTCGTAGCCAGGGTGATCTTCCGCAGAACGTTCTCTGGAATGCCGCCACCGTACAGTTTGTCTATTGAGCCTCCATCCATGAACTCCATGCAAATATAAACAGCCCCTTCTTGGAAGAAGGCACCATAGAAATCTACGATGTAGGGTGATATGCAACGGTGCAGGATGTCGAGCTCCATTATGATTGCCGCAAATTTAGCATCGTCTAGTTCAAGACGTAATTCCTTCATGGCCATGATGACTCCAGTGCCTGCGACAGGTTTTACAGGCGCTTGATTCGGTTCGTCTCCCTCGCCGGAAGCTCTCCGCGTTGGAGAACCTGGTATAACCTTGTTTCCGGCCAATCCCAAGCCAGGTCTTCGCATACGTGGCCTGCTATGCCTGACCTTAAACACAGTGCCGTAGTTGCCTTTACCAAGTTCGTCCAGAGTATCAACTTCGTCCAGCGAAATGTTGAAGCTTGTGCCGCTTGCAAATTGCACACCTTCGGAGTTCAGAACTGCTTTTCCTTTGAAACGCAAGCTACCCGTTTTGGCATCAAGATACTCTGCGTATTTTTCCAGCATAGTTTCTTGTTTGGGAGGAGAATTTTGCATCGTAGTCTGATCCCCGTTCATTTGCGACAGCGTTAAGCCCGGCTTCTTCCTGCCTGCAGGCGGTGCGGGACTCTTGCTCGATGGGGTTGAGCCTGGTAGACCACCAGGGAGCTTGAGTCCACGCTTCTCAGCGAGGGAAGGCTTTCCTCCTCCGCCAAGGTGGAGCCCGGGAACGGCGGGAGCTGACTGGAAGTTGGTCATCTTCGGTTTCCCCCCTGCTCCGGGAGGAAGTCGAAAGTTGGAGGGAACACCACCTGGGCCAGTCATCAGCGGCCCCCCAGAAGACCCGGGACCTTGCCTACCAGACACTGGCCCTGTTGAGTGCGGGGACATGATTGGAGGCCGTCCTAGTCCTCCGCCTGGGAGTGGTACACCTTGCCGCCCAAGATGCACGGCTTGTACTCTTGCCAGTATGTCCTGCGAGAGATTGAGACCGCTACCTCGACTCGATATCGTAGGAGCTTGTGCTCGTGGATTCCTCGCGGCATTGACATTGCCCAGTGGTGTCGAAGAAGTGGTCATGGCTGCAGTTGCTCCCGGTGAGGATATAGAGCGAACGGCCTGGTGCGGGGATTCAAGGGAGGCGACAGGGGAGGCAGCAGCATTGGGGTCAGGGGATACAGGAGGTGACGAGGGAGATTCGAGAGGAGTGTTGTTGTCGTACTCGGTGTCTGGGGTAGATGCCATGGCAAAAGCCGAGCTGTGTACGGCGACAGAGGCTCGCCGCGAGGTTTTGGCGTGGCTAGAGGCGGGAATAAGAGTGAAGGCGGGCGAGTTAAATGCAAATAACGATAGGGTTCAGCACGGCAGAGGTGGGATATCTGTGGTGTGTCCCGGAACGTGACTGCCAAACCAGGCGCGATCTGGGTCCAGATAGCGCGTTGTGGTGGTGGTCGTGGCTGTGCGGGCGGGCAAGCGACCTGTGACGTTTTCGTGCAGATGGAGCTTATCACAGAGAAGGAGCTGGAGTAACACAGACAGGTGCGCTCATGGCGAAGGAGACAGAGAAGGAGGATGGGAGAGTGAATGGCAGACGAAGAAGTGGCCAGCTAGCCCGCAAGGAACAAGCAGCAGGCAGAGATGAGAACCTGCTTCGGCGCAGACAGAGCTCATGCAGTCAAGAATGTGAGGGGCGGGCGGCGACGCCAAGGGGCCGAGCTCGAGCGTGTTCTGGGTCCTTCGCTTTGACAAAGATCGCGACTTCCTGCACCTGGATTGAGATATAGTAGGAAGGTGCGATGCGAGAATGGGGTAGGAACAGCAGCAGCAGGAGGAGAAGGAGGAGGAGGAGGAGGAGACGGAGGAGGAGGAGGGAGTGAGGGAAGAACAACGGACAGCCATCACCAAAACCTGAGCATCGAGCAATGATGGGAGCGATGTCCGATGGCGATTGAAATGCGATAGCCACTCGAAACAGACGGCCGCGCTCGTATCAGTGAGCTGCTGTGGCGCAGGCGAGCCAATTGTCCGTCATCCAAAGGCGGCTCGCTGCCAGCGAACGTGCAGCAGAACCCTTGTCAGTGCGTCGAAAAGCATGGAAGAGTGTTTTCACCATCGATACGCGGGATTGCGCAGCTATCTTGGCTCCAGCCCTGTGCTTGCTTCTGCTTTTAACGTGTCTCTCGCCCACTCGCACTTCATAATAATGACTCTCCTCGCCCACGCTCCCAATTCTCCTTCGTCTCTCTCTTAAAGTTTCCTGCGCCCGCTCGCCGCGCATTGTGTTGGCGATCATACGTCAAAGCCAAGCATCTCCGACCCTTTGCGCTTCACGCTACCACGGCTCCCACCCCTTCTCCAGAAGCGGCTATCGTGTCGTTTTACGTCGCGGGCTCAACAAAATGCCCCTCTTGGGCGGCCTTCAGTCTCTACGACTGCGTAACCTCCAGACAGCACCCGCTGAATTCATGTCTATGGCGACCGTCCCCTATTCTTCCGGCAATGGCTTCATGGATGCCTTGAAGCACAAACCTCCTCCCCACAGCCAGCACCCCGACTTCGCCAATCTAACACTACTAGTCTTCGAGGCAGTCCTGGAGGTCGTGTGCGTAAGCTTGCCGGGCTACATTGTGGCCAGGATGGGCATGTTCGACGCCGAAGCCCAGAAATTTGTCGCCAACCTCAACGTGCAGCTGTTCACGCCGTGCCTCAGTACGCCCTACCAACCTTCACATGCCATTGGTACTATTGCTAACGCACGTGGCCGCACAGTCTTCACCAAATTGGCCTCCCAGCTCTCCGCTGACAAGCTTGTCGAGCTCGCCGTTATTCCTTTCATTTTCGTCGTCATGACGCTCGTGTCATACATCTCTGCCCTGCTCGTGTCCCGTGTGTGCAGTTTCCAGAAGCGGGCCAGCAATTTCCTCATAGCAATGGCCGTATGATTCTCCGTTGTTCCCCCCCCCGACTCTGAATGCTAATCAGACCAGGTTTTCGGCAACTCCAACTCGCTTCCGATATCCCTCGTCATCTCTCTTTCCAAGACGCTCTCAGGACTACATTGGGATCGGATACCGGGCGACAACGATAACGAGGTTGCGGCCCGTGGCATTCTCTACCTTCTTATTTTCCAACAGCTAGGCCAGCTGGTGCGGTGGACGTGGGGCTTCAACGTGCTCCTTGCGCCTCCGGAAGCATACAAAGATGAAGATGCAGGCAGGAACAGCACTATCGAGCGTGGTGATTACAGCGACGACGAGGCCGAGCGTCTCCTTCACGATGACTCCCACTCCGACTATGAGTCCGGAAACATCACCCCAGAACACCGTCGAACCTACGCCGCCTCATACTCTTCCAGCTCCAGCTCCAGCGATTCAGACTCTATCATACAGCGCGAGAATGCTTTGTCGTCCCCTGAGGTATTGCCCACACCTTCGAATGGCAATGCCGTTCTCAAAGGACCAGGAAACATTATTGGCAACGGAGATGTACCTCGTACTAATGGTTACATCGTGCCGTACAAGCCAGACAGCGTTCCCAGAGGTCCTAAAGGCTGGTGGGTGCGTCTGAGTAGAGCTGTTAAACGTCGCATACAGTCCGTATCTGGTGGAGTCGCCCGCATCTCTCGACGTGCATTCTTTGCCCTCCCTCAATGGCTTCAGTGGGTTCTTTCCAGGGTGTACTCTTTCACCACCAGTTTCCTCCATGGATGCTGGGAGTTCATGAACCCTCCGCTTTGGGCTATGCTTGTAGCCATCGTCATTGGTTCAGTACCTCGGCTGCAACACGCATTCTTCGACCCAGGCACATTTTTGAGTAACTCAGTTACCCGTGCTATTAGCCAAAGCGGCGGTGTAGCTGTTCCCTTAATTTTGGTCGTTCTAGGGGCCAACCTTGCGCGCAACACCCTTCCAAAAGAGGACCAACATTCGCTTGAAGACGCGGCTATTGAGAAGAAACTGGTGTACGCATCACTCATCAGCCGCATGCTCATTCCTACCGTCATCATGGCACCTCTTCTTGCAATCACAGCAAAATTTGTCCCAATCAGCATTCTAGACGATCCGATTTTCGTTATCGTTTGTTTCCTTCTCACGGGTGCTCCCAGCGCGCTCCAATTGGCACAGATATGTCAGATCAACAACGTCTACATGGGTGCCATGTCGAAGTTGCTCTTCCAGAGCTACGTGATCTGGATTCTACCCTCGACACTCATCCTCGTCATGCTCGCTTTGGAGACCGTGGAGTGGGCGGGGTAGCTGACTTCAACAGTCAGACATTTGGTCTGTATATTCTTTTCTAGGCTGCATTGGAGCGGAGCGTGGAGTCACAGGCTTGAGTAAGGGTAAAAACTGTCATTCTATTCGGTGTACAAACATGGGATAGTAGGGGTATAGACTCGGCGGTAAGGGTTCAGATGACTTTGGGGTGATGTAGGATACCAAGCAGCCACTCCGCCGCAAGTGGTAGTTCAAAGTACATAATATACTCGGAATCAGAGCCTACTTATACTTCACTAACGCATCCCTGCGCAACCGGCGAATCCTAGGCACACGTGATACACTGACGTCGCCTTTAAAAAGAGGGATTGATATGTGTCTATCAAGCAAGGCGATAACATGCAAGGAAAGCGCCACCGGATTCAGCCCTCAGCTTCCAACACCTTGCCCTCTCCCCCAGGGAAACTGACCTTCGCAATCCCCCCACCCCAAAAACTCTTCAACGCACTTCACCTGCAGCTCGCAACCGGACCATTTTCCAAGAATCTGTTTGGCGAACCGCTCAAGCCTATCGCTTTGGCACGTGCCACCCTGGTCGCTCATCGCCTGTTCTAGCCCAACCGTCGGGAGTGGTCTGCTGTGTTTCAGAAACCACCAACTTCTCAATCACACTCTAAAGACGTCAATTTCGCTGAGTTCGTGGTAATATCCCACCTACGAAAGGATCGTTCCATCAGCAAAGCACAAAGTTACCTTATCGAGGCCACCCTCGAGTAACAGCGTTTGGTAACTGCCATGGCGTCTCTCAATGGACCGCCTGAGACTGCAAGGCAAAGCTTGTCTCCCGGCAACTCTCGCTGTGACACTATGGAAGGAGGCATGTCACCACGCTCAGCCGCCACAAAGGGTTCGTTTTCACCATTCATTTTCTGTGTATCCTGGTACCATCTTTGGGGTTTACTTTCTTTCGTCCCTTCCTTTCTCTGCGTTTCTCACTGTGCATGAGCTTGTGTGAATGCTGCGTAATCTTGATATATTGGCATTTTTGTTTTCAAAATTTCCTCGAACGTAACCTGCAAACCTCATTGCTCTCGAGGGCATATTTGTATGGCGTATCAATTGCAATGCGGCTGTGGCAGTGGGGGTAAACTGAGCGATTGAAATCACGTGTGAAACCGATCATTCACCACTTCAAGCGTCAAGTTTTCTTTGAAAGCAATGCTTATTCCTTCTCTACAGTTGTTTCCATTGCCGAGCCTGAGAGTATCTCACCTTCAATCAAGGGCAAGCATAAAGAGTTTGATCAGAATTACTCACTCGATCTCGACAAGGCAACAAAACAATTTCGCGCGAGTGTCTCTGGCAAGCGACTGTCAGGACGACCATCCATTGAGAGATTAGGGTCATCACATAGGGGAAATACATCCCTATCTTCAATCAAGTCTGAGGATTCTGACCTATCCAACGCCTCTCCACAAAGTCAACACCCACACGACAACCTCATAAAGCAATTATCTGCATGGCTGAAGCAGGAGAAGGCGAGGCGAGTGGCACGAAAAGCAAAGAGAAGGGCGGCGAAAGACGCCCCACAAGACACAGATACCAGTGCAAGGACACTACCCGGACCGAGTGATGACACCTCTAGTCAAGGAAGAAGAGCTTCTGAGAGCTCGGAAGGCTCAGTCGCACTTGAGCAATTAGAAAGCTTGCTACACAGGTCTCTCTCTACAAAGTCTCCCGAGGACTCGCCCCGGAGACATAGAATCTCTCACGGCCACAGACTATCAGCGATGTTGAAACGGCACTCAGCCGTCTCGTCAGACACAGACTATTTTGACGGAGTGGAACAACTTGTTCCCACTTGCGAGGCCATACTCGACAATTCTAAGACGCTAGCGTATAGTGGAGGCGGTGCAGAGTCTAGCGAAGAGGTCGCGACACCAGGAAAACCTGGAAAGAATACCCCGAAGGAAAAGGAGGCATGGGCAACATTCAAGTTCGAGATCGTGCGGCTTGCACACACCTTGAAGCTGAAAGGCTGGCGCCGTGTGCAGCTAGACCGGAGTGGTGACATCGAGGTTGAGCGCCTCAGCGGTGCGTTGACGAATGCCGTTTACGTTGTTTCCCCACCAAGAAATCTCCCTTCGCAAGGAGAAAATCCAAGTGCGCTGCCGACACCCAAAAATCCGCCTCCGTAAGTTTCGCATGCTAAGTCAACAACTGGGCTAAAAAAATAATTCTAGCAAGCTCCTACTTCGCATCTACGGCCCACAGGTAGAGCATCTCATCGACCGGGAAGCAGAACTGCAGATTCTTCAACGACTTGCTCGTAAACGCATTGGACCACGATTACTTGGCACTTTCACTAATGGGCGATTTGAAGAGTTCTTCCATGCAATCACACTGACTCCGCAAGATTTACGCGTCCCAGACACTTCGAAACAGATTGCCAAACGTATGCGAGAGCTACATGAGGGCATTAACTTGCTGCCTAAGGAGCGAGATGATGGGCCTTTCGTCTGGCGCAATTGGGACAAATGGGTCCGTCGCTGTGAACAGATAGTCACCTGGCTTGACCAGCAGATCCTGGAAGGAAAGCAAGGTTCTGTCCGGTCTTCGGCCGATACATGGAAGCAGCGGGGGTTGATCTGTGGTGTTGAATGGCCTGTCTTCCGGAAGACAATCGAGAAGTACCGGAAATGGCTTGTGGAGCAGTATGGCGGTCAGCAGAAAGTGAACGAGCGGCTGGTGTTTGCGCATAATGATGTGAGTGCCACTTAAACCTGGTCTCTCTGCGTGACCGAGCTCCCAAAGCTAACCAGCATAAACCACAGACTCAATACGGCAATATTCTCCGGCTCATTCCTGCTGGGGAATCTCCGCTACTGCTTCCTGCAAATGAGCACAAACAGCTTGTGGTCATCGACTTCGAGTACGCAAACGCCAACCTTCCGGGGCTCGAGTTCGCGAACCATTTTGTAAGACTCATCTTCTTCCTTGATCTCTTCTTAACTCCACAACTTTAGCAAAGCCTCGTCACCAGTACAAACACGCTAACTCCCACCTTAGACGGAGTGGTGCTACAATTACCATGATCCGGTGGCGCCGTATCGCTGTAACACACCCTATTACCCCACTCCAGAAGAACAGCAGCGCTTCATCGGTGCATACCTCATGCACAACCCAACCTTCAAAGCCCCTGGTGGCTCGGCATCCAATCCGCCCACGCCATATCTCGGTCCGCTGCCTACATCAAGCAGCACCACCGCTCTAGCTGCCACCGCAACAGCAACCCCTTCGTCCTCAATCTCGACATTTATGTTAGACTCGCGTGCTCCTCCTGGTGACAAGTATTCGTACCAAGAGCAAGAAGCGCTGGCGGAGAAGCAGAGGGAGGAAGAGACGAAGCGTCTTATGGCGGAGACGAGGCTGTGGAGGCTTGCGAATTCGGCGCAGTGGGTGGCGTGGGGGATCGTACAGGCTCATGTTCCGGGATTGCCAGATTTCGATGCGATTGAGAAACAGCAAGACGGCGAGAATTTGGAGATAGATACGATAGGGGGGCAGCTTGAGAGCGCTACGTTGGAGACGAGAGTGCAAGCAGAGGCGGAGAATAAGAATGAGAAGGATGTTAATGCAGATCCTCCTAGCCCCGCTGAGGGGTCTTCAGAGGCTGAGGCGGAAGATGAGGAATTCGATTACCTTGGCTATGCTCAGGAAAGGGCTATGTTTGTTTGGGGCGATGCTATTCGTCTAGGTATCATCAAGGCTGAAGAATTGCCCGAGGAGGTTCGAAGTAACGTTAAGGTTGTCGAGTACTAGACGATCTCCCCGCTTCACTAGTGAGTTGAGAGGTGGTAAAGAGGTTCTGGTAACCAGAAGTAGTTCGAGGTGCGATGCAGGCTGGCCTTATTTTTGGCGGTGTTACTTTTCCGCGAACTGATAATCACTGGCTATATGTGCCGGTCATGCATTGCTGCGTTCGAGATGCCAGCGGTTTGGGAGGCTTTGGACATGAGTAGTGTTATTGGGGGATGTTTGAAGAGCTCTCTTAGTCCAGGGTTAGCGAGTTGAGGATTAGATTGATAACATTCGTAGGAGTAGCAAACACTCATCTTCCAAATTTGACATATTCCCCAGCGTTACCTTGGGACTTGGTCGGAGAGGTCATTGCTGAAGCTTGGTGTTGGCATCTGCGAAATCTGCTTCTTGAACTTGATCCAATGGAAAAGAACACAGATTGTCCTTTCTAGGAAGGGGGATATATCCCCTGGCAACCCAGTACGTAGCTGATTCATATAGCATGATCTGGTTAGTCATTTTAGTGCGATTCTAACACCCCTCGACATAGTATGTACGCGTTTGTGAGAAAGAACTAGTATAGAGCGGTTGCTTTGCTTTGCTTTGCTTTGCTCTGCTTTGCTTTGCTCTGCTCTGCTCTGCTCTGCTCTGCTCTGCTCTGCTCTGCTCTGCTCTGCTCTGCTCTATTAGAATATCTCAAAGTAGTAGGAAGGAGCGCTCATGGCTGGAAGCAAAGTTGAGAGGAGGGTTTGGGTTGGGTGTGTGTGTATGTGTTTGGATAGTGGCGAGGGGGAGGGGTGGGAAAGGCTTGGATTGGAAGGGTTGTGGGGATGGGTGCTAGATATATTTTTAGATTCGGACTTTGGACTTTGGGCTTGGAATTGTATTGAATGGGGTAGGTATGACCAAGGGAGAAGATGGCGAAGGATTGTTGTTGGTGGTGAGCTTCTTGAGATAGATTGGGAGAGGATTGCAAGGCTATGGTCGTCGGGGTTGGAAACTTGTTAAACGGCTGTAAAGAAGAGTAAATATAGTAAATATAGTTTAGAAGAAGATGCGAGAAGGGCCGGTAGAAACGCTCAAGGGTGTCGCAGAATTAAACATATAAATCCTACTAGACGCAAGAGTATGGCGATCCACAGAGTAAGCAAGACCAGTTTTGAACTACCCCAGAGGAACGCAATAAAGGATAGCAGGCCGCCTTATTTCTCTTTTCGGTACTTCCACCGCAGTGAAGGGTTCCCTGTATCTATAGAACATATTTATCATACAATTCCCAGCCACAATCCTCTTATTCCTTTCACCATGCACGCAGATGTAGTCTGCAGGCATCATCCAAACACACAAGGTCTATCGTACACCTACTCACCGCTATCCCCTTCTCTCCCGCTCCCGTTCTCCTCCCCACTAACCCACCCTCTCTCCCTCCACGCCCCACTCCTCCCTCCCTCCTTCACCACAACCCTAACGCCCTCAATCCTCATCCCCTTATCCACTGCCTTACACATATCCACAACTGTTAGTCCCGCCCCCATAACTGCCGTCAACGCCTCCATCTCCACGCCTGTCGCTCCTGTACACTCCACCTTCGCCTCGATCCCCACTTCACCCCAGTGCGCCAAATTCGCCTTCATTTCCCCCCCAATATCTGCATTCACGTCCGGGTCACGGAGGAACAACTCAACGCCGACGTGTGACAGAGTTATAGGATGGCAGAGTGGAATGATCTCCGGACACATTTTCGCGGCCATGATGCCTGCGATTCGCGCGACGGAGAGGACGTCACCCTTTTTGAGGGAGTTGGTACGGATGAGGGAGAGTGGAGTGGGATTTGAGAAGGAGACTGTGCCGACGGCGATAGCGGTGCGAACAGTTGGAGTTTTGGTGGAAATAGAGACCATGTGTGCGGAGCCAGTAGGTGTTAGATGGGGAAGTGAAGGGGCAGGTGGGGATGATTGGAGTTGTGGGGTTGAGGTAGAGGTTAGGTCCAATGGGGAAGTAGATGAAGGGTCGTCTTGATCTTGGGTGGATTGGGGGTGGCGGGATGAGGTTGAGAAGGTGCGGGCCCTTTGGTTGGGAGCTCTGAGCCCAGTTCCGGGTTTGTTTTGCCATGTAAATGGGAGGTCAGGGGAGAGGCCTCTTCCTTCGTTCTTGGCTTCCGGTATACTTTCTAACTGTGATTCTCGTTCTTTGCCCTCCACACCCTCTAGGTCTTTACCCAGCATGTTCGACAAATACGGGTCCTCCACAAAATTATCTTCTTCTTCTTGCTCTTGTTCCGGTTCCCGTTTTCGAATCAACGGCTCCTCGTCCCTCAACCAACTCCCCACCTCTGCATCAAACTCATCCAAGTCCACCGACCCCTCGGCATCCCCACTAAGCTTCCCCCTCTTCGAAAACACCTCTTCAAACCGCCTCGCCATGCGCTCCGCCGCATCAGCCTCAAGCTCATGTATTTGAACCATCTGATCCAGCACCCTCTTAATGCTTTCATTCCCCTTAACATCCATCCCCACTCCCCCATTTACACTCACATGATCAAACCTAGTTTTCCACTTCGCCGCTAAAATCTTCAGCCATCGCTTCAACACCTCCCTGTTTTTGCTAGTCCAGACTTCGTAAGGGAGGGTGTCGATCTTGGGATAGGCGTTTTTGAGACGGTCTTGGAGGCGGAAGAGTTGAGATTGGAGTTCGGGGAGAGGGCTGTCGAAATCGACGATGAGGCTGTTGTCGATTAGGATGCGGCCGGCGGCAGGAATGGATTTGTCGGTGGAGAGGTGGGACCATTGGGATGGGGATGTGGTTTTCTGAGGTTCGGGCCATCGAGGGGGGATGGGGTCGGGTTTGAAGGACGAGCCGAATATGGTAGGGAGAGAGGCGGGAGGGGCGGAAGGTGGTGTGGATGGAGTCGCAAGTGTAGTGGGTTCTAGGGTGGAGGATTTGACTGTTGACTCCTCTGACTTTTCGGTTGATAGGTTCGTCGTATTCCCGGAATCATTCTGGGCCATGATTTGTTTGATGGCGGAGACAGACTGCGCGATGTCGCGTATTTTCTGCGACGAATTGTCTCGCTGTACGTCTGTAACTCTCAGTCTACCCTTGATTTTTGAAGCTTCCGGTAGAGCCTTTGCGATGTCTGGCCTAACTTTCAATAGCTTCTTCATCTTTTCGTCCCGTTGTCTGAGTAACTCCTTCGACTGCTTCTCCAATGCTTTGAGCTTCTCTTGCCTATCCTTATCTTCAGTCTTCAACGACGTAAGCCTGTACTTGAGATCCAGTAGCGATATCTCCGCATCCCTAATCCTCGTTTCGTGGTTTTCCAAAAGATGGGCTTTCCGACTTTCAATCACGCTCTTCACAGCTGTTTTCTCAAGCTGGGCTCCCTCCCAACCGAGCCCGTTTATCTCCATCTTAACTAGCAGGCTCGCAGCTTTCTTTCTTTGCCTCCACATTTTCCTAGTTGTCTTCCTCGACATATCCGAATCTTTGCCGAGTTCCTGAAACCTCTTCCACTCGCCGGGGTCGGTGATCGGGTTACAAAGTTTCTCAGCCTCGAGACGTTTCTCCATATCAGCGATCTTCTTCTCAATCCTTCGAATCATGGCTGGAGCGGTCTTCCGCGCTTTCCCCACTTGCGGTTGATCCAGGTCTTGCATTAACCGCGATGTATAAAATTTCTGGCCTGAGATGGTCTTAGCCTTGTCCAATTCTTGCCTCATCGTTTCTTGCGAGTTCATCATGTCGTCGATATCCTTGATGAACTCAGCTTGAAGCTTCCTCTTGGTTCTCTCCATAGCTATTCTCGTATTCGTGTTGACTCCCTCCGGGATCATTCTCGTGCTCGTGGCTTCTTCAGATCTCAGTATTTCCTGGACATCGTAGCGCGCTGTAGAAGTGAGTTTGCGATGACCACTGGCGGTGAGCTGCGCTTCCATAGAATCCCTTTCTTTGGCAATTTTCTGCATTACCATCGCCGGTCTCACCATCTCGGTGTGATTCTCTTCCAGCAGTTGTTCCACTTCCGAGTCATGATCGTTGTTCACCGCCGGCTTTACCTCCATAATCTCTTGGCCGTTGTGGTTCATCTGAGACCGAAAATGTCGACTCTCATCGTTCATGCCCGACTCTCCCGACAAGATGGCATCCTTTAGCTTGTTGGCCGATGGCGCGACGGTTTCTTGCCGTTCCGCTTTCCGCCGACGAATCTCCGCCTTCTTATTTTCGACTACTTTTCGCAGTTCCTCCAGCGAGCGCGCGCCATCCTGTCGAGTACGCTCCCCTTCAGACCTTCGCATTGTTAAAACGGCAGTTGGGTATCGGGGATTGGCTGACGGTAAGAGTTCTGGAAACAGGTTTGTCCCAGGCTTCATTGTCCCATGATATGCACCTAGAGGGCCCTTCTCTCCTCGATTTCGCGCTTCAAAAGCACGCCTTTTCACCTTGTGCGCTTTCTTCGATACCGAGCCCCGCACCATCCAGTGTGCACTCGGCCCTAGGCGGTAAGCTGTCGTAGAGAAGGAGCGGGAAAACATAGGAGCGGCCATGAGTGAGGGATACAAGAAAGGGAGTGGTGGTTGAGTGATAGCTGACCATGGACGGAGGAATGATGCACTTGGATCGAGGTTTGGGCGATTAGGCAAGTGTGGTTCTTGACGAGGCTGAGAAGACATTGGATGACTGAATGGGTCTGCATAATTATCAGCACTGGACGTCACGTACGGATGAAAGAGACATGTATGGGAATGAGGGTAATAATGGGTGTATATAGAGACTGGCTGTGGTCTTCTATCATCCAAGCGGCGTCCTGATCAAAAACACAACGCTCAGAGCGCCATCCGTGCTGTCGCATTCACCATGATCTCATCAAAGACATCCACGCCATGAATCAAGAAGCAAAGAGTAAACAAAACGAGGTCGAGGTCACCCACCAATTAATATCATCGGGCGGTTCTTCATGTTCTCCAGGTCGCCGATATCAGCATGTTTCTCTGCTTTGCGCTTGACCGCGCCGCCAATGACTTCCAGCAGCTCTCTTTCTCGTTCGCCCCAGCCGAGAACAGTCTCATTGCCCAGGAAACCGTCTCGACGATCCATTTCAATCTGCTTGATGCGCTCAAAGGCTTCTTGGTCAATGGGCTCACCACCATTGTCTTTGCGGAGCAGATCGCGGAGAGAGACCTCGGCATTGCCGTGCAGGCAGACTTTCAAATTGCCGTCGCTTGTGATTCGTAGCCGGTTGCATGTTCCACAGAAGTCGTTTGTCATGCTGGAGATGAAGCCCACTTTGCCCACAAAGCCGGGCACTTCATACGTCTTGCTGGTATCGTTCTTATGGCCAGCGACTCGCCTTAAAGCAGGGTACTTGGCCTTAATGATATCTAACATTTCCTGGAAGCTTATCATCTTGCCCTGACTCCACTTGTTCCCATCGAAAGGCATGTACTCGATGAAGCGTACCTCGATGTCTTGTTCGCGACCCAGCTCGACAAAAGGAATCATGTCGCGCTCATTGAGGCCGCGCATCACGACGCAATTGATCTTGAGCCTCAGGTTGGCACCGACTTTGTTCATTTCTAGAATCCGATCAATGGACTTCATAACGGCATCGAAGCCGTTCCGTCTGGTCATGATCTGGAACTGAAACGGGTCCAGGGTATCCAGGCTAAGATTGATGCCCGTCAAGCCTGCTTCTACCATGCTATCCAATTTCCTGTGTAGCGAAATGCCGTTCGTGGTCAGGGCGAGTTCTCGAAGCCCTTTGGAACGGAGGGTGCCGATGGACTGCATCAGGGGCACGATGTCGCGGCGCACGGTGGGCTCCCCGCCCGTCAGACGGATTTTGGTCACGCCTTGGGAGACGAAGAGGGAGGAAAGGTAGAAGATTTCCGGCGTGGTGAGGAGGTGGGCGGGAGGGGACAGTGGAACTCCCTCTACATCCATTCGTCAGTACACGGAAGCCAAATAAACGTCTACCCGCAACATACCCTCTGGCATACAGTACAGACACCGGAGATTGCAGCGCTCTGTAATGCTTATCCGCAAGTAGTCATGCTGCCGATTGAACGTATCCGTCAAGAAATCGGAGAAGGGCTTCGCGTGCTTGATCGCTTCCCTGCGGTGCCCGAGGGCAGTTTGGCCCGCGACCGGGACGGGTGACTCGCGAGCCGGCGGCCCTGAATACTCCAGAGAGTGCAAGACGCGAATCGAAGGCGGAATGCTATGTTTGCCACGAAGAGCTCTCCATTTCGAAGCATTGCGCACCGTGGTCGGCCCCGGCCGCATAGAAATCATGGGCGCCATTACCTGGAGGAACGAAGAGAGCCTCGCCTAACATCTGGACAAGCGGACATGGGGGATATATACAAATACAACAAGTGCGGGATGAGGGCGAGTTTATGCCACAAGAGCCTTCGAACAGGAAACTTTGATCGTGCCAAGCCATCGGCGGTTTACTCAGCCGTCTCCGCGGCGAAAGTGGGGTGAAGGCATGCATTTCCGTCGCCAGCCGCCAATTGCTTCACTCTTCATTCTCCGTAAGCCAGCGTCAGTATGGCATTCCATCTAACCCAGGGTTCTGAGCTCTTGACGCCTGGCTTGGTGCATATTCCTCCTCAGACTTCCTGCTTCGGTTAGCGCCAAACTAGCATTCACTCCAGACCTGGCCCAACACCCCCCCCTTTCCTCTGGAGGTCATTCGCACCTACCATGGGAACATCAACAGAGGCACTTCTGAAGGCTTGACCCTCTTGCTAGAATTAGGAAGAGCGTTAACAGGATCTGAACTTCTGTCCTAAAATATCCTTGCCCATGTTCCTCCTTAGTCCAAGAAAAGGCAGCAGATCTTGCTACGAACATGTCCACCTAGTTTACGAACGGCGCCGCTATCCTCCCTGACCCCTTCAGCCAAAGCACAAGCAAGAGCATCAGTGCAACAACACCCACCCAAATAAGCAATGAGATGCAAGTCAGCCACTCCTTCCTCGTCGTATCTGGTACGTTCCGTGCTAGCCTCTGAAGCAAATATCGTCTCTTCTTCCTGCGAGTCTCGACATTGATCGATGGAACTTCTTCAGCTAATTGGTTTCTTCCTGTTCTGTGTTGCTGGTTGGTGATGGGTACCGAGGAGACTTGGCCGCTCGATGCTGTGGCAGACTGCGGCGTGGTGACGCCACTGGAGGCGGGCATGCCGCTGCCGAGTTCGATGTCGTTGTTAGATGTGTCAGCCCCAGTACTTCCGCGATGGCGAAAGATTGATGAGAAGACCCGGGCTATCCAGAGCTGAGATAGGCTGGGAGGCGGGCGCGGTGGCAGAGATGTGGGGAAGACTTCTTCCAAGACATCTTCCCTGGCTGGTGGTATGGTGGGCGAGCCCATTTCGTTGAAGGATGGCATTTCGACAGGACAGATTGCTGCGCTGCCGTCGTGGATTTATATACGCAGAGATGGCGGAATGCGGTTAGGGCCGCCACTTTCCTTATGAGGATTTGGAACTTGAGTTTCTTTGCCAACGAAAGCGTGTCGGAGAATAAGGGTAGAACTTATAGGAAGGTGGTTCATTTTGTTGAGTTAGTTCCGTCGTTGAAGTTTGGGTCATTACCGTTGACGATATCTCCTAACGTAATGTTCGCAAGAAAACTACTCAGCATACGTAGCTCTAACCATAAAACCCCTCTGGAACTTGGCTTGGAGGAATACAAGCAAGACAAAGAGAATTCATCAGGAAGACGTAAGAAATAATATCTCCCTTTGAAGGTGCCAGAACGAGCATATGGTGAGATATTTTGGGCAGCTTTCCCGAAGTCTTTCACCTCATGTATGCATGTACAACTTCTACCTCGCCGTTTCTATTCTTCCTGAAACTAAGCGAATAAGGGCTAATTGGCTCACAAACCAGCCCTTTCCAAGTGTGGTTTGGGCTTTGGTGTCTTCAAGTCTCGGTTTTGTGAGATGAATCAGTGGGATATTGCGTGCTAACAAGGCTTGTAGTGACCACACAAACACGCTCAAACAAGACAGAAAGAAGAAACTGCTTGTTCTATTTTGGGTGCTGCTGAGGAAATTTGTATATCGTGGCTGCTGGGCTAGGACCGTCTTTTCGAGTTCCTCCACTCTTGTTTTACAGTGCAATTGACAGGTAAGGGCACATAACATGGAACTGGCACATTAGTCGATATTATTGGGACGGAAGGGTCGATGTGAATTTAAGAAATGCAGTCGTTGAAGTTCCTGCTGCACCCTGTCACCTAGCGCGGAACATGGCTGAGGTAATTTTAGGGAAGAGGCTTTCACCTTGTTGACGTTCTCCTTAATTCTAGCAAGAGAGCTACCGGGTTGTCATTACCCTAGTGAAGGCCCACATTGCGTTTTAACATGCTGTAGAACCGTCGCCAAACCTCCAACAGCATTTTACCCGCACACGTGAATAATGCCAGTCTCCCCCTGCACATCTTCATCTCGTATCTTCCCCTCCGAACCTTCTTCAGACGACCATCGTATCCTCGCCCGCTCAAATTGTGCTGATTCGTTCACGGAAGAGCAGATTCGAGGTCATTCTAAACTTTTCACATTCACATTCTCTCCTGACAAATTGCTTTGCCAATATTCGTATAAGTCATATAGGTATGCATGCAAGACGGCGCATGCCAACCAAGTACACACAGAAAGAACACCGTATCATGCAATGCAATACATACAGGATAAGGCCATTCCCCCAGCTCTCCCTGTCCTCTACTCACACACATGCAAACTCACTTTTCTAGCCCTCGGCACCACAAAGCTCCCTTGGTTGTGCATGCTATGCGTTCTTCGGACAGTGCCCCTGGAAGCAGAACCTTGGAAGTGAAAAATTCCTGCCGCACATGATCTGCTCACCACAGGCCTAGAAGCTGGGGCAGCAACAGCAAAGCTGGCATCGCTCTGCCCGCTCGAGACGCACTCCCCTGTTTTGCGGGCGCCGTTGGCAGTCCTGTAATCCTCCCCGACAATCCCGTCCCGCTTGCTATCGGAGCCGCACTTGTAGCGCCGAGGGCTTTACTCGGCTGATCATGGACCGTCACTGTGACGGTCCCCGCAAGCGTGGGGCTCGGAGTCGGAGTCCCCGTGCCCATCAGTGTCCATGTTACCGACACGCTTTGTCCTGGATCCGGTGCAAATGCGAAGTTCTGAGTATAGCTTAAGACGGGGTCTTTGTTGTTTATCTCGGGCTTCAAATAGTCGTCCACATACATCTTGATCCAGAAGACCCGTTCTGCGCGCGGGAAATCGGATCCCGGTTTCGGGATGTGCCATTCGTAGGAGCCAGTGTTTGGGGCGTGGGAGACGATGGTCCCACAGAAGGGGTTTATCCAGTGGTAGCAAAGATCACCGAAGTCGCGGCTGTAACCCCATGAGGTCTTGTCCCATATTTCGAGGGTAACATTGGAAAAATGCGGGTCTGGTTGCCATCGAATCGTGAATGTGCCCCCGGGAGTGAGAAGGTCATCGCGGTTGGGGTGAGAGATAGGCTGCTGGACGCGCGAGGGCTGGGTCGACGGCAGCACCGAAGACTGTGATGTGACGATAGGGATGTATGAGAGAATGTTGAAGATAATGGCGAAAAGGAAGAAGGGGTAGGAAGAACGGAGGAGCGAGGCTCCCCGCATTGTGGAAGGGTTTTACCCCGAGTTCTCCAACACAGTCTCTGATCAAAGCTCGATCTGAATAAACCAAAAGTAGAAGAAGTTCGTCAATCTTATTCTCCGGGAAACTCTGGGCGAGAGCTTTCGCTCAATCAGAAGTTCAAAAGTCAAACGTTCATCCTGAAGCAGCGATCCGTGGTCGGTGATCCTTCATCCACCGCTGCCAACATCGCAGCGTTACAACGCCCTTATAATATGGCGAGCGCAACGGCAATTCATTACCCCAAATTCGTGATCGTGAATTAATATGTCCCCAATAACTGTTCGGAAGAAACCTCTCTAACATGATTGGATCCTTGTCGCTACCCGTAAATTGTGCTTGGCGAGCTTAACGGTCAGAGCGGGAAGATCTCCAAAAGCTTGTCTTACGATCCTTTACCATCTGGACATGGTTGAGAGAGCGAGATGGCCTAGACCGCCGGGACATGTCATGATCTTGTACTAGGGGGATGTAGAGGTTGGGTAAAGAAGGCTCGGGAGAGGCACCCGGGATTAATTCTCACTTGACGCACCCCGCAAAAGAATTTTCCAGGGCAGTCCCAAGGCCGTAGGACACCAATAAAAAACTTACGGGATTTCCCAAAGTCGTGGTATATTAGTCTTAGTCACAAGCAAGAAGTGACTGCCGCAAATATCAGACACCGCCCACAGCACATCGGCTATCCAGCTGGCAGTTTTTAGGTACGGGAACAGCTTGCCATTCCGCTTACAAGAGACAGTCTCCCTTCGAACGATCGTACAAGAAGCGAGTCTAGCTATGTGTTCCTCACCCAGTAAATGGTCATGTACACCGCCAACTCCCCACTTGCTGGATGTTCTGCTTATAGAGAATGCATGCGTCACTGCTATAACGATAGGCAAGCGACGTGTGGGATAGTTGACATCATCGTGGTAAATGTACTATGGGAATTTGTTGACGCCACAGATAAAGATGTAATGAAATAAGAGAAAAAGGAAGGTCTGGTGCAGAGAGGGGTAGGGCGACTGCCTGGGATCCAGCATCAGTCAGCAGTTGAACTAGACGACATAGCCAGCGGAGGACAGGATTAGCTTGACTCTGTCGAATTTGTGAAGCTCACCGTGATTGAAGAGTGCACTTTGGGTTTGTCCGGTGTGTTTGCGACCCAACTATTGCCCCAACCATTAGTACCTAATCTGACCGAGGAGGCGCATTATACTGACAGGTCCGCGCTTTGCTAGAAGCCGGTGGATGCGCTACATTGCACGCCCCAGCAACGGTACAAGTGCTAACACAAATAACGGATTCGAAAGGGCCCTCGGCGAAGATCTTGACACACAAGTAAGTATCATATGAATCTTTGCAATTCAAGGGAGTGTTTATGGCGGGATTTCTGAGGGAATCGGGGGCATCGTACCCTTTGACTCCACTGTACCCTTTGACTCTATCCATCTTCCCTTTATTGTATCCATTCGAGCCTGTAATCACAACCTCAAAGTCATGATCGGTGTACCCGGCGTTATTGGTGTTTTCTATAGTAACTAGTCCACTCCAAAACGCGCATTTAATATGTGTTGTTGAAGGCGGGTTCGGGCATTTGGGGCCGACCTCTTGACTTGGGTTACGCTCGAAGAAGATGTTGATGGCGAGACAACCGTCCTGTTCATTGCACTTGGATGCACACAGATTTGTATCATAGGAATCCAAAGCGATGTACCCTAGAAAGCCGTAAGCGCTGCTGGAAGCATGGAGGTTCCTGAAGGCCTGCGTATAGTTCGATGGGGTTGGCGCAAAGCTAGCTGCCGAAGCCAGTTGTGGAGAGTTGAGAAATGCATAGCTTGTGTCTGGTTCCACCTTGAATCCAGCTCCTGTGGGCTTGGGTTGGCATGTGCCGTCTGTTCTCTTCATGAACTTCGGCTCTGAGGCTTGCGGAGTGGCGCTAACCTCGACGGCTACGATTCCTGATGGCAACACTAGGGCGGAGTTGTAGTTGACCCCTTGCGGCGGTGCACTTCGGTCGATTGAGTAAACCAGGTCATGCCTGTCGTCCGCGGGGCTGAAGTTGGTCTCCTGGGCGTGAGTGAGGGATACAGCTCCTAATAGTGCTAAAAGCTGGAATGCGCGCATGATGAACCGGTGTTATGAGTACGAGGCCAGGAGCAAGTCGGGGAATGAAGCTTTTAGAGCACGATGGGTGCTGTTTATATGGTGCTAATCCAGTCAGAGCTGGTCGTGAGAAAAAGGGTAACTGAAATCAATAGTCGATAGACCAGGGGAAACGCTGGTGTCTGTGGTTTGGCCAGCTGCGCCCAATATCGAAGAACTTTGGAAGGAGTAGGAAGTTCAGGAAGTGACGACACAATTGATTGCATTGGAAGATGGTCGTACCTGCAGCATTTCCAGGCTAGAGAAAGAAGCTTGGTGCTCAGCCACAGAAGGCGGATGAGAGTGACCGTTCACACCCCAACCTAATAGTCAACAGTCGGAGTTTGAGGCCAAATGCTCATAGACAAATACAGACTGGGGTTCATGAGGGAAGAGACAGGCGCGTAATGCATCGATACGATGATGCGAATTCACGGGATGATTGAAGTATGGCCTAATTTCCCCCCCCCCCCCCCGAATGCTTTAGGGGTACATGAAGCGGGAAAAGAAGAAACGAATAAGCACCAACAAATCGGTGGAAGAAAACATGAAGCGGAAAATACAGATCCCATTCGCGTGCTCCACGTGCAACCACCCGTCTTATAGATAGGAAATAGCTCGGAGGTCAGTGATCGAAGAGTGACGCGATTTTAGCAACAGGACAATAGAATGAATTTATCTTCCAACCTAGTGTCACACTTTCGCAGGACCTACGATTCTTAGCCTAGTGCAAACTGTGGCAAGGAGCCGTATTCATCGGAGAGAGCCGATGGAAAGAGACCGTCATGGGTGAAGAAGAATGACAAACGCGTGTTGGAAAGATGGAGATCGGCTCGCCCCGTCCGACCCGGCTTGGCCAGACCTTTCCTAAATAGGTAGGATATCCTACTTCCCATTCAGATACCAAATTATAGAAATTACTGTAAGAGACCCGGTAGGTGGAATGATCATAATGAAAACTACATTTAGTTTCCATTAAAAGCTGAAAATGGTAGCAAAAAATGGAAAGAACAAGAGAGGAGATGATCATCAAATTTCATACCACTCGATCCTCAATCAATCCTTTCCTATCAAAGAATAGAAATGATCTTTTCACCTGTACGTTTTTCCAATCTGCCTTCACACCCACCTCTAAGCCGCCCAAATCTCTGGGCAATCCCCCACAACCGATGCATTTACCCATGCCCCACGCCGAATTCGGAGCTACTTTCGGCAATGGTTATATGCAGAAAATATAAGGGAACATCACAACAACCAGAACCCAACACACCCTCAAGGTCAATCTTCCACGCTCGAGTATGCAAAAAAGCTTATAGATAGTATTAAATGATAATGAATAAATTACTATAGCGTGAGAATCCCTGCCTATAAATCTTGATTTATGGGGAAATGCGAGAGTGAGGGAAGCAACGTAGATGAAGATCAGGATTGACGGCATGAAAATCTTGATCTTGTGACGGGATTGCTAATACGGCGAATAGGTCTTAGGGATTCGTGTGGATGAGAGAGCTTGACGAAGGTGCGGATGGCACAAGGTGGAAGCTCGAGATGGACTTGTGGAGTCCAGGGAAGTGGTGCGCGGCACCGGCTGAGTGAATTTCGGTGACACCCAGCGTGGGCGTTCAGACGCAGGATACAAGGCTGAGAACATATAGGGGCATGAAGACACAATTGCACCTTGCCCTTGCTTGGCAGCTATGGAATGTACGCAAACAAGTCCATTAGTATATCATACTGCACAGTAGCAGGGTTTTACTAAGTCAATGGTAATCGCACCATCCCGAGAAAAGTGGTACCGCAGGATTATTTCTGCTAAACGCCGGACTCCATTCAGATGGTATACCCAATGCAATGCCCTTCAAATCCTCGACAGTGTTTAGTGTATCAGTTCACCCCCAAGCTTTTAATGCTTGTGCTCCTCCTGCTCCTGTTGCTCTAAGATACTAGCTCCGTAGGCGGACATGGCTGCGTTGCCTCGTTGCTTCTGGTTTTGCCATCGGGATCGAGCAGCATCCATCGCGTTACCTTCGCCTCGGGCGACAACGTAGGTGTAGGTAAATGAGAGACCTGAAAGATACATAATTAGCTTGGTAAAAAAAGGTTCTATCTTGAATGAGCTAACCAATGAAGGTCCCGAGAACAGGCCAGAAAGACTTTGCAGGGTTAGGCATGTTGGGAGTTTCGGGAGTAGAACCAGGTACGCGGAATGAAAAGGTGATGTTTTAGGTTTTCAAGCTCGTTTTTAGTAGTTTGAGGCGTAAGAAGTGTATCTGAGTAGATAGTGGACTGTTGTTTGGAGGTTGATGTGGTAAAAGGGAATGTGGGGAGAAGGAGAGGCTTTTGGCTTTTGTATTTGATACGAGAATTCTCGAAGCAGAAGAACACCTTCGAACACGGACACCGCCGATGAAAACCGACCGGAATATCTTCGTGTAGCGTGATCTTGTCAGACGCATAAGGAGTTCGCAGATGGTGCCATCCCACGAGCCTGAATCTTTACAGTAACAAACCAGGGCATCGGGTGAGGCCGAAGAAATCAGGAGATACAATTGGACAGCAACAAAATTAAGCAACGCATTTACCTAGAAACGGACCGTCTGATATAAGCACACGAATAATATCTCGAATCAATTTGCGGCGCTGCGCTCAGCCTCACAGATGCAATGCCCAAATGTTTGGAACACGATGAGTCCGGTGGGGTGATCAACGTCGTGATCGTGGTTCGATTTGCGACTGAGAAGGAATGACAGCGGAAAGCCCCAGCCTGACCCTGATTTCGGGTAGCTGGAACGCAAAATCTTAACCGCACTGATGGAGCTGGTGGGAATCTCGTACGCTCCTCCTAGGAAAAATTCCCGACAAGTTCCTCGATATTACAGATGAAGAATGGAAGGAAAGGGGACAAGGACGCCCTCGGGAGCCTCGGCAGACACCGATTCACGTGATTTAGCGTGTTGGCGGGAACCGAACTTCTTCTGATAATTCCCTCGCTTACGGATTACAAGAGAGTGCCCTGAACAACACATACTGTACACGTCTGTACGCGTAACCGTGCATAGCAGCTGTCTCGTGGTCGTACTAGATTAGATGTGACTATTGATCACTCTAATGACTCAGTATGCAACATGACCCCCAAAACACCTCTTCGTCGCCTAACGCAGACAGAACGCGCTCGAGACCTTGAGATACCTGTTCTACCGTACAAACCTGCCTCAAGCAGCCTCAAATTACTCCAACAAAGCTTTTTGGCTGCTCTAAAGCCCAAGACTCCAATTCGTCACTGTCTTATTGAGCTTGAGCACGCCACGTCTTTCTGCCTCTAGCGACGTTAATTGATTTAGGAGATAGAACATGAGCTTGAAATTGAATCTAGCAAAAAGACGCCGACAGAAGCTTTTGAATAGAGGGTTATACTCGACGAACAGCAACTTAGAAGCCCCTCTCCACGCCAAAGCATATAGAAGATCGCCCGTTCTGGGCTCGGGTTTTTGGACTAAGGCTTCTTTTCGCTGTGGAAGTAGGAAAGCCTACGGTACTAGCCGAGCTGAAGAGAAATACCGGCCTGCCTACTGCGTCCCCAAGTTTAATGATACAGTTGCGTATTCTTCTAGGTCTGCAATACTACTTATCGAAACGGGCTTCTGAAGATCTGGGACCAAGAGCTCTTAGAAACTTCAGGTTAGAATGTTCATTCGATATACGGCCACTATGGTGAATTCGTTCAAAATAGAGCACAGTATTAGTAGAGGTTGGCAATAGAACATCGACGGAGGTTGGAGCTGCATCACATCACATACAGTAAAAGCACTCTCTTGTATTAACGTTACCCTCAAAAAAGCGCATAAGCCACGGCGGAGTATACTTGATCTCATGTCTTCGCATTTCCCTCTCCTCCCAAGAATCTCTCTTGTGTCCTGATATGATCTTCGATGAGATCTTTGTGGTCACCTCAACTCGAGTCCTTCTATCAATGTCCCGTTTCCAAAGTCCTTCACATCATTATTTTGGTTTTCCTCACCAAGTGCAAGTGACAAGCCAACGACTTATATAATTCAGAAGTCCAAGGATCATCCCAACAATACCACTAAAGTCGATCTACTCCTCCCACCAACCCGAATACTGATCTATTTCCATCAATTCTACTGTCGATCTGTTGTCCTGGAGCTCATGTCTCTGTGTTCTTGCTTCCGCTTCATGTGCTCTGCCGACTTGAACCGAACCCGGTCTGTGGCCAATCTCCTTCCTCTGGTTATTTCTCATATAGAACCACAACAGTACTCTAGCGAATATTACAATCGCAGCTGAAGTGCAAATCCGGATGTTGATTCCTACCCCTAGATTGTAGATCGAGCTACCCAATCAGCGCTGCTTGAGCTGCCCGGTATCGGTAGACCCTGGGTTCACAGATGTGGAAGCTTGTGGCGATGTAGCGTAGTGATACTTGCAAGCAGCGGGCAGCGTCTAAGTTTCGTTCACGGCCAAACAATTTTGGTCGCTGTATCCTTTGCAACAGAAGAGATCACCAAAGCGCGACCGTAGCGTGCTACACAGACCCAGATCCGGCATCGTTAGTCCCATCGTTGGTCGGGGCGATTGATTCAGATCACCGTACATCGCATTCTAACCAAAACCCCCTCGGCCGTTCACTTTTGTGCCTGGCACAACAATTGAAGCTTCTGCGTTACTTTAGGTATCTGCCTTGTATAGGACACCGGAGACCTGGAAAAGACGTACCTGTACGATTCTTGCACTCATGCATACACGTGACAATGGCCAATCTGAAGACGTACATCGATTGTCAAAGAAAGTCTCCGAGCACGACTTCAACTTATTTGAACTTCTACAAAATACTTACTCATAAAAATGCCACCGTACAACACGCACTGACTTCCACAGTTTAGTTGTAGGGCATCAAAGCATATCTTCAAGCCCATTACTGTCTCTTTCGAGACTGCAGTTACAAAGAGCAACGAAAAGAGAAAGGAGAGCTTCACGAACCCAGCCAGAGGATGCATTGTGATGGATGAACATCATGTCTTGTGAGAAGGGTGGGCTAAAATGGTAATTGGCGCTTCCGCATCACCTCCACTCACCCCGATGTGCGCTCTTGGCCTGATCTACATGCATGGGTATGGACTGGGGTGGAAGAGGCCAAAATTATTCAACTGTTACAGGGTGCTCATTTTGCCCCACCAGAGAAGCAACATGCCATGGAACCAGCACTTTCATTCACGAAATACATCTGTATTGAAGCCATCTATACTTTCCAAAGCAATTGTATTAGAGATTCCTCTTCACGTCCCCCCATCTGCATATTAGCATGCTCGCTAGCTTAAGCACACGATAATTATTGTTTTCACAAACCCCAAAACCTGCCCCGTGCTCTAGGTAAACGAAGCTTTAGATACTTCAGTTTTCTTGCGCAAAGTTCCTCCATTGACGATGATATCTCGCTAGAGTCGGCATCAGCGCAAAATCTTGACGCTCTATGCTAACGAACCTACACCAGTTACGAAACCCGCTTTAATTAGATACAGCGCTGCATCTGTGGTGTTATTGGGCCTTCCTGCTTGAATTGCTGGGTGGTCCTCGATATCTTTCCTGCTGACTTGGCCTTCCCAGTTCGTCCCATTCTCATCACATTCCTTACTCTCATGAGCCCCCTTGGTCCTACCTGATACGATCAAGTTCACTCGAGTATCTAGCGTACCAAGACTAATTGCCATAGAGTACATAAATCCCAATTGACCGCCCTTGGTTTGTCTCCATGCATACTTTCCATTCGTCACAGGCCGCTAGATCTTCCGTTGTATTCCTATTTATTTATTTTTTTAGTACGGACTTGCAATGCTCCTATTGACCAGGTCTTCGATATAATTTAAATGAAGAACATGGCTGCCGTTAAGATTTTGGAACAGATGTCATTGACGTTGCGGAAGTTGCATATCATGGATTCGACTTTCCCATCTCCGTGGTATTGAGCGAAATACATACGCATGCATGATATTCTTGAGCCCGACTTTATCGATGTCGAAAATGTAGATGCGATGTCCGGCTTCTAGTAGATGTCAGCATAAGGCTCTTCCGGAAATGATGATGTTCTTTGACGTATATGAGCCGGCCACTGGAGCCATGCTAGAGCCATGATGGAATCTGTTGCTATTGCCATCTTCCACATCTGATGGTGGGCATAAGATTTAATGTAGGACACTGTCCCAATGATTTTCAGATGCCTTGTTGTCCTCCACATCGCAATGAGATTACCCACATGTCACCGTCACATTTCAGCGTTGGTATCGAAAACCTAAGGAAGTTGGTATTTGGGAAGAGAGTGACCCACTAGACTCAATTAGCGCCTAAAAAGTGATACTTGGTGACAATGATGTGGCTGTTGTGGACCCTGCTCATAGAACGGAGATGCTTCAACTTTACACAGCCGCAATCTAAGAGCACATGGAAGCCGGGTATGGCCACTTAAACTCTCTTACATTGGTTTTTGTCTAGCTTTACGGGCTGGAGTAATTCTCAGTGGCTAGAATATAAATCCATTACGCATTCACACTCCCTTTTAGACGCTCACCTCATCGCTAATCCAAGGTTTAGGATCCAAACACTCCTCGGGACTAAGGACAGAAACTGCTAAGGACCTCAGCGCTACGTACCTCTAAGTTGCTCACACCAGCATCGAAGTCCAAGAAGACAAGCATTTCCATGTTGCCACGCTCTTCGGATCGCAGCACATCAGCAAGACGTAGGCTCAGCTGCTCAATCTCTTTTGATGTTCTCACCTACAGCTTTGTACGTTCATTTGTCTGCGATGCCTTTAACGAAAGAGCGCCCTGTAACTTTTCAGGGGTACTAGTTATGAGAGGAGTCATGTATTGTGAACTGAGGAGCTATATGATTTATATAGTGTTGATTATTGATGGACGCCAAGCGCAAGGTTGATTGGGCAGCCCGTCGTAGAGCCCTTCGACTTACACACCCTATAAAGTCACTCTCTTCGCGTTCAGAATGAATTGCTAGGTGCAATGAATACTGAGAGAACTGAACCAGCTTCATTACGTATTAGCCACAGAACACGGCCAGCTCGGAGCTAGCGCTATGGGCACCCAGCGCTGTACTGCATCGGCTTTGCTAGCGGAAACGAGATGGTGCTGGTCGGAGAGTCTCATGCCAAGTTTGACGATTGAGCAATTTTCGAGGACGCTACCTCCCTGCCGCCTTATTTCGGGTTCGCAAAAAGTACAGAGATGCATGACGCTGCGATGGCGAACATGAGTTCATCCGAGCGACACTCCCATACCGAAGTATGAATTGTTAAGCTCGACAAGGCCAGAGAACTTGTGGAAGTCTGCCTACACCTGTGCAATACCCCAAGTTCGCCCCGTAGCTAGCAACCATTGACTCTGGTTAAACAGAACATTTGCAACAATTTGAGTAAGAGGCTAAGCTTCACGCCGGCTTTATCAGAACTCGCTCAAGCCTCAGCAACCTCGCTTGGTCTTGCCCGCTCACAATACTTCTCATTGCAAACCAATCAGGATTTCTCATTTAGTTCTCAGCGTCTGCCGACACAATGGACCTTTCCCTTTTATGATGCCGACCGAGAGGTCGAGGCTTGAATCGTCGCACCTTTACAGTATGATCGCCCTTCGAAACGGGAGTAAACGTCATGGTCTGCGGGGTGGTCCGCTCCCTGTTCCCCACAAATGACGCTCGGTTGGGCCTGACCGCCTCGCGAACTGTCCACGACTCATCACCATTGCCCAAGGATCTAGCCTGGGCAAAAGCTTGGTTAGGCCTCACGCCTGTATGTCAATGGAGAATAAGCTCTGTTTACGCTGCGCCCTCAACTCGCGACCCACACGAGCGATTCCTTCTGTTGTTATAGTCACGTTAGGCCTGTTGGCGCCCTTGTTGTGTTTGAGTTCATGTGCCTTTTCCTCCCCCGTCATTATACCCTGCGGTCTTCATGGGAAGCTCTAACTGCTATGACAGCTTCACACCTTAGGCCGAGCGCCTACCCAACCTTAGTGGATCAGGCATTGCTTGATCACCACCTTGAAACTATGCGGGCCATTTAGGTCACTACTCAATCCAGTAATAGTTCTGAAAACTTGCGTATGCATGTCGGAGAAATGACTTGGGAGAGGCACTTCGTGAAGGATCACCGTTCGTTTCCCTAGTACTACGAGATGAAGGATGCAGCTAGGCGCTTCTCGTTGGGGATATAGTCTAGCAGTCAAGGGTTGTTAAATAATTCTCATCAACACCCCCCTACAACACCTTTTGTACTTAAAGCTGCTCAGTCTCCGCCCAGTCAAGGGCCACCATCCTTCAGTTCGCCTTGCTTTATACCTTCAGGTTGAGGTTTTTCTTCTTACACCTTCTCTTTTCTCTTCTGTGAAGACTTTTTACATTCCTTTACTGCCGGACAGTATTATATTCTTTTGTTTTTTATATTCGCCATGCGCTTCTCCACTTTTACCCAAGTCGTCGCCCTTGGCCTTTTGGCCGCAACACCGCTCGTTGCCGAGCCCGTTGACTTCTCTTCTGGCGTGGCACGTCGTCATGTGGTACGTGAAGGCTTTATCCCTTCTCTCTCCCTTCTACCCCACTGACCCGTTTTAGGGAGGACTGGGTAACTTGGCGTCCTCGTATGTGAACGCTGTCCGCGCCATCGAAGGCAACATTGAGCGCCGTCATCACAAGGGGAAGGGCAAGACTGCTGCAACTGGTGCCGCAAAGGCTGCAAAGGCCGCAAAGGCGAATGCAAATAATGGTAATGCGAATGCAAACGCAAATGCTGCCGCGGCAGCCAACAGCACCGCCGCCACTGGAGCCACCGCTGCTACGACTGCTCAGAACTGCGCAAACCAACGTCGACACCACAAAGGCAAAGGGGGTGCCGCAAAGGCGAACGCAAACACCGCCGCTACAGCCGCCAACTGCGCACGTGATGTAGAGGAAGAGCTCGAAGCTCCTGTACGATATCGCGACCTCGGCCTCGAGCGACGCCACCACAAGGGCAAGGGCAAGGCTGGGGCTGCAAAAGCAAAGGCAAATGCTGGTGCCGCGAATGCTGGTGTAGCAAATGCTAATGCTGGCGCCGCAAACGCGAATGCCGGGGCGGCAAATGCCAATGCTGGTGCTGCGAATGCTGCTGGAACTGCCAACACTGCCAACGCTGCCAACGCTGCCAATACTGCCAATACTGCCAATACTGCCAACACTGCCAACACTGCCAACACTGCCAATACTGCCAACACTGCCAATACTGCCAATACTGGAGTGACGGGAGCAACTGCTCAGAACTGTGCAAATCAGCGCCGACACCACAAGGGCAAGGGAGGAGCCGCAAACGCCGCGAATGCAAATACCGCCGCTACTGCTGCTACGGCTTGCAACTAGATGGCATTGATGGAGAATCATCCTCTGTCGAGTGTTGGCCCGTTGCCCTGGATGGATGGACTGAGTTGGTGACGTTAAGAGGGGTTGGAGTGAGTTGAGCCCCTTTCTTTTCTTGGGTTGCTGGTAAATACTTATGGAACCGGACAAATACCTCGTAACTATTGTATATATTGCAAGCGGATTTGCTTGCGAACAACTCTAGTCGCCTTGGCTGATGCCAATGTGGTAACTTTGGCATCTCATGGTCGTAGGCTCAATGTGTCGATATGCTGCGTTTGTAGCATGGCAAGGAATATTATTCAGTGTGTATAAGCCAAATTTCTGACGCTACTCTAAGCCTGGAGCATAACTGAACCAATCCTCTTCGAGATTAGACCGGAAACCCGTCAACTTTCTGTCATTCACATTGAGATACTTCCAAACAGGGACTGAAGCCAACTATACCCAAAATCCCCAAAACCCCCGTATTATGATAACTCATTACATAGCTCGTAAGTCATTCCTCGTTCCTCAGCTCCATTATCACACCACCGGCTTCCCGAAATCCTGCAAAGGCTGGGCATCAAGCAACCCCTCGTCTCCCTCTACACTCGCCTGCTCTCCTTGAAAAAAGCACAACACCTTCCTCAGCACCACACTCGCCGCATAGAACCCAATCATCGTCAAATCCACATTCTGCAGATCCTGCGGACAGTACAATTCCCCAGACAGCCTCAAGAACCCGTTCCAGAACATCCAGCACCCAATGAAGAGCACGAGCGAAATGAACATGGTGATCTTGTACCATCGTGAGAACCAGACGTTGTGGAAAGTAAACAGGGAGTCTGGGGAGCGGTATCGTTTGTGCCCGCGTACCAAGTAGTACGCGTTTTGGAGGATGATTTTGAGTTCTTTGAAAGGGGCTACGATGAGCATCATCCAGGCTAGGACTACGGGGAATGTAACAAGGTATGCAAGAGCAACCAGACCACCACAACAAATGAAGGCGATAGAGATGCCAATTGCAGATACGTAGAGCAACAGGAAGTCGGTAACGATTGAGGCCATGGCGCCACCTGCGAGGTAGGTTTTCCACCAGATTGGGCGTGAGGGGTCAAGGGTGTGATTGGCACTGATAGCGCCGAAAAGCGCCATGTATCCTCCGAATATGGACAGCAATATTTGGGCGATCATGTCCATCATACCATCAGGTCCCCAACCACCGTCAATGTAGCCAAGGAGCGCATGAAAAAACGCACCGCGGGGGCGGATGCTGAACAGGACAAAGGTCTTTAGCATGTCAATCTGATATCCCTGCCTTTGGAGAACAATGCCCACCAGCACCACGTTCTCGCAAATGTCTTTCGCAATAGTTGCCCAGAAACCGAGATTGCTGACACGAAAAGTGCGTGAGCGGACTTGCACATGTTTGCCTTGAACAAAACGGCGGAATAGCCGGATCCAGAAGCTGGGGTTATCAATAAGGAGGAAGACGAGGAAGTCAACTATCGTGACACGTGTTAAATGTGAAATGGTTTCAGTAGGTGTGGGACAGGTGTTTCCGTTGCTGTCGACTTGGAAGCCGATTGGGACGAAGTTTATGCGTTTTGCTGTTCGAGATACACATTGGGTGATGTTAGAGTCTTGCTTCGCGGTGCAGCCAACGTATGTACGAACACTGAGATGATGCATTAGGAAGGACGGAAAAAGATGCGGAAGGGATAAGTGTGTACCTTTGAATACTACATGCGAGTAAGTTGAACGACATCTTTCCACATGGTCTGCTGCTGCTAGGTCCCTTAGCACAGCAAGTACTATTCGCAATCGAGTCGTAGTCGAACTGGCAGGCTGCCTCCATAATCTAGAGGAACGATCTGTTAGCTACAGAATCCACTCACGAAATAGGTATCTCACAGGAACGATACTAGGCAACTTCTGAGTGCTATTACTCAAAGGAAGCACAGGAAGAGTCGCGTTTTTCCAGGGCCTGGTATCGTTGTTTTGTGTGTGATACATGGCTGGGAAAGCCTCGACAGGCAGAAACTTCAAGTTCTCGAAAGGCTGCGAACATGCAAAGTAGTCGCCATATCTTAAGTGAAATCAGCAATAGCAAGCAAAACTTGAGACATGTGTGAACGTACTGTGTGGCAAGGCATTCCCCATAAATCTGGGCAATAGTAAATCGGTCCTTGGAAGAGTTCTTCGGATTCTCAGGGCTTGCCTCGAGGTGGTCCGCAATGAATTGGCAGTTCCTAGTCAAAGCCTGGTAGTGGGATTAGGCTGGCCACCGCCTGTGAGCATGGATTCGACGTACATCGAAGAAGCCCCGAGGGTTGAATGTCAATGAAATGTTCCCAGTGTATGTGCCGTTAAAAGAGTACGCCGTGATTTGCGCTGAAGTATTCCATGCCTGGAACAGGACGCCAAAAATGGCTGATACAAGAAAACAAGAGAAGACCATAATTATAAACGAGCGACTGGAATTTTGGAAAAATAACGAGCGACAAAAGGTTTGAATTTAAAGCTACATCTGGCAAGGCATGCAAGAAGTATATACTATGCATCATCCAGGGCTGACCGGTAGTGTTACAGCCTTGCAGGCCCTTCACGGAAGGCTTGCCCGTGAACCTTACCATATCTCTATTCGTATCTTTCATGGCATCACATCCCTATTCCTGCATCGCAATCTTCAGCTCGCGGACTTTTTCTCAGGAGAAAAGACTTGGCAGTTCAAAGGACCAATAAGGAAAGGGTCCAGGACGTTGCATCGCAAGCCACCAACCCCTGGGGGATTTCCACAACGATTAATTAGGCAATAAGGCGCTACACATGTACGACGAAGACTGATGAAGAAATTCTTGGTGAAGAAGGCTGAAATGAAGAGGGAAAGTTAAAGGTATTTTTAGCAACCTAAGCTAGGATGGGACTAGGTCAAAATTGTGTGATTCAACCCGCCTCGCCTTTATGATCTGACTCAGCTACCCCACCTCACTGAACGTTATCTATTCCCACCAACCTCCTTCGAGCAGGATTGCAGAAGATTGAATTATATCTGGGCGCATGATGAGTATCTTGCTTTGACGTCCTCATTGACAGAAGCCTACAGCAACGTCATGACGTTGACCAGGTGTCCCGCTGCTATGATTATTTGACCAATCACAGGAAACGCTTCCTGGCCTGGCCGTTAGCAGCACAGCTTAAGAACCTCAACTGACTGTCAGTACCTTTTGTGACATAAGGCAGCGTATTCCTCTTGTCATTCACTCTCTCCTACAATTTTGTCGTCAAGCTTGGCTGGTCTCAACCCCATCATCTTCTCATACACCGTGGCTCCCCTGGCACCAAAATACGACTACATAATCGTCGACGGTGATACCGCCCGTGTTGCAATCGCATCCCGTCTCTCTCATTATCTCCCATCTCTCTCAGTCCTCCTCTTAGAAGTCGGCCCCAATGCAGTCAATCACCCAGATGTCACCAACCTAATTGCCTTCATATCCTGATGACCACGGGACACATAATCAATCGACTACTCCACAACCCCGCAACCGTATCCCAATAATCGGAAAATCTGGAATCCGGCTGGCTGTATGTTATGCGGTTCTTCGGGCGTGAATGTCGGGGTATGTGCGAGGGCCTCTAGTGCGGATTACGGCGACTGCCCTGTTTCTAGGCTCTTGTTCGATGAATCCAATTTTGCTACGGGTGTCGAATTAGTATCTGAGGATGTGCTGTATGCAGTCATATTATCCTGTGGTGCGCGAAAGATATCCCAGACCCTGATGCTCTCCGGTATAAGTCCTTCGAGCGAACTAATCCAAACATAACATCCCGCAAATTGTAGATTCTCCAGAAGTTGGAATAGATCTCCTCGACTACAGTTCGCTCACTCAATACATCAGACTGAAACCCCGGGGTATGGTTTCGTACATCCGTTCTCAGTGGAAACGGTGGGACCTGAGTATGGTCAGGGCTTACCATGGCAATGGATCCTTTCCACAATATAGCTCCGGAAGACCTCGCTCCCATGCTTGTTCCAGATAACGAACCAGGCGTACAAGGAGCACTACACCCCCACCTTCAACTCAAAAGGTGGCACTACATGACGATACCCTTCTACTTTCCCATCTTGGTGGCTCCCAGCCTACAATCCCTTGTCCCGCAGAACCACAACACTGCAATCTCCAAACCCCCTAGACAACCCAATCGTCAATCCAAAATACCCTTCTACTACCACAGACCGATACATCCTCCGCCACACCATTCGTTCAAACCCCGCTCTTATCTCCACCTTACATGTTCCTGAGTAATTCTATGGAGAGACACTGTTGGCTCCCGAAGGATATAGTGGTCCTGCATTCATAGCTCTCGTAGTTGATAGTACTGACGATGAATTCGACCACCGAATCAAAGAATTTACGCAGACGATCGCGCATCCCATTGGCACGTGTGCTTTGAGTACGATGCTGGATGGGGAGTTTAGAGTTAAAGGGGGTGAAGGGTCCGAGAGTTATGTGATGCGAGTGTGTTTCCAGAACCCGTGGGCACGATGCCATGTCAAACTGTTTGTGCCTTTGTGGAGTTGTGTGCAGATTTAGCTGCTGAGAGGCAGTGAGCAGTGGATGGGGAGCAACATACCCATGACAACAGCTGAAAAAAAAATAAAAATAAAAAGGAAGAACGACGTCAAGGTAAGTTTTTAGCCATCACGCCAAATCTTTGCGACCTCCAGCCCAGCCAGAATCCTACGATATCAAAAATAAGCTTCGTATACAATTCGTTATGGTCGATATATAACTCCCCTTTTCAATCCAGCAAAGATCTTCACCGTCCACATCATAAGCACACCATAACCCATCGTATGATACTGAACGGCACATTAAAAATAACCTCGCAGCCCACCTAATTCCATTTACAAGTTATGCCAGCCTCTTACAGGATTCGTTGTAGTGAGATTGTATTCGTCATCGAGGCTCATGCACTCGAAGAGAAGTTCCTTGTTCTAGACTTTGAAGGGTGACTGCCATGTCTTTGGGTAGGTTGGTGAATAGTGTGTATTGTGATTAAGTATGTCTTTGTGGTTGAGGGAACGGAATTTGAGCGTTCGCACTCTGGAGTGTCGAAGAGGTGTGATGCGTGCGTGTGATATGTTTGAAATAGAGAACTTGCAGAAGTGCGTTACTGCTGCTGTTGCCGGCTGATTTTTGTGTTGTGTCTCGGGTTGATATTGCGAGATGAGCCCTTGGGTCTCTTTAGATATTAAATATGAGATTGCGTTTAGGTAAGTCTACGTAAAGCAACTCGGTTGAGGTGCTAATATGTTCACTGGGAGATCGTCCAAGCTGATGATCTTAAATGACGACAGGCGACGTCCCTGTGGATGATCGAGTTGTGTTGCGCAAAGGCTGCCGATGTTGACGGATGAAATGTTGTGCCTAATCTTCGTGACAATAATCTAGGAAGACTCCCAAAATATGAATAGGCATTCTGCCTGCAAGGCTAAGAAAGGACATGGTACCATGGCTGTGGCTCCGCTAGTTTAAAACTGCAGACTAAAGTCAATTTCTATCCCGCAACGCGTAGTAGGTAGCTTCTGCGGAGATCTCTGGGTTTATTGAAAGATCAATGACACGAGCCTTCGCTTTGCCAACCCGATTAATCAAGTAATTGACGAGAGGTAATCGCATGTTGAATATTCGAAGGCATTATGGCACTTAATATATACCAAAAAGTACGACCCTGCTTCCAACCCATATGTCACTCCCGTAAATGCTCGCAAGGAAGTCCGGCGAGAATATATTGCATTAGCAGCTGTCCAAAGTACTAGTCATCCCTTGTTATTTCTTCACACTGTCTAGCTAATTATGTCTCGATGGAAGCCCACCTCAGTGGAGTTTTCGGTGATGAAGAAAGGAGGTATCTAGAGAGGTTCCCCATATTGACCGATATGAGCTAATGCGCCCAGGTATCATTAGGATTTCTTGATTGGACCGAAAGCGAAGAAGGGTGTAGATGTTCCTAGTGCTCAGTTTCATGTAAAAGACAATCCAATCTGCGGGTAGACATACGGAGAGAAGAGAGCGACAGTGATGTCCGATCCACCAACACATGGCTCACCCACATCGCCATTGCAAAGTTAGAGAATGAATATTGTCGAATAAGACTTCTTCGAAATCTTCTAGTAGTTAATAGCGACCCAAGCCGGTGACGCCATACCTTGGTTAGGCAGGTTCTAACAGAGATTGGAAAAGATAGGAAATTCGTGGGCACTTCAGAGCTGAATTGTAGAAAATCAAGGCGTTCTTAAGGCAATATGTCTCTCATAAAACAGCTGCAGGGAGATACACAAAGGTAGACAATATGTGAAAACCAAAACCAACAGATGAAAGACGTTGTCATAAGGTAGGAATCGTTACATTAAGCCGCGTTTAGAAAATTGTAGCAGTTGCACTAAGTTCACCACCCACCCCACTACTTATTGCACGTTCTTCCATTTCGAGTTCTTCCAGAAGGGGTTAGGTAGTAAGATTTCCAACCCACGCAGATATGTATTCGCAATAGGAAGTATACCTACCTAATAACTCTTATTTAAGAACTGTATTGCGACCCCCCTTCTGATGTAGTCGGCATCTTCAGTGACGTAGCTGCCTGTTTCTGTTACTTTAAGATCATTTCTCAGCCAGAGGTGAAATTATTGAGACGTCACAGGTTCTTATTACATTTCAAAGGGTTGGGGAGCTGTAGGGCTACAGCTCTGCAGCAGTCGATTTACAAACGAGCCTTAACAAGCATTAGTCCAGAACGCCTGCTGGATTAAGAGTGAAAACTTCCACGAACATGCGAACTTGCCGCTTCCTTAAGGGTTCAAATTAATATCTACCTGTCGTTACTAGACATTGCGTTGGCGATATAAGCTTACCTTTAGAGGATAAGACTTCCGTCGCACCAGTGGATTCCGGTTGGATTGTAGTTATAATGATTGGGTATGTCCTCTTGGCCATTATCCTTCGCACAGCGTCCCCTACAACACCAGAAGTTGTTTGACTCGATATCTCTCTCACAGTGCCGTCGCGACGATGTCTTCACAAGAGTGAGTGCTCATATTTGGGAAAAGGTTTCTTATTTTCATAGAAAATTGCCCATTAGAAAATTCTCCCGTCCCTCTTCCTTTGCTCCAGAAAGTCAGTACCCGTATAGAACATCAGCATCTCCTGCCACTGTGAGAGCCATTCCTGTTTCAACCAGCTCCTATCCTCAGACCATAGCTTTTCGTGAACGACCTTAAGCATCCCTTCTTCGTTCTCTGCTGGGAAGAAACCACCGTATTCTCTCTCTAGCTGTGTAGCCGGGAATGCCCCGTTCACACTGAACTGCCAATTAAGGAATGCTTGTTCAGCCATGAGACAGTTGTAACGGTCGGTCTTGACGTAGTTCTGCAACAGCCGCTGGTGCATTCTTTCAGAGGGTGCAAAAACCATACTCCCGACATTTATATTCACGTCTGTCTCGTTGAATGGGTTCTGCGGGACGCCGGCGAAGACGTAGGGTTCGCAGACCTGTGTTCCATCTGCGAGGTAATCGTCTGGTTGTAGTTTTGAGTCGATGCAGTTCTGGGTCGGGGATATGTCGAAGATTGAGTCGACATTAGCGACAGGGAAAGCATCAGCGTCCAAGAAAAGGATGCGTGAGAACTCGGTTTGGTTCCACATGTTGAGTTTAGCAAACAGGTCTTTCCAGCGACGCTGGACACCTTCAACATTTGGGTTCCATTCCAAAGGATCGAGCTCTCGAACTATGGCCCCGGCTCCAGAGAGAAGCTGACGCTGCTCGGGGGTGACAAAACCTCCTACGAAAACTACGAAAGGGTACTTTTCCGTGCGTGACCGAGGAGACCACAATACTCTGTAGATGAGGGAATGAATCGCCATGAAATACGCATCTTTCAGTGAGGGGTTTCTAGTGGCCATGAATGTGGCATACACGTTTGTTTTGGGTCCATTGGGCTCGTAGTTATGGGGTTTATTATTACTAGCTTGCTTCAATATCTCAATTGGGAGCTCAAGCTCAAGGTCTTTCTGGAAAGGGAATTCAGCTTCGAAAACTGGCGGATTGCTATCTGGTCCTGTCGGTAGTTCCAGGCCGGCCGGCGGTGGCAGCTCGGGGACGTCAGCTAATGCTGGTGGAAGGTTCTCTGGTAATGGTACATGCTCCGAAGATGATTCATGGTGAGGAGAAGAAGCGCGCGGCGGATCCAGCTTGGATTGAAGCGGACTGGTCAAAGACTCGCCACCATTTGGACTTGACGGAGTCTGCTCTGGCGTTGTCCTGCCGCCGCCTTTGTTCCCCAATTGCCCGTACGGTCTCCCGAAGTGGTCAGCCTCTGGCAACACGGATTGATGCTGCGCAAAAAATAAAGCTGTTCCAATAAGTAGTATGATTGCTGCCACAAAACCGCGCAGCCGTCTCATGATAGCAAGAGAGGAGAAGGAGCGATGGGAATACAAACACAAACAATGTTGCTCTGCTTCAAGACTTTACGGGTCCGTGCAGATCCATTCCGCCTCCGTGCCCCGGACGTCACCCGGGAGCTAGCTCAACCTGAGCCGAGGTTTTGAACTGCACATGTTCCTCCTGCTACAGAGGAGGGGTAGACGCAGTGGTTCGTACCCTCACTACGTTTGCTTGTCATCTAAGACTTTAACGGAAGGTTTCAAGTTAATTAAAAGCTCTAATTAGACGACACCTTGTTCTTTTCCACTGTCAGTAAGAACCAGCAGATTTACATACTAGCAAGGGTACGAACCGCCCGCATACCCCTGTAGCATCGGAGGCAACACCATTTCAGGGCATCCAAGAAAGTCAACAGCAGTGCCACTCGCAGCGTTCCGAGGTTCATACAAAGGGCATGTGGAGACACATGTGAAGCCGAGCACGGCACGCAACCATAGGGCCAACGAAGGGATGAAAATACCAGAGTATGGTTACGATCAAGGTAACCCATTTCCTTGCTTGTGTCGATTTTCGACTATTTGAGTCAACTATGCTTTTCGCGACGGCGGCTGCGCTAGAGTCTTCTTGTATACCCAATTCGAAAACTTCACGCTAGGCCCGTCAAAAAGCTTCGTCACCACTTCCGCTGCATAAAGCGTGACAACGAGGATGACAAGCTGTGGAGCCCAAAACGCCAATTCAAATCCCATCGGCCCTTTCTTGGAAAGGGGGAACGCATCAACCCACTTGGGGATGTGCTCCTTGTGCACTTCTCTTGCAAAGCCCACTGCAGCGTAGAGTCGGTCGGCTAGTACCCATATCACTAGCCCATGTACCAAGTATAGAGCGAACGAGATGCGAGCGAGATACTGGCAGAAGCGTGCTTCGAAAAATTGCTTCAACCATGGCAAGCGTGGTATCGATGCGACAACGAGGGACGCTGCCCAGAAGAGATAGAACCATTTGGCATCAAAAACAGCCTGTGGCTTGAGGTGTGAAAGCCAAATCCATCCGGGTGACTTGGACAGAAGGTGCTCATAGTCGGGTGTATCATAAGATGGCACGCCACCAAGATAGAGGGCAACGAGGAAAAGATGGAAAAAGATGAGCTCCTTGAATCCTTCTAACATCTTGAAGAAGCGTGGCAGTTGATCGTCGAGAGCAAGCATATCGAGATCGCAAAGTAGCATGCCAGACATAAAAAGGGCTCCGTACCAGCCATCGACGATGTAAAGGAAGTAGAACACCAAGCCAGCTTCGCACCACAGCCGCGCATTCCTCGTGCACCTAGAGAAAGCAGAGAGCGCGGTATAGACGATGATGGAGCCTTTGAACTCAATTGGAATGGACCACGAATGAGGGTGATAGAGCAGCGGAAATTCGTACATGTTGCCAGTCAGGAAGACAAAACTGTAGTTCTTGAATGTATAGTACCAAGTCTTGACATCTTCGCGATAAGTGCTCTTGGGTTCGCCAATCTGAACCCAGATTTTGGTCCAGTGTCGTTGGGACATCCATATAAAGGTAACCGCGATTACGGGAATGTAGAGCCGTAGCCAGCGACGAAAGAGTGCCGAGCCAACGCTGTCCGCCGAGTTCTGAAACTGGCCGTTATGGATCAGGCCCATGGACTTGACGGAGAGGACATATCCAGAGATTACGAAGAATATGGCTACTGCAAAGTGGCCACCTGAAAAAAGGTGGCGCACAAAAGGAAGGGCAGCAGTGTAGTGCCTACCTTCGTAGCCAAAAGCGTTCTCGTAGATTAGATTTCCGTTCTGGCCGTGAGCCCACAATTGATTGTGGTGGATGTAAACCATGAATGCCGCGAATCCTCTTAAACCATCTAGCCATGCTGTTCGTCGAATGGGTTTTTTTGGACTGCTAAGTCGCAGATTCAGGAATTCCGGTCGAACAAGGTCAAAACTCCACCTTGAAGCCCGTACTGGCTTCCAAGCTGCGGATTTCAGGCTGACTTCCTCCATACGGTCGTGGTCCAACAGCCCATCGAATTTGGCTGGCATTGTGGGCAATCAAGCTTGAAAGAAGAATGCGGTCCACCAAAACCAAGGGCTGCTGATGATGAGGAATTGAAACCCGGTGTTCTTGAAAGACTGCAAGTGCGAATACGAACAGTAGCTGAACCAGCAATGCGGTAATACATTTTAAGGGCTTGACAGCAGCGCGGCCGTCATACCGAGGAGCTGCAAGTCGGTCTAGTTTCGGCATTCGTTAGACGTTGTCAAATTTGCACAAGTTGGACTGTAAATGCGGGGATAAGCTAGCCTTCCCCACCAAGAACAGGGAATGTGGGCAAACACGCTGCGTTGGATTCCACATGCGAATCCCGGACTCGCCGTTCTCCCAGACATGTGAGTGATGTGATAGGGCTGTCCCTGGCAGACGGACAACGGTCCGAAAACGACTATTCTCCTTTGCTCATTCCGCCGAAAAAGATCTCCCGAGTTTGCAATGCATATGCAGTGTGCAATATTCTCCCCTGTTAGCCTCTGCATCTGACCTGCCTATATTGTACGTACCCAGTGTGAATCCCTTCACAAGCTTGGACATCACCGCGGCTCAGAAATCGTGGGGACGAGAGGTCTGTGGGCCAGGGAACTATGGTCAAACTGCTCATAGCTTCCAGCAGGGTTAGCAAAAACGTGGCTGTTGCAATTTCATGATAACCTCAGGATGCGTACCAGGTCGTCCAGGCCCCCTCCTCTCAAGCTTCATCTCGACACCAAGATGCCTGCCCACTCCCCAATTGCCTCCCATTTTCGGATCAGGCTTACTACTCAAGTCCGGAGAATATTACCAGCATACATCGTCCTCATCTTGTTGTTCTTCTTCTTCGCCAACTCAGACTACTTCACTGCCCCCATTCGAGCTGCGCACAAGTACAAGCGAGAGCTAAAATACCAAAAGCCTCTACAGCAGTCAAGCCCCCTCATTCCCAGAAAGATTTGGCAGACATGGAAGACGAGCCCGCTCGCATTCGAGCAGCGCGATTCGGATGCAGCGAAGACTTGGCCAGCGAAGAATCCAAGTTATAGGTACGAAGTGTTGACAGACGAAAATGCTTTCCAATACGTCGAGTGGCACTACGGCGTCCATGGATTTAACCGACCGGATATCATCGATCTCTACAGAACTTTAAACATAACGATCATCAAGGCCGATCTCCTCCGCTATCTCATCATGTACGCCGAAGGTGGTGTGTATGCCGACATTGATGTGGAGTGTCTCCGCCCTGTCAATAGATTCATACCTGAACGGTACAATGAGCATGAGGTCGATATGATCATTGGCGTAGAAGTTGACGAGCCAGCATTCGCGAACCATCCAATCCTAGGGTCTAAGTGCCAGTCATTCTGCCAATGGACGTTCGCGGCGAAACCACAGCTTCCGGTTATGATGAGACTTATTGACAACATTCAGGACTGGCTTCATAATCTCTCAAGACAGAAGGGCGTCCCCATATCACAACTTGAGCCTGATTTTAATGAGGTCATCAGCGGAACAGGTCCTTCCGCCTTTACGCAGGCGGTTCTTGAACAGATGACGGCGCAAAACCATAGAAAACCGGTGACCTGGGACCTGTTCCATAACCTGGCAGAGTCAAAGCTCCTTAACGGCATCCTGGTTCTTAATGTGGAAGCCTTTGCTGCAGGACAGGGGCATTCAGATTCGGGTAACCATGATTCGCGGGCTGCCCTCGTCAAGCACCACTATCATGCCTCGGGGTGGCCAACTCTCCATCCACGGCAGAACCATCCTATGTACGGTGAGGTGGAAAAGTGTAATTGGAAACCAGATTGTGTCGCTGAGTGGGTGAGTCTCGATCTACTTCTTTCTCTTTGATTCATAGCTGTCCTCGCTAACAAGAGATAGGACAAGAACGTAGCCGAATGGGAAACGCTCCCGAAGGATGAGCAGGACAAGCGTCTTGCTAGTAAGCCACCCATTGCATCTTAGATTCAGGGAGCCTGTGAATATTTATTCCTCCACCGAGTCTTGAATACTAGTCTTGAAAAGCAAGGATGATCGCCAAATCAGCCGACGTCCGGTTCGTGGCATCACCGAAATGAGAAGGCGTGGCCCGAAGAGTAGGACTATGCAAGCCATTTTGGTTCTTCAGTGAGAAGGTATAGGTTCGTTGCTTGAAGACATGGGACATGGAAAGGGGTCTTTCATCAAGCTAAGACAGAGGTTCAGGCGTTCGGGGAAAGTGGGGTCAACGTAGCTATTTATAGACACGTGGGATACGAATGACATATATTGATCTTTAAAAATTGTCCAAGTAGTTCTGTCACAGAGGTTGAATGCTTGGTTATTTCGATGGTCTCACTACGAGATAAGTCAAAGTATTAACGGGACCCCATAATTTGGGAGGGAGCACAATGATGCAGTAGCATCAGCAGCTTCAGACTCTAACTGAATGTGTGGCCAATCAACCGTGAGCTATTTTTCCAAGTAGGATACCTATGCGGTTATTTTAGGATAAGGGTAGTATTTTTAAAGTAGCAGTATAGAATAACCAACACAAACGTAGATAGAAAAAACAATTGTAAAATTCGCAGTAGAATAAGTAGATTTAGTAATGTTCGTAGTACAATATTATATTTTCTCTACTTAGAACAAACATAAAGCGTGGAGTCTAAGTAAAGCGTAGAGTCTAAGTAAAGCGTTTTAATGCATTTTTTTTTAAAGATATAAGAAATGACCCTTAAATTAGCTTGCTATATCTAAAAGTAGTAGTCAAAGTAAGTCTTCAGATCTAATCAAAGAATTCGTGACGCATAGTTTTCTAACATTACGTAGAGATGTAGGTGTTATCAACGAGAGCTTACAAAAATATATACGAATAGGATCTAATTTTAGAAAGATCAATGCAGGAGAAGGCGAAAAGGCAAGGTGAGAATCTGTCATTGCAAGTGTGTTCGTTCTATCTATTAGTAGCAAGGCAAATTTCTTACACTCGCAAACACGAGAAATAGTAGTGGAATAGATGATGATGACGACAACGACGACGACGACGGCAGTGGCAACCGTGCAACAAAGTGGCTGACGCTCAAACGGAAAAGACCTCGGCCAGGCAAGCAGCACAGCCAAACGTCGTATATTGCATCAAAGCTGCGGCAGGTCGCCCTCCAACCGTGCCTTGACCCCAAACCCTCTTTCAGTATCTCAGTACAGCGGTTACGATCCCAAGATATGCTATAGTGATGACAGCGGTGACGACGGCAGCGAAGAAAGCGGTGATCACGGCCGCGATCTTGGAGGCAACAAACGACCAATATCAGCCGCACGCCGGTATCGCTCGCGCAGACATATGAGGAGGCGGAATTGCAGCAATGCTGGTTAGGGTCGCAGATACGGCCATCACACGATAAGCCCTCAAGTTCAGGCTGATACAGAGCTCTACTTTGACAGCCAGCCAATTCCGGGAATTTGGACAGAAGCTAAAAGGTAAAACTCTCCCTCCTGCCACCTACAAGCGCCAGAGGACAGAGCGGTGAAAGGCCAAGTAGAAGCGCAAGCTATCACAACTCGATGACGAAGGACAAGAGGAATACTCTGGGGAGTAATCAAACTTCCGGCCAAGCACCTGGAAACCCACTAGAGGTCCTAAAAGGCGCGAAATCACTAATAGCAATGCCTAGACGACCTCGACCGCAACCTCAACCAAAGCAGAAGCAGTAATAGCCGAAGCAGGTAGCAACGAAGATGGGTACAATACTTTAGATGCATCCGCCGCTTCGGTACTAGCTAATCCTAACGACGCTGATCATGTGAAGGTTTTGGTAGAGATAGCGGAACAAGAGGAATACATGGCACCACCAGAACGACGAGGCTGACCACCAAAGGAACGAGACTCGATTGCCATTCCCCAAGAAGACCTTCGAATCAAGCAGGGAATTAAATATGAGACTTATGAACGATTTGAAGAATGGGAAGAAACCTTCAAATTCTTTAAAGAAAACGGCAACCACCCCATTCTAATCAATGCCCGGAACACTGCGTAGGCTCTCGTTACACAGTACATTTCTAACGCCGGCACCAGCACTTCCGAAGTTATCCCCCAAGGACGAATTCGAAGACGACCTGGATGTTGTAGATTGCCTGCTCTCAGAAGAAAAGACCATCGTATAGTGTGATTGGATGACCAACAACTTCGAATAACTCCACGCGTAGCAGAAGAAAATGCTCTAAAAAGCCGAAAAGAGGCTTCCAAAAACCAGAAAAGAACTTCATCGCAAACATCAACAAATGGGCGATGAAAGCCTGTTCTCAGGCCTCGCGGCTGCGAGCCCTCCGCATGCGGTTAAGACGATTCTGGAAAAGCCCGGGGAGTATATTCTCTCAGAGTTATCAATTATGACGGGCTTAATAAGGTGAATTCCGGTGCGAGGACGGAGTCACAGCAGGATTTTTGCCTAAAGGGTAAGAAAAAGTGTAGTCAGAGTAGACGTAGATCGAGACGTCTGACAATTGGGAAGAGAACGAAGAGGAAGAAGCGCAGGAGGTAGCCGAGGAAGAGGTTGAGGAAACGTAGGAGCAACTTGATGATGATGGTGAGGGCTTTGGGTGGAAGTGATCTTTACAACGACTAGACTTGTGATCAACCTTTTAGGCGATTGATATTTGGAAATTATCTTACTAATGGGGATAGCATTAAAGATTGGGGGAGGATTGTGTAGTGATACCCATAATTACAGAGCTTCTTTTGAATGCTAATATTAATTTTAAGGGAAATGGGTTCTGAATGTGTGACAGAGTGTGCTTGTCTGAGTGCTTGAGCCTTTGGACAAGTGTGGGTAGTTTATGAAAATGTGAAGGTTTCAGTGGTATGGCGATTGTTCGGTCGGCAAGATGGGTTTGGAAATTATTTTGGCATTTCTAGCATTGCCTCATCGAAATCTTACTCTCTAAATTGTATCGATACAAGCAACGGGTCCACCCGTCGCTCGACCTAGCAATGAGCACCAAGCAACGAATAAACTCGGCTCAACAGTCTCAAAAAAGCCTTGAGAATATTGCAATTCCGGGTTTGACCAATCCTGTGCAGTTTCCTGGATAGAATGTGCAATTCTCAGTGCAATTTTCATGCGTAATTTGGGAACTGAGTCGGCGCCTAACAATTCGGCAAGCTGTATCACCCGAGCTGCTGCTCTGGTTGCTTCCTCTTCAGCGCCCGAGGCCGGATCTGGACGCATTGCAAATAGAAATCGATTTGTTAGAGCTAGGTATGCGAGGAATCTGGTAAGGGTCCCGATCCGTTGCAGCAAAGTAGGGTTGTTGAGGAAAGCGGTTTGCTCCTCAGGCGCTTCGCTAATCCTGAGCTCATGATTCCACTTTGTATACCACCTTGAGTAGTTACTCAACAAGTCGCGGAGTTTGGATATGATTTCCTCTCTTTGGTCGTGTTGCTGGGTCATGATAACCTCCGTGGCTCTCTTGAATAGGCCTGGAGCGCAAGCTGAAACCATCCAGAACGACACCACGGTCTCAGAACGATCTCCTAGGTAGGACCCAGGAATAACGGTTGATTGAAGGGCATTCTGCCATTCCAGCTTGTCAAAGAATATGGCCACATTCGCGAAACAGGCTTCTAGAATCTGTCTAAACTTAGTAGGTTGTGCTCGGGTAAGGAAATATATGTACCATAAGTTCAGCTTGTGCTATGAGAATGTCTTTCTCGACTTCTGTAGTGATATTTTCTGGCCCGAGTGCTTCTAGAATATCAAACGCACCGCGGGAGTGCATGATCCAGGCGCGATGGCTGGAGAAGTCAAGAAGCTTCTAAGAGTCAGACAAGAGAGCGATTAGGAGGATAGCATATCTCACCTCGAATAAGGCCATTAGCAGTGTTGCATACCATGTATCCCAGTTCACTTCTGGCGAAGTGATGGCGTTTGATAAACTTCTAATTGCTCGACCGTACATTTGCGTGATCCGAAGCTCCTCTGATTCCCGTAATTGAACTTCCGCACCTTGCTGCAAACTGCAGCGGACACGCATGACGACACAGTCGATGGAATTATCCAGACATTTACTGTAGCCATATATTTGAGGAAGGGTGTGGAGAATCGAGTCATTGGCTAGTCGACAGATTTTAATCCATCTCCTTGGATTTATGGCTGCGTCGCTAGCCGCAGCGTGGCACAGAAGATTTGCTGTGAGATCAGGCTGCAAAAGGATAGACATTTCACTAGGGAATTCGCGCCGATGGGGTAGAAAGGATATCGGGGGGGGAAATCGAAGGGGATGTTGTTTTTGTTGTGTGAGAAAATCTGGAACCTGTAAGGTGTTGATTCGAGCTTGCACTCCCTGCTCTCTGCGAGTTGCGGCGCCGACGCGTCTAGAGACCTTTTGAACGGTGCGTATATCTGATTCGCTTAGACGGGTATTGTGAGGACCTTGGTTAATGAATTCCCAGCTGCGCATTGTCAACTTTGAGTATATTGTGACCTTGTCGAGGTTCAACAAACTCCAAGTTGCCAAGATTTATGAATTTGAAAATGGGATTCGGGTGACGTTAAATAGTAAAATACAAGGGCTCAACTATCTCGAAACAGTATACCTCAGGGGTTAAGACTCCTCGATGCTGTGATCCATGAATTTGAAGTGGAATTCAGGTGGTGCCCGAAGCTTGGCTGACTGCTCTATGACTGCGCTGGCTCTCACCCGAGCCTGCGCGTCACTCCCCTGCCAATAAATTCTCGCTCAGCGGTTTAATGGCGCGAGAACAAGGGTTTAATTATCTTGAAATAGTATAACCTTAGAGTTAAAACTCCTCGATGCTGTGATCTATGATTTGTAGTGGCATTCAGGTGACGTTAAATAGTGCGATGACAAGGGGTCAACTGTCTCGAAATGGTATAGCGTCGGGATTAGGTAAAACACGATGACAAAAGCCGCAGGCATCACCACGTTCATGGGACTGCATGCCCGAGCTGTGCTGCAAACCACCCTTACGCCCCAGGGTCATAACAAATCCAGAGACATGTTTGAGTATAAGAAGGTGTCGGGTTTGCCTTTCTATTTATTAAATTCGCTCTTCCCCAGGTCTACATACTTAAATTACCTGACCACTCGTCAACGTGACCTCGCACCGAGATTTTCCACTTCAGTTACTTGAACTGAAGTACAATGCAGTTGACAACTCAAGATTTGCTTGATCGTCATGAGGAAGTTTACAAGAGGACACATGTTGCGATGAATTCTGACTTTTGGATAGGGCAAGCCTCTGCGACCACAAGTCCTTGCCCCTTTTTTCCGAATTGGCAGATGTTGGAGTTTTCCCCCGAATATTCATAAGTAAGGACTCTGCCAAGTAACCTCGTATTATTAGGAGAGAATATTTAGTAAGAATGCAGTTTCATGCGTTGACCCTCGATGCGTACCGGAAAACATTTTCGGGATTCGGCCTGGAGGTTAGTCGCCCTCAATCTCACTATATGGAGCGAATGACTAATAGTCGGTGTAGAAGTAGACGCGGTTGTTTTTCGAGTCGCGGGTGGAAATTCTCAATTTGCCTTGAATTCTCTGCTTGCTGTGGACACTCTTGCCGGGCTCATGGAATGCATTATCATCCAGCATACCGGTATGATGTCCGATCACCCATTATACGGGTAATAACGTGAGCCCATGTAGACTGTGGCGCCACTATGTTTCGTGACGCCAATATCAAGGACGAACTGAAAAAGCGGGCTCCAGATATGGGACTGGAAATCGAGAGCTTAGAATTTGGCCAGATTACAGGGTAGGTTTTCTCCGCTTCGAAAATTGAGGAAAGCACTGGTATTGATAAAATTGGTAGAACACTGGAGGAAAATGTGAAGAAAAGCATGGATTTCTTGCGCATGTCACCTCTAGTTCGCCCGGCGCTCAAATCAAAAATTCGAGGATTCGTGTATGACATTATAACTGGCAAGCTTAAGGAGGTTTTAGCATGAGCCAACCGTTGAAGTGAAAATTGGAGGGGTGCATTTCCGGGTTTGTAGCTTTGTAGGTGCTCTCTCACGCTCGTTTTAGTATGTATCTATTGGTGAGGAGGCAGTAACATGTGCCTTCTATATTGTTAGTTTAAAAAAAATGCTATTTTACCTTAGTTATTTTTAACGTTATAAGGTTATTAAAATTTTTAGTCTAAAAGCTTTTTTTTCTAACTAAAATTTTAAAGTTAGCTTTAATAGCTGAGTAAATAATTGTTACGGTCTACGGTTGGACCAGCGTAACCCCACCAGCGGTGCTCCACAATCCAGCTGGTTTGGGGCAGGGCTCGCTTAGAGACCAATTGGAGGACGCGGTGGCAGCGCGGCTGCCTGAAATCATGGAAGAATGTGTTGTCTAATAAGGGAATAGGACGTAAATCTTACAAGTCTAAGAAAGCTTAGTAAGCTCTGCTTAGTAAGCTTATATAAGCTTATTTAACTCACCTTAGCACCCTAGCACATATATATAGTTTCTAAGTTAAACAACCTTTAAAAAGTGTGTTTAATGTTTAGTTTATTCTTTACATAGACTAAGTAGCATTTAGCTTTCTAAAGAGCTATAATACTATCTGTATATCTTACACTATATATACCTTTAACTTTGTCCCACAGGACTGTTTAACTCTAGCTTCCCTACTGCTGCATATAGGGCAAACTATAATCTAGTCACTCTTCCCTCTCTATTAGCCTAATAGCCTGTACGTAGGACTGTACACCCTACTAGATTAGCCCCTTCTACTTATTCTACTTATTCTTTAGAAATATTATTAGACCTAAGTGCTTTTTAAAGTAAAAATTATAACATTAAACACTACTTTTTTTAAAAAGTATAGTAACTTTACAACATAACCTAGACTCTAACATAGCCTATGCTGCGCTATCTAGATCTACAGAAGTTTCTACCTAAAGTAAAGCTGTCCTTGCAGAACAGATTAACTTAATCTAGGACAACATTAAGGGACTCTAGTAGATTAGTAATAAAGTTAGTAAATTATTAAAACTTAAGTAAGAAATAGCTAACTTTTATAAAAAAAAAACTATAAATTTATAAAGCTTCCTACCTCTTATTAACCTTTATAAGGCCACTACCTAAGCCTACTAGATACACAAACTACAAGTAAAACTAGCAAAAGTTTAAAATATCTTAATAAACAAAGTAAGTGTTATAGCTAAAAAGGCTTTAAGACTAGCCCCTTTAAAGCTTTTTAAAGAATTATTAAAAGACCTCTAACTATTCTTTACTAAATACTACCTTTATATGTAATATAATAAAGAAGCATTTTAGACTAACATAGAAATAATCTTTTAAATAGGATTATACTTAGAAGGCCCTCTTATAATCTAGTTCTAACTCTACACTAATAATTAGATAAATTTTAGAGCTAATAGCGCCCTACTTAATTCTAAAATAAAAAAAGTATTTAGTAGCATTAAAAATTTTAAGGCAGCCTTATTAGCTATTTATAAAACTTTAGATAAAAAAAAATTACAGCTAACTAACTAAATAATATAAAATAAAGCAGTAGACTAGTCTAAAACTATGCAGCATGTTTTAGAGAGTAAATAGCTATCTGCAGATAGAACAACTAGAAAGCCCTATGCTGCATGTTTTATAATAGACTAAATAAAAAAGTAAAAAATAAGTTTATACACATAGACTAACTAACTACCTTTAAAGACTACATTAAGAAAGCAACAACCTATAATAACTATTATAAGGAACATAAAAAAAAAAAGAAATTAAAGAGAACCTTCTAAAAGCTAGAATTTATCTCTAAAAAAAAAAAGCTTTTATAATTGTGAGAGCACTGTGAAGCAGGAAGCGTGAAGCGCAGAAGGGGGTACAGGATAGTATTGATAGACGAATCCTTGAGGAGACTCAGGGGTTTGTAAGAAGATATATATATATGTGCTGGGGCACGTGACGGGACGTCATGTGCCCAAGGCTGGGCCGAGGGCTCTCCGGGGAGAGTCCGAGGCATGTCCAAGTTGACCGTGACAATAATATAATAAAAAGCTAATAGACCTTAGTTATGTAAAGCATATATAAAGCTCTCTTTTAAAAAAAAACTAAGTTTTAAAACGTAATAGGCTGCCTCTAATAAAGAAATAACAAAAATAGTTAGAGAATAAGGCCTACCTAAACTATAAAAAAGTAGAACACTTCTACTAAAATTACCTAAACTTTTAGAAGAGGGAGAATAAAAATACTACTATAATAATAAAAGCTATTACTACTAAATATAGCCTTATAAATAAAAAAATATAAGAAAGACTAAATAACAGACTTTACTAGTAATGTAAAGAAAACTACTTTTTAAACAACTATTCTAAACTATATTAAAAAGTAGTTATTTAAAACTTTAGCAGCTTTAATATAGTGTTACAGGACTTTATAATCCTAAAGAGATATAAAGAGGAGACTTAAATCTAAGGATATATTATAAATGTTTAAAAAGAAGAAGAATAGTTCTCTCTTTAAAACTAAACCCCTAGTACTTTAGTAAAAGAGCTTTTCTAACAGTTTTAAAGATGCAGGTGCTAGAAGTGTAGGTTATAATATAACTACCTAAGTAATTACATAGTCTTGCTTTACTAAATAAACATTAGCAACAACTACTTAACATTTAACATTATATAAAAAATAGCTAAAGTTAAATATAATATTATAAATAAAAAAAAGTAATAGTAATTCTTTACTAAAATTAAAGATTAAAAGCTAAAATAGCTAGGTAAACCTGCTAGGTTTAAAGTACTATAGCTAGCACCTAAAAAACCTAAGACACTGCTTCTAAGCCTAGTAATCTCTAGAAAAGCTTTTATAATATAATAAAACTATAGATAATGCGTTCTTTGCAGAAGCAGCACCTATAGCACTAATAGCTGCTAATAGAAAGGTCACCCTGTACAGCTAGTACAAACAAAGAAATACCTATAGTAGACCTAAAAAAGTCTTTTTAATATGTTACATAGACCTAACAACTGTTTATACCCTTAGTACTAATGCATATAATAATATTGTATTAAGCATTAGAACAACAAACATTAAGCAGGATAGTAGCCTACATAGGAAAGAAACTATAATAGTTGCCTATAGCAGAGAATAGCCTTAGCCTACAAAACTATAAATTATTACACTTGTTAAACAGCCCCCCCTTATAAATAAGAAATATAGGTAAAGTATAATAAATAAAAGAACTATAAGTTCTACTATTTTTAGTAAAAAGTAGCAAAAAAAGAAAACTACCTAACATTACATTACCTAGTTAAAGATTATAAATGTAAAGTAACTAACTACTATAATTAAAAACATTAAATCTATAAAAAAAAAAACAAGTTTAATAATAACTTATAAAATATTAACCTCTATCTTTTCTCTAATAAAAAGGTTAAGCATAACATATTAGCAGTAATTACAGTAGGGTAAAGAGTAGGACACAGCCTAACAACCTCTTTTACGTATAAAGGAAGGCCTAGACTAGCCCTTATAGACAGTAAATGCACCTTTACTGCTATAAATAAGGATTAGGTAGACAAGCAAAGCATACTATTTTACATAAAAAAAAACCTGTTTAAGGTAACTCTTACTAACATATTATTAATTAAGTACAGTAGAGAATAAATTAACCTAGAAACCTATAAAAAAGACTTTAAAACCTTTAATATAAAAAATTAGAAATTTATAAACATACTTAAACTAAAAGGTAAATATAATGTAATTTTAAGCTATAACTAGCTTAAAACTTACAATCCTGTAATTAATTAAAGAACTATAACTATAGAAACCCCTAACAACCACGCACACATAACCTAGTTAGCATGCTATAATAACAGATGCCTAGTCTACAAATAAGCAAAACAAGGTAGCAGTTACTACCTTAAGAAAAGAAAACTCTAAAAAGTCCTTTACTAAAAGCTAAAAGCCTAAGCAATATAATTAATAAAAGAAAAGCTTAAGGAAGTCTTCTATAAAATAATTAAAAAAAATAAAAATATAGAATAAGTTAGTGTAATCTAAATTTAAGAGGAAGGCTGCATCCTGCCTAAATATAAAGACTATAAAGACATGTTTAAGACACTAAAGGACCCTAAAGAACTACTACTACACTAGCCTTAAAATTACACTATTAACTTAATAAAAGATTACAACCTAAAGACGCATAAGCTTTGCCCCTTAACTAGAGTACAAAAAAAGGCCTTACAAAAATATGTTAATAAGATGTTAGCATAAGGCTACATCTAAGAAAGCTACAGCCTAGTAGCATTAGCAGTAGTTTTTGTAAAAAAGAAAAAAGAGAAAATCTAAGTCTATTAGAATTATAGAACTCTAAATAATAACATAGTCTAAAATTAGTTCTTTCTACTAATTATATAAAACATTATAAACTAACTAAGAGGAACCTAGTACTTTATAAAGTTTAACATATAAGACAGATTTAATAAAATAAAGATATAAAAAGAAAATAAGTAGCTTATAGTGTTTAAAACCTTATAAAGACTTTATAAACTACTAGTAATGCTGTTTAGCCTAATAAACACCTTAGTAACATTTTAGTAAATTATTAATATAGCTCTTAACTCTTATCTAGATGTCTTTACTCTAGTATATTTAGATAATGTCCTTATCTACTTAAGAGATACCCTAGAAGACTACGTACAGAAAGTATAAAAAGTCTTAAAGTAGCTTAAGAAGTATAGACTTTACCTACAGCTCTCTAAATATAAGTTCTATGTTACTAAAACAAAATACTTAAGATTTATAATTAATAAAAAAGAAATAAAAATTAATCTAGCTAAAGTATAAAAAGTACTTAAGTAGCTAAAACTCTAGATAGTTAAGAAAGTAAAAAGATTCTTAAGACTATTAGGCTACATTAGACAAATAATTAGAGACTATTTAAAAATTACTATACTATTAACAAACACTATAACTAAGGAGTAAGTAATAGTAAAGTTTGTCTAGACTTTTAAAATAAATAAAGCATTTATAATGCTAAAATAAGCTATAATAGATAAACTAGTACTAAGAATGTACAATCTATAATTAGACATAAAAATCCACACAGACGCATCCCTTAGAGCTAGTAGGGCCGCGTTATACTAAAAGCAGGAAGACAGAAAATAGCACCTAGTTGCATACTACTCTGCTAAGTTCTTAGGTCCTAAAGCAGGCTACAGCGTACCTAACAAAGAACTAAAAGCAATATTAAACGCTGTAAAAGTATAGGCTATAAAGCTACATAGAATAGTAAAGCTATTTAATATTATAACTAACTATGTAAACTTAGTTATGTTCTTATTAGTAAAAAAACTATTACTAATGTACATAAAATAAGTAATAAAACTTGTATAGTTTAACTATATTATTAAGCATGTGCCTAGAGCATAAAACTAGTAGGCTAACACTCTTAGCTAAAAACTAGACTACTTTAATAAAAAAAAGAAAAAAACTAAAAAGTTTACACTCTTTAAAAAAACTAATAAAAGATAGATTTATAATAAGCCCTAACTTATAAAAGAATTCTACATGCTTATAGCTAGTAAGTAAGGATAGAAGAATTTAATCTAAGAATATTACAAATCTCTAATGTTTAGACATCTAGAAATTAGCACCCTATAGAAAAAACTAAGAGCTGTAATACTGCAACAAGTACTAAAAATTAAGTAGTTATGCACTAAAGTACTTAAAAAGTGTAACATCTGCAATAAGAATAACTTATAAAGGCATAGGGCCTATAGATACTTATAACTAATTAAAGCGCCTAAATTACTATAAACAATAATTATAATAGACTTTATTATAAGATTACCCCTATCTAAGGAACTAGAAACAGACAGGATGTGCAACATAATTATAGTAGCCCTAGATAAAACTACTAAGTATTTACATACTTAGCCCTTAGAAAAAATAATAACAGCTAAAAAATTTATTTATAAATTAAAATAAAATGTAATATTAGTATATAAATGCCTAAAGATTATTATCTCTAACTAAGACAAACTATTTACTAGCAGCTTCTAAAAAGCAGTAATGCAGCATTTTAGTATAGCATACAAGCTATTAACAGCCTACTATCTGCAGACAGACAGCTAGACTAAAAGAGTAAACACAGAAGTAGAAAGGTACTTAAGAAAGTATATATTTTATACCTAAAACAACTAGATAACTTAGCTTCTAATAGCATAGTTAGCTATTAATAATGTAGAGTTAGCTATAATAAAAGAAACACTATATAAAGCTAATTTTAGATATAACCTCTACTTTACATTACATAGAAATTAACTTATAAATCTACAAGAATTAATAAATTAGCTAACAGACCTACATTAAATACACAAAAAATTAGCTATAGAAGCTAAGACTAGCAGAAAAATAATAAAGAAATATGTAAATAAATTATAATAACTAAGACTAGAAATTTACTTTAGGGATTATGTGTACTTTAACACTAAAAACTTAAAGATACTAAGACCCTCTAGAAAGCTAGTAAAAAAAAGGATAAAACTATATAAAGTCTTTTAAACTTAATAAGACAACTGCAAGCTTAAGCTTTTTCTGCATATAAAAATACACCTATAGTTCTATATCTCTAAATTAGAAAAAGCACCTAAAGAGATTTCTCTATCTACTTAAGAATAAAAAGATGTAGAAATAAAGTATAAAGTTAAGCGCATTATTAGTAATTAAAGAAATTAGAAAGAATTTTTAGTAAAATAAAAAAAGTAGCTTACTAGTAAAAACACATAAAAACTAGCTAAGAATTTAAGAAACGCGCAGCTATTAGTATAAAGGTACCTTTAGGCTTATCTAAAAGAAACTAGCTAGGCAATAAAGCACCTATATTAAAAGAAATAGCTATGTTATTACTAAATAGCAGCAGCCTTTAGAGACAAGTCTTAGCTAATAATAGTTAAAAAAAAAAACAGCCTTTTACTTTAGCTTTAAGCGCTTTTATCTTATCTAAGGAAAATAAATTCTTTTTTAAATACTTTACATAATAAGCTTCTAATAGATCTAGTAATTTTTAAATATAATTCTGTTTAAAATGCTTCTTAGCCTTTGCCTTTAGGGTCTTCTAAACCTAATGTAATATCTTGTTATTAAGATTTTACTTTTAAGCTCTTATAGTAATTACTTTCTAAAAAAGTGCTTCTCTTTTCTTCTCTAAATAATCTTACATAGCATTAGAAATAAAAGTGTTGCATTTACTATTTTTTTTTACACACTTAATGCACTTGTCTAAGAACAAAGTTAACACATAAAACAACTCTAAAAATTAGTAAGCACTATAGGGCCTTATTTTTATCTAATAAAAAAGATTAAAATAATAAGTAACATAAGGACAGTAAGATAAGCATAACTAGCAAGCTATTTAGTATAAAATAAATAAATGTTAAAAATGCCTTTTAGTAAATAAATGCTTACTTTATAAACAAACTTTTACTAACACAGTTGTTTAAGCAGAGCAGTAAGGACACTGCTAGGGAGAGGGGGCAGCGTGTTACAGTCTACAGTTAGACTAGCGTAACCCTACTAGCAGTGCTCCACAATCTAGCTAGTTTGGGGCAGGGCTTGCTTAGAGACTAATTAGAGGACGCAGTGGCAGCGCAGCTGCCTAAAATTATAGAAGAATGTGTTATTTAATAAGAGAATAAGATGTAAATCTTATAAGTCTAAAAAAGCTTAGTAAGCTTTACTTAGTAAGCTTATGTAAGCTTATTTAACTTACCTTAGCACTCTAGTATATGTATATAGTTTCTAAGTTAAATAACTTTTAAAAAGTGTGTTTAATGTTTAGTTTATTTTTTATATAGACTAAGTAGCATTTAGCTTTTTAAAAAGCTGTAATACTATTTATATATCTTACACTATATATACCTCTAACCTTGTCCTACAGGACTGTTTGACCCTAGCCTCCCTACTGCCGCACATAGGGCAAACCACAATCCAGTCACTCTTCCCTCTCCATTAGCCTAATAGCCTGTACGTAGGACTGTACACCCTACCGGATTGGCCCCTTCTACCCGTCCTACTCATCCCCTAGGAATATTATCAGACCCGAGTGCTTCCCGAAGCAAGGATTGTAACAATAATAATCTAGTGTAAGGCGGGATGTCCCAGAACGGGCTAGTATGGCCTCACCTGACCTGTTTGGAGGTCACATGACCTGTGATTCGTATCTAAGCATGAATCCTGACAAGCGAGGATTGGCAGCGATTCGTCTCTCTTACAATACACTCCTATCTTTCTCCGAAACCTTGCTCTCAGTGCTATCCGTGCTATCTACTATCCCATCTTTACATCTTCTATTTAAAACACCTAGCAGCCCCTAGCGCAGTTCATTAAGAAGTTTATTAATAGAAGAATCTACTCTATGCCTTAAAGGCTTAAGGATGTAATTAAAAAGAATAGGCAATTAACTAGGTAGGAAGGGAGGAGAGACAGAGCAAAAATAGATGTTAAATTTAGTCTAAAAGGCTTCTATTACAAGCACCTAAAGACTTTACTCTTCTACAAAGCTTATATAGAGAGATTATATACATGCAAAAGTTTCATGCGATTTTAAGTAAAAATGGCGTTGCGCATTTGATTTGGTTGGTGATTGTACGAGGGAGGTGTGGTGCCAAGCATTTTTGGAGTGCCGGTTTTTTGTCAACCGCCTGACAGCCTCCGTCCATTTCATCTTCCAACGTTTTGATGTCAGATCAAACTGTGCCTTCATTACCATGTTATCATTCCAATTTTTCAACCGGACTCGAAGACGAGAGGGCCCGGTTCGTTTGAATCCCAACCAGACCAGCCCTCGACCATGATGACGACGACGTCAAAAAAGCGGAAGGCATCCATAAGTTTCGAGCAGCAACCACAGCCTGATGAATCGCACTCGCATTTAACGCATGGACTCTACAAGTCCTACAAATTCCGGTCTTTAGTTCAAGGGAATGAATTCCGGCTCCTCCATGTCACCAAAATATCAATCGATGAGAAATGGGAGTATGGAATTGAACGCCACGTCCTGGAGAGGGCACCACTGTTCGAAACCATCTTGTACGTCTGGGGCGATGCAACTGGCCAACACACGCTGGTCCTCGCCCCGAACAATGTGGGCGGTGCTTCAGAATCGATGTCTATCAACGACAATCTGCGGAAGCAATTCCCCCGCTTTCTTGGCATTGCCGCACGGGATACCTATCGATAGACCAACTGGGCACTAATTAGACAAGCATTAACGAACGAAATCATCATGTAAAGATTATGGGGAAGGTCTACAGCCACGACGAGCGTGTTATTGTGTGGCTGTGGAATGTGAAAATCCACAGCCGCCTCATCAAGCTGAACGATATATGACAGACATCAATCAGGAAGAGGGGGGTTATAAAGCCGCTCCAGGACACACTGATAGAAGCTTTGCAGAAAGACGTCAATGATTGGTGGAACGACAGCGACCTTGATTAGCTCCACTTTTTCGAAAACAAGTGGTTTCAACGGGAGTGGGTGTTTCAAGAGGTAGTTTTATCAAAAGAAGCTGGCTTTGTGGCTAGAAATTCTATATTCGGCTTCCTGTCGCTGTATCACATGATTCGGCACTTCTGTATCAATTCCATCTCGAGCCCTACGCCTTTCGGCTGGGTGTTAGACGAGAACGGGCATGCAGTGTCCTTTAGTACACGTTCAAAACAATGTGGCGTTTCAGACGTCTCGAATCACCGGACGCCAGACAATCAAGCTTCTCTGATTTTCGACTACTGCACTCGAAGCGTACATCGAGCATGTACTCATCAGATCGACGGAACCGGATATACGCTTTCGCCGGTATCAAATCGTGGTGTCCTCGATAACAATCAATCTAGACTACTCGTTGTCTTATTCTCGGGTCCTAGTCGGTGTCGCGAACTCGATGGTACGCGAATCTGCCAGCTTGGACATTCTCGAGAATGCATCTCCGATAGATGACGCCTGCAGCCTTGTAAAAAGAACTGTACCCTCATGGGTCCCAATTTGGAGTCCGCACTTTAGAGTCTCAATGCTGCATCGTTCGCACAGCAGAGGAGAATCGCAATGGTTTGCAGATGGCGGAAACGAGTTCAATTCACAGAACCTACAGACATGATTGGCGCGGCTCTACATCTCCACTGGATCTTCTCGTCAAGGCGAAAGGCACCCCTACCATCACCGGAGCGCTCGATCATTTTGGTAGTGATGATCCATTCTGGTATATTACTGGCTACGCATTGGGAATTTATCCAGTCCGGGATTTACATCAACCTAGACAGACGCCTACGGGGAGTCAATGATACTCCAGGTCAGAACCTGTTAACTCGACAGCTGCTAGAAGTCATTCTATTCGGTCGAACAGCAAAGACGGAGGTCTCTGATGATCTTTCGGATGCAAGTATGGGCGCCGATACTAGTGAACTTCTTGCCGTATACGATCTGTTTGCGACTTGTAAAGGTCTTTTCCACCCCGCCCTCCCGGGAACAGCGCAGTATTCTGTCCACCCTCCAGCTCTACACCTACCCCCCCAAAGGTCGTAAGCTATTTCACACCGCAAATAACATGATTGGCTTAGCATATGAACCTCGACTAGGTAATCGAATCTTCTTCTTGCGTAGCTGTGTGTTGCGCCTGTTATTCTGCGCCATGTCGGCGGAAACGAATATCACTTTGTAGAGGTGGCCTACCTGCATGGTGTGATGCGCGGAGAACTGGCTTCACTGGATTGGGAAGAACCCAATGATATAAGTTCGGCGTAGGGAACGACAAGTTAGGACTACTAGGTTCATTAATTGTGCTCGTCCAACAGCAAGTGAGGGTCCATGAACGTCTGCCCGTCTTACTTGCCAGCTTTTGATCATGCGCGAGCCCGCCTCCAAAATCCCCATGCCTCCAATAGCACCTTGGCACGAGCATTGGAACCAGCGAGTGACATTTCGAGAAGGGCGTGGAAGAGGTTGCACGTCGTGCTTGGCTGCATGACAGCTGAGATGTGGCGTGGAATACCAAGAACGCCATCTTGTGGCTGAACAGAGAGACTTCTTAGACAAAGCCACAGACGATTCTCGTTCACCACATCGTAGACCTTCTGGAGATCGACATGGCCAGTGTCGTCCTGGATTATACCTTCAAAGATACCTCCGTGGCCAATCCGGACGGCACATTCGTCTCCCAGCTCCCGTCTGATGCCCAAATCGTGCCGTGGTCTGGTGGGAGTATCCAGGGTCAGAATCTTTTGCGGGCTGTAGTGTTCGGTCCCAGTGGGCCACTGGAGGTTGATCTGAGCAACTACGCCGTTGATACTACCAGCCAGTTCCACGCCAGAGTCGTTTTCATCTACGGAGGCACCAATCCCCCTCCCAGTGCTCCATATCCCCCAAGGATCATCCTCCAGTCGAACTTTATCCCGTTCAGCTTGAACCTCGTCTTTCGCGATGGCAAAGTATGGCTTCAGTCTCAAGTCAGTGTCACTGGGCCGTCCACCCGGCTATTCCCATGCGCAACCCAAACATTCAGTACGCCTCAAATCAATCCGGGAGTGCCCTACGCTGCGGAACTGGTTTGGGATAGCGAAAAGGGTATCTTGGTCACCTTCCTCAACGGCATCGCAATCAGCTCTCATGGGTGTGGCCCCTCAGCAAGCGTTCAGCCGCCGAGAGCGCCTCTCACGGACAAAACGGTTTTCATAGGAGGTCCGAAGGGTCCTGTGTCCCGATCACATTTTCTAGGTTCCATTGCCGCGGTCCAAATCGAGCTAGCTATTCCAGGCAATCTTACGGACCAAGTGGCGCAGCAGAAGCAATCCCCCCAGTGGTATATCACGACAAAATTGGAGACGTTGAGACCGAATCGAGACTTCGGCCAACCTGGTGGCCCAATTGTGCAGCAGGACCATACTTCTACTCAGCAGTACACGGCTGGTGCAATTTCTTACCATCCTCCCCTCCTCATACATCAAAGTTCGAGGGAGGCTTTCGAATTACATGGAGTTTTCTGGAACGCGTACAAGAACCTCCCAGACGCACTTCACGGTTTTTTGGGGTATCAAACCTCGGATGAAGCCCCATGGAACGAGGGTGGGGTCACCGGCCGGCGTGTCCGGTTCTCCAACGGCCAGCTCGAAGCATCCGATTCGCCTAATCCAGACGACGTCCCCATATATGCAGTAGCGGGAGAAATCTGGAAGGCTAGAAGAAGCGACGGAGGCTTACAACGATGGGGAATCGCGATTGGCCTTCAGTACACGCCGCTCCCAGATAATGTCGACCGGAAAGATGTTATCATGCAGCGATTCGAGCACGGAAGCTTCTACCAAAAGGACCCCTCAACCACAGCCTGGGGCCTATTTGGGCTAATCGATCGAAAGTACCGTGATAATGGGGGACCACGAGGTGCGCTACCCATCGGACCCGAAGAGAAGATTCACGGCATCACAACCGTTCTCGGCCTACCACCCAACATCCATGTGATCGAGCTCGACGTCCGCAAGAGCCCCCTCTCCTATGATCAAGATATCTACTGGAGCAGCGTCACGGGCGCCCACTTCGTATCGGGCGACATTCGTCAACAGTGGATTAACCTTGGCGGTCCGACCGGCTTCCTCGGCCTTCCCACATCTGACCGTCGCCTGGAGACCCGGACCGAGTACCAAGACTTCCAACATGGCATGGCTGTCGTGGAGCACACTATGAGCGGCAACGTGCGCTTCTGGGCGCCTCGCGCGTTTAAAGTAATCGTCGACATGATCGGAACAGGCTGGCCGCCGGATCCTACGGAGCCGGGTGACCCACTGCCTTATAACGACGTATATATCAATATCCAAATAGAGAAGCGGATCCGCGGAACCCCTTTGGGAACGCTGCTTCTCGACCAGCGGTATCCAGATGGCTCGGACGGAAAGCGTGTGTGGAAAGACTCGCAGATTTTCAGTCTAGATCCTCCGGTGGTGCTTCCACCCTTGATGGTGCCGGCAATGGGCGTGGAGTATGTGGTCAAAGTGAGGGTGTATGATGAGGACAAGCCGCCGTCCGGTAATGAGAGTCGTGATACTTTGATCGGGGAAGGAAGTTTTACGCTCAGTGAGTACCAATGACATGCCTTTGGGTTTGAATGAAAAGATGTTAATGGTGTACAGATTACCAGAATGTGTTCATGTTATCAACCTTCGATGCAAACTCGGGGCGTTCCCATGGCTCCTTCGATATCAAGCTGTCTGATGACCCGACAAAGAGGGAGTCGGAACGGGTTAGGTTTGTGACGGAGGTGTTTGTAACGTAGGCTTGAGTTTCTTCTTCTCCTAAGGTATGCATCTGGGAACGATTATGAATTGAGCAATCAAGTATGTCGAACTCTTGTGGCCTGAGCATCTTACATGAATCCCGGCGATCTCTCAGCTAATATGAGGTTAACCTATGAATTCATGGAGGTGTGTGATAGCGCTGAATGCAGCCGCGCCGACGCTATAACCCATTTCCGAGCCCTAGGCCCCTCTGGTCCAACCCCATAGAGCATGGTATTCCCCGTAATAGGCGCAATGGGAAAGACCGAAGCTAGTCTAGACTTTTGCCTAAAGTCAACAACCTCACGAGGTCTACAAGGGCTAAGACAAGGCGAGCCAAAATCCCGGAGACCCCATGGGGTACTTTGAGCTCACTTGGATAAAGCCAATAGCAAGCCCGGGACGTCTTTGAACATCTTTCTATTTTCAAAGCTTCATTGCTCTCTCTCACAAGATGGAAATCGCAACTGCACATGAGGGGTCTCCGTTCAGGCGCTCAGTCCTGGCTCAGATGCACTCAGTTTCGACTCCTGATGCGCTCACCCAGCACAGCTCAGGTTCCTGAACGGGAAAGGAAATCTCTTGGGTGCACATTGGGATATTGTATTACTTGTTATAGTGATCCAATGTGCGTTAGGGCTATCTCAACATTATGAGGATGAGGATGAGGAGGATGAGGCCAAGGGTACAGTTGAGGTTAGTTCCGGACCTCGGCCGCTAAACCCTTTCCGACCAGGTCGGTCGATACGATGGCATCGCTCATTCACCGCCCAACAAGTGCATCACTTCACAGCCAGCAACAAGCTTAGAATAGCCACGCCATGGCTTCATCCTTCTTTTCTTTCACCAAGCCCGTCTTCTGGCTGCGTGGTTTCTCTGTCCAAATTATCTGAGCGCGTCGATCTGCCCTCCTAGATCCACCAGAAATCATCTGTCGCGGGGCAGCGGACGTCATTCCGAATTTTACGTTCACGGCCAACTAAACCTCACGTTAAATAGCCCGACTGTCTGCGGCCATGGCGCACTCACCCTTCAGCATGTCCTCACGCTTCGCCATTGAACTCGAGAAGCTCGACCCCGAAGTACCATTCCGAGCGTCGCAATCACACATCCACCACACATGGGCACGAACTTTCCATTCCCGGCCGGAGCTATACATCCGCCCTCAGACGCTGCCTGAGATTCAGAAGATTGTCACCCTTGCACGGCGCATGCGACGGCGTGTCGTCACGGTAGGATCTGCTCACTCGCCTTCGGATCTCACGTGCACGTCGGCATGGATGGTGAATCTAGACAACTACAACCAGCTGCTAAACGTAGACAAAGGGCACAAGACGATGACAGTGCAGGCTGGCATACGCATGCATGCTCTCAATCAGGCGGCGAAGGATCATGGCCTTACCATGCCGACCCTCGGGTCAATAGACGACCAGTCCATCGCCGGCGCCATCGCCACCGCGACACACGGCAGCTCCATGTCCCACGGCTTGCTGTCCGACTCGGTCCGTAGTCTCCGCATCGTGCTCGCCAACGGGCAGGCTGTGAAGTGCTCGCCCTCGCAGGCTCCAGACCTCTTTCGCGCTGCACTGGTGTCCCTCGGCGCGCTGGGCATACTAGTAGAGATAGAGTTCCAGATGGTGGACGCCTGCAACTTGGAGTGGGTTCAGACCATTTTGCCCATTGAGGATATGTTGGCAGAATGGAACAAGGGCCTCTGGATATCAGACGAATTCGTGCGTGTCTGGTGGCTACCATACACGCGTCGAGCCATTGTCTGGCGCGCGTCTAAGACCACCAAGCCCTTGCGAACGCCAGAGTATAACTGGTATGGTGGTAGTGTCGGATACCATACCTACCATATACTACTCTGGATATCGCAGTACGTTCCTCGAGTATTGCCGTGGATAGAGTGGTTCGTGTTTGGCATGCAGTACGGCTTCAAGAATGGGTCCTCAATATCTGCAGTCGAAGAGCAGCGCAACGGACTCCTCATGAACTGCCTATATTCGCAGTTTGTGAATGAATGGAGCATACCTCTTTCACAGGGCCCTGAGGCGCTCACCCGCCTAACGAAATGGATCCATGGCGACGAACACGGCTCCGGCATTCCTTTTAGTCCCAAGGGAGTCTACGTACACTCACCAATCGAGGTCCGCGTTGCGAATACTACCAATAGGGAACCGCGCCCCTATCTCGATACCTCTTACTCTGAGACTCCCTCGCTTTACCTTAACGCTACGCTCTACCGCCCCTACGGCCAGGATCCGCCATGTCTGCAGCGCTACTACGAAGCCTTTGAGCACTTAATGAAGGAAATGAACGGTCGACCACACTGGGCGAAGAATTTTCACTCCGTCGACCACACCTACCTCTCCTCGGTTTACGGTGCTGACCTAGATGGTTATCTCCGCGTGCGTAACGAGGTCGACCCGGAAGGCATGTTCATCGGATCCTGGCACCGGCGTACAATCCTCCCATCCAGGACCGAAATGTCTGTCTTTGCGCTCGAGGAAAAGGAAGTTGTTAGGCGAGTGCGCAAGACTGGGGGTTCCGACTGGGTTGGTGAACAGGCCAGATGGTGGGATGGTGGCTTCAATGTATTTACCAAGACGAACGGGAGCGAGAGTGAGGAAAGCTTTGATTTGATGGCCGAGGCGGAGGCAAGCGTGCTGCTTGAAGGCCTAAGAGATGACGAGACATTGGATGTCGGGAAGAGGATTAGGGAGGGCGAGGAAGAGGGATTTAGTGGGGCGAGTGTGTTTGATAAGATGTAAAAATGGACTGCAATGAGGCATTTCTAGAGGAGCGGTTAGAACAGGTACAAGGAGAGGAGCTCGGATTGGGGGTTTGTATGGAGGCAAATATCCAAGGGGCTACGAGCTACCAGGATCCTTCGTCTGCAGGGAGACGTGCGAGAAATGCATTCAAATCTGCAGATTTCAATCTACACGAAAACTCTGACTGCAAAGCCAATGCATTCTTAACACTTCCATTCCTTCTGTTCTCACATGCGCATTTCTACAGCTTCAATACGTCAGTAAGCCAGTCAGCTTCTCCATGCTCCCTTTTCCGGCCTTTTCCGAAAGTGGACAGTGCCCCGAGCTCGTCCGAGAGAAACCCGCGCCTCTCCCCACGCAGCGGCCAAACATCCCTGTTACTTCCGTCCTATCATGATAGTGTCGAGTGAACATGCTTCGAGAGTTCCCTACGGTTCCCTCGGTCTTCGTTCGGCGGTATGGGATCCTGGTTTTACAGCCTCGCGTTGGCAGGAGTATAAGTAGAGTGGGTGTCATCGTGCAGATAGTTGTGAATCCTTACGAAGCATACATTGACTACACTGGAATTTTCGATCTTGCTGCGAGGGTATTCAGGACTATCTATCAGTCACAGCCATCAATCACAGTTAAGGCCTTCATAGCCCTTACCTACCTGCCATTCGAACAACAATAACAGCATCACCACCTGAACCGTCACACACATTACAACCTCCAACCAAACCAAATTCACACACTACATCCAACCACCAACTCTCAAAATGCTCTTCCACAAATCCACATCATCCCAAACCACGCCCACCACCACAACACCCCGCCATTCCATCTCTGCCAATTCAACAGCAACAGCCCACACCACCCAAACTACAAACACTACATCATCCAACAAATCATCCGTTGTCTCCGCGCTCAAGAAGCCATTTCAAGGATGGTCAAAAGATTTACTTTATGCCAAGGATGATCTCGATGACGAGTATAATTTCGCAAGTGGGAGAAGGAGGGGTGGGGATTATAATTTTCCGGCGGTGGGACGGAGGGGTGTTAATGAGTAGAGTATGGTAGGGGAGGGGGTGGGAAGATGGGGATGAGAGAGTGATGGAAAGATACCCCGAAATGCGGAGTTTCGTGTGTTTTATGCGAAGTTCTTGGGCTGGAGTTTTATGAGGTTTGTGGTACGCAAGAGATAAGGATAGGATAGAGGATGAGAGCAAAATATCACGCTTTAGGATTTACGAAATCATTCAAATGCTTCACAAGAGCAGAGATGCTCCACATTGACGCTGTACTTCACTGGAACACTACACACTAGTAGGTGGAGAGAAAACCAAGCTTTTGCCCTACGAGAATCCAAACCGCGCGTAGTAATAACCATGCCAAACCCAACCTCCAATCCAAGAAGGTCAAAACGCAAGAGAGCATCAAAGCTAAAACACAACGAAAACACAATCTCGCCAAAAGCCCGGCCAGATTCCAACCAACACCAATTTTCCCTGCCAGCAAAATCTCACTTCATTGTCGCTAATCGTCGATCTCCGTAACCTTTGGCATTGGTAGGTGATTCCCGCTCGGAATCCTCTTCGAGTAGTTGATATTCACAGATCTCGCGGTACCAATCTCAAACCCCGTCGGCGCGGCCGGCGACCCTCTCCCGCTAGCGACGTGCAGGCTGCTTCCCGGGCTTGGTAGTTGCAGGTCAAGATGGTTCTGGTATTGTCCTTTAGTGCAAATATCGTAATCAGTGCGAATATCGTCGGCGCCGTCAACTTGGGGAACTGGTGTTGTGTTTGTGGTGTGGGATGATGCTGTATCCGACTCTGGCTTTGCTGGAGTGGAGGAGCGCTTGTTCTGCCAGCCGTTGAAGTTGATAGCAGTCAGGTTGCGAGTTGGCGTGTGGGCATCAAAGGAAGGGTTGGTGACGTGTCTTGGGAGTGGTTCGTGATTGTAACGGTAATCGAATATGGAGTAATACACTTGTCTATATCCCCATAATGCGAATAAGGTTCCAATGATAGCACCCGCGAGAACATCGTACCAGTGGTGCCAGTAATCAATCGTCTTACTTGCAGCAATAAGGACAGCGACCAAGATCGGAAGCATGAACAAGAGTAATTGCCACATGCGCGTCTTGTAATCTGCAAAGACCTTGAACTTTGCGTTGATCCAGAGTGCCAGGAAGATAAAGCCGGAAAATGCGGCGACAGAATGGCCTGAGGGGAACGACATTAAAGCTGCTCTGATTTGTTTGGGGTTGCCGGTGCAGATTGAGGTGTCGTAGAACATGTTTTCGTAGCCTTCGCCAGACATCATGGGGCGCGGTTGGCAGATTTCGTAGAAGTGAGGACGAAGACCACCAATGATCCATTTGATGACGGCTTGGAAGAGTGTTGCTGCAGAAAGTGCGTAAGAGAGTCCCATAATCTATAATTGCTTTAGAATGTTTATGTGAAAGAAAAGGTAAGAGAAACGCACTGCACCATCAGTATCCCAAAAACTGCCGATGAAGAAAATAGAGATGAGCCCAATAAAAGCAAATGGGATAAGGAAAGAGCCGAGTGCCGACATCCAAGTGGGAATGTATTCCTTCATCCAAGGGTATCCAAACTGAGGGGAAATGATTTGGTTGCCGTGGGTAAGTGGGAAGTACCGGGGAGCGAGTGGATTCAGGAACGCGTAGATACAGAGGGAGGCAGCACCACAGAGCGCAAAAGCAAGAAGATCGGGCCAGGATGCTCGGAACCATTCTTTGAATGGCGCTTCGTCAGGGAAGAGGAAATACCCTCGCTTCTTCTTAGGCGTAGGAGTCACTGGCCTGTGAGGCTCAGGGTCGGCGACAGTGCCATCGTTGTTGGAAATGGCCTGACAGTGGGAGATAATCGGTGCTCCAAGCTCGATATCGTATGCTGGCATGTCATGTTCGCTATGTTTGTCGAAGTGACTTGGCGCGAAGTGTTTTTCACACCATGCTTTGACTGTGAGTCTATAGGTAGAGGTATTCTCGACGGCCGCCTCAATAAGACCCCGGAAAGGGCCAAATCTTGGCCTTGGTCGATCAGGGATGGTGACGATAGAGGAATTGGCTGGCCTCTTTGGCTGCTCGTGGTGCGACTGAAGAGGCGATAAAGCCAGTGAAGATGTGTCCATAGCGGCATGAGAGTAGTGAGAATGGATGACGGCAGAGAAGTGATGTGTGCGGGAGTAGAAGGGGCTCTGCGGCGAAAAGTCCGCTTGGAAGCTCCCCTGGCCACTCCGGCGCGATATTGGTAGCGCCTTCTAGGTGCTAATTTTCACTAAGAGGTAAGAGGGATCACGGAGATGTCTGGTTTTGGGAGGAAAGGGGCTACGAGAGCGACTGCCCTGCGCTTGATGAGGAAATGAACGATGTCTTTGATTTACAATATCGATTTAGAGTTTTGGAAGTACTTTGCAGACGCGTTGAGTGTATTAAAGAGTGAGGTTCTTTAGTTCTCCACACTAGGGGATGATAAGAACTTAAAGAGGTTGACCTACCTAACAACGCGTCGCCATATAGGCTGTCTTTCCTTCTCCCTACACTCACTAATCCTCTTCACTAAAACAGAGAGGATAACAAACGCAATCAACATAACTATATAAAACACCGAGTTATTTTAGTCATTCTCATAGACCCCCTACCCTCAATGTGAATGTACTGCAGGTTGCTGGCTTAGAGTTGCCTTGTATAGCAATTCTCTTTACCAATTTTACAGAGACCTTGAAAAGGATACTGTGTCTCCACCTAAAACGCAAAGAGATTTCGCTCGTTCTTTAGTAATAGCTTTATTACTCATAGCAGAGCGAGCGAGTATTCAGACCCGTACCTTACAGTGCAACGGCAGCTTTGATACCTATATGTTTGGAAAGGACACTCAGAGCATAACACACTTTCCTGTACCCAACAACTCGTCAATTATTCTTGGGACCTGCCTTCCCCATCTGTTGTCTTGTGTACTATTTCTATAGCTCCCAAGCCTCTCATCACACGTTTGCGATCTGTTTCTCAATACCTAGCTTTCTCTATCCGTAATCCCGAATGCTGGGGCCTCTGAGAGATCCGAACTCGGGCTCTGCTCAATCTCACTAATCACGCCGCATCAGCAACTACTCATGAGGGCCATACCGTTCCAGCGAAGTTCATATTCGTAAATAACTCAGGGTGGTCTCCCAAGAGTGTGGGGGGTAGGATATGCCAGCCTCTATATGTCAGCGAAGCCTGGTCTAGGTCCGTTCTGTGTTCAATCAGTGCATCCAGAAGTCGGCGAATACAGTATAGACTTCAGTCCCCACCGCCATCGTAGACATAGGCTTTGGTATGGTAGATCTGCCCTGTAAGAACGTCTGTGAGCAAATCTTTTCTAAGTAGTAGCTTCGCAATGACAGATTACAGGCTTTGTTCGTTGTTCGTCGTATATTGGTGTTGAGATGGTGTTAGATCAGCTGCGAATTCCCCATCCATTTCCGTTACGAAACTCGAGAGTTCTCAATTATCCAAGACGTGATCGTTCATAGGTTCTACCCCAGAAACCCGTGGCCTTAGGAGGCCAGGATCAGGATCGTCAAGACGCCTTCTAGCAGCGCCAACATGCCACAAGAATGGCAACAGAAACGACTATCATCAGACGCGCTTTGCACATACCTCGTGCTGGGACCGGGGTCGGACAGTTCTAAAACTGCCATGGGCAGATGCGTGTCGAGGAGATTAATAGAGGGCTGATTGGTCCGTTGTCGAGATCAGAACGAGGCCGGTTCACGTGATCATGCTTCCCTCCCCCCTATCATCGCCCCCCTATCATCGTGATTATAAACTGCTCTCTTTTTAGGAATTAAAGGCTATACCATGTGGAACTCAAACTTTTCTCCTTGAGGCAGACTTCGAAGAATCAGAGAGGCTCTCAAGGCTGCGTTCCAAGCTTCCAAGGTTGACTCAGCCTCTCGTTGGCCCGAGCGCTCTTCATCACCTACTACAACTTCCCGGAATCGTTCAACACTCAGACCAACAAAACCCTTCTGCTTCTTGTACACCCTCATCGGCATTTCTACAAGAGCGGCGGTGCTACCAGAGCCAATACCTATCATGGAGGTATCCTGTTCAGACCTTGAGCAAGAGTTCCAGCAATCCATTTCGCGGTTGCAAGAGTGCGTATTCCTCACCCACAGAACATTCAATGCTGATGGGCCTAGTCAACGGGAAGCGCGTTTTGCAGAGGTCAAAGCTCAGTGAGTGGCGATGGCAGTAGCTCTAATATGTATCGTATTAACATCTTTCAGGAAGGATTCTTCTTTAGAAGCCAAGATAGCCAAGAGGCGGCTGGCGGATCAGTGAGTTACAAAGGCTAGTCCGGCGATAACAATCCTAACCTCCTTGAGCACAGTAACGACCATAAGGAGATTTTAGTAATCTCAAGGCAATGGGCTTCTCAATTTGCTTTACACGTTCGCTCAAGATTGCCTCGCGAATTACGAGATCAGATCTACGACAACTTAATCTCGCCGCACCTTTGGATACAGATTCCCACCCTCTGGGTAAAGAGACCCACTTTCAGGACTGAACATAGACACAAGGTCATGGTAGATGCTCTATCACTCGGCCGTCACTTTTACTTCAAGCCGGAGTACTTCGGGCATTTGGCTATAGAGATTGCTGAGAGGTTCCTTAAGCATTGCACTTTAGAACTTCGCGACGCGGACCTTATACACACCATTCTTGCATTGGAAGTCGCTGACCTAGGATCGGCCCCTAGGAACACGATTAGTAAGGTCGTCATGGACATCATTCCACGCGAAAAGCTGAGCATCATGTCCCGTCTGCCAGACAGAAAGGATGTCGCTTTGGAAGCCGCAATCCAGTCTCTTTTCGATGCTAGATCTAATTCCATATTCCAACTAGATCTCGTTGTAAACTCCGGAATATTTACGTTCATTGTCAACCAGCTCAAGTTGATCATACCAACTATGTACGCTACGAAGAAGAGGAATTTCAGGATCAATGTTAGAAGTCCTCTCGAAGAGCAGCCACGACGGAGGGGCATGTGGTTGGTTCATGATTTTACGAGCTTGTTTGACGGGACTCAGGAAGAGTGTCATCTAAGACTGGATAAGGCAATAAAGGTCGTGAGTAGCACAAAGCCAGGTATTCTCAGACGTCACGTGGCTAATTCTCGTCGAAAGGCCGATCTGGCGGAGACTGTCACGCTTGACCATCCTGGTCGGTTCCTCTTACAACTTCCATCTCCCAAATGGTATCATGCAATACCTGTATGCTGCCATTAATATTTTTTCCAATCAAAGGTATCTTGTACGCTTCACATTCACGGCCGACTTTCACGAGTATTTAATAGGCTGGAATACATTCATGGCAACGTCTAGATTCCTCAGAAGGTACAGCTGCAGTAATTGCATAGGTTAAAGAAGTCACTCAATTATACAATTATGTACGGAACATATTCCCAACCCGTACATAGACGTTGAGTGGCTTATCGAGGATGTTAACAAGTGCACAGCCACTTCTCTCTGATCGACTAGCAACAACAGTGCTCAACATTGCGGTGCAACTTTACCAGTCACAGAATTATCGTCTCGTGCCGGCCGTGCGAGCGTCAGAAAACGTTGTTCATTCCCACCGTTGGTAATCTTACCTAGTCCAGTTACCCGTAGAGCTGAACCAAGTATCGCGAAGTCGCGATTATTACTTTTTCGGGGACTTTCTTAGCGATACCTTAATATACAGGCGGAATAAGTGGAGAATTCAAATGAAGACGGATGTTTTTATCAGATGGACTTCGCGATGCCTACGTCAAGAGCATATTTTCGTCGAAGGCCGCGAAACTACAGAGACCTCTCAATTTCTTAGGCCTATTTCTGTTCTAGCAATTTACACTCATTCCTCCTGCTTTAAATTACGATGATTTCCCACGTTCTTTCTCTATTTTGGGTCGCTTGCTTAGCGTCAATTGTATTGCAACCGCACTGAGTAGAGTTAATAGCACGATGGTAAAAGAGTTCAGAGATAGGAGTCAAATTTCATCCTCGTAGCTCCCTCCGGCAACAATGTATTTTAGATCAAGTCTTCGTCAAATCTTTCTTGGACTCTTTGTTTCAACAAACTTAGTTGTGCACTTCTACTAGAAATCCGTTTCATGACTTCCCGCTCGAGTTCATAAAACTAAAGCATTAGGTTTCATTGAATTATACAGACCCAAGTGTCAGGACTACGAACATAGCTTTCGTTAAGAAGGAATCTTGCAATCCATCGGCCGAGGATATCTGAATAAATACATATAAGACATCGCAACCTTTAGGATCCTATATCAACTCGGTAACACTCTTTTAGGGTGACAAGCAACACAAGTGTTCAACTCCTCTTGACCAGTGCGTCACTCCTCGGGCAAACATTCGGATCCCAATACAATCTCATCAGTTTCGATCCTCGAGGCGTCAACAACAGTGGGCCAGCGTTGACATGTTTACCCAAGCGCACGGCCGCGCAAACCGTATTTAGAAGTTAGGATTAGAAGTCGATTTCAACTTGTCACTGATGCATCGGTCAAGGCCGTCTTCAAATATTATTTCGAACCTAGCCCAGACAAATTCACATTCTACGCTGAAAGCCGGGCAGAACTCGAAGCACAATTTACAAATGTTCTTCTAGATGCCAAGGACAACCGCATCGTAGTTACCGATACGTCCTTTGTCCAGATGCCGACACTGGCAAGTACAAGACCTTCCAGCCCTTGAACTTCCAGGCGTCGTTCGCGCCTATCTCTAGATTCCCTTCGTTCGCACACCTCATGGTTATATTGGGGAAGCGGAATGACAACGCAATAGTACGGAACTCGGGTTTCAGTGATCTGACGAATGAATGCAAATCCGATCTACAGCCTCGAGAATACTATATGGACCCTCGACTGATCATCATGTGCAATTACGCAAATAGACGGTCGAATTTCTCTTCGATTGAGAGTTTCGAGAAACAGGTAGACTACTTAGTTGACCAGAGTTTTTATCTGGGAGAGTCGTGGGCGGGTGCTACCAGTGTGAATTGTAGGTCGCCAGACATCAAGCTTCCCAAGAGTCAGCAGTTTAACAGTGTGTCCAAACTTTTAAATTCCAATGAAAATGCAATGGTGAAACATCTTGAAAACTTACTAAGCGATAAGACCGGCACTCCGATTCACTTCGTCTCAAACCCAATCGATCCCACATCGATCCCATATCGCCTCCCCGGAGCAAAAAGAATGATTTCCTTATTCTCAAACTCTGGTCTTATTCTAGTAGAAGGTAGTAGGAAATGTCTCTACTACTCCATCAAAATTCACAGCCCGGTATATACAAAGCTACCTCACGGCCGAAGAGTTACCACCATCAAATGCGACTTGCACTCTGTTTCTCTGTAGCAGTGGTGGGCGAGGGAAGGCCCTAACCTGATAAGGATGCGATTTGAGATGTTCAATTTTGTTTCATTTCCTGTGCCTTCGTATTGTTCTCCCAATGCTTATCCCTTCCTTTTTGCCAACAAATCTGAGGCCCAGGGGTTGTCGTATTCATAATGCCAACTAAAACATTTCCTGGAGGAATTCTCTCATCCCAAACAACACCGCCGGAGTAATAAGAGATCGACGTATTTGACAATTCATATGTAAGTCCTTGGGAGAGAGCCAGCATACTCTCTTTTGTTGGAACTTACGGACCACAGCAGAAATCTGCCTGATAATAAATCGGCGGTGCTCTCTGTTACATCATGCGAGTCTAGACGAGTTAATAGATCGTTGCCACAGAAATATATGCAGTCCATTAACAGTGGGGCTTTTTATTGTTCATGGGAGAGATGGTGAGGGCAACAGCAACCTGCCACGGAACCTAAGTCATCTACAGGCACAGTCAGTTTCTTGCCATCTCCATCTCGAGCTGTATGAGGACTACCGGTTTGAATACGGAAAATTCTTACCTTTCCTTAGGGTTATACAGTCGACTGCTGCCTTAAAATCTCAACCGATGAAGGAAGGGAGTTTCTTTTTTCCCGCAAGACCATCAAATTCAGCTCCACACACGGCGAAAGGACTCAGAATAGATTATTAAGATTTCAATCCAAGGGTTTTCGGTGCAGCGATTATCCTTCCGTTCTCGGAACTACAGGACGTGATTATTAGCTTAATCTTCAGGTAGAGGATTAGTACAGCGTCTGAGTAAACTAGGCGACATGGGAGTATTGACAATTCGGAAACATATTTGGTGACGAGTATTATAGAGGGTTTCGGGCCACTATCGAGGCTTTCTCTAGGGTCCGTAATTATATAATGTGGGGCTTGATCTGAACTGGAATTAACTCATATACCATGATTCCAACCTATCTGGCAGTGTACCCATCAACATTGAAGTTCATTACCCAGTCACTTTCCGTGTTCATCTCCTGGCCACTTGCCAATTAGCCAAGGAGGAAGCTGAGCCTTTCTCATGTCCAAAATTAGAGACATTGAAAGAAGATACGGAGGCTGTGAGGATTATTTGCAGGCTCCCAGCGTTGAAGTAAGAAGCTCTTAAAGATATCTTCTGCAGGGTCTCAACATAGTTATGGCTGCCCATACTAGGGTTTCTTAACACAGCAGGCGGTCAAGAAGTTCCTGTGGAAAGTTAATCATGGCCTTCGGATCAATACCAAACCAGCTCTGCTCAGACCATTTCGTGGGCACCAACTATTACCACCACAGATCGTTCTCAATGTCCAGGACACATGACTATGTCGAGATTAGGGCATAATATACATGTGAACTACGGCTCACAGGTCCTTTCCTACTAAGGCAGTGGCAACTTGGAAAGGGATTGGGAGCCTCCCAATTATCCAGGCGTTCCTTTCATGCGCACCTCACTGAGTGGCCCCAGGATAACGTATGAGCATGATTGCCTGTTCTCGCGTCCTTCCTTGCGTGAACTTAACGGGGGATCGGATACCGTTGTGAGAAAAGAACTTACTTGAGCAAACCGCTCAAGCAAACCTGAACTTAGGGTAATGTAGCAGGCCAGATAATGCCTTGGACCTTGGACCCACAGAAATACACTCAATTCTTAGTATAATGACGCAGCTAAGCATACCCCTCCCGTATTTGTTTAGCGTGTGCCAAATTCCTTTCCTAAAAAAAATCATATTAGTGTAGACAATACAAAGGCAGGTTGGTTGTGTTGCGCTATGCCTCCTGAGCTCGGTCACCGAACCTCTTCCTCCACGCCCGTGAGAGCATCGAGACCCTATTGAAGTAGTAATCGCCTCGGGTCATAGATCCTGAGGACAGATTAAGGAGAGCAATTGAGGGTTGGATGGAGTACGAGGTTTCTTGCGCTGAGGAGTCGGGGGTTTGATGAATGCTTCAGTGAATGTGCGAAGCTTTTAGCAATATTATGTGGCACTTTTTGAGTCCTTCGCGACCATTCTTGAGTTCAGTAATATTCGTCACGAAGCTAGCGAATTCGTATTCGGGACCGTGTTTGTGCCCAATTATTGGTAGTTCGGAACTTCAGATGGAACTACAGGAGACTACTTGGCAGTAATATTAAATCTTGAGGATGCACCTGCGGTGCTTGTCTAGCTATCTTCGTCGCAGTCGACTTATTGAGGTACCTACGTGCGGCCTGGAGCGGGAATACTTCTGCATGAGCAATCTGAGTCTTATTCGGTGCGAGTATTAGTACTGGAACCATCGTTATCATTGTCCGCGTTGTACAGCCTGACCTCTTCGCCTTGCTCCGTCTTAGGAGGCGACACAGATGTCGCAGCTCTGGTCATCCACCCTCCCCCTGGCATGGCGAAGGCTTTGCGGATTGGAGGCGACGCTGGTTGATATGTAAAATGGATGCGATGGATTATGGAGAGAGCTTAGAATGTTGCTAGAATGTGTTTGCGCTATTGGAGGGTATTTACCGCGTGTGATTGTGTGAACTGGAGTTGAGTAAATTTAGAGCCTCGAATGTATCTCATCGGTACATGTTGATCTAGAAAGGACTGCGCTATATCGAGAAAGTTTTATCTCGGATGCGTACAGTGTAAACTGCTGAGCGCTGTGCAGTGGGTGGTAAAGCAATGATGGGTCGTAACTTCCACAAAATCCAAGTACTCAATGTGGGAAAGGTTCCAGAGCGAGACGAGAGCCTAGTTGAACCTTCACATATTGGGATTTATAACCTGACATGGAACATGGCAGGGGGGAGGGGGGAGGGGAATGCATGGCAGAAATTAGCGTCCTATTGACTTTGTCCCTAATTCTAGGATGCGGATTAATAGATAAAGCCAACCCCAGCGGTGTTGCAAGTGATATGACACCATAGTGTAGATGGTGGAGATTGAAACAGTTATTCTAATGCAACTTTGTGTAAGGCTACACAGCCGATTTTGCTACAGCTTGTTTGACAAAGGCTTACTAGATGTTGAAACTGACCACGAAGCGTAACATGCATCACATTGGGATAGTGTACACATCTTCTTGGCCTCTGACCAACCCTAGCGATAGGATCGAAGGATTGCTGTACCTTGTTAATATTTCATGGAACTTAGTGAGTGGCAACCTTGACGAGCCGGAACACGACTATGGTGTGGTGGGTGCCTATTGGGCCCATACTGTCCGAACGATCATCACAACGGCATGGAAAAATATAAAATGATACCTATGATATATTGCTAACACTGGTGTGAACAAAAAATTCGCTTGCTAGGCTCCAATCGCCCTCCCGGAGATTGCGGGAAATCCGCCCGTTGAAGGTAGAAGAGGGTGGTGATGATTCAGATTCGATGACTCCTCCACCATGTACGCATGCCCTTTCCTGATTCCTACCTAGGCAGCGACGCTCGAGCTAGGGGGCACAGTTGCGAGCCAATAGCTCCAGCGCGTCCACCCCCAAGCGTGCATCAAGCTGCCCTAAACACCATTTTGCCCAGTTCCACCGCACATACGTACAGTCCGAGTCCTAGGGCTGAGCTTTGTTGGACCAATCCGACATCCCCAATACCAACCCAGCCGAGTTAGTTGAGGAGTGCCTTCTCTGCTTCGAGTCCTCGCCCAGATGTATCCCACGCCTCCGACCTGGTCGCCAGAGTCTATCGATATCTGAATGGAGAGTATCCGTCACACCATCACAACTTCAGACGAATCGAAGATGTTTGCAAGCTTGCGCTGGCCGGGGGTGAAATGTCGGCAAACGAGAGTCATGTATTGCTATGGACAGAAGCCCAACACCGCTAGTCGAGGGTCACAGAGGATATGGCCAACCTGCTATGAATGGACAAGGCCAGATTCTGGCCTTGAATTTCTCACCGCTGGTGGGATAGAGTGGAGATTGAAACCGATGGAAAGGCTGGCGTTGATGAAATGTCAGGGATCATCATAGTCGATGGCACCGTCGAAGAGGTCTGTAACAACCTTCAGCATCGGTTCGAGAAGGCTGACTTCGTCGCCAGCTTCGCCACCGAATATTCGCAGTTGATGGGCCTCCAAAGCTTCCTGCTCCTGCTCATAGTAAAGTCGATTCTGCCAAGTTGAATACGTTTGATGCCAATGATCCGCAGGCCGAATCGCAAAGGGGAACTGTGGGGGAGGTTGGGAAGATGAATAGTTCGTCGAAAAGGAAGAAACGGTATCGACAGAGTGGGTTCGAGTATGATTCGAGCGCGTCCGATGACGAGGACGACTCCTAGTGCGCTTTCTGTTGTGACGTTTGGACATGGTGGAAGAAAAAAAGGAGAAGGAGAGGTGGCGACAAGTCGCCGCGTTGCGCGAAGACAGGTGATTTCGAAAGGTAAGAGATAGCAGCATGAAAAACCTACCTAGACTTTATATATGTTTACCATGCCATACTCCAGTCAGAAGGCTGCAGTGAGTCATAGCCACACCACAATCGTGTGAGAGAGAAAATAGGATCCGTGCTGCCGCATGACTGGTCGAAATGACTTAATATGGCCCGTGCGCGGAATGATGTGGCGAAGCCGATATCGCAAAGTCTTGTGTGGAGTCACACCTCAAGAACAATCCTTTGCACAATTCATCAGTTTTTCATCTAGTCTGCCTCTCCCTTCGACTCACTATGTGGACTTAGATCGAGGGTATGCAAGACAGTTGCGCGGCGTCTTACTATATTGTGGCTCCGCCTGCGATTCCTTGACGTTTTGAGCAAACCCAAGCGTTGGAGGCACAAATTCGTGGCTGTGCACAAGTCATTCCTCCATCTTTCGAGGAATGGGTGTGCTAAATCTATTCAAATACTTTTTGCTAGACCACATAGGGCAGATTCGAAGGTCCAAACGGCGGCGCCGAGATGTACTGGTGCACGTTAAAGGCCATGATACTGGCTTTGCGATCCGTTCCCCCAGGCCGCCTAAGGACGACTGAGTCCCCCTGGATAGAGAGCTTGAGCTTCATCTTAGCTGATGAGGCCATCCTCAGAGATCGTCACCGAATGACAAACGTTGTCCTCTCATGGAAGGCCGCGTGGTGGTCGGAGACCATGGTCATACCCCTATCTGGATAGTCAGCCTGTTTAACAACCCTCCATAACCGAAGTTGTGGCCTTCCGAATCAAAGCGCGTCACCAGTGTCGCCTGCGATACAATCAAGCAGTTGTGACTGTTATGGCCTCGTGCGGTGTTGACTGATGTCCTGTTCGGAGCCTATACAAGGCTGCACCCTAAGATCACATGTTCACTGGATCCTTTTCCATCTAGACGGGAGGCACCAGGACGTCTCTCCGGACTACCTTGTCAAAGAAGGCAGAGGATGGAACGAAGACTGTAAATCCATAGGCATTCGTGCGCCAAGAAATTGCAGATGTCGGACTTTTGGCCCAATTCCTCCGACGACTCTAATCGGCCAACTTGTCAGCCGGCTCTCCACCATCTGAATTCTCCGGCCCTGCAAGTGTGCTTGGTCTTGACCACTCCCATCATCCGAAATTCGGTCGCATACGCGTAATCTGGGGTATTTGGACGGAAATGGACGTCATTTGTGTCTGACGGCTCCGTCTTCACCATGTTTCAACCTGTCGTTGTGGCTTGGCTGCATTCCTAACCAGCACCCTCAATCTTGACTTCACTTTATGGCGCACGCAAATAAGTAGCCCGCCTTCCCTTGTGTTTCATTTTCAAGTTCCACTGCTTCTCCTTTTGCGCTCTCCTTTGTGATCGCAATATACCCACTCCAAGATGACCTTCAGTTCAAGAACACTTCTACTCGCACTCAGTACGGCATTCATTCACTCTGTGGAGATCCCAGTGAGGCTTACATTTCTACAGCAAGAGTTGCTTCTGCGCAGTATCCTGGTTCCCCTGGCGGTGGAGGCGGAGGTAGAGGCAACCCCTTTGGAGGCGGAAACAATGGAGGATTCGGCGGCTTCAACATCCAAGGCTTTCTCAATCAACGGGAAAAGGTCCTCATCGCCCACGGCGTCCTCGCAGCTCTTGCCTTCGTAATCTTCTTCCCCCTAGGCTCAATCCTTATCCGATTAGCATCTTTTCCAGGTTTATGGTTGGTCCACGGGCTCTTCCAGATCTTCGCATATTGCATCTACATTGCCGCTTTTGGCATCGGTATCTGGCTCGTTAAGAACATCCCCATTAATCTCCTCAACCACTATCACCCTGTTATTGGTATCGTGGTGTTCTGTCTGCTCTTCGTCCAGCCGATTCTGGGGTTGATCCACCACTCCCAGTTCAAGAAGTACAGCCGCCGAACCGTCTGGTCCTACGGACATCTCTGGCTTGGCCGAATTGTTGTCACCCTTGGAATGATTAACGGAGGTCTCGGTATGCTTCTCGCGACTGAGACCGGTTACTTCGTTCCAAGCAGAGGACAAATGATTGCCTATGGCGTCGTCGCGAGCATCATGTGGCTCCTCTGGATCTTCGCTGCTGTGATTGGAGAGTCCAGGAGGTCGAGAGGACGGGTGTCCGTGGAGACAGGCGTTAATAAGGAACGATATGCGTACGATACCCGTGAGACGAATGCCTACCGAAATTAGTTCATAATGGTATTAGACACCGGAGCCACCGAGTCTGGCCCTAGTCGGAAATCCGGGGACCATTATTGTCGTTGATATCTGTGAATATGGGACGAATATGGCTTCGCTTTAAGGTATTCCATTCATGAGCAGAATATTCTTTCCCCTGGTTGGCGAATGGATGATATGATCGGAAAATTGGTGATGGTTGTGCTTTATGACTTGCCATATTCCAGGCGGTTCATCTTTTGTTCCAGACAAAAGCCTATGGCTCTTCATGCTATCTTTCTAGGATAAATTCTATACATATACTGTATTCTATTTCCCCCTAATTCATCGTGGACAAATCTTTCGGATAACAGCTTGCGACTGTCCAGGAATTTGCTATAGCCACCAGCAACTGACCACACTCCATATGGATCACCCTATCTGCACCACAACCTCCGCCATCACCCTCTGACCTCAACTCCTCTTCCTCCATGCCATCATCCTCCCAGAAATCTCTTTCGCCTGACATTATCATCCCTCACCGCCAAGCCTCAGCTAACTTCGCACCTCGCCTCGCCCGGCTTCGCTTGCCAACCCCGAAAACGGATCGCAACATCAGGCGATGGTCGCCGAAGCCAGGTACCTACCTGCCACTCACCGTGAGGTTCTTCAGCCATAGGGTCCCGACTACCTAATCCAGACTGCGCGGCAGAATTGATTCTCTCGTGTAATGACTCTTTAGCTCTAGGTTTATTGCGCAAAATCGTCGTATCATGATGAAGGGATCAAGGATCACGACACCAAGCTTGGAGCACGATCGCGTGTAGTGGAGTGGAGTGGAGAGAGATGGAGGAATGGAGACGAGAAAGACAGGACAGGACAGGAGGTGAAACAAGAGATATTAGGCTGTGCTGCCGTGGCTCTAAGGTGAACGAATTTGTGATATTTGTTGATGTGTATCGGCATACAGAGCAACGCACTGATCAGGTTGTAAATTAAGAGAGAAGTCTTCATCCTCACTACTATCCCTCAGTTCCCAGTATCGATCTTAAACGACTATACAACTCTAAACCGATCCGAGGACCGCGCCTACGCGCTTTACACTTCCACCACCCCTAAAACCTTACCATGGCCGATCTAGCAAGCACAAAAACGACCTTCAAAATCGCTACTCTCACTACATCCGCCCCCTCAACAACCTCCACACCCCCCGAATCCTTCCTAAAATGGGACGGAACATGCGGCGCCGTAGACTCCTCACTCACACACTCCTGGCAATGGGGACTCTTCATCACGGGACTTCTCGTCGGTGCCATCGCGTCCGCCATCTCCAACTTCAGCACCCGAAGACGTAGCCGAATGACCCAGCATCTTTTCTCGCGATACCTGATAGCGCAACTCTTGTTTGCGGGCGTGCTAGCAAGATTCGCTGCGACGTTGATTGTCTGGGGGGTTGTGGCGAAGTGGAAGTCCGGGACGGAGATTGAGGAGGCGAAGTTCAGGGCTACGCTGTGGGGTGCGTTTTTGGGATTTCATCCTGGAGGTGTTATGGGCGTGCTGCAGATATTGGAGTGGAAGAGTAGGAAAGGGGTGGGAACGGGGAGAGGGATGCCGAGTTGGTGTGCGGTTGCGGTTGCACAGATTGTTGCAGATAGTTGTGCGACGTGGTTGGGGCTGGGGAATGTGCTAGCGTCGCAGTACGGATACGAAGCTCCTGTCGCAGTGGGGAAGAATAGGCAGCGGGTGTTGGTTAGTACGGATATGGCTGCTGCGGCTTTAATTATGGTTTGGTTACTTTTTGCGTATTATGTTTTTGCTAAGAGGGGCCACTATGAGATATTCGAGATGTGGATAGTGAAGATTTTGGTTTGTGTGGCAAGTGTAGCGTTGGCGGCTGCGGAGATGGTGTTGACACTGACGGGGGCGGACTTATGTGGAAAACCGTTGGCGCTGAGCGATGGTATTGGCACTGGGTTCCAGCTTGTGGTGTCGATATTGATCATGTTGGGGAGTGGAAAGGTAGTAGGCATGGAGCAGATGGGGCCAGGATAGGGGATGTACTACGGGTGAGGTGAATTGAGAGATAGGTATAGTACGATTGATTGAACAAGCCCATAACGCAGGCTGATGCTCTTCATAGTGTATTGAATGGGGCTAGTTGATTCTCCTGGCCTATTGTTAAATCACGAATTGAGACTGTCACTCTTCAGCATTGAATCCATCCAGACAAGTCTTCGGGTTGCTAATAGCAACCCGAAACTTGCTATAAGAGTGCCTTGATTTGGCATAAGCTCTCATTGAATACACTTACGAGGAGGCTTAGCAAGCTAGCACCTGCTCTTTCTTAGAGGCACAGCCAGATTGATCCTTCTCACCTGTTTATTGGATTGAACGGGAGTGGTCTTTGAGATGCACTCTTCTGTTCTCCGGTGTGCCACTCACCATATGTATCCATAGTGGCATATCTCCAGCTACCGGCACGCACTGGGGCGGTCCATTACTGTACAGTGTAGGCTAATGTTCCTTAATCAGAGATCCTCGAAGCTTGGCTGTGACTTTTGCAAAGTCTATTTCCACTTCACGGACGTTAAGGAATTTGGACCCCATCTCGTAATATTCCCATTTAAGTAAATCATGGGGCGGTGCCTCTATTGGACTGTCGCCACTCAGTACTATCCGCGAGTAAAAAGTATTGGTGACTCTCCGGATCTGCCGTCTGGTGATGCAGCAGCTTTTGCCCGAAGCCTACTTCAACCTCATGAATGGAGGAGACAGATAATTGTGACGGAGTATGGGACATATCCGGGGAAGTGGCAAGGCTGTGCCTATATTGAATAGTGATACCCAGTACCTGCATACCGTCAATAAACCTGATTTATTCCCCAACCTAGCGCCTGAACTAAATCGGGAATAATTGTGGTTGGTTGAAGATGGGAGCGGCGGGGAACAACAGTGGTGCCTGTGGATAGTGAGACACGATGGGTTGCAGTGGCCCTGTCGTACTCCTAGTCCACAGTGCCCGTCCGTTGGAAGTATTGGGAAAGGGGGGAAGTGGCAAATATCATGCACCTGCAGGAAGCCCGTTATCGGGTTGTATAGCCTTGCCAAGATGAAACGATGAAGGGACTCTAAAGGCCTCGACAACGTTGCGATTGAAGCTGGTTCGGGACGGCGAGCTTCTAGAAGCCTCAGCCCTACAAAGAAGGGTTGACATTGATGTCGTGGAAGACAAGGTGCGAATTTTGGAGGTCAAACACAGTCAAGATCGGCATAACCGAGCCCTTTGAGGACTAGCATGACCCGCGTTCTTTTAGACGTCCAAAAATAGCAACGGCATCGAGAGGGAGTTTCGGCTCCAGTGAATGTCGATCCTTTGCTGAATTTGCGTCTCACAATGCTGTCTTCGACAGGTTGCGCCTGATACGAAGAGACCGCTATTTCTGCAATCTCTGCAAGGCTGCCGTGGCGGACGCCTAGTTTGCTCTTCGTTCTCATCTCGGGAGCTACTCGCGACATGGTGCGTTTTCGTGCCTGGTCGAGTCTGAGCATACGAGAATTCTCGTGTCTACCAGGCCATGGAAGGAAGTTATCTGTCGGACTGCTTCGACTGTGGCCTCTGAGCACTCAACAAGCGACAGATTGCAAGTAAGATGGTGTAAGGCAGCGCGCTGGTCCGCGACGGCGTGGATTGCTGCTACCCCACGACAACCTGGTCGCCAGCACTGCCACCACGACTTGATAGTAGCAACTCAAACCGGCGCGGGCTCTGCATGAGCTGCAGCGACCCAGGACGCAATTGCAGTGGTTTGCGGCTCGTGTGTTCGATTTGCTGACGGCCCTGCACGTGCGGCTGGCTCTGGGGCTGAATTCGTGCACAGTGCCGTTCATCTCGTCGCTCGTTACTTGAAGAGCAGTCTCCAGCAGTGTGCGCTGCTGTCTTGCGGATACGCCATGCAAATGAGTCTATCCGCCTAGTCCGCCCACGCATCGTATGTTTATTCTTAGCTGAGGGCCAGTCTTCTCCGCCCCGCCCCCCTCTTCGTTAAGCTCCATCAGAGGTGAAGCTCTTGGCCGTCGACACTGCAATGCCGACCCCAAAACTCCAGTTCTTGAAGTCGAATCGCTCGCGCTCCTCGGTCGACAGCTCCTCTGGCCACGCCTCGCCGGTGCCCTCTGGTAAGTGTCGGCCGATGCTCAATGATTCGTGCGGCTGACAAGGGAGCGCTTGCAGTGAACAACGAAGCCTCCGCGCAGCGATACTCATCACCCGAGGGGCCCCAGCAACCATCGCAGAATCAACCGCCTCAAGGACAGCACATTCCCCAGGGTGTTCCCCAAGGTCCCTACCGCCAGGCGTTTCCTGCCCGCACCACCAGTCACAGGCACTCATCGAACCTGTCCGTCGACCACCCGCCGCAGAACCTCCCGGGCGGTCAGCTCCCCGTCAACCCAGGCCAGCCCTCGCCCGGCATTGATCAACCACGACGGTCTTCATACCAGCCACAGTCGAACACGGCGTACGTGCAGCAAGAGCCCAAGAAGCAATCGTTCCGCAGCCGCATCGCCGCCGGCTTCTCAGGGCACAAGGACGAGGATCCGTCTCGGTCGCACGTGAACAAGAACGGCCTAGGGAGACGCGTATCAGTCCGGAAGAGCGACGGACGGCCAGAGAGCTTTCAATCGCTGGGCAACGAAAGGTTACAGGCACAGCAGTGGTCTCAACCACAAGGATCCAGTCCGCATTTACCCACCTCAACCGAGCAGGACGAAGACAATTTGGACCCCTTCCTCCAGCAGGAAGGCAGAACGCCACCCGAGGTGCCTTCGAAGGACCTCCAATATCAAGCACAGCATCCGCAGCAATTTGTGTCGAACCACAATCAGGAACAGTATAATCGGCCCCCACTCGCTAGAGTGAACACCGAAGGGAGTTTCCACACCCAAGGCGGGGTAGATCACTACAGCCCCGAGCAACACCAGGGTATCCAACAACAACACCCCCAGCAACAGCAGCAATACCAAAGCTACTCACCGCCAACTCAGCAGCCGCAGAACCCCCACGAATACCAGGCATTCCACCCCCAGAACGTGCCCAGCCCCCACTTAGCCAATACTCAGTTGCATCCCCAGGGCATCGCACAACAACAACAAAATTACTATCAGTACCAACAACAGCAGCAGCAGCAGCAGCCACAGCCACAGACACAGACACAGACACAGACACAACAGCAATCCCCTCAAGACCATCAGCCGCAAAACCTGGTCTACCCACCCCCGCAACAGTTTGCTTCCCCTCAGCCGCAACAGGGTGGTCAAGAATTCCAGCATCAGCAAGTCCAACACGCACGTCCGACGTCTCAACACCAGCCGGAGCTGCAACACCCTCAGGCTACGCACCAAATCCCTCAGATCATACAGCAGGGCCAGCAAATCGACACTCAACACCTGCAGCAGCTCCGCCCTGCCTCGTCACAGGCACCGCTTCCCCCGCCATCACCCCTCCAACCCCTCCAACCTCCACCATATCAGGCTTACGACAACCAGCAGAGCCAACCAAATCAAGGAACCGAACCACACTCTCAGAACATAACCCCTCCACAAGAAGGGCAGCAAGGGCAGGACAACATGGCTCCGCCAGCTAGCCAGCAGCGCAATACTTTGCGGAAGGTCAACGACTCGGGCCAACCACAGCCTGGGGCACCGTCCCGGGAGTCTTCGCTCCTGCAACAGCCCCCAGTTCAAGGTCAGGCTCAAGGACAACCGCCGGTGTCGCCGGGAATTCCCACATTCGGGGCTAACGTCGTGCCAACAGCTTCGCAAGGGCAACCTTATCGGGGTGAGAAACCGGGACAACCAGGTCAGGGTGGAGAAATAGGACGGGCAACACCACCGCCGCGGTCTGCGTCTGATATGTCGGATGAAGAGGTCCACCAGTTGCTCAAGGATCATGAGGTCCTGCGTAAGTACAAACGATTGCGTGGATACGGTGGTGCTAATCCTTTTCCGCAGGCGAAAAGTATCAAAAAGTCAAACGGTACTTCTTCGAGCAGCAATCCCAAGTTCACCAGCTGCAAAATACACTTGCACATCAACGCCTCTCACTTTCACGAACATCTTGGGATGACAGCGAGTATGCTACTCGGTTCAACAGGTTAGACGGACTAGTAGCACAGCTGTCTTTTGCTATTCGCAAAGACTGGAAGTCAATCCCTCCATGGCTACAACCAGTGGTCAACAAGAACGCCGTTGAGACCGGGAAGCAAGAAATGACCGCGGTTGGCCGCGCCTTCATCTCCTCCTGGATCGTGGAGAACATATTCGATAAATATTTCCATCCTGACCTAGAGCCCGGCTTTTCAACACAACTGAAGTTGATTCAACTCAACATCCGAAGGTTCTCTCCAACGTGCCAGACAAGCGAAGACGAGGATGCACTTGTAGCGAAGACGATTAATTGGAGGCTAGCCACACTCGAAGGTATTGCTGAGCTGCTTCGCTCTCCACAATCACCTACGAACCGACAGAACTTGACCGAGACCCTCAATGAAAAGCTCATTGGTTCTCTACAAATGTTTTTGAACGACCCAGCACCACCAGATCTTAGCGGAGGGGTTCCAATGATTGTCGAGTTGGCCGTCAACATTGCCCAGCACTTACCGCTTGAGAGTCGAGAAGTACATATCGAGTACTTCCCTCCCGGTCATAGTTTAGTCTCGGAGTTTATGAAGATGGAGTCCGGCATCCCTGCTCTGACTAGTCCAATCATGGACCCCGAGGATGCGGACCGTGCCTCTCTCAGAAGTGTGGCTTCCGAATTAAAAGATTCGACCAACGAGCTAGAGAGTGCGCAACAAGCACAGCAAGCTCAACAGACCAGCCAGGCCCCGTCCAAGGAGCCGGCAGACAAGAAGCGTGGGATGTTTGGCTTTGGCGGCTCCAAGAAACCGACGGCTACACCAGCCCAGCTTGGCAAACGCGAGTCCTCTCTCGGCCAAGGAGGAAGCCAACAAAGTCTCACACAGCCACCACCTGGCAGCTCAAGCGGAGGCAAAGAAGAGCCGCCTCCACCAAGGGTCCGCATGGCCGTAGGTGTTGCTGTCCAGATTCGCGGAAAGAGTATTTTGATGAAGGCGCCTGTTTACAGCACATGAGCAAGTAACATAGAGCTCATTTCTGGGTTCGGAGTCGATAGAATTTGTGGGGGATGAAATCGGAGTGCCATGTTGAGATGTATAGACTCAGGACGGCGATGCGACTATGAGCTTTCCTTGGAGTTTGTTTCGTTCACTTCTTTCATACACCTTTTGTATTCAGATTTTGGGTGGATTTTGAATACAGATGCGATGTAGCTAAAATGCCTAAGTCAGAATGGCCGGATTCTTGACGCTAAGATTGGGACGAATATTTCATGGACGTGGAATTGATTGACGATATGCCGATACCCTCGCTACTTCTCCGGTTTGGTGGATTGGTTGGTTATAGATTTAATCAATAGCAAGATGGTTGACGAAACCCGCATTGCTGATGAGAATTTGTGGCGTGGTTTAGCTATGTATTTTGGCAGAAGCTTGATCCTATCGAGACCATACTTGAACCCAGCAATGACCTTTGCCTTTGCCTTTGCCTCAGAGGGCGCTACTAACTATGCTACCTATTCAGGATGGATGATAGATGTCGTCAAGCCAGGATCTGATTGGTCGATGCGCAACCAACATTTGTTTACTTTGATCAACACGGCGAACTTTTAAACCCCAACCCACCAACCCGCAGCACAACATGGAAGATATTGAAGTATCACAACAGTTCAAAAGTAATACTCTCTCTTTATGCTCACAAATCTCCAAAGCTAACAACCTTTTCTAGCAAACTCCCCCTCTCTCCCCTCCCCCACCGCTCAACACATCGCCAGCATCTCCGGCACTCGCCTACACATCCGCTCCTTAACCTCTCTCGAAATAATCCGCAGTATTCCCCTACCTTCATCACACGACCTCCGCAACTCACGCTTATGCTGGAGCCCCCCAACAACGTCGACCTGCGGATCCGGAATCGCAACGCCTCCGCGACGCGGCCTGGCGCTAAGGTCGAATCGCATACTCATAGCCGACGATGAGACGACGCGGGTATATGACGTCCGTGATGATAAATGGAATGCTGTGATTAGCAATGGGAGTGGCGGGATGGGGAAGAATGTGCACGTCGAGTTCGGCGCGAGTGAAGACGAGGTTGTTGTTTTCTCGGATTTTCAGAGCAAGATTACGGTGTGGTGTTTACGGTCTGGCCGGACTGTGGAGATAAAGGATCCGAAATATTCGTCGGGGCGGGGTTGGGGATATAGGCCTTGTGGAGAAGTGGTCGGGAGCGAAGAGGGAAGAGGAAAGAGTGGGGTGTTGGCTGTGTTGTGTCGTAATTCGGGGCAAGATGTAATGATTTTGTTGGCGCCGAGGACGTACAAGGTGCTTAAGAGGGTAGAACTTAGGACTGTGGATGCACAGGGGCTGAAGTGGTCAGGAGATGGAAGTTGGGTTGCGATTTGGGATTCCTCGGGCTCGGGGTATCATCTGCATATTTACACAGCTGATGGACACCTCTATCGAACTATCCAGCGGGAAACACAAATGCTGTCTTCGGAATTCGATATCGAGGGCCTGGGTATCAAGACCGTGGATTGGTTGCCTGGAAACGAGTTTCTTGCAATTGGAGGCTGGGATCGGCGCGTTCGCATGCTATCTACGCGGACTTTTGCGCCCGCATTATTCCTGGATCACACGGCGCAGATATGTGTGCCGAAATGTCAGGTGTACAAGGAGCAAATTGACGCCACTAGATCGAGAACATACGTGTTAAGCCCGCAGCCTATACTGCCGCCAAAAGCCGAGATAGGGAAGGACGACCGGAGTGCAATGCCGAAACAAGGTATCAGCATCATTGCAGTGAATACAGATGCTACGCTATGCGCGACAAGAGACGATTCCACCCCTACAGTAGTCTGGATATGGGACCTACGATCCTTAGAACCAAGGACGATTCTGATTCAGCATTCGCCCATTAAGAGTCTTCAATGGCATCCAACAAACCCATCACTCCTGCTCATACAAATATTCCAAGACTCGCCAACTGTATACCTCTACACCGCTCCCTCTGTTCTCTTCCACTCCACCTCCGAAGCTGTCACGCTAACCCCACCAAACATCCTCGACCTCTCCTCGCAAATCAGCAAGCCTGCCGGGTCCTTACCCGCGAAATGGACGGCATCATGGCTTCCCACTCCCATGGATAAGAAACCGTTCTTCGTGTTCGGCCACCAACAAGCCTACACTCTCATCTGGCCAGAAGGGAAAGACCAGATCCTCAGATTCGAAGGCGAAGATGGGGAGGAGAGCGAAGATAGCTTGTATGACATCCTAACCGGACGAACGCCAGTGCCGAAGCTCTGTGAAACGATGAGAGTCGATTATGGGGACAGTGAGATGGAGGATAGTGGCGATTTTTTGGGGGTGGGGCAGGGGGAAATTGAGGGGATGGGGTTACCGGCGAAGGAAGGGAGTACGGGGAGTTTTGAGGATACGTTTAGGGAACGGAGAAGGGTTGTTAGTGGGGGTGGTGTAAGGCAAGGGAGAGGGAGAGAGAGGGGGGAGAGTGTGTTTGATGAGAGTGGGATGAGTGAGATGTTTTAGTGTCCGTGTTGGAAAGATAAGAAAGATCTTGTGCCTTTCCCCGGTCAATAAAGAATCCGATCATTTCGTTTGCAATCTTCCAGCATGCATAAGAGATCAGCTAAGGCGTCTGTCCGAAACCTTGTTTCAACCCACGACAGCCCATCTCATAGTGCAGAATATGGTATTAATATAATCAAACGTGCATGTGTATCATTCTTCCCCTCAAATCCCCAAACCCTAACCTCTCCCCCGCCTCCCTAATACCACCACCACTCTAATCCTGAAACCCCCACCGACCCGTCTGGTCCAACCCCAACGGATTCTGCCCCGTCTGCTCCTTCCCCGCAATCTTCTCTGGCTTATTATAAGAATCCTTGTTATTCCCACCGACGATCTCCATTCTCTCTTCTTTTTCGCCCATGAGAGGGCCAAGAGCTCCACGTGTGGCCCCTCCGAGCGCATTACCGAGCGGTTGCGTGACCTTTTCGAGTGGTGCGCCGATTGGCCGGAGGACTGTGTTGAGGCCTTTACCTAGGGTGGATTAGTTGGGAGCATTGCGGGGGTTGTGGTAGAAAGATGATAGGAGAATATATATACCTAATGGATCGCCGATTCCAGAGAGGAGTCCTCCGGTGCCTTTTTGTTCCTCTTCTTCGTCTGGCTTTTGTTGCGGGATGTGGTCTTTGTTGTTCGACATTATGATCGATATCGATTATACTTCGAAAATAGTAGTAGTCGAGGTTCTTGACGGACGAAAAGATTTTGCTCAAAATGTATTTCGATTTCTGCAATTTCTTCAAATGGCAGGGCAGATGTTAGATGAATTCAGTGTAGTCCCCCAAGTACGACCACGAATAATGGCCGTTTATGTATTCAATTCAAGATTCAGCGCTAGTGACGTCAGATGTGCCCGTGTGGAACTGGCGTTAGCGCGAATATTGATTGCCTAAAGGGGCTAGCGCGGGTTGCGCGGCAGTGACTGCTTTAGTGCCACAGGTGAATCCTATCCTCTCAGTTCTCAAAATTGCGTGGGAAAACCAGGGTAGTGTAGGGTCCTCCGAGGCGGTCTTTGGAAATTTGGTGGACTGAGAGTATACAATGAGCTATCGAATTAGTAGGTATTATGATGAGCATTCTACGAACTCCGAACATAACGCTTCAACTTTACGGTACCAAAAGGACCAGACTGCATTGACAAGAGACCCTGAAAATCATCTGTGCACATATCCAATTCCTCAGAAATGGTTGAAATTGGGAAAGAAAGAGATTCCTCAAAAAGATTCCGAATTCAACGCACCAACTTTTTCGAACAAAGACCCTCGAATCCACGCTTGTACAGTACGTACCAAATTTACGGAAACGCTTGACACTGGAAATCGACGAAAGAACGAGGACAGAAACCACAGAAATTCATGTTCGCATGCAAATCTTAGTTTGCTTCCTTGCAACAATGCCATCCCATGCTACACGTCGGGAACATAGAAAGCATGGGAAATTCTGCAGGTAGTATCTCGAAACGCGGAAGACATCATGGAATGCCATCCCATACACATGATTGCCGTCGCCCAAAGATCGTGACACCGCGTTTCTTTCGAGTCTGCGATCAAAAACTGTTAGCAATACTACCATCAGACCTCGGTTCATTCTCCTCAAGCAGATTATCCAACATACTGTCCACCTCTGTATTAGTAAGTGTCATCGCATCCTCATCTTCCAGCCTTTTATGCATGCGGTGCGACTGAATGCCTACGAACGCCACCAGCGCAGCTCCAATGACAAACCCGGCACTGGCGAGGAATGCGTTGACAGGAATTGGGTTTCCATGGAATGTGGCTTTGGTAAGCGCGTCAATAGCGGTTTGTGAGAGGTTGACGAGACCAGAAAAGCAGATGATGGTTCCATAGACGCGACCGAAAGTTGCGAAGCCGAAGACTTTGGCGGCGTAGTCGGACATGGCAGAGTAGTATAGAGGGCGGAGAAGGACGAAGAGGATGACGTTGATGTAGCCGGCCCACATTGCTGAGATGGAGCCGATGACACCTATGACGGTAATGATTGCTACGAGGATAAAAAGGACTCCGGGAGTGCTAACGTTGTCAAGCAATAAGCCGAGGAAAGGTGTGGAGATCACGCCGCCGAGGGGGAGCGCCCAGTCAAAGAATGAGTTGATCTGGGTCGCGAGAACGCTTGAGCTGAGCATGTAGTCATACTGCTCGCGGATGGTGGCGATGAAGTAGTTCATTCGAACCATCTGCAGAACTGTGAGGAGAGTGATGAGGATAAACCATGGACTCAGCATCTGTTCTTTCGCAGGCTTGTTGTGCAAAGCACCCCAAACTTTAGATGCTTCTTGCCTATGCTCTAACTTTTCTTCTTGATGTTTTCGAAACTCGGGATCTCCAACCAGCTTATCGAGCTTGTTTAGCCTCCTCCTTCGACGTACGCTTCGAGTCTTCCTACGTTGCCACATCTCATCGTCTGGTAGCTCATCGTCCGAGGAATGAACATCGCGCGTTGGATCTTCAGCTCGTGCAATCTTCATATCTAGTTGTGGGGGTGTTTTATAGCTCTCGCTTGGTAGGAAAGTCATTTGGGCAATGGTGATGGCAATGGGGACAATGAGATAGACAAGGAAGAAGACTTGGGGCGTGAATCTACCCATACTGGCATCATAAGCGAGCCTATAGAACAGAAACACAGCAGCTGAGGCATCGAAAGCGCCAGTAACGAGAGCGACAATAGTGCCAGAGTACTTTGGAAAGGCGTTCGCGATCTGGAATGATGGTAGGAAAATCGATGTCCCTCCAAGCGCAAGGAAGAAGTTCGCAATAGTATAACCGTCAAACTCGTCGATCTGAAAAGCAAGGCTCATAAGAATGCTCCCAGCAGCAAGACATAGAGAACCAAAATAATAACAGAGCCTAGGTCCATAGCGATCAAGCATAGTCCCAATTGGCAGCGCGGAGACATTCGCGGTTGTGGAAGCCAAGCTGAAGAAGAAGTTCAGGCGCAAGTCCTGTTCGAGACACACTTCGACATTCATATCAATTTCCTCTGGTTTGCAGAGCTCTCTGAAGACACCCTCTTGGATGAGAATTGGCTTCAGCGCCGCGAATCCAAAAACAATGCCGCTTGCAAACCAACATGCTAATACTGTCGCGGTGACCTGCACTAGGAGCAAAGTCAAAGGGAAAATTCTGATATTTCTTGATGGGGTTTAGCTTACAGATACGCCGAGCCATAGAGATGTGGTAAGGAGTGACTCCACCGTAGTCCTCTTGCATTTCCTCTGGTGCTTTCAGTGCGTCATAGCTGATTATCCGTCGAATTGTTTTGACTTGTCCAGGAAATTCGGAACTCTCAAGAGACAGGCGGCGCTCTGACGCCTGTTCAAGAGAAATTTGGCGTTCGAGCGGCGGGAGGAATACGTCCACCAACGCCTCCTCTCTATCTGTACCCTCGAAAGTCGTGACATGTTGTACTAAAGACATTTGCAGCTTAACCCAAAGGAAAAGAAGCTCCAAGGCCTGTTGGGAGACAGCTTCAAAGGCCGCAAGCTGCAGGAGGGGTCAGGAGAGTGAAAGGACGGTCGCGCCGGTTCCAGAACAAGGCGGAAAGCGGAGTTATATGGCTCCTTGGCAAGGACCCTGGCCGTGGCCCCGAGAAAGTGGGTACCGAAGATTCGAGCATAAGGTCACCCGCCCTCGTGAAGGTTCTTGTGTGTTACCGGGGCCCTGGGTACTGAAGCGCCAGATATTCACTGTAGTGCCGCTTTTGGTTGTCCTTGCCACACTCATGAGTTGCTGGTAAACGGCTATGCGAGCTTGCCCGCTGGTGATTGGCTAGGATATTTTGGCCTGATTGGTCAAGGTCTAAGTAAGATAAGCTCTACCATCGTCAAACCGGTGACTGAAAGTGTGTCGATGTAAATTTATGATTTTCCCTCAGATGAAAGCAATATGCTGTCTCGCTTTACGGCACGTCTGAACTGCCGCTGATAAGCAGACATAGGCGCCTGTCGATCGGTGCCTAGCCCATTAAAATCGGGTTACTAGCAGCACCTCTATGGATGACGGTCCGGTTGCAAACTCCGCCGTGCGGTTGTCTTTATTCAATGGATTCTCTATGGGAGAGAGAAGTCGGCGCGACTTTATTGCTCATCGCGTGGGCTACCTGTGGACCGACTTGAAGTTGGCCAGGCCGGTTGAAAGCGGAATAGAGACTCACATCAAAATCGATTCACGATGCACGCTTCACAACGGGGCAGTGCTTCAATCACAAAATGCTGCAGTCCGTGGGAGTGTCCGTATTTACTTACTTGGTTCTACAATAACCTGGATTAGAACAAACTGTCTCAAAGCCCTACACAAACTTACTTGGCTAATACTGATGCCCGCCTGCCAAATATCATGAGCTTCCCAACAACCCGATATACGCCACCGGGTCGTGGCAAGGAGTCCGCATTAAGGGCTGCTGTGCGGGAAGTACTTTGTGAGCCTGACATTAAAGAGGTGCGCTCGCCGGACGATGATCCTTTACAAAGTTTGCAAGGAAGAGATCTGCTTTGTGCAAACAGTCCTAAGCTTAGCGAGGACGGAGACAATTCGGATAAGATATTAATAAATGCTAGGGCATGGCTCGAGGGTTTGTACGAACAGGAACAGCAGAAAATCGACTGGACCCCGGAATACCGTTCTCGACCATTCGGCTCCGTAGCTTGTGGAAGTGACCATCCTATCATCTTGGAAAATGAAAAATCCAAGGGTGTAGAAGAGAGACTGCCTACACACATAGGACAACCCGACCTATGTGTGAATACGGAGCCCCTAGAGTGGATACGCCTCGGGCACGGTCCACGCTCCAGCAGTATAGAAGACCTTATAGCCCCCCTGCGCCAGGTTCGGCTAGAACAGAGAAATGCGACTCGAGGTGTTCACCCAGTTAACGATACTTACGAAGACCTCCTTAAGACACTTCAAGGCTGGAATAGAATCGCTACAGAACAACTTGTTAAGCCGAAGAACACCCCATCTAGTAGTCAAGGCGGCTCGAGCCGAGAGTTGCGGAGGGTCTTGAAAGAGCGTTGGGAAATGCTTCAGCAACTCGCAAAGAGCGACCAAAACCCTCGGCTTCTTGATAAGCATTCCGAGAACCTGCTCAGGGCAATCCATGCATATCGGTCTGAGACTACGCATTTTGTGGATCAAACCCCGTACAATCTCATGGCAGTGATGTTGGCAAACCAGGGGATAGCGGATCCCGGCCTTGATGTTGACGTGAAAGCGCACATGATTCAAGTGATGTTAGGAGAAATGCACCTATTTTACAGGCACCAATACGCTCAAGAGAGAGCGGCCATGTTAAATGAGTTTTCTTTTGCCCGAGAGCAGAAAGATTGGACTAAAGTTGAAAGTTTGCAACATCAAAAGCTCGATTTTGACCTCAAGATATGGGATGATGCCGGACGGAGGGTATGTTACGATGTCCAGTCAATGTGGAATAATCTAAGAGCGAAAACGTTGGGCGAAGTCCAGGATTTGGCAGTATTGCAAGCCGCACAGAAATGGACTGTGGCGGAACTACTGTCTTCCCCTACTGGCATCTTGAGGAAGAAATGCGGCGATGAGGATGCGGCAGTGGAACGGGTAATCCGACAACAGTTGGAGGCAATTGATGCTGAGCTTGGAGTGATTGAGGGCTCGTTAAGGGCTATGTTCCATCTCCAGAAACGAAACGTATTCAGGGTAAAGAAGATGTCGGGATTAGATGTCGATGATCCAGAGCTGAGGAAGATTGTGAGCGAAAGGCGGCTCAGCCGACCTGATATGCCTCAGATTATGACAGAGGTCGCGATGGAATTGGGCGATGTAAAGGAGAAATCTGCATACATGTTGCGGAGGTTAGAAATCCTAGAGTCCTCATTGCAAACAGCGCAGCAAGCTGCACAAGGTCGGGAGAAGGATGACCATGCGGCTTTGGACATGCTTAATGGGAAGGTGGAATAGGAGCAGAGAGTTGTGATTGTCTTGGTCTGGTTCTCCTGTAAGCGGGGGTTTGTACCCAAGAGCAGACTTGCAAATGCTGAATCCCACTCTGTCCTGCTTCCCCCAAAGGAGCTTTCTTTACCCGTTAATAGCACCAAATACAAGTTCTTCCTTTAAACAGTCCTCGAACCGATGTCAGTATTGCCTCTTACGAGCCAGTGCGGGGTAAACAGGGGGTGATGCAGAGTAGGAGCATGCATCTTGTTGAGCTTCTCTCTAATTCTAGCAAGAGGCTTAACAGATATTGTAGACTCTACCTTGGTCGTGCTCCACGTTTGGTGGGAAGATGCAGGATTGTCCTCCGAGCATTCATCATTCATCCGACACCGTGAGCGCCGATGAGATCCTACGCAAAGAGAGGCCAGGAGAAGGCGTTACGGTAGTGAAAGAATCTCCATCAATACTGATGAGGCAATAGTTCGATGGGGGATGAGCGATTATTGAGACAGAAGTGAGTGCTCGGGCTTTCTCAACGCTGCCTGAGTGTTGGGAGTGCTGGGTGTGGATGCCGGAAGATCGGCGAGAATCTCGCACGCACTAAGTCGGGCTGCTGTGAGTGGCTAGACTGGCATTTTCCGGCGGCTCGGGCAAGACCGGGGCGAAGTCGAACTTTTCAAAAGACAACCTCGTCCCTATCTCCGAGAGTCTCACCAACGACCCCCAGCAACTGAATCTCCTCTCACTCTTTGAGCATTCCCCCTCCTTCGCTTTTCCATTTCTCAGGCTCAGCGAAATGGCTGCCACCATTACCCCCAAAGTCGATGCCGTGAAGGCGCAGGCCGCTGCCCTTGACCCGACCAAGCCCACCGGTTTTGCGCTCTATTCAAGATTCGCCTTTGCCGGTGCCGTCTGCTGTTCCGTCACCCACGGCGCCCTCACACCCGTCGATGTGTATGTATCCCGCATATTTCTGTTGCCATGGGGAGCTCCAATGGCCCGCAGTCCGTTGCCGAGCGCCCGCAATCGCTATCCGGCAATGCCAGTTTCAGCGCCCAGCTAACTCCCCAACAGCGTCAAGACGAGGATCCAGCTCGACCCTGTGACATACAACCGTGGCCTCGTCGGAGGCTTCAGACAGGTCATCGCGAACGAGGGCGCCGGCGCCATCTGGACGGGTTTCGGGCCCACCGCCGCCGGATACTTCCTCCAGGGCGCTTTCAAGTTCGGCGGGTACGAGTTCTTCAAGCAGCAGAGCATCAACTTCCTTGGGTATGAGGCCGCCTCGAACAATCGCACCGCCGTCTATCTCGCCTCGTCCGCCCTCGCCGAGTTCTTCGCCGACATTGCCCTCTGTCCACTGGAGGCCACCCGCATCCGTCTCGTCTCAGAGCCCACCTTCGCCAACGGTCTGATCGGCGGCTTCGGTAAGATCCTGAAAAATGAAGGTGTCGGCGCTTTCTACTCCGGCTTCGGTCCTATCCTCTTCAAGCAGGTCCCATACACCATGGCCAAGTTCGTCGTTTACGAGAAAGTCTCGGAGCTCGTCTACCGATCAGTCGACAAGAGCAAGGCTTCCGGTGGCACCCAAACCGCAATTAACCTTGGCTCCGGTCTCATTGCTGGTTTCGCTGCTGCCATCGTCTCCCAGCCTGCCGATACCATGCTTTCCAAGATCAACAAGACCAAAGGCCTTCCAGGAGAGGGCACAACCAGTCGCTTAATCAAGATCGCAAAGGATCTTGGTTTCCGTGGCAGCTACGCCGGTATTGGCGCTCGTCTGGTATGAGTTCAACCCCCTCACTTTGCTTCGAACCAGCAGTTAACTTTGCCCTAGTTCATGGTCGGAACCTTGACCGCAGGTCAGTTCGCCATCTACGGCGACATCAAGAAGGCCTTAGGCGCCACTGGCGGCGTTGAGATCGCCAAATAGGTGAACCTCGGTTACCGGATCTCGGGGACCTTGGTTGGCGGGGTGGATCGGCGGATGATACCAAGACAGCCATGAAGTTTGAGTCTCAGCCTTACATCACGAACAAGGCTTTTCAAACGTCTAATAACGGAAAAGTCGGGTCTGTCTTTGTGTTTCTTGCATATGGCGGGCATGGTTTTATATTTTTTTGGTTTCCCTTTGAAGGGGGTTCCTGATGATTTGCGTTTGTCCTACGGCACGGCACACGCAATCAGTTATAGAGCTGGAAATCTCCGCTGTTAGATGGGACGGACGGACGGACGGGGATTCTGTAACAGTACGATCGAGCATTGGAAGTCTTGCTGCAAATAGATGGCGCGTCATTATCAGCAATTGCTGTGCAATGTGCTTAAGCGGTCTATGTGGAGAGGTCGAATTTCTAATAACTCCAGCTAGACCCTTGGTTCCTGCTTAGGATCTAATAGGATATTCGAATCCACGAGGATTCCGTCATTCTTGTTCTGTCCAGGAGAACACCAAGGAAAGAATTATTTCTCCAAGTCTGGCGGACTGAGAAATGCATGTGCTAAGTGGCGGCTGCCCGAAGATCATTGGAAAAAAGCAGGAGGGTAGAACTATAAAGTTCAATGTGTGCCGAACCTACCAATTATCCCGCGCTCTCTATCCTGATGTCCCATCTATATATTCCCATTCCCATTACTCCAGTCATCATCTTCTAATGTCGGCTATTTGAGAAAGCCCCAGCACCCTTTGGTGATTTACTCTCCGTAAATATTCGAGTCGAAATTCGTTGGAAATCTCTCCCTCCCCTCCGCACCCTTATTCACCCAAACACTCAGACTAACTCCTGGACACTTGAACAACCCAAACCCCTCATCATCAATCACAACCCCACCATCTTCCCACCCTAGCAAATCCGTCCACACCTCACCCTTATGCAATTTCCCAACCGCCATCCGAATCTCTCCCACCTCTGCATTGCTCATCAAGCACGCGAGTCCATATGGTTTATGTGTAGTTCCGCGTCTTACAAATCCGATGCAATTCGGATCATCCCAGTAATCGTTCTGCTCACCATACGCATATAGCTTCCGGGCCAATGTGAGGTCTGCGAGTTTCCCACCACAAGACGGAGGTTCGGGATGCTCTCCCTTCATGCCGTACAAATCGCCATAGAAAGTGCAGGGGTAGCCGGTTTCTCGGAGCAAGATGAGGGCGTAGGCAAGCGGCTTGAAGAACCCTTCAACGGGCGTGGCGACGGTTTGTCCGGGCTGGGTATCGTGGTTCATGACGACGGTGACGGCGTTGATGGGCTGTTCTTGTACTAGTGTGTTGTCGAAGACTTTACGCATATCACCCTTCTCCGTCTTACTGATTTGGCTAAAGTTGTAGAGGAGTGGGGCGTCGTAGAGCGAGAATTTGTGGTTCATGTCTGCGAGCCAGGTGGACATTGTTTTGGTGTCGCCGACCCAGAATTCCCCGACTACGAATATGTCGTCGCCGCATTGCTCGCGCAGATTGTCAACCCAGTCGTTGGTGAAGCGTTCCGAGAAGTGCTGGACCGCGTCGAGGCGGAAGCCTTTCAGACCAAGCTCTTTGGTGATCCAGACACCCCAGTTTTTAACGTCATTTTGGACTTCTGGGTGCGAGTAGTCGATGTCGGCGAACATCATGTAATCAGCGTTTCCTTGCTCTTCGTCCACGGACTGTGACCAGCCCTTGTTGTCGCCGAGGATCTTGTAGATGGCTTTCTTCCCCGTGGCTTCGTCCCAGTCTGTGCCGCTGAAGTGCTCCCAATGCCACTTCATCGCCGAATATTTATCCCCGCGGCCGGGGAAATCAAACCCCAACCAGCCCTCAATCTCATACACATCCGAGATCTCCATCGTCCGGTCGTTCTCATCCACCTCCTTGATCCGGCAGCGCTCGGTATGATCGGCACCAGCTTTGTGGTTCAGAACTGCATCCCAATATACACCAACATCATTCTCCTTCGCCACGCGACACAACTCAAGCAACTCATCCTTAGTGCCCCATTTCGTGGCTTTCTTGCCCTTCTGGTCGAATTCCCCAAGGTCGTAGAGATCGTAGATATCATAGCCGTTACCTTCAGGTGATGCCGCTTTGCAGCCTGGTGGAAGCCAGATGTTGTCAATGCCGATGGACTTTAACGTTGGAATGGCACGGGTGACTCGTGCCCAGTGCTGGTTGTCGGCTGGAACGTTCCATTCGAAGGCTTGGAAGAGGGTGACGTTGTCAGAAGTTGGGGATTGGTCTGGGTTGATTATTAGCATTGGTATTGCAGTTGGGGATACATTTTGAAAGGTACCTGAGTGGCCCATTGTGATAATGTTGAAAGAAAATTGTTCCCAGGCTAAGAGAAGAAAATGATGAGAAGGGAGGCCTTGAGGAACTTTAGGAAAGGACAACCTAGGAAACTATGTTTCTATTTGAAAGGGTAGGCACTGAGGACAAGTCGAATCAGTCAGGCTTCAAAGGGACTTTATCTATATACTAATGTTCCGACCAGGTGCAGTTGTCGTCATGGCCCTGCATAAGCGCGTGGACAGGCAGGTTTATCTCCCGCTTTCTACTGCCCGATAAACAAAGGTCTAAATTCAAGGAAATGTGAAAGACAGGCTGATCAGTGAATGTTCAACATATCTGTTAATGACGTCGTCGTGCGTGAAGACCGCTGCAGAGCGGGGGAAAAGCGAAATCTGGTTTGAATGTGCTTTTTGCAGTGGACGCGCGATTGGCATGTGAAAAATGGATGAGATGGTGGCGAATTCTAGGTTCTGAATAAAACAAAGCAAGCTGCCTATCATTGCAAGCCGAATAAAACTTTGATAAAAGCCATAGTCCAATGCTGCTACTTCATGCAAAACTTCATGCTAGGACTGAAACAGTTAGAGGGCAGCATCTCCCCACAACCTAAACTCACCATTTGACTCCCTCCCTGCATGGCGGAACACCCATGATCCAGAGCACTTTAACTTCTCAGCATCCACATACTCACTACTATTCTATGCTGCTATATTCGTGCCTTCTCCAGCAAGTCCTTCCCCTACTGGATCTTTCCCAACTAAAATTTTCAAAAATATGGTTGACTTGTGCTGCCTTGATTTCACGAAGTATATCTTGGTGCTGCGACCAAATTGCCGCACTACAACACTACCACCATCGAAATATTGCTTTTAAATCTATAAAGGGGCCAGACTGGAACTATGCAATCGCATGTGATGCCCTGAAACCATCATCAAACAATGTACGTGAAAAGCAAAGGCAAATCCTCCACGATAGTGCATCCGCCTCGCTGCTTTTAGCAGCTTGGAGCTGCGTTCAGCCATTATGAAGGAAGTATTATACGATAAGATATTTTAGATAATTCACGTACTATTTAAACTTAAACTGCTGGATCCAACCACTTTCTAGGCGACCAAAAACTCCCATACCCACCAATCAATATCGTAGCTTGCTGTCAGTCATTGAGGGTCATTGAGGAACACAGAGTGAATTCTCAGAGTCTGTATTGGACTGCGACTCCTGTACTATTGCGCCGAGAATGCGCCGTAAACCAGATTTCTATTATACGCAAGAATTTCTTCCCTTCACCTACCGACCCATATCAGAGTTGGAGAATTGAGCTGTGATTCTCAAACTTCAGCGATTCACTCTCCTCTAGCCCGATTTCCGTTTCGCTCTTCCATGTCCTTTTGGCATACTCGCGCGGTATTTTTAGAGCAGAGGCTTACGCTTCCGACTGAGCTCGCCTTTAACCACTGCAACTTCGGTGGCATCGCGCTTCACTTATGCCTCGTCAGGATCTTCATAGCTCACCACTTTCGGGCTCTTTACTCCCGTTATCGAAAGCGTTAGAACAGCGCGCAGTCTTGTCTGGCAAGAGAGAGGTATCATTACGCTCGTTACGATGGGCGAAGACGAGGCTATCCAGCTTTTACAGAGCACATAGTGACTTGAAGGCGAGCAACCATATCCATTGGCCAAAGCATGTTTGCTCGTTAGACAAGAACTAGAAAACCCCTCTCACATCTGAAAACCCATTTTACGTCGAAGATCATTCCTACTCCAACCCTTTCGAAAACACGGTCTTTAAAAGGGTGATCGACGGCTTTCTTGGCCATCAAGCAATAATAGACTGGAGAGGATGCCTCCTCAGATCTCCATCGCACAAATATTGGAACGAGCCAGACTCGGTCAGGACGGTCGTCTGCCACATCATATTCTAGTTCTCCGTCAATGCAGTCACCTTTCTCTGTATAGACACAAGCCAGTTGATTATTGTTATGCTGACCATCATGGCGAGAGGTCACACATCTTGTTGTGAAGCATTCAAGAGTTGTGCCATTCAGCAAAAGAGCTTTACATGAAGGCATACCCGGAGCTTGATGGGCGCGAACCCCCAACACCTTGAGATCGTTTTTGCACGGATGCCATAGGTCTACAAACCAGTAGCTGCTCCTATTGTCATGTACAAGGTCGACGAAATCGATTGCTCCATCTACCGAGGCCCACGACCATGATGGGGCACGGCGGTGTGCCGGTCTTTGTAAAGAGGCACCCCATTCCGCTCGCCACAGAAGACCTTGTAGCTCAAAATATGGCGAGCCAAACAATAATCCTTCGTTAAAATGGAATGGGTGACCGAGGATCCGTTCGAGCTCGAGCGAAAGGGAAAGGATGGCGGGAAGTTTGTCATTTGGATCCGTCAAGCCGCGCGTGGAATAGTATCTTATGAGATGAGCCCAGATACTGTAGATATCGGCGACATTGTTCATCTCGTTGTTTTCTTCAGATTTTGGATTTCGGTGAAAACCTCTGAGCCCGTCGAGAACATAGCAGAGAAAAGCGCGATTTGGAAAAGCCATGTCTGCGACATTGGTGACCTCGGTATTGTCCTCGCCCACGAAAGTCTTATAGCACTCCCAATAAAGTTGGTTGGGTGCAAAGTGCAAGGTCCGACGAGCGAAGAGATGCTCCTGGAGAACCCATCCTCTTCTGTTGAGCGGTGCTTCGAAGATGGTCTCTTCTGGTTTCTTTTGGAGTCCGAAGTACATGAAACCGAGTTTTGGGTCCTCAGCATCGCATGGTACCTCTACGTATGTCCCTTGGGGCGACCGGAGAAAGAGGCCACCAGACCCGTCCCTGGCCCCTGTCGCTGCGATTGTTACGTATGAGTTTTCGTACACGGATGCCATTCGGCGGGACTCTCGATCGAAATCGTCTTCATCTTCCTGAATGATACAGAGGCAATCGACCCAGAGGTAGCATACATCAAGCTTTTTCGTAACCCAGGCGGCATTGCGAATTGTTTCCGAAAGTTCTCCACAAGAAATGTGCTTCTGATGATTAACTAGAGTCTCTTTCGTAGTTCGTAGCTGTGGTTTTCCGCCCCAGCAGTGGCTCAATGCCACGTACTTGGCCTTTCTACCATCTGAAATTACTAGGCGAAGCGACGATGGATAATCTCTGACATCGAGAATTCGAGTAGGAAGTACCGGTGTGTTGTCTAGCGCAGTACCAGAGATTGCTAACAGGCACTCTGGGTGGTTATCTATGCAACCTTGGATCCAACACTTGATCCTGCTTATTGCCATCTCTGATCCCGGCGGACTAATGGGACGGTAGACTAAGTGTTGGCTAGCATAGGATCCTGGCCGCCATGTTATATATTTTTGATATACAATAAGGTCTGAGCTCTATGTCAGCTCACCTTCACTGGCATGACAGTAAACTTTGACCAGCGGGTCACGAGTCGAAGTGTCATAAATCCAAACACTCTCCACTTTCTCGTTAAGATCCTCACATCTGTAAGCTAAAAGCGCTTCTGTATCGATCGATATTTTCTCATGAGTCTCAGTGAAGATCATCAGGCAGAGCGGACATGACGAACGAGCCTGTCTTATCCGCTGGAAGTTGAGGAATATAGGTGGTGTCTTTTCATATTCTCTAAGAAGCCGATCTTTGTCAAGGTGAAAGTGATTGTCTTTCAGGCTTATGCTAGCCGATTTCGTGAGTTTATCTATGGAGAACGGGCTACACCCAGAGCACGGCTGGTTTGAATGACGATGAAAAATCGGTGATACGCTAGAATTCGCCGAGATACTTTGGCCGGAGCCTTGGTTCGGACATGAACGCACATTTGCTAAGCTCATGGCAGCTGTTAGAGTGCAAGTCTGTCGGGCTGATCAATTTGAAAGAGTTTTGAATGAAGAGCTGAGAAGTCTGAGTGTAATCCAACAATACTTGCTAGATCCATTTTACTGTGATGATCGTGAAGGAAGGCGCGAGGTGGGCCACGTACTCTGGGTGGTTGCTGCCTAGCGCAACGGCTGGCTCACCCTTACTGTATACAGATGCTGAAAGAATCTTCTAACATTTCAGTTATATAACTGGTAAAAGCGAAATAAAACCGTATATTATACAACTTAGACAGGTACTAATGAGAACACGTCTTGGCATCTTCTTCGGAGGTATTTCCTCCTCCTCGAAAGCACCTACAATGGCTAGTCAACTTGAGCAAAGGGTTCACAAAGCCTATAATGATGATTATCATGGGTGAAAATCTAATTTGATGATCTTGAAATTCAACCCCTTCTCGAAAGTCCGGATACAGCAAGGTGTACAGCTAAGTATGGCCGGTTTTTGTGACGCAGAGGGGAGGCTACACATCGGAGGAGAGACTACACGACAGTCGGACCAACGAATGTGGTTACTTATGTTTTGATGATCTTGGCTTGGGGCTTTCACAGCATCTGCTGTTATCAGTGAGGGTACAATTTCGTGTTCAGCCCAGGCCGAGTTCAGCCTCGCACCTGCAGGTGCCTAGCCTGGAATTTCACAGCCTCCCTCGTGTCCCTAAAATCGCCTAGGGCCCAGCTGCTCAACTTCTCTTTAAGGTGAAAGCAATTGCCCATTCACCCTCAGAGGAAATCACTGACAATGGACGATGAAGAAAAACATAATCTTCGCTCCGTGCGGACCAGCTTCTTAAACCACATTCTTAAACGCCCGCACTCTAAACCCCAATCCATTCGCTACGAAGATACACAACCCGCAGAACCCCTTGAACCCTTCAGTGTTTTACCAAACAAGCGCTTTATGTTCAGAAAGTCAAGGACAGACGAAAGCATGGAGTCCGGTGACCATCATATCCACAAAACCCCACTACTCATTCGCTTCTACGACCCAGAGGTCAACGCCCAGGATACAGCCGGTCGCACTTTAGATGACATTCTATCGTGGAGCAATGCTAGACTCGAACACAGTCACAACTACATTCAGATGTTGTTCCCGCTCCCCGAAGGCTCGCCGTTCAATTACGACGCCCCGGTTATTACTCGTGAAGTGATGGAGGCGTTTCATGCAAGGCCCAAGCTGCAGAGTAGATTGAGGGAGGCTTTTGTTAGGATGCTGGACTTCTATGGCTTTGATGTTCTAACACGTGAGGTGGGTCCCGTACCAGAACCCGAGGCCAAGCAGAAGGAGCAAGATGAGTACATGGAGCAGCAGGGGGGTGCGGCGCAGAACGGTATCGTCGAGCATGAGCAGAGCGCCGATATGGAGAACCACGTAGCACAGGAGGATCAGAATAAAACGGATGCGTCTAAGACCCACGAAGAGATCGAGTATGTAGTACAGCAAGAACACACATCGCCTACCTCACAGGAGAATCCAACAAGAGCTCCCCAGAATGAAGCAACATCTAATCAGACTCCCAACAAACCTACTAGCACTACGGGTGACTTAGGCCAACCCCAGCCCGGGGCGGATGCGGACGCGAACGCGGATCCAACTGACACCTCTAACCCCGCCAGCGCCGCCAATCATGAGCATGAACAACCTGCAGTCGATACTACTCCGCTTGCAGAGTTCCCAAGCCCACCCGAACAAAAGCCTGCTGAGGAGCGTCCTGTATTCATCATCGTCCGCGCCGCAAATTATCGTGACCGCTTTCGCAACTGGGCCATACGATTCGACCACAATCACCTCCGCATCACTCGCATCCTACGTTCTCTCCGGGTCCTTGGTTTGAATGAGGAATGCTGGGCCTTCTACTGCATCTTGAAACACGTCTTCGATGATCCGAGTATCTTCATCAATGAGCGATCGATGGTGTATTGGAGGAGAGCTGTTAAACAATCGCTATACTTGACTCCGGATAAGGAGGAGGTCTTGTGGTTGAAGCGCTGGTGTGGGGAGGTAAGGAAAATTAGGGAAGAGGAGAAGGTAAGGGTAAAGGAGGAAGAGCTAGCAGAAGAGGCAGCGAGGGGCCAGGGGGATGGGCAGGATGAACCACAGGATGAACCACACTGCCAAGTGCAGGGCCAGCCGGTGGTGCACGGAGTGGGACAGGGAGAACCGACTGTAGGATGGGGTGAAAATGAGGTACCGAAATAAAGTGGTCCAGGCAGATTTGCTAATTTGGAATGCAGATGGGAAAAATAAGCTGGCGAGAGCAAAGTATCGGGTGAAATGGCTATGGAGGACACTGAATACCTTCTAGGTTTTAGTTATTGAGGCTAAGCAAAGTCTCCCATCGGGACTTATGAGTTCTAGCAATTGCCGAAGTTGAAAGCTCGTTCTTCAGCTTGGAACCTTTCTGATGTAGGTTTGCGGGAAAGCAATCCGCCGTTTTGTGAAGCTCTTGGGTAGTTATAAGTTCACAAGCAGATTTGATATACTGTGACTTGTTGAACTATTTCGTTTAATGTGGTTGCCCAATATATACACAATGCTGGCCATTGGCCACTTTTCAGCACTACATCACCGCCAGCCCCTCATCCCCAGCACATGATCAGTGGCACTCAGTACTCTGAGATAAGGTCACCCCTCCTCTTGCCACGCATGTTGTACTTCCCCTGCCTCCATTGTTAGCCAAGACTCAACGAACCAGAGTATGAATCTACACGCACCTCTGTCATATACCCCGCAATACCGACCGGCAGTGGAACTAGCACCATGTACACGAACGTGATCCATGCGGTGCGTGGTGTCCATCGGAAGTACTTATGTCGATTCGTCCACATACCTATCCTCGCACGTCAATACTGATTTAGACTATAAACTGTATATTCAGAGGGAGCGACGGTCGGGAGAGGCATACTGTTGTATCTGATGAGCGCCGGATCCTGGTGCATCGCTGTCGGCCACCGAGTTAGCAATTGAGGCCATTGAACAGCGAAACAGATGTTGAGAACCGAGCACTTACCTCCTTTATTGTGGCCCGCCATTTTGAAGAGTTCGTGGGGCGGTGCAGGTAGGTTTGAGGTTGTGGTACTCGTTGGAGCTTGAGCTTCGAAGTGAGTAGAGTTGAGAGCGTGACGTGACCCAGAGGGTGACTAAGCGGCTTGGCACGGGTTCCGCGCCTCGATTTCCAGACATCCTCTAAGGTTTGGCCATGCTTCTCATCCTCGACCAGATTAGTTCGAACAGATCTCTCAGCCTGCGCGCATCCCTAGGTATGGGGTCCCTCTCTACGCAGGTGTTTGATATGAATGTTCTATCAAACAACATAGCGGCACTCCGAGGGCACTGCGGAGATCATTCAGTTGTCCGTACGAGCCTCGGCGTTTCGGCCGCCAACAACGGCTTACCGGCGCCGTTGGTTCCTTTAAAGTATCAAAGGTTGTGTCTGATTGAACAAGATGTCTCCGCATCGGATAGATAGACTCCCGATGAAGAATCCTAGAACTCAACAACCCGTCAAATTCCTCCGCCCGAAAAAATCCTCGCTCCTCAAAGACCACCGAGCCTCTATTCCGCTACTCTGCTTGATACCACCTCACCACACTATCGCATTTGACGTCTAAATCACGCAGTCCGACGAGGCGAAACCCCAGCCACAGCTATGTCATCAGCAACCAATCAGCAGGATGCAAAGATTACAGTATACTGGTATGCCACATCCGCTGCGCCACTCTACTCATATCCCCAGTCTTCACACCGCAACTTTTTCTGATTTCAAATATTTTCGGATCCAGCAGATTCCGAATCTTCAGCTCACACATCGTATTAACGAGGCGTACAGGCTGGAAAAATCTCGTGCACAACGAATCATTTGGCTTCTGGAGGAGCTCAAGGTTGACTATGAGCTGAAGGTCTTCAGGCGCGGGAAGGATTTCCTGGCGCCTCCGGAGCTCAAAGAGGTTCACACTCTTGGAAAGTCTCCAGTCGTTGGAATCCAAGCCGCTGGAGCTGAGAAGCCTGTAATCCTTGCGGAGAGTGGCACAATTGTTGAATATCTTACCGAGCACTTTGGCAGTTGGATGATCCCTAAACGATATCCCGATGGGAAGGAAGGGGTCATTGGAGCAGAGACGGAGGAGTGGTTGAGATATCGTGTAAGTACCCAACGTTTTCTTCTCCTATATTCTAGCGTGCGGCCCAGCAAGACTCGGGTGAATATCCTCGGTGGATGTCTACTCAAGCTTATAAGGTGAGATTAAGCTCAGTGAGACTATGCCACTGGAAACTCCCTCTAATTCATTTGCCTATTTTGGCAGGATGCTGCGCTTATACCATATGCGAACAGCGGAGAGCATTTCGGACTGAAAGTTGACTTTCCGACAGTACTTAATGCATTATGTGGAGGGCAGCTTAATGACCATCCTCCTTTTGGCCCTAGTGACTCAAAGTATGGGTGGCAATTCTACGCAATGCATTGCGACGTGCTAACAAGACCCAAGACATTCGTAACGCTCCCGTGCCGTTCTTCTTGAAGCCGATTACACGAGGCATTGCCAACAAGATTGATGGATCATTCGTTAATCCGGAACTGAAGAATCATATGACGTTCTTGGAAGAATATCTTGCTACGTGTCCGAACAATGGAGAGTTTTGGTGCGGCTCGACTCTCACAGGGGCCGACTTCATGATGACCTTTGCGCTCGAAGGCGCGAACGTCCGAGCAGAAATGGAGACGAAATATCCGAAACTGTACAATTATTTTAGGATGATCCAGGCGCGAGACGCATACAAGCGAGCTGGAGAAAAAGTTTCTGAAGCGAGCGGGGACAAGTACATACCGTTCTCGGATCTTAAGCTGTAGTTGCAGAAGCGCGACGTCTGAATAGTTATTAGTCAAGCCGCAGTTGTGCTGAATCACGTCACAGATGCAGAATGTTCGAACCGTCCAGACACATGTCCCTGAATTTTCGGTAATGGGCGAGAGGAAAAGATTTGTAAATACAACCGTTGCTTTCCAACGAATTTCTCGTAACGACCAATACAATGTATTCACTGTTCGGCTCGGATCTGAGCGACGGTGTTTAGGAGCTCGGCCTCCCGAGTGACGACAATTGGGAATGCCTCACGTCAGCTGTGCCTTTTTTGTTTCTAGGCCAAGCGCCGCGGGCGGCTCAGGAATACTCGAAATATCCGCCTCGGCCACGGCGTAAGCATCAGCCTCAGCCTAAAGAGCGTCAGTACTCGAGCGGCCTACACGTTTCTAGAAACCCCTAATTGATGAGGTACATTCTAATGCCATTGATTCGCCCAAGGCACACTCGTCCGAGCCGCGATGCAGGCTGCAAATCAGCAGCATTACTGTGCTCGGAGTACCACATAAGATATATACTGAGCCAGTGCCATTGCATGATGCATGTCATGATGCTATAAACCATCTTGCCGTATAGCAACGAGATTCCCCCGCTACCCTCACAAGACGTCCGGTTTCCTTGAATTCAAAGAATTCCCCAATCCGAACTCGATTATCTAAAGGTTTCTCGTATTAGCAATTCTGCACGCTAATCCACATCCGGCCAGCTATACGGCAGTTAACCACTTGCCACTACTTACTCACTCATCGATCAGCAACCTCCTTCAGGACCTCTGTCCCCTTCTGTGTCCTTCTGTGTTCGTTGCACTCTCGTTGTACTCAGTTGTCTGCTGCGACAGCGTATAGGCCGACCTCTTGGATGCGAGTTAGCCTATATGCCTGACCAGTCCGGCCGCACCTCGTCCAGAGACTTTGCATTTCAAAGCACTGACCAAGCTTTCGGAACGTCCAGCAGCTCCAGCTATTCGACCCACAACCACGAACGCTACTATGCGGAGGGGAGTACAAATGCTGCCAGCGTGCCGCCGTCATCGAATCACGCGCCGCAGCAGGACGCTTCTTCCCTAAGATTCCAGGACTACGCCCACCAACAGAGCCCTCTCCAGTCCCAAGCTCCGAACCAGCTCTCCAGCTACAGCTTCAGTCCCGGAGGTCCGCTTGTTTGGGACTGGAGCAACTCAATTGAGTTCTCCGACTTTGCGAACCAGTACGAGCCGCAGGGCGAACTGGTCCAGGAGCTCCAGAATCAACCTGCTTCCTCCGACTTCAGCATACCGCTCCCCGTGACAACAGCTGATGCGGTATACCAGTCGCCACAGCAGATCTCAAGCGCGCCGGCAACAACTGTTCAGAATCCACTTTCCCCACCTCCGCCACCTGCCAAATCTTCGCAGAAGCCCGCCCTCCAGACGGGCATGAAGAGGAAAGCTGAGTCGGAACCCAATTCAGCAGTGTCTCAGTCTGCCAGCTTCTCCGCAGAGCTCCAGCAGCCAGCCACGAAACGCGCGAACAAGTCGCGCTCGTCGTCACAAGCTTCGATCACGTCCCCCGCGGTCGCAGCTGCCACCGAAACCCGACGATCGTCCATGACCCAATCAGCCACAGCCACAGCCGTCGTGGCTACCGAATCTGCACAGCCTGCCAGCAATAGCAACACCACCAGCGCTGAGGCACAACGAAGGAAGGAGCCGAGCAAGGGCACTGGACCACAGGGAAGAGTTATTGATGTATCAAAGCCGCGAAGGATAGTGGAATCCCCCGCGGGAGGCGATCAGCTTCCTTCAGGGAAAGTTTTTCCAATACAGATTGGGTCTGAGTTGTTCAGGTTGTCTGGGGCATCTATCTCCTCTGATGGTAAGCTCTCCCACCCTTTCTTCCCCCTTCACAGGAAGTCAAGTCTGCTGCATTTGATCAACCACAAAGGCTGAGAATTCTAGAGCACCCTCATACTTCTCCCATTTCTTTGGGGAGCAACTCCATAACAATCTGGGTCGAGCTGGTGACTTGAGAACCCTCTACATTGACCGCGATCCAGACACTTTTCGCGATATTGCGTTACACCTACAGGGATACCACGTCAAGCCTCGAGATGGCGAGCACTTTGTCCGCTTATTCGCTGACGCACAGTTCTACTCACGTAAGCACAACTAATCTGCCCCTGAATCTTCTGTGGAGTCATGCTCACACAAGCGCAGTTCCCCGCCTCACCAAAAGTCTGTTTAGCACTGATATCTTCATTCGTATCGGCGATACCCCCTTCCAAATTCCACGTGATTTGTTCTCTAGTCCAGGCGATAGTCCGAATTACTTCTCATTAGGCTTTGCGCATTTCTTCTCAACTCCGTCTGAGGTGTTTCCAGGATTAGATCGCAATGCACTACTTCGTCCGCCGATGATCCTACCTCCAGCGGTACCTAGTCGGAGTGGAGAGACGTTTGCAGAGTTGATTAAGGTCCTCCAAGGCTACGATATTGAGATCAGGAACGAGAAGCACCGAGCAGAACTGTTAAGAGATGCACGGTACTTCCATCTGAAGGGACTCGAACAGAAACTTATCCCTTGCGACATCTCGTACAATCTCAAACGTAATCGATCCGAAATTCTCATTCGGTTAGAAGATATTCGACAGTCTGGTGTATCTTTTACCCCTGATGGACCACCTAGCAACTCTAACTCAGGTTCCACGTCCAGTACCTCAGCGTCCGCAACAGCTCTCTCTCCCGCCCCTGGCAACATCAGCAAACCCACGAGCCCGTCTCCTTCCCTTCAGAGCTCGCACCACCCGCGCTCAGGCACGGTGTCCTACGCCCGTCCGTACACAGACGACCACGCCAACACAAACACTCTCATCCTCGAAATCTCTGCTCAAGAATCAACAAGCCTGCACTTCCCCACGTACCCCCCAATCCGCACCTCCTCCAACCTTCCAACGCTAAATCTCCGAGCCACATTCCACTCCTCCACCCTCGCGAGAATAACATCCCTCTTCTCTGTCATAGCCTCCAAAATGGGCCTCCCAGCCACTCAACCCCTCGGCCTCATGATGCTCGCGTCCGGCGGCGGCGTCGCCGCACAACCCGTTTCACCCGCTAACTCGGGCGTTAGTGAGCGCCGGGTTCGCGTCCGCTGGGATGAAGACTGCGATGTGGAAATTGATAATGAAAGCGTTGAGCTCGGTGTAGATCCTAATACGGGGCGTGTGGGTGTGAAACGTGTGGATGTTGACAATAACCACAGACATAAACGCGTTAGAGTGTCGGTTGAAAGTAATGATGAGGCTGATGCGGGGGTAGAGCGGGAGCTTGATAAAGGAGATTGGATATGGGGTGGTGCAAGGCCGGAGGAGGGGGAGGAGGAAATGGAGTGGGTTGTTAAGAGAGCGCATTGGAGACTTCGTGTTGAGCCCGTAGATCCACAAGAAGGCGGGAATATTAGCAGTGGGAGTGGTGGTGGGAAGATGCAGGTTGTGCTATGCGGCGTCAAAATCCAAGGTATCAGTGTCGAACGGTCGAGAAATCGACAACGCGCTTTTTTGAGTGGGGGTTCCGGGTAATACTATCCTATGCTGCGATGGGATGGGGTTACTTGAGTTTGGTATGAATTTCGCTTCTTCGACCCCTTCTGCTGGGGGTCTTGCGACTGGTTCTCGCACTTCAGCAATACTTTGATACCAGGCTTGGTTTGATTTGATGGAATTGTGACTGACAACACTTTATCTGACATTGGCGTTTCTTGAAGGCAAGGGCAGGAGTGTCGATGGCATCGATCAAATGGATTCCTATCTACGCTTTTCTTTCCTTCCTTCTGCTTCAGCTTCAGCGGCATTGTATCATGCATCCAAGATGAATGCATCTGTTATGCAAACAACTTTTTTCACTTTCATTTCTCAACACTGCACAGCATTTTGGCGGATAGCTTGGCTTAGATTGCAGCTCTTGTCTGTATGTAGATCCAATAAAGATCAAGATTGATGTAAGACTAGCAAATCATGATTCTAGTGTCTCTTCGAGAGTATACCCGTAGAAAACTTTATGTTCAGAAACATTAATCGAGATAGAAATTTCATTCATATGCATGTTTTAAATCATCCATCACATCACTCCCTAGTGAGGAATATTTGCGAAACGCATTCCGCGTTTGGGATAGACTGGGATATACCTGAAGAGATAGCTGGATATGCCCGCGTTTCCAATGAGGGTGCTGTAGTCCTGCACATCGTCGAACACTCACAGTTTGGCGAGCCTAGTATTAGAGTATACATTTGTATTATCATAACAGCGATACCGAAAACTCCCTAGTGTCTGACTAAAACCCCAGGACCGAGAATATTATGCAAAGATACAAGATGAATTAGTGTAGTATATTAAAGCAACAAAACACACTAGTTTCATACAGTTCCATGCAACGCAGTTATCCATCTATAACCCATCTCTAAGAAATCAAACATCTCCCCCTCCAAGACCCCTTCCTGTCGTCCGCTCCCTCCTCGCTCTTCCCCGAGCAAGCCCCATTACAAACATGCATCTCCGTCTCACGCGTCCGGCGGTTTCAGCGGCCCCAAGCCCCCAGCCCACCACCCGGAGTCCTGCCAACATCTATTCTCAGCATTCGTGACCTCAACCGCACGAGCCAGTTTCCGGCGATCGAGATGCAGGTCGGCGTGTCCGTTGGCTGCTAGAAGCATTGGGCTTGAGGCGGTTGATGCTGATGGGGAAGGTGAGGTTGAGATGCGGTCTGAACGCGCAGACGGAGAGGGGGAGCGTGTTGATGGAGTTGGGGTTGGGGCTGGAGTTGAAGAAGGGGAGAAGTTGGAGGCGATTTTTCCGAGAATGTGGCCGGCAGCGAAAGCGCATCCACCAACGGCGTGGCGGATTAGCGAGTCCCCGGCTAGACTGCCGATGACGAAAATGTTGCGTGCGACTTCGAGGGAAGATTCAGTTTTAGCTCGGAGGGTACGGCCGGATATTAGGGTGGAGGAGGAGACTTCTTCGAGCGCGGTTCCGAGAATCTCGGAGCGCAGTTCTGGGGAGAGGTAGTCCAGGGAGCCTCGTCGACCAACTACGTACTCCAAACCTCCGACTAAGCGGGTAACAGTATTCCCAGACGCAAGGCGAATAGTGGCAGTTACTGAGGGGGCCCCTTCAAGACGAGAGACGGACAGTATTTCTGCATTTGGGAGTCCTTCATAGTGAGAAGTCCAGTCTCGGCTAGAAAAGAAGGGGTTTGACTTTCGCCGGAGCATGGAGGATCTAATCGAGAGAGCCTTGGTGGATGCGATTGCAGCCAGCTTCATCTGCCGGTATACAGTCGCATATTCCGGGTATGCAGTATGATGGCAACCACGAAGCGGAGATGGCCGGGTATCAGGTGCCCACTGGAATATATGGATTATCTTGCGTGTTGGTGGCGCAGATATGATGGTATCAGCGGCAGAGAATCCAGAGCCAATCACGAGCAGGGGCTCATGTGCCGAGTCTATATCCGCAATCGGCAAGAGTAGAGGCGGTGGTGGGATGTTGACTGTGAAGATGCCGGAGGCTAGAACCAGGTGCTTGCAGCGTATCCCTAGAGATCCGACAATGAAGCCATCCACAGTCCTAGAAACATTATCGACCTTTACACCTGTGTGGATGGCATCCGATATCCCCACAGTTTCCGGATACATTTTCAAGTAGTTCGCAACTTCCGTCCTCGAAGGCCTCACAAAGTCGCATTGTTCTTGCTTCTTACTCTTGCCCATATATTCAGAGTACGAGTACCCAGGAAGAGACAACATCTCCGCATAGCTTAAGGTTCCAATTTCCGCGCTCACTGAAACGGGGTTCTCCCCCCATTGCCCACCAGGTTGTGACGTTGCGCCAACCGCAAGATGGGGTACGGCCTTGTCAGGTTCATACCGCCATTCGATGCATGACTGAGGGTTTAATTCAGTGTCTGCATTTGGTCTAATCAGGGTATCCAGTAACGTATTGACCGGAAGCGCTTGTGTCGAGTACCGCAATGAGGAGAGAAAGTGATCATATAGGTCAGGGGTAAGGTCCAACAAGTTTGGTTTTTTTGTAAGCTTCAGGTCTAAAAGGGCATCGTGATGGCCCCCAACATAGTAGGGAATGTGGCCGTGAAGGATGTAGGAGAGAATGAGTGCAGAGGGTCCATTGCCTGTTGATTTATAAGCTGTCGTTTTAGTGCCGAGAAACCGAAAATGGTCTTGATCAGTGACAGCCTACCTATGATGAGGGTATCCACATAACGTGGGAGATGATGAGCCATGGAAGGCCTCTGGTATCTGCAGCTGCCATGAAGAAGGTCGGTGCAAGGGAAAGGCTTAGGTTTTGTATTGTCAAAGAATTATCATGACGGTGGTCGAGTCCGCCCGCGCTAACGTTGCAAGCGGATCCCGTGTCGGGCACAAGCAGGCGTCATCTCGCCAATGGTGGGGCACGTTGCCGGTCTCGCTTTCCTGTTTCGGGCACTGCTTATTCATTGGCATTCACTCCAGAGCATTTTGCTTTTGCGGCAGGGCGTACCTATCTCGCACACTCGAAGTATGGGGAAATGGACCAGTTCATTACCAGACTAATCATCTTAGCCATACAGTGAATGGAGACCCGAGATAGCATTTGGTATCTACCTTCAAAAAGAGTCCCAGGTATCGAGTCGCCGCCGAAAATTGTACACTAAAGAAAGAGCCAAGGCTTCGGCTTCTGAGCCCAAATCACCATATGTCCGATCCTTCTCCGCATGACTTGTCCTCAAATGCACTTTAGGCAGTATGGACGCAATAAAGAACATACAAGTCTTATCGCTCTCCAGCGCCTAGTATCTGTATGTGACAGTGCCTCTCTCCGCGATAGGCGACACATCGCTGTCTCGCTGCGGCCTCCGCGCTTGCTCCGGCGTTCTTGGTCCGTTGCTGACCGGGTAGTCACGTGCATATTCTTCCTCTTCTGTCAACGTTCCTTGTCCAGCACCGTGCATCGTGAGGTTGTTGCTCGAGCTCTGCTGTTGGCCTGGGTACGAGGGTGTTGATGGGTAGCCGGGATTGTACGAATTTGGCGAGCCTGTGTGGGGACCCAGGTTGCTCGGGGGTGAATTATCTGCGTCTGAGGCTCGGCGTGGCGGCGGAGGCGGCGGGCCAGATGGTGCTACATAGGTTGGAGAATGGTGGTCCGCGAATGGGTTCTCGTCCTCAGCTTCTGTTCGCCGGCGGGTTGGGCCAGCTTGGAGAGATGGTGGCAAGGGAAGATCGCCCTTGTCCTTGGAGCCAACGTCAAGAGGGGGTAGGAGAGGCACTTCGCTGCGAAGAGTCTGCGGTGGAAGCTGTGGGACTGGTGCAACAATCGGGGTGTACGTATTGCTTGGGGGAGGGATTGGTGGTGTAGGATTGGTGGTGTTGGCTGTTAAGACTGGGGGAGACGGCGATGGGCCCTGCAGGCGGCGAGCTTGAAGGACGGCACGCTGGTGCTTTGATGCGGCAAGGGAGAGCTGCTCGTTCGTCTCGATCAGCGTGAGCATCGTGTCGTCATCTGGAGGCGGGTTGTCACAATTGATGTAGCCTTGAATGCTGCGCTGCGCCGCCATGCAACGCTCTGAGAATTCCTTCACAAGATCATTGCCCAGGAGCTCGTTCGGTGGTGTCGACTGCACGAGTTGCAGGAGGAGCTTTGCAGAAGTGCGCGCCTCTTCGATGCGTCCCACCAGCTCCACTGGAGCTGGCAGGCCACGCCCCCCCGATCTTCCTCCGCCTTGGCTAAAGCCTCCTGGTAGTTGGGCGTCGCCTTGCCATGGAGGTGCGTTCATGGTCCGTGGGCCGAATTGCTTCGCTGCATTGGCCATCAGCGTCTTCTCTTTTCTCCACATTGCGAACAGCGTGTTCAGGTTGGTATCGTATGCTTTCTCCCGTTCCAGTGCATCCAGCGTCTCTCTTAGTATCTGCGCCACGCTAGGGTCTTGTCCATTTCGTAACAAGTGCTTCACCGTGTCGGAGAAGTGCTTGTCCAGGTTCTTGGTGAATGACTGTCCAGGATTGTCCGCCAAGATGCGAATGATCATGATTGCATTGTACTGGACGTGGGGTCGCGAGTAGTTCTCCTTGGAGAGAAACTTGCGTATCTGCGCCGCGGCCGCCGCCGCCGCGGAGGGACTTGCGACGGCGGCTTCGACGATGGTCGGGAGGTGGAGTACTTCTTCGCCCTGGAATATGTTAGACGAGTAGGATTGCGGTTTATGTGGGGGGCGTACAGAGTTCGCAGCGCCGGACTCGCAGAAGAGTCTCTGTCACCCGATCAGCTTCAATTCGGCGGAGGGCAGCAACCAGAGTCCTACCACTCCTCGTGCAGCATTGGCTTCTGGTGTGTCGGCATCGGGGGCAGGTTCGACCTCGGCAGCTACGCCGGTGCTATTAGCTGAGGGTTGCGACCGCGTTTTCTGGGTCCTGCTCACTGGTGTTGGACCGTTTGATCAGGCTCCCCAAATTTGTAAACCGCTTCTTCATGACCATGGTGGCTGCCTTCCTGGGTTGCGGGGCAGACGCGCCGCGGGGATAGCTGAGGAAGAAGATCTGCCAACAGGCAAGGGCTGGTGCAGTTTGTTGTGGCCGCAAACACTGTCGAATAGCGAGGGGGAGGTGAAACGTTTAAAAAGGCGTGTTCATTTCGAAATCGGTCGACGTGATGCTGGTACAGGGCATCAGATCCTCCGCACGGACTGTCCACTCTGCACAGCCCCGAGGCAGGCCCACAAGAGGATAACAAAGAACGTCGTCAACTGCCGCGTGGATTACAATGGCTGCGCTTGGGTGTGGCGACTCTCTGTTCTCATTTGCTTCTTTAGCTCTGGTCACTCTTCAGTCTACTGGAAAAACAGAGCAGCACACGCGTTCGACGAACGGCCATCTTGGGTCTGAAGAGCCAATCAGCGGCGAGCTGGGACCATCCGCTTTGGGCGATATACAGAGCAAACCTGGGGATACTCCGTAACAGACTTTTCTTACCGATCGACAGGCATATCTCTCAGGTTTATTTCGAAGATAGATCCAGGCGAGTAGCGACCCCACTCCTTCATGGGAGCCTCATTTGCGGTGCCGTTGCCTCCAATCCTGGAGGTAAGGCAAGAAGCTCAGGCTCTCGTCACTAGTGCCCATATTGAAGTTCCAGCCACTTGGATCAAAGAGCGAACCCTGTTTCGCGATGCCCGCAGCTTGCGCTGGCTACTTGCACCTTCGGAGATTGACTTCGACCCCAGACGCAGAGTAATTATATTCTTTGCATTCAGAGAACAAGGAGAGAGGAGGTATTAGTTAGGACTTGATGGGACGAATGACTAAGCATGTCAGGGTCTTCTTAGTTAACTAATGGGTGGAGGACTTCATCCTCGCAGGCATTTTTGTGACTCCACACAAGTCAAAGATGCCAAGTGTACCCTCTAGTGTCCGTTCCATGCACCAACACGCAGCGCTCATCCGAGGCTTGGATTCCAAGGCTTGGATGCATTCTCGAGGCCAGGTCAGTTTGCGCGCATTTGAAGAGGAAAGGCATATGATACGTACATATGTGTCACGAGGTTGGGCTGTTGGCGTCAAAGCTTGGCGGGGAATCACCCTTCCCCTCCCCCCCCGGCAAGCCACTGCCTCAGCTTAGCCACCTAAATGGCTTGTCAGTCGTCATTGCTGGCCATGCGCCTCAGGCTGGAGAACACGCCTTGACGCTGACCTGCTCACGATGCTTTTTCCCTCCAGGAATACATCTCGTGCAGAATTTCCCCCTCCTGACTCCCTACCACCTTAGACATCCACTAAACACACTTCCTCCTCCTCAACTCAGCTATTCAAAATGGCACCTGAGTCCGCGAGCGCCATGGCGGGCCAGGCCAGACAGCGCTTTCAAGAGACTGAAGAAGATCGCATTACTCGAGAATCTGGAAAGTTCCCTGACTTTGAGAAAACTATGCCTGCCCTCATGCACCGGTTCCAATTCTCCCTCAAGGATAACCTGTCTTCCTACCTTGGATCGCACAACCCCTTCTACAAATACGTCGACCCGGAGAAGGATCTCGTATGGCTATTCGACAGTACCGGTTACAAGGACCGACTGGGGCTGTGGAGCACCGAGGTTGTTGCGGCATACTTTGTGAAGAACAGCGGCAAAGACTTGGGAGAAGTCGTCGCGTGGATCAGCGAGCAGGTTGGGCTTGCAGACGATGACCAGGCAAAGGCTACCATTGCCAAGAGGGTTCAGCCTCTCCTGGACTCGATTCTCCCAGCCCACGCTGTGAAGATCGAGCTGCAGGGCGTTCCGACACAACTTGGCCCCAGCGGCCGAGATGGCATCAGCACCGATTCTTTGACTATCCCTGGACAGAACATTTTCCATGTCGACAAGAAAGAGGGCCAAGTCGCCAACGCGAAGCCAATCAACGTCGATGGAATGGCCATGAGAATCAACCTTGTGACTCCAACTGGATGGGCCATCATCAGCGACATCGACGATACCATTAAGAAGACCCTGACCTCTTCGCCCATTGGTATCCTGAAAACAACCTTCACCGATGAGCCAGAGCCGATCCAAGGCATGCCCGAGTTCTACAAGCACATCGCTCAGACGCTCAACAACCCACCTTTCTGGTATCTCTCTGCCTCGCCCTACAATTTATATCCCTTCCTACGCGAGTTTAGGGATGCTTATTACCCTGCTGGAACTATGGTCTTGCGCGATGCGTCCTGGATGAATCTCGCTGGATTTCTGGAAAACCTCACGCGAGGAACGCAAGCATACAAGGTGGGAGCCATGCAAAAGATCCACGCATCCTTCCCCAAGCGCAAGTTCATATGCATTGGGGACAGCACCCAATCTGATCCCGAGGCATACGGCGAAATGTATCGCAAGTACTCCAAGTGGATCGGTGCGATCTATATTCGGAAGGTTACTGGAGTCTCGGAGATGGATGAGGACAAGAAGAATGATCCAGAGAGGTTCGAGAAGGCCTTCAAAGACGTACCAAATAATATCTGGTGCGTCTTTGAAGATCCAAAGGAATTGTATTCCAAAGTAGAGGCACTTCAGCGTGTGGGCTCATAGAATTGATAAGACGCGGATTGACTTTTTACTTCATTATTTGACTGGGCAGATGATATCAGCGTTTGTTAACTTGAGGTGGTTATATAGTGCCAGGCATATCTTGTCCCTCAGTAATGATTCCTGTGGCTTCACAAGACGACCTTGGCGTGTGAAGATGCAGGTGATGTCCGCTCCTGGATTCCACCTTGACTGCCACATCTAAACCACGTCTACTCAAGCTCCCCCCTTCATAAAGTCCCCCGCTTTTCATTATCTCCGGACTCCACCACCACCAAACAATTATTTTCCTTCAACTCTATCCAAGTAGCAGTTGCCTTCAGAATGCATCCACTCACTTCTTTCCTGCTGGTGGCTACCATCTTGGGCCTCACATTGGCCACTCTCACCGATGCCTCACCTGCTCAGCCAACGGTACTGACTACAGCCAATGGGCAGTACGGAGGACTACGAGCCCGGCCAGAGGAAACTCTTCTCGCTTATTCTCCACACTGTTTCCCCCTTGAATCCACCTTATCCCCAAAACTCGTCAAATACTTGTGGGCTCACCCCCCAATACTTCCCAACCCCCCTTAGCCATATCCATCGAAGTCTATGTATCCCAATATCCACACTCCATGCACCTACGCTCCAAATCCCATTCTTCCCCTTCCTCCTCATCAACTCTCAAACCTAGTCTCTCTTCGGGTGCACCCCTCTCCCCAGCTCCAATTTCGCCGCGTTCAGCACTGGCCTTGTTGATATCTTTTTTCATTAACTTGTATGAGGTTAAGGCATTAGTGGGAGGTAGGGCTAGACAGGAAGCTTTCGCTGACGGGCCCCGGGCGAGGCAGGAGATGGCGCATTTAGCTGGGGATGTGTGGTATGTGGGGAGGGGATATGGGGGGATTTTATTTTTTTGGTGGAATTGATGAGGCAGAGAGCGGAAGGGGGCGGTAGTGTTGGAGTATGATATGGGAACAGCGTTTTTGGTTGAATGTGATTGCTGAGGGTGAGGAGGCTGGAGGTGGATTGCGAGGGATAAGTGTGTCTTTCCTCCTCCGTACCTCAAGATCATGGGCAGACCTGTTGGATGTGTCACTTTGCTAGTTTTGCTGGCTGTTATTTTCTGGGGTACTATTTGAGTCCTATATCATGAATGGTTCATAAGAGGTAGTGATCGATGTGTAGATCCCTAACAAACACTAATATACAATGGAAACTATCCTGTGCCTATTTCTAGCAACCTCTCAATCCTCATCCTCCTCAATCCTAGTCAACGTCCCAATCTCGGACCCTAAGTCCACATCCTCCAGCACAGCCACCCGCTTCCCCTCACAAAACCCAACAACCGCCCTACCCCAAAGCTCTCTCCCCTTAAACGCCGCAATCCCCTCCGGCCACGACTTAATCTCCTCACAAGGTTCTTCCGCCCCTCCTTTGGCAAGTCCGTCAAACTCTGCACCGACGTTTTGACCGTGAGGGCAACCGTGTTAGATTTAGGAAGCTGACGGAATATCTGTCGTTCGCGGCGGATGATGATGTCTTGTGGGTGAAGGTTCCAGATGTTTCCGGGGAAGAAGTCTTTACCTGCTTGGATGAAGAGGAGTTCTTCGAGGGGGCGAGAGTCGGGGTCGGTTTGGATGAAAAAAGTGGAGCACTCTAAACAGGTTTTTGAGGTTAGGCGGCTGAAGTAACTGTTGTTGGGGATACATGTTAGCCAAGGCTTGGGAATAGGCAGTCATACAGTATGAAGCTTACTGTTCGACGGGCTGTAATAGCTTGCTTTTCCACTCGTTTATCGGGCCGTGGAGGTTGAAAATGGATTTTCCGATACGGCAGGAGAGACGCCAACCTGCTGGAAAGGCAGTGGCACTCGCAATCCTTGATTGGATTTTTTAGCAGGCTGTCTAACTCTAGGTAGGCGTTTGGTAGATGTCAGCCTACAGGTAATGCATCCCACTGAACTCACTCTTCCTCAAGATATTAAAATCCTCCATTGCAAGCCTCGCACACATTTCCAACAGATGAACGTCATACGGTGGATCCAACCTCAGTTCCTCCTTTACAACCTTATTCCTAATCTTCCTGACACCCGCTCTTTTAACAACATCGTAGTACTTCGGATATTTATCCAGCCAGAAGCCCACAACCTCCTGCATCAACTCTTTACAAGCATCCTCCGCCTCTGGCAATACTTTAATAACCTCCGCTTGTTTTGTCTCCAGCAAATACTTCTTCGCATTGTAGAACTCGCGGTATGTCTCATCAACAATAAGCCACTCCTCCATACCCAACTTCCTCAGCCCCAAAGTCATATAATCCCCAGGGTTCTCCCTAAACCTCGGCCTCGGATACGTTTCCTCCTCTGGCATCGCCAGCGACCGTGCAACCAGCTCCTCATCTGCGTACGGAATATCCGGGAAATTCCTACCATCGCCACAATCATCTTGTTCAAACGTCGGTAGCCTCGCTATTCTTGCTTGCTCCGCTGCTGCTGCCCGAGAAACTAGATCAGCGAGGTCTCCGATACCAGGGCCAGGGTTCCCAACCGTACGTACTACGAGTCATAGTATACGACCCGTAACAGTCACGTGAGCCGTTGAAACGTAGGAGAGATATGAGTTGTAACATATGACTGGAGGAGCGCCCATTACAGACTGTAGTACGTCTTAAAAAGGCAACTTTTCCTACTAAAATAAGACCTAATTAGACACATGTAAAATTATGTTAAAAGCATATTTAAAGTTACATTTTTAGATTAATAATTAACGTACTTCACAGGCGAGTTGCTTACACACCTAAGTTACTTACTTTTGCTAAGACTCTACTAAACTACTCTTTTTATACTAATGCATTTTTAATAACACTACTTAGACACGCTAAAAAAATATTAGATATAGCTTATACTTTAAGCTTTTAAATAAAACATAAAACTTTTAAAAAAAATACTATAGCTATATATAAAGTCTTTTAAAAGATAATAAATAGCTATAACGTACTTCACAGGCGAGTTGCTCACACACCTAAGTCGCTTACTTTTGCTAAGACCTCACTAAACTACCCTTCCTACACTAATGCATTCCCTATAACACTACTTAGATGCGCTAAAAGAACATTAGATACAGCTTACACTTTAAGCTTTTAAATAAAACATAAAACTCTTAAAAAATATACTATAGCTATGTGTAAAGTCTTATAAAAAATAATAAATAACTATAGCGCTAGATAACCTTTATAAGCTAATTCTACAGCTAAATTATAAAGGCTAGGTAATAAAAAGAAGCAGGTAATTATTAAAACTATACTTAAGCTATAGGCGTAAGAAATTTCTCTTTAAATAGTATTTGTAGCTAATATAGCTAATTCTTTGCGCGCTAAGCGTAATCTAGGCTATGTTTACATAAACTAGCCTAGTATGTTTATAAAGTGTTATTTAAAGCTTAAAGTAACATTTAAGTATAAGTACAACTATAAAAAAGCTTTTTATAAGAGTTCTAAAGTAATTTAAAGTAGGTTTAGCCTTATAGAGAATATTAAAGCTAAGTATAGCATCTAGAATAATAACACATACAACTTTAGTAAGATAGAGTTTATAATTAGCTAAATATTTCTTAACTATACTTACACTTAAAACTTTACTTTAAGCTTTAAATAACGCTTTACAAACATACTAGGCTAGTTTATGTAAACATAGCCTAGATTATGCTTAGCGTGTAAAGAATTAGCTATATTAGCTATAAATGCTATCTAAGAGGAAATTCTTTACGCATATAGCTTAAGTATAGTCTTAATAATTACCTGCTTTTTTTTATTGCCTAGCTTTTATAATTTAGCTATAGAATTAGCTTGTAAAGGTTATCTAGCGCTATAGTTATTTATTATTTTTTTATAAAACTTTATATATAGCTATAGCACATTTCTTTAAAAGTTTTATGTCTTATTTAAAAGCTTAGAGTGTAAGCTGTATTTAACATTCTTTTAGCACGTCTAAGTAGTGTTGTAGGGAATGCATTAGTGTAAAAAGAGTAGTTTAGTAGAGTCTTAGCAAAAGTAAGCAACTTAGGTGTGTAAGCAACTTGCCTGTGAAGTACGTTAGCACTAAATAACTTTTATAAGCTAATTCTATAGCTAACTTATAAAGGCTAAGTAATAATAAAAAGTAAGTAATTATTAAGACTATACTTAAGCTATATATATAAAATTTTTCTTTTTAAATAGCATTTATAGCTAATAGCGCTAATTCTTTACACGCTAAGTGTAATTTAGCCTATGTTAGTATAAACTAGCCTAGTATGTTTATAAAGCATTATTTAAAGCTTAAAGTAAAGTTTTAAGTGTAAGTATATTTAATAAATATTTAGCTTATAATAAAGCTTATTTTACTAAAGTTATATATATTATTATCTTAGATACTATACTTAGCTTTAATATTCTTTATAAAGCTAAACTTACTTTAAATTACTTTAAAACTCTTATAAAAAGCTTTTTTATAGTTATACTATACTTAAACATTACTTTAAGCTCTAGATAACACTTTTTAAACATATACAGCTAGTTTATGCTAATATAGCCTAGATTATACTTAGTGTATAAAGAATTAGCTATATTAGCTATAAATGCTATTTAAAAAAAATTCTTATATATATAGCTTAAGTATAGTTTTAATAATTACCTACTTTTTATTATTACTTAGCCTTTATAAGTTTGCTATAGAATTAGCTTATAAAAGTTATTTAGTGCTATAGTTATTTATTATTTTTTAAAAGACTTTATATATAGCTATAGTATATTTTTTTAAAAGTTTTATATTTTATTTAAAAGCTTAAAGTGTAAGCTATACCTAACATTTTTTAGCACATCTAAGTAGTGTTATTAGAAATGCATTAGTGTAAAAAAAGTAGTTTACTAGAGTCTTAGCAAAAGTAAGTAACTTAGGTGTGTAAGTAACTTGCCTGTAAAGTATGTTAAGTAAAAACTTTAAAGTTTATAAAACATTAGCGCTTATAGTAAAAGCTAAGAGTAAAGTGTGCTATTTTATATAAATAGTTAGCGTTTTAGCCTATAAATTATTATTAATTTATTTACATTTATTATTCTACTTACTATAAGCTAAATGTCTTAATTTCTTTAGCACAGTAGGTATACTACTTTATTTTAAGGATTTTTTAGAGCTAGCTTTTTTTAGTAAACTAATGTATTTTATTATACTAGTTTTTATTACTTTACTAAGTTAAAGGCTTTATTATTTTCTTTTTTAGTTTTATCTTAAGGCAGTACACTATTTAATGCCTATTTAAAGAAGTACTTAGCTAACGCTAGTTTTAATAATAAAGTAGCTTTTACTATAAAGTAAGGTAACTTCTAGCTAGTAAATAAAAAGCTAAGGCCTAAAAAAGTTAAGTATTATGTAAAGCATAAAAGCTAGCTCTATAGAAACTAGCAGCTCTTCTAGATTTAGCAGCATAGAGTAGATTTAGTGTATAATAATAAAAAATAGCTTTAAAGTAAAGCTATAGCTTTATAAAAAGTGCTACACTAAAGGTGTTTATAAAAAGTAAAGAAAGTTAATAGTTACACTTATATTATAAGCTACTTTAAAAAAATATAAAATTAATATTTTTAAAAAAGTTTTTTACTTAATGCGCTAAAAATCTTAGTAAGTTTATTTAAAGCTACTTATAAAGTTACTAGCTTATTATATATTATCTTTTATAGTATATAGTAAAAGAAAGTGTTATAAGTAGTAGTTATTAATTAAGTTATTCTTTATAATATTTTTTTTAATATAGTATTATTAGTAGAACTTTAGAGTATTTTTACTTAAAACTAAACTAATTTTCTTATAACTTTTTTAGTCTTAAATACTACATTTTCTTCTTATATAAATAAGGCCTGCTTACACTAGAGAGTAAAGATTTAAATAATACTAAAAATAGCTTAAAGTAAAATTATATTAAGTATTAATATATAAACTTCTCTAAACTACCTTTTCTTTCTAGGTGTAGTGTTACACTTTATTAGTATATGTACCTTAGCTTATTATTTTAGCACTTTAGCACTATAAAAATTAATAATAACATGCTTACTTATACTAATATAAATGTTAACTACTAGCACTATAATGTACTTATTAGCTTTTACAACTTATATAGTAGCTATATAAAAGTAAACTAAGCTAAAGAAATTATTAAAGTTATTAATAACTTTAAAATTATGTTAAAATTTTATTATTTAGTAGCTAATAATATGTTAAATAATAATAATAAAACTATCTTTGCCTTTATATAGCATTTTAAAAGGCCCTTTACCTCTAAGCACTATATACACTGCGCTAGTTATACAATATAGCTAGTAGTTAAGGCAGTTATATATAAGAAAAAAATAAACACTTTTAAAGCAGCACTAGCTTAAGCTGCTTCTTAAGATTAATTTAAACTATACTATTAGCATAAAGTTATAGGCAAGCTTTATAACTTTATAAATATAGTGTTAGTATTATATAAACACTAAAAAGCTTTTATAACTTTTTAAGCTACTTTTTGTAACAGCACAGGCAAGACAATAGGTCTGAATGCGGTGGGAATCCACTCAGAGGCATATGGGAGTGCGTGGGGACTCTAAACCTGAGAATGCCATTAACACCTATAGGCCTTATATAAAAGGATATTAGAAAACTACTAAGTTAGCTATAAAAGTAAGGTGTAACTAAATACATAAAGAAATAGAGGTAATAGCAAAGAGCAAGGTGTTACAATCCTTGCTCCGGCAAAATGGTATTTTTGGGAGCACTACGGCCTATGGTGTTGTTAGCGAGGAAGGGGAAGGACCTAGCTTGATCGGGTGTACGGTCTGTCGAGCAGAGTATAGGTGAGGCGGGTTTTAAGAAGGCAGGTTGTGGTTTAGCCTAGCAGCTGTATAGGGAGCTGGCAAACCTAATCTAGAAGGATAGAAAAAGAGGTATATATAGTGTAAGATATATAAGGCAGTAATGTCCTTTTTATAAAGGTTTTAATGCCTTTTAGTCTATTAAGTAGGTAGAGACTAAATAGTAATCACAACCTCCTAACTATAGTTATAATTAGGACTATATACATTTAGTAGCATATAGTTGCATGTTGTTGCATGCTTATACTAAGACTTATTAGTGTGCATTTAGCTGCGTGTATGTGCATGCAAACTGTTCTTTTTTATTAGACAATGCATTCTTCTATGCATTTATTTAATAGCTAAAGCTATTTTTTATTTATTCTATTATGTAACTTATTTAAGACAGAGTTAAAGACTTTTTATCTTTAATTATTTAAACTATAAAGCACTGCTAATTAGTTACTTACAGTCTAATTATAAGTTATAACACATAGTGTTCTTTTCTAGTTAGTGTTTTTACTGTTATGCTTACACTATTTTAAGTGTTAGAATTTTCTTTTAATTAGTAGGTGCCCTTTTATGTAGGCTTTTTAGATATTTATCTATTTTAACTATACCTTATTAGAGTTCTTATCCTTCTGCTATTACCTACTGTCTT